CGAGCCGAGAGCCGATCCGAGAGCCGAGCCGAGAGCCGAGCCGAGAGCCGAGCCGAGAGCCGAGCCGAGAGCCGAGCCGAGAGCCGAGCCGAGCCGAGCCCGGAGCCCCGAGCTGAGCCGAGCCGAGCCGAGCCCGGAGCCGAGCCGAGCCCAGAGCCGAGCCGAGCCTGGAGCCGAGCCGAGCCGAGCCGAGCCCAGAGCCGAGCCGAGCCGAGCCGAGCCGAGCCTGGAGCCGAGCCGAGCCCGGAGCCGAGCCAAGCCGAGCAGAGCCTGGAGCCGAGCCGAGCCCGGAGCCGAGCCGAGCCGAGCCGGAGCCGAGCCGAGCCGAGCCTGGAGCCGAGCCGATCCGAGCAGAGCCCAGAGCCGAGCCGAGCAGCCGAGCCGAGCCGAGCCCAAAGCCGAGCCAAGCCGAGCCGAGCCGAGAGCCGAGCCGAGCCGAGCCGAGCCCCGAGCCGAACTGAGCCGAGCCACGAGCCGAGCAGAGCCGAGCCGAGCCGAGCCGAGCCCCGAGCCGAGCAGAGCCTAGCCCCGAGCCGAGCCGAGCCGAGCTGAGCGCCGAGCCGAGCCGAGCTGAGCCGAGCCCAGAGCCGAGCTGAGCCGAGCCGAGCCCGGAGCCGAGCCGAGCTGAGCGCAGAGCTGAGCTGAGCTGAGCGCCGAGCCGAGCTGACCCGAGCAGCCAGCCGAGCCGAGCCAAGAGGCGAGCAGAGCCGAGCCGAGAGCCGAGCCGAAAGCAGAGCCGAGCCGAGAGCTGAGCCGAGAGCCTAGCCGAGAGCCGAGCCGAGAGCCGAGCCCAGAGCCAAGCCGAGAGCCGAGCCGAGAGCCGAGCCGAGAGCCGAGCCGAGAGCCGAGCTGAGAGCCGAGCCGAGAGCCGAGCCGAGAGCCGAGCCGAGAGCCGAGCCCAGAGCCGAGCCGAGAGCCGAGAGCCGAGCCGAGAGCCGAGCCGAGAGCCGAGCCGAGAGCTGAGCCGAGCCGAGCCCGGAGCCCGGAGCCGAGCCGAGCCCAGAGCCGAGCCGGGCCCAGAGCCGAGCCGAGCCTGGAGCCGAGCCGAGCTTAGCCGAGAGCCGAGCCGAGCCAAGCTGAGCCCCGAGCCAAACAGAGCCGAGCCCCGAGCCGAGCTGAGCCGAGCCGAGCCAAGCCCCGAGCCGAGCAGAGCCTAGCCCCGAGCCGAGCAGAGCCTAGCTGAGCGCCGAGCCGAGCTGAGCGCCGAGCCGAGCCGAGCTGAGCCGAGCCCAGAGCCGAGCTGAGCCGAGCCGAGCCCGGAGCCGAGCCGAGCTGAGCGCAGAGCTGAGCTGAGCTGAGCGCCGAGCCGAGCTGACCCGAGCAGCCAGCCGAGCCGAGCCGAGAGGCGAGCCGAGCCGAGCCGAGCCGAGAGCCGAGCCGAGAGCCGAGCCGAGAGCCGAGCCGAGAGCCGAGCCGAGAGCCGAGCCGAGAGCCGAGCCGAGAGCCGAGCCAAGAGCCGAGCCGAGAGCCGAGCCGAGAGCCGAGCCTGGAGCCTTATGCGCGTTACCTTAGGGTTGGGCGTCATCAGCCGGTTAGCGTTGAAGCTTTGTCTGCGGAAAGTCGCATGCTTGCATCTGTCAGGTGGTATGGGCTGCACCTTTAAGAAGTTGAAGACTCGTCCAAACCGCAGTTGTGGGTTGCGTTTGCTTTCGGGGCGCTGGTTCAGAGCTGGAAGAATGTTCAGAGGGGCTTCGTGGCAAGAGAACCTTCAGGATGGGCACATGCCTTTCCTGGAGCATCTCACGAGTGCTTACTCAAGAAGCGCTTGAATTGGCCAGGAGCCGCGGGAGCCGGGAGCCGCGGGAGCCGGGAGCCGCGGGAGCCAGGAGCCGCGGGAGCCGGGAGCAGCGGGAGCTGGGAGCCGCGGGAGCCGGGAGCCAGGAGCCGCGGGAGCCGGGAGCCGCGGGAGCCAGGAGCCGCGGGAGCCAGAAGCCGCGGGAGCCGGGAGCCGGGAGCCCGCCTGTAGTGGTGGGCGTACATCAGCTGCTTGCTGATGTCCAGCACGGCCTGCCCCGCATCAATCGGCTTGTCCAGCGTCACCCGGCCGCGCTGCAGCTCCACTGCCACGAGGTACGTGCCTCCCACCTCTCCCCCCACATCCAGCTGCATGCTGCGGTAGTAGGTGGGCCGCCACACCAACTTCACGAACTCCGCCTTGGTCACGGTGAACCGCACGTTGTGGTAGGCCCGCAAGTTCTCCATCGTCTTCCCAAAGATGGAGTTGTTCAGCAGCTCGTAGAACCCCTTCTTGAAGTCGTTGCCCGCACGCTGCCACAGCGCATTGTTGTGAGCAATGTAGTCGCTCAGCCAGGAATCCTAGCGATGAAATTCTCATTTTTGGGGACCTTAATGCGCGGGTAGCCAGCTTGAGCGATCTGCCAGATCACCAGGCGGATGCTGAGCTCGAGGCGGCTGTAGGAGTGTCGCTCGGAGGTGATGGGCTCATTCAAGGCATGCCGATTACTGCGATTAGGCACAGTAAGGACTCTACTAGCAACCCGTTCGGGCAAGGTTTAGTCGAGCTGTGCCGAGAAGCTGAACTGGTTATTTTGAATGGTCGTGCGTACGGTGACATGGAGGGTGAGCTCACGTTCTACCACGCTCACGGCCTGGCTTGCAGTATGATTGATCTTTTTGTCAGCTCGCCTGCTTTACTCTCGCGGGCATCGCAATTGCAAGTGCTTAGCATTCCCATTGCTATGGAGGGGCCCAAAGTGGGGTCGAGGCTCAGCGATCACTGCCCGGTGTCACTCACTCTGGACGTCGGATTAGGAGGAACACGAAGGGGTGTATGTTAACACGGGTTCCTCTCGCCTGGGGAAGCGTGAGTGGGAGAGGTACACGTTTGAGGTAGAGGATGCTGCTGTCGTACAGAAGATGGACGAGGCTGTCAACCAACTGGGGCATGGTCTTAACAGTACGGAGGTTGTTACTGTGGTCTGTCGGGCTCTTAAGAAGGCTATTGCCACCGCGTTTCGTCTGGAGAGGAGGCAGGGGTCCAGTGCTAGTTTAGGCACACCGGGTGCAACCCTGAGCGGTCCAAGCGGCGGGCGCCCTCCACGCTGGGCAGGGGAACGTCGCTGACGACGCGCATCATGAAATGGGCTGGCTGCTGCCTGAAAAGGGGCACGGTAGCGCGGTGCTGGCTGCTGTTGCTACTACCTGATTCCGGCTGCTGCTGGTGCTGCTGCTGCTGACCCGGGGTCGGCATGTTGGCGCTTTCGAAGTCGGACCGGCACGAGTGTGCACTGCTGCAAGCGCTTGAAACGCAGGGCTGGCGTGTCCTCTGCTTGTCGCGGCCTGGGCATGGCGACCGCGCAGGTGCTGCACTGGGCCGCATGGGTGCGAAGGTCGGCTGCATCTCGGCACATCTTCAAGCACCGGGTGCAGGCTCTCCTGTAAAAAAGCTGGCGGCTGTTCAGCAGGCGGGACAGGCTGCGATTGGCGTAGTAGTACCCGTCGTACAGCAGCAGGCAGACCTCGTTGGGCGCCTCCTCTGGGGTGAGCTTGCTGTGGCGCACGATGCTGAACACCGGCTCCATGTGCCCTCCCCCGTTTTGCTGTCGCCGCCGCCGCTGCCGGGGTACCCCATCCGCGGGCTCCCCTTCCTCCTCCTCCTCCTCCTCCGTCACCACCACCTCTCCCTCCCACAAGTACTCGGCCATCTGCGCTGCATTGTCCTCCTCCGCGCCGCCTCCCCGTCCGGGTCGACAGGCCCCTCCCTCCTGGCGGCCGCGTTCGGCCTGAACTCTTTTTTTCCAGCGAGCATCTACAACGCCCCCGCTTTGCGCACTGCCCATCCATGCAGGCCAGCAGCAGCTAACTTACTTGCCAGCTGGCCGGCCGGGTATCACGTAAAAAGGTACACAACAGTATGCGGATCACTTGATTAAAAACACAGGCCAACCATCCGGCATGCATGCATGTAAAGCGCATTGCCTGGATCTCCTTACTTTAGGCCCCCAACCTTTTAAGAAGATAGTCGTATTAGCCATTGCATCAGAAACAAACCACGTGTTCTGTGGTGTGCTAATACCAGCCCCCACGTCCCCACGTTCGGACATTTACACAGGCAACATGACCAGCATGAATCCATGAAAGAGCTGGGACCCAGGATGTCACAGGAACCGTGCACGTAAGCGAATGGTGGACAGTCCCACACAGCGACAACAGTGTTAACTTTCCTTGTGAGAACCTCCCCTTGGTTGTCACCTAAGCCATGGAAACAGAACCCCAGACGAATCCAAAGCGGTCCCAGAGAGCGGTGATGATGCCCCCCGTGATGGGTATGCATGCGACACGGCGCGCACAAGTGTGGACGAACCTATGAACAGCGAGGCAGCAGGGCGGGGGCATGAAAACGTTGGGCCATAGACCCATGGGTCACAACCACTGAGCTCGCCCTGGTGCGAGGTGGGTCAATAACGCTCCCACAACAGAACCAGAAGTCCAACCGCAACGGCCAACCTCAGCATCTAAACAGAGCCCCAAAGCCCCACAATTACCTGGGACGCAAACCATTTGACGAAGGCGGCTCTGGTCAAAGTTCAAGCGTCCCGTCCGGTCCATGCTTTCCTTTCCACCAGGTCCCATCTATCATCCGACTGGGCTGCAGTTCACATTACCGCCCAACGGGGTTCGTTGCAATCCGCCCTCCAGTCAATCAGTATATTACCCACAACGTCGTACGGTAAGCAACATATTGTCCCAAGAAGTCTCCCACCCCTCCCGATCCAGGACCCCGTTCCCTCCTACGAAGCACGTTACAATAAACACACACGTGACATGGGGCACATACACACGGGGCCAGACTTGGTCTAAACACACACGGGGCCACCGCCACGCCCACAGAACCAGCAACCACAGCAGGAAGAACGACAGCAACAGCCTTGCACACGTTGACAGCAACCGCAGCCCTGCACATACACAGAGCCAGCTACAAACCCCACCCACCCTATGATGCATAATTATAAACCCCCGCTTCCCCTGCTTTCCCCTGTGCCTCCCCACGCTGCTGTCGTGCACCGCTGCAGGCGCACCTCACGCCAGCTCCACCCCCCCACTCAGCATGTTTGCCGTACGCAGCATGCTCTGCGCCGTCTCGTGGCTGTTGGCGCCGCCCCACGCGTCGCACAGCGAGCCCGCTAGGTACTCCAGCAGCAGGCGGAACTTGGCGGCCAGCGGGCGGGAGGGGGGGCTGAGCAGGTGGGAGCCGGAGGGGCGGCGGGGCAGGGGCGGGCCGCCGCGACCTGGGGGGGTGTGCGGGGTTGAGGCGGGAGGGAGGGGCGGAGATTGGAAAGGGGAGGTATGAGAATATGAAGAGAAGAGAGAAGGGAGGAGGGTCAGGAAAAATGGGGAAGAAGCAGGTGACCACGCCGATTCCCTGGCCCATGAGGGGCATGCGGACATGCGGACATGCGGACATGCGGGCATGCAAGCACCCCGCACCCACCCCCATCCCCGGCCCCGCACCCACCCAGCGCCAGCGCATTACAGTATGTCCACACGCGCGTGTGCCCGGGCGGCAGTGGCGTGTGTCGCCCGATGTTGCAGCCGTACAGCAGCCAGCGGTCCAGCTCCTCGGGGGGCGGCAGGCTGACGCGGTCTGCCAGCCGGGACACCGCCTCGATGAAGTCCCACAGCTGCGGGGGTGGGGGGGAGGCAGGCAAGCGGGTGTTAAGAAACGTACTGTATGTATGTTAAGAAAGCTGGCCGTACGTGTGTGCGGGTGTGAGCGCAGAGAAGTGGCCGCGAGAGGGAAGCTGGGAGCGCACGAACGTGGGGAGGGATGTTCAAGAACGTTCAAAGACTTTGCTTTGTGCCCGACCGCCCCAGCAGAGTACCCCACGGCGCCCCCCCTCCCCCCACCTGCAGCCCCACCGCCCGCCTCCTCAGCTTCAGCTCGTCCACCACCACCATCTGGCTCCACGCGAACATCAGGCGGGCCTCGGTGGAGGTGATACCTGGGCGGGGGAGGGGGGAGTTTGACGAGCGGATTAGCAAGTTACTAGCGCAGATTACGTGGTAGGGCTTACCCTCCAATGGTTGTCGCAATCAACTACGTAAGTACGCCTCTGGATTTTCATCTCTGTCATGAAGGTAAAAGGCGCAGGTTTTGAAAGCTATTGGTCTCGCAATTCATGGTCAGCACGTTTGTTGACGGCTAACGTGGGCCCGCAGGTTCCACCTTTGTTGCAACGAGAACTGTTTTTGGCTTTAGGGGCAGCTCAATGCGAGCGGACTTTGTAGCTTTCAAGGCGTCGGCGCTTCAGATGCGCGCTGCCTTCTACGACCCATGGTTCCCACAATCCTGTAGTGCGAGTCAGCGACTGATGGCGATAAAAGCACTAACTCCCCGTATTAGTGTTACAGCTAGCTCATCAACATATCATCTCCGTGTCAGCCCGTCATATCACGAGCAAACAAAACACACACACACAGGTATCTATGGTGAAAACAAACAACTCGCAGCCAGTTTTGCCCAAACACAAGTAGCTAGCAACACACGAGCGCTTAATCGTAGTCCCACCACTAGGCCCACCACTCCATTCCCTGTTAGTTTCAAGGGACGACCGGCAAGCAGTGCCTGCGACGAATCAAACCATCCACACGCTCACGCAGGCAAAGCGGCATGCAACAGCACCGCACCACAGGGATTATACATGTCATGCAATACGGCAGCATGGGCTTGCACAAGCCTGGCATGGAAGGGGCAGCACGCCGGCGGCATGATAGCATTGAAAACACACACACGCACACACAGTATGTTCCTACTCGCGGCCAGTTTTCTTAACACACACATGCGCGCGCACGCATATACACATGCACACGACTCGTGGCCAGTTCACTTGGCACCATGCACAGGACTCCTGCGTCCGGTCTACACGGATGCCGTACGAAACCAGTCCAGAAGCCCACCTGTGCGCACACATGCATGCAGATCCCATAACGGCTCGAATTGAAAGCATTGCTGATGAATACCGGCCTGCATGCGCGGCAGCAGCAGCCGACAACAGCACTGCTGTGCGCGCATCTACAACGCCCCCGCTTTGCGCACTGCCCATCCATGCAAGCCAGCAGCAGCTAACTGGCCTGCCAGCTGGCCGGCCGGGCATCACGTAAATAGGTACACAACAGTAAGCGGATCACTTGATTAAAACACAGGCCGATACAGCTAACCATCCGGCATGCATGCATGTAAAGCGCCTTGCCTGGATCTCCTTACTTAAGGGATAGCCATACTAGCCATAGCATAGTCGTATTAGCCATTGCATCAGAAACAAACCACGTGTTCTGTGGTGTGCTAATACCAGCCCCCACGTCCCACGTCCCCACGTTCGGACACTTGCACAGGCAACATGACCAGCATGAATCCATGAAAGAGCGCACCCAAGATGTTGCAGGAACCGTGTACGTAAGCGAATGGTGGACAGTCCCATACAGCGACAACAGTGTTAACTTTCCTTGTGAAAACCCCCCCTTGGTTGTCACCTAAGCCATGGAAACAGAACCCCAGACGAATCCAAAGCGGTCCCAGAGGGCGGTGATGATGCCCCCGTGATGGGTATGCATGCGACACGGCGCGCACAAGTGTGGACGAACCTATGGACAGCGAGGCAGCAGGGCGGGGGCATGAAAACGTTGGGCCACAGACCCATGGGTCACAACCACTGAGCTCGCCCTGGTGCGAGGTGGGTCAATAACGCTCCCACAACAGAACCAGAAGTCCAACCGCAACGGCCAACCTCGGCATCTAAACAGAGCCCCAAAGCCCCACTATTACCTGGGACGCAACCATTTGACGAAGGCGGCTCTGGTCAAAGTTCAAGCGTCCCGTCCGTTCCATGCTTTCCTTTCCACCAGGTCCCATCTATCATCCGACTGGGCTGCAGTTCACATTACCGCCCAACGGGGTTCGTTGCAATCCGCCCTCCAGTCAATCAGTATATTACCCACAACGTCGTACGGTAAGCAACATATTGTCCCAAGAAGTCTCCCACCCCTCCCGATCCAGGACCCCGTTACCTCCTACGAAGCACGTTACAATAAACACACACGTGACATGGGGCACGTACACACGGGGCCAGACTTGGTCTAAACACACACGGGGTCACCGCCACGCCCACAGAACCAGCAACCACAGCAGGAAGAACGACAGCAACAGCCTTGCACACGTCTACAGCAACCTCAGCCCTGCACATACAGCCAGCTAAAAACCCCACCCACCCTATGATGCATAATTATAAACCCCCGCTTCCCCTGCTTTCCCCGCCCTGTGCCTCCCCACGCTGCTGTCGTGCACCGCTGCAGGCGCACCTCACGCCAGCTCCACCCCCCCACTCAGCATGTTTGCCGTACGCAGCATGCTCTGCGCCGTCTCGTGGCTGTTGGCGCCGCCCCACGCGTCGCACAGCGAGCCCGCTAGGTACTCCAGCAGCAGGCGGAACTTGGCGGCCAGCGGGCGGGAGGGGGGGCTGAGCAGGTGGGAGCCGGAGGGGCGGCGGGGCAGGGGCGGGCCGCCGCGACCTGGGGGGGTGTGCGGGGTTGAGGCGGGAGGGAGGGGCGGAGATTGGAAAGGGGAGGTACGAGAATATGAAGAGAAGAGAGAAGGGAGGAGGGTCAGGAAAAATGGGGAAGAAGCAGGTGACCACGCAAACTCCCTGGCCCATGAGGGGCATGCGGACATGCGGACATGCAAGCACCCCCACCCCCAACCCCATCCCCGGCCCCACCCCCCGCACCCACCCAGCGCCAGCGCATTACAGTAGGTCCACACGCGCGTGTGTCCGGGCGGCAGTGGCGTGTGTCGCCCGATGTTGCAGCCGTACAGCAGCCAGCGGTCCAGCTCCTCGGGGGCCGGCAGGCTGACGCGGTCTGCCAGCCGGGACACCGCCTCGATGAAGTCCCACAGCTGCCGGGGGGGGGGGGGCAGGTAAGCGTGTGTGTGCGGGTGTGAGTGCAGAGAGCTGGCCGCGAGGGGGGAGCTGGGAGCGCACGAACGTGGGGAGGGATGTTCAAGAAAGTTCGAGACTTTGCTTTGTGCCCGACCGCACCAGCAGAGTACCCCACCCGCCGGCCTGCCCCCACCCCCGCTCCCCCCCCACCTGCAGCCCCACCGCCCGCCTCCTCAGCTTCAGCTCGTCCACCACCACCATCTGGCTCCACGCGAACATCAGGCGGGCCTCGGTGGAGGTGATACCTGGGCGGGGGAAAGTGAAACAAGTGAAACAACGAGTCCCAATTCCATATCCCGACTCATGCAGTGGGCGGGAGAGGGGGAGTGGGGTAAAGAGGAAACAACTAACTGACTGTGTACTGTGATAGGCGTCATCGTGGTTGGTAACATGTGAGCCAGCCCATGTGAGGGAGTGGGGGGAGGCATGGGGGAAGTGGGGGGAGTGGGAGAGGGTTGGGGTAAAAGTGGGACCAGGATTGAAGGGGTAGCTCGACCTCTGCCTTGCTGCCCTGCCTTTCCTGCCTCCTCCCCTAATCCCTTAACCCGTGCTTGACCTCCCCCCCCCCTCATCCCCCCTGCTCCCCCCCCCCCCCCGGGCCCGCCTCACCCCCCATGTGCGGCGCCAGCAGGTTGTTTGACTCCAGGAAGGACATCCAGTGATCGATACCCAGGTACTTGGCACGGTCGCGAGCCTGGGGGGGAGGGGAGGGGCAGGGGCAGGGGCAGGGGGGGGAGGAGGAGGGGGTCCTGTGTCCTGGCGTGCGTGTGATGCGTCCGGTCATTGGGTCATGGAAGGAGGGGGGTACAAGGCACAGGAGCGGGTACAGGGGAAAAAGGTCGGGAAGAGCAGGGCAGTGGGGTGCTGCGTCTGGCAGGGCAGGGGAGGGAACGTTAACGGAGGTTAATGAACGTGAGAGATGCAGGTGAGAGGTAAGAGCTCCTCTGAACCACTGCAGCAGCCTGGAAGGGTATTGAACCACAGGAGTGGTGGATTATGTAAAGGAGGAAGAGCTCTGGAACCTGCAGGACAGTGGAGACCGTACATGTCGTACAGGGCCCTCAGCAGCAGCTGCCGTACCACACCTTGTACAGCTTGAAGGCGGCGGTCAGGAGCTCCAGATTGTGCACGACAGCCATCTCCATCTCGTACGTGTACAGTCGGGTACGACTGTGGGGTACACAGAGGGTACGACAGGTAGGGGCGGACATGAGGGAGGTCGCATGGTTAGGGGGTTGGAGAGGGAGGGGGGTCGGCGGTGTATGTGGGGTTGCTGTGTTGAGGGAACGGGGAGGGCTGGGTCCGGGAGAAGAAGGGCACCTGGGGACGTGGGGGAAGCGGAAGAAAACAACACCGCACCCCCGCCGCACTATCGACCCATGGGTCACTAGCAAACCCTAGCACCCCCCGTCTTACCGGAACTCATTTGGGTCCACCCTCGCGCCCGGCGGCAGCACCGGCTCCAGCTCCCGCAGCAGTTGCCGGGTGGCATCCGCCGCATCCCGTGGAGCCCCCGGAGCGATGAAGCGGAAGAAGGCAGCACGAACCAGCGCTTCCAAGAACTCAAACCTGGGGTTGGGGTTGGGGTTGGGTTGGGGTTGAGGTTGAGGGGAGTTAAGAGGAGCAAGTAAGTGGGGAGAGGGAGCGGAGGTTGCAGGAGGCATTCTGGTTGAGGAGGAAAGGGTGGGTGGAAAGGGGAGGCAATTTTGGGTGCCCTTGTTCCCTCGGCACATGTTGTTCTGTCGCTGTAACGCTCGGGGTGCCAGCGGAGATAGAGAAGCAGGGTTTCGGTGTGGCGAGGGTGGTGGTGCAGTGGGCCGGTATGGTAGGTAAGGCCGTCCTTCTTACCTCATGAAGGCGATGTCATTGTTGGTCTGGCTCTCCAGCGTCATGTTGCGCTCCTCCTCGCGGTTCACTGCCCAAAACAGCTGACGCAAGTCGTGGATGCGACTGCTCAACGGCGCTGGGGAGGCGGCGACGCCGCCGCCGCCACGGCCGCCTGCACCGCGACCGACGCCGGCATAGGCAGTAGTGGCGGCGCTTGACGTGAGCCGCCCTGCCGTACAAAACGCGAGCCAACGCTGCTCATTCATCTCCAAAATGCCGTACCCAGGACGGCCGCCGGCGCCGGCGCCGCCGTGGCTGCCAGTGACGTCATCCACGTCAGCAGCAGCCGCGTCGGCAGCGGTGGCGGCCGCCGCCGCCGCCGCGATCGCCGCCGTCTTGGATTCCGCAACCGTCGGCACTTGTACGACACCGTCTTCCCCCGTCATGGATCCCGTTTCCGATGATTTGACGGATGCAATGCCGTACATCACGGCGTCGCCGGAAGACCCCCGACGGGCGCCGCCGCTGTGACGATTCGAATGCCTCGGCGGTGGGGGCGGCGCCGCCACCGCGGCAGCCGCCGCCGCTACCTCCGCTGCCGCCGCCTCGGCACTCGTCCCTTCAGCTTCGGCCACCGACACTGCCGAATCAATCGCCGCCGTGTACACTTCTTCGGGCGTTGCGATGGAGAAATAGATAAATGCAGATCTGATCATGGGAAACGCAGCCGCCAGGGCATCTCGGATCTGCACCAACTCCTGCTCTAATGCGGATCTGCCGCTCTTGCCCCGGACCCCCAGATCCTCGCGCGCTACCAGCTTCATGAAGGGCATCTTGGTTGCCACTCGCGACCAGTCCAGGTTAAACTGCGCCGCCAGTACGGCCTCGGTGTCGTACACGTCCCTGCGCGCACCCCACACACATGCCACATGCCGGTTGGGGAGCAGCGCTCAGCTACAGTGCGGCGCAGTGCTTACAATCGGATCATACCGAATGCACAGCATCCACAGCACAGCATCCACAGCACAGCAGCCGTGTCTGATAGTGAAAACCTGCCCATGCAAGCTCTCCTTCCCTACTTCCCAAGCCCACCCTATGTTCCTCTCCCGCGACTTGCCTCGCAACACAACCCTCACGGTAATCACCCCTCTCCACCCCACCCACCCATGCTGCCCCTTGCCTCCCCCCTTACCTGGCGTCCCCCTTCTTCCGCTCCCGAAACAAGGAGGTGTACACGTCCCAGGGGGGCCTGGCGGCGCCCCGACCCGCCAGCAGGGGGGGCACCGGAGCCCGCTCCACGTGTTCGCGGGGGATGACCGGGGGGAGGAAGAAGGGGCGGTGCGCCTGTTCAGGGGGGGAGGGGCAGGAGGAGGGTTGAGTGGGGGAGAGAAGGAGGGTTGAGTGGGGAAGAGGGGTGCAGGAGGAGGGTTGAGTGGGGGAGAGAAGGCTCCTCCATGTAACGTTTGCAACCACGTGATCGTTTGCAACATGGCATCTGCCGTGTCCCCTACCTACCACACCAGTTCACCATTCTAGCCATCCCTGCCTGCCCTACCATACCACACGCACAATCCCCTCCACCTCCCTGTCGTGCCACAACCCCTGTTGTACACTAAACCGTGTCGTGCTACACCCCCTATTGTACACTAACCCCTGTCGCGCAACAACCCTTGTCGTACAACACCCCCTGTCGTACCACAACCCGTGTCGTACACCAACCCTACCTGCAGCATCGCCACAGCTTTGTCGTACTGGTACTTGGGTTTCCCCGCGCTTGTGAGCGGCTCCCCCTCCACCTCCCCGTGCAGCTGCCGCAGCCGCAGCTTGGCTCGCTCCACCCCGGATCGGTAGTCCGCCTCGGCCTGTGCGGCGGACACCTCCTCGAAGGCGGCGGGGTTGCTGCGGCACAGCTGCGCCAGGTACCTGGGGGCGGAGGGGGTTGGGGTGAGGGAGGTGCGGGAAGGGTGTGGTGCGGGAAGGGTGTGGTGCGATGCGCGTACACAAAGGATGAGAGGAGAGGGAATCAGAGGGGAGGGCATCAGGCAGAAACGAACCGAACAAAGTCGCAAATTGGTGCAAGGCACTATGGGGAACGAGGCCACGCACTTTTTATTGTGCTCCCTCCCTCTGCCGTGTGCCATCCACCCCATCTGCCCGCCTCACCTCTCCGTCCGCTGCCTGAACGTCTCCTCCAGCCGCGACACCGCACTCCCCGCCGTCAGCCCCACACCTCCACCGCCCGACCCGCCGCCGCCGCCCGCCCCCGTCGCCGCCCCCACCCCCGCCGGCATCAGCCCCCCCTGCAGGTCTCGCAGCGAGCCTAGCCCCGCCTCCTCCTCCGCCGCGAGGGCCTCTGCTATGGCGGACAGGAGCTGCTCCAGGTCCACCGACATGGGGCGGTCCAGGGGGGCTTCCAGGGAGGAGATGACTTCGGAGACGGTTGGCGGTTTGCCGCCCTCGTGGCGTTTGACGGGTTGTTGTAGTTGCTGTAGCGGGGGGAGATGCTCTGGTAGGTCAGGAGCGGGTTCCGATTGGGATGATTGGGATGACTGGGAGGGCTGTTGTTGTTGCTGTTTTGAGGCGGGTTCGGAGGCGGATGGATTTCCAGCCTTGGGCGATTGCTGTGCAGCGACAGGGTTGGATACAGCACCTGCCCCAGACTGCTCCGCAGCGCTCGATGCAGATCCCGCCCCCGGAATGGGAGTTATCACCGCCACGGCCGACACCCCCGGCGACCCCGGCTTTGCAGCAGACGCCTGGGAGGCAGCAGCAGCAGCAGCAGCAGCACTTGCAGCAGCAGCAGCAGCAGCACGAGGAGAGGGCGCCGCGGCTGCTGCGGCAGTGGCGGCAGCGATTGCCGCGACGGTAGCGGGCGACAGCCCGGCGGCGGCAGCGGTGGCGGGGGAGAGGCCGGCGGCAACGGCGGCAGCAGCTGCCACCGGAGACATCCCAGATGCCGCCGCGGCGGCGCCGACGGGAGCACTGGCGCTAGCGGCAGCGGGGGCGGCGGCAGCGGGGGCGGGGGCGGGAGCGTGGGATGCAATGTGCGCGTGCGGGTGTTGTAGCTGCGAGTGGGCGAGTAGCAGGGCCTCTATCCGCCGAGCACGCTCCCGGGCTGCCTGCATGCGCGGCACGGTGGGGTTAAGGGGGGGCGGGAGGTCGAGAAGCCAGCAGGTGAGGGCAAGACAATAGGCAGGGGAGGGCGGGCGGAGCCAGGACAGCAAGTCCAGGTGAGTAGAGGCTTGGCCCGCGTGGAGGGGCAGTCCGGGATTAGGTTAGGTTTGGGCCCAGTGGCGGGCAAGTGGCCACATCGTCTTCCGGTAATTCAGTCTCGCGGCCGGTTTCCTCCCACGCACACGCTCCTTACCTCCACCAGCCTGAACTCCTCATTCGCTCGGTCCAGCGCCTGCGCAAACTCCACCAGAGCATCCGGATTCAGTCCCGTCTCCGCCGCCACGGCTGTCGCCTCCTCCACCGTATCATCCTCCTCTTCCTCCTCGTACAACCCACCCACGCCCACCACCACCACGCCGCCAGCGCTGCTGAGGCTTGTACGACTGGTGCGCCCGCTGCCGCCGCCGCCGCCGCCAGCAGCAGCAGCAGCGAGGCTCTTGGCGCTGCTGCTGCCGCCGCCGCCAGCCCCCAGGCTCTTGCTGCTGCTGCTGTTGCTGCCGAGGGTGCTGCGTTTGAGGGTGGAGCGGAGAAGGCCTGTGGCGGAGGTGGCGGATGCGGATTCCGGGTCTGGCTGGTGTTGCTGGGCTGCTGATGACTGCGGTGTGTGCTGTTGCGAGGACCTTGATGGCGGCTTCTCTTGCTGCTGCTGCTGCTGCTGGTTCGGGTTGCTAGTAGGCGGCTGTGTGGTAGCGGATTGCGAAGACTCTTGCTGCTGCTGCTGCTGCTGCGGAGGAGGAGGAGGAGGAGCTTGCAACGATATCTTTTTTGTCGGCGGATGCTGCTGTTGCTGCAACGAGGAAGAGGCTTGCGGGGACAAGGGTCCTGGCAGCGATGGCAGGGAGGAGGACAGGCGGCTTGGGAGCAGCAGGTTGACTTCGCTGCTGGGCTTGGCGGAGGCGAGGAGCTTGCGGCGTGAGGAAGCGGCGGAGGCGACGGGGCTCGCGGCGATGCTGGCGGCAGCCGACATGGGAAAGCGCCGGCGGCCGGTCGTCAAAACTGCACGGTAGGAAGGAGCGAAGGAACACGAGTATAACACGGGGAGGTTTTCATAAGGTTGGGGGGGCCTTTGCTAGTAGTGAAGACCGCTTTTGCTTGTTACCAACATGCATGACGGGTAGCGGGCGAGCCAAGCCGACGGCGCTGCTAATAAAAGTGGTGTTAGTTGAGGTGGGGCATTGGAAGCAGGGAAACAAACGCAGCCTCCAGGATGCATGTAAAGCGCATGTCGCGGCCTGCCCGCTACCTAGCCAATTATCCATCCATCCAAAATCCAACCCTCACGTTGTGTGAGCGCGCGAATCAGCTTCGCCTGCCGCTTCTCAGCTGCCCGGGCCGCGCGCTGCTCCTCGCTCTCCGCCCCGGCGCCTCCGCCATCCAAGCCCCCGCCGCCGCCCTCGCCGCCGCCGCCGGACGGGCCCAGGAAGCCGCCGGAGGAGCAGGAGGAGTTGCGGGAGTTGCGGACGAGTGGGTCGGCCTGCAGGCTGCGCTCCCCGCGCTCCACCTGCGTGCGTCAACAGGCACATGCGAGCATGGGGGTTGCCCCGGTGACCGGATGAAGGGCGAGTAGGAGAAAGCTGGTAAGGGGCCGGCTCTTCCATTCCATTCATTTCAACGCAACATGATGCGATGCAGGAGGCGTCACGCCCGCATGCCGCACCGTACGAAGCACCCACCCACCGCCCCACCCACCCACCCACCGCCCCACCCACCGCCCCACCTGCTTCAACGCAGCTCTCACTAGGTCCATCCCGCTTAGCGCACTCAGGATCTTGCGACCGCCGGGCCCCACAATCACTCCGGAATCGCTTCCCCGGTGGCCTGCCGTACCGCCGGCACCGCCAGCCGTCTTACGACTCTTTGTCGATTTGGCATTGTTGGGGTTGGTAAACAGGAAATGCTGGGCGTGCGCGTGGTGCTGGTGCTGCTGCTGTAGCTGCTGCTGCAGCTCCTGGAGTTGCTTTTGCTGCTGCTGGCGCTCCGTGGCGAGGTGGGTGATGCGGACTTGCAGGCGGGCGCGAGTGGGACTGTTGTACGGCATGTGTACGACACCACAAGGGGGAGAGTGAGAAGGGAGGGAGGGAGGAGTTTGGGTGGGAGGAGGGCAGGTAAAGGGTGCTTGTGTGCCTATAACCTGCATTAGGGTGTTCTCAGGGTAAGCATATCGCGAGGAAGGAATACAGCAGCAGCCGCAGAAGGAACACGATGTGGGGTCAAAGACCATACCAAACCATAGGAGACCACAGGTTAGGGCACGATGTGGGGGGGTGGCTCATCAGGTTCGTACGACATTCCGCACCTGATGTTGTCCATGTCGGCCAGGTAGCCGTACGCATTCCACTTCCCTCCAGCATTCCCAGCAGCAGCAGCACCGCCACCGCCGCCGTTGCCGCCGACCCCTGGGTCACCGTCCGCGTTTCCAGTTGCGCCTTGCGGACTCTCCGCCAGCGCCGCACCTGCCGCCGCCGCCCACTCCGCGCCGTACGGCTGCTGTTGCACATCAGCACCGCCGCCGCCGCCAGGCTCGCTAAATCTTTTTCCCCCAGGGGCTGTAGCGGTGGCGTTAGCGGCTCCCGGTGGCGCACTGGTAGTCTTCAGGTACGGCAGCGGCGGCTGCCGTGACGGCGGCGACGACGGGGTGTAACCTTGCGGCGGCGGCGAATGCGGTACGACAGGTGTACGACTCGCAGGGGTAGCCCTGGCGGCGACCACGGGGGAGTCCATAACGGCTGGAAGCACACCATAGGTTGACGTCATGTGGTGGTGTTTGCCGCTGCGACGGCCCGGTGTTGGCGATGACGCCGCTGGCCGCAGCGGCAGTGGCACCGACAACGGCGGCGGCGCCACCGCCGCCACTGTCGGTATTTGGCTGCCCGTAGCTCGTGACGGAAGACCGGGATCGGATCCGCGGTTTGTCGTACCGGCGGCGGTGCCGCCGCCGCTACCTTTGCCGGTGTTCCGCGGTGATCGCAAGCTCGAGGGGAGTGCCGTACCTGGCGTCGACGCCGACGGTGACGTCACAACCGCCGGCGTACGGCGCGGCGAATGCGGTGAGGGAAGCAGAATGGGCGACCGAGGCGCCGTGCAAATACCGTTGTCAACCGTTGCATGCGGATCGCCGCCGTGCATGGACGTACGAGCCGACGTGGTCCCATTAAACTGAGCGCATGGGCTAAGGCAAATTCCAGCAGCGCCCCGCTCATGCGGCTCCATTCCAGATCCAGAATTCGTACCGGATCTGGAGCCGGGATCTGTACCCGTTCCAATCCGTCCGAAACCGAGGCCTCCGCTAGTGCTGCAGCGAGCGGCAGCGGAGTCAGCGGCGGCGGCCGATGCCGCCAGAACGGCAGTCATGCCGGTACGTCGGAGGCTGTTGGGCCCGGGCAAGTCCAGCGGAATGACCCGTGGGACGGGCACGCCGTCGGCTGTGGCGGTTAGTACGACAACCGCGTCACGACCGGCGGGCAGGCCGTCAATGGAGGCTGCACCCTCGCAGCAAACCTGTTCCAACCAACGGTGGTTAAGAAACGTTAAGAGGACGGCAATCATGGTCAATCTTGCCATCCAACATATCAGCCGACGTATGCCGCCTCCACCCATCCTACCGTATCCAGAGCTAACACTATCCACATGCACCAGTACCCATGGACAGAAGGCCCAATATCAATCGAAACAACTTGTTCTGGGCGGTTTCCAACCGCCAACTAACCTCTTCGAGATCGCAAACCGGCACTCCGTTGGGTGCTGCGATGACAAAGTGGTTTTCAAACTGGCCTGGATCCAGCGCTAGGAACCGCTGCAGATGTGCAGCGGATTCAGGTTCCTGAGAAAAGAGAAGGGAAGAAGAGGGAGGGGCAGCAGGAGCAGCAGTCAAGCAAACGGGTGCTTTTAAGCGGGATAATAATAGCACTAACGAAGCCAGCTACCGGTACCTCGTGAATAGGAGGACTTGCATGCAGAACACTGTGCCGGCATCTATTCCCTTGCAACCCGTCTTCGTCTGCGACGGCGTGCCTACACGCCGCAACCGCACCGAACTCCCCTACCATGGTATCAACCACCCAACCAACCAAGAAAGCGGCGAACCCCAAATGAAAAGTACGGGGCACTGCACACCTGGAGTACGGCAACAGCCCGGCTGCTTATCGGCGGAGGTGGGGCGCCGGGAGGGAGTCCCGGCAGCAACGGTTGCGCTGCCGCCCCCATACCTCCTCCTGCCGTACACGACCCCTGCGACCCGCCATCCATATCTGCCGCAGCAGCAGCAGCGGCTGCAGACATGCCGTACAATGGCGTCGACACATCTGCCCGAGGGTTTAGTGTGGCGGTGGAAACGCGTGTCGTACGGCGACTTGCTGTCGCACTGCGGCCTCCGCCGCCGCCGCCAGTACGACCGCCGGCGCGGCCGCCGCCGGCGGTTGCGTCAGGCCGTGAGGCATTGCGACCGTAATGGTAGGTGCTGGCGCCCATGAGTTGTAGCTGCTTGGGGTTGCGCTGCTTTTCCCTAAAATCGTCGATAATGTGTTCTAAGGTGTCTAGGGGAATGGAGGCAACGGAAATCTGTGGGAGGCCCAGGAGATGGCGAACGCAAGGGGATCACGACAAGGGTATGGGGGCAGGTTAGGGAGGTCGGCTGCTAGAGGACAAAGGCAGGGGTCCTAAGAGGTGCCGGTATGTACCCGTAAGCCCCGGTGCTCGAAGGTGTTGTGAATTTGCTTGTTGCTTGTTCGGCTGAGCAAATGGCTTCGGGGAAATTCACACTCCGCTGTTCCCTGCACCTCCCTCGCCATCCCTCCCAACTCCCAAAAAACAAACACCATGTAAACCGTCCTTACGCGCGAGCTTACAGTTACGGTAAACTAAGCTGTAGGTAACCCCCGCCAGTGATAGTACTTCATCCGATGGTTCGCGCACCTTGGATGCAGTGGTCGATGCATAGCTGGCTTCCTTCCGCGGCAAGCCCTGCATCCCTTCTAGCGAACTGCTGCGTTCACGACCCATCTGTAAGCCTCCTCCAGTGAGTCCAAGCCCGCCGATAGCTGGAAGCGAAGCCGAGCCTTTAGGCGCACCCAAGCCGATGCCAGGCGATAAAGCGCCGGCATTATGAACTGCAGCTGCTCCGTGACTTTGGCCGGCCATGGTAGCCATATCATAAACAGAAGGAGCGTGCTGCCTGGATTGGGGAAGAGGAACGGCATGTCCAGCATGCTGGAATGGAGCACGAAGCTAGCAAAGATGAAATCACGGCGAGGTGGCAAATGGATAGCAGGCATCCTTTTAGACGCGCTCATACCTCAACGGCCTTTGTTGGGCACCTAGCTGAGCCTAAACATGACTGGGTAGATTTCGAAGTCCTCCAAACGTTTGATATCCGCCTCTATAATAGGTATGCATACTAAGCGATGGCATGTTGCGTGCCCCAGGCAAAGGGCATGTGACTTAGATAGGTATCGAAGACAGGTGTCGCATATAGTCACGCATCTCTGCTGCATCGCCTGGCCAATCGCTTAACAAAGCAAGCTCTTCATGCTGTACATGGAAACCGACTGCCTTGACGGACAAGGGAGCGCGTTATGTACGGCATATGTTTCCCAACTCTGGATGGGTGGAACCGCAAGTGTGGCCAACCGAACTGGTGGTACTGCGTGCTACCGTAAGCGGATTGCACATAATCTGGCATGGCAGTCTATCGTCGTGCTCCATCGCAATAGGCCTAGCGCACGGCCGATAGCTTTTTACCGCTGCAAGCAATTCGGAAGAAAGGCGCCCAACTGATTAGGTTAGTACGCCAGCATCCTTTATGGGATCAAGCTTTTTGCGGTTCTCCTTTATCCCGGCCCTCGACGGCGCTTAAGGCACCCCTTGCACTCCGTATCGTATGATCGCTTCCCATCAGTTGTTTTTATCAACTTAATTGGTCACAATTGCGAACTATGATGGTTCGCAGGCTTACATTCTGGGCGGCGGCGACGACGGAAGCGCCCCGATGGAGCTCGCCTTTACCGGCAGCTTCGCCTTGGCCGCATGGCAGGTCCTTGGGAGGCTGCGAAAGCATGCGGCAAAAATTGAGGAAAACGTGAACGATGGACTGCTCCTGGATCAGTGGGAGGACGAATGCAAGGCGTTGGTGGTGAGCAAAGACGCAGTCTGCTTCCGACGACTGTTAAGCAGGGCATGCATCCCTTTCTCTCATGGTTAACAACCGCAATTGAGCTTTATAGTCCTCAAGTCATATTCGTCGCCAAGACTTTTGGCGACGGACCCGGCCATGTCAAGAATTGACGGAAAGGCATAGGTCGAAGTGGGCGACCTGTTTTGCCACAAAAGCCACACGCCCTTCCTGGCTGAACTGGTTGTTTTGCCTTGACAAGGCCTTTGCTGCCTCATCCAGGGGCTTGCTGCAGCAGCAGCAGCAGCAGCAGCAGGAGGGACCCACTTTTAGCGACGGCAGTTCCTAGGAACAAACACCAGCAGCCGCGGCGGAAGAAGTATTTGTGTCACAGCCCCGAGCACGCACACGCATCGGCGGGGGCTACAACACCACCTGGGTCCCAACCCCAGTACCCCTATTAAACCGAATCCGCACCTCGATCGCCACTTGTTAACCCCGCATCCCCAACTCCTTGGAATTTCTTTCCCCCCTTCGTTTCCCGCCCCTTCGCCCCACCACCGCACGCACCCATAGGCCCAAAAGCGGCGTTCCGTTGCGGCCATGGGCAAGGGCGCCGCTGCTAGCGGGCACGAGCACATCTGGGACGACTGGAACAAGAAGAAGCTGAAGCCGGCTCAAAAGATCCAGGTACGGCGGGTGATGTGGCCGGTCGGGGGTGCACAGACGGATGGCTGGGTCGGGGTTAGGCTGCGGTGTGTTCAGCAAACTGGCTGCGAGTAGGGACGTACGTACATGCGCAGGGCCTGAGTGCGGTGGGTGCAAAGCGGGTTCGAAGCATAGGGATGGACACATGCACGGCACAGCAAGGAGAGGCCAGCCAGTTCGTGCGGGGCTTGTAAGGGCTGTTCGGGGGTGTCAGCAGCTAGAGCACAGGACTGGCAGGGCAAAGAGAAGGAAACATGAGAAGGGGAAACATGGTGAGCGAGGAGTAAGCAGGTGGACAGCCGGCGTGGGGGAGTGTGTAGAGGGTAGAGGGGGGCTTAAGTTGGCACCTGGGCAGTGCAAGCCCATGTCTAGGGGAGACAGACGCCGCCGTCATGCACCAGGAGGGGTGAAGTACAAACGAGGCTGCCCGGGTGGGGGAGCAATCGTGAAGTTCGTGACCCATGGGTCGTTCTCCCCGCCTCCCCGCCTCCGCAGCTCGTAACCGACGTGGCGGATTTGGCTCAGTGGGCGGGCGGCGGCAGCTGGGTTCCGGAGCTGAAGTCCGAGGGGCCGCTCAAGCCCTGGAGCAAGTACGGCACCAAGGGCAAGGTGCACCTGCTGCAGGTGGGGTGGGGGCGGCGTGGGGGTGGGGTGGGGGTTGGGGGGCACGGAGGGGACGAGGTTCAGTACCGGAGGAAGGGAGAGGTGGGGCAGGGCAGGTGGCGGCGGGTCTTTACACTTGACATTCACGTCTCCTTCCCTTCATCATCTCCGTCCCTCCTTCCTCTCCTTCCCCTCCGCCTCCCCGACCCCCTCCTCTCCTTCCCTCCGCCTCCCCAACCCCCTCCCCTCCTTCCCCTCCCCTCCGCTGCCAGGCTGCGGACGCGCTGCAGTTCAACTTCGGTGAGGCCGCCCGGGCGCAGGCGGAGCTGCTGGCGGGCAACTGGCTGTGGCAGGTGGGGGGCGGTGGGGGGGCGGGAGGAGGAGTTGGGGAGAGCTGGGAGGAGTCCGGGAACGCAACTGAGCTGGGAGAGGGTCAGGGTGCTGCGTTCCTGCCCTCCCTCCCGCCGCTTGGGTTTGGCCGCGACTCATAGGGCCCACCGTAGGGCCCCTTGCTTTTCCGCCGTCGTTTTTCCATGCCACCCCACTACCCCACCCTAACTCCCCCCCTCCCTGCAGGTCACGGAGGCCCTGCCCGCCATCTCCGCCGAGCCCATCCGCGCCACCGCCCCACTTGCCCCGCTGGCGGATCTCAAAACCCGACTGAGTACGGCAGACGCTGCCGTACGAGCGGCGTACGACAGCGAGCGGCGGAGCCAGGCGGCGGGTCTGAAGGGCCTTGTGGAGCCGCTGGCGGTGGCGGCGTGTGCCAGGAGGATGCAGGTGGGGGTTCAAAGACGATATCGAACCATAGGAAGCCACAGGTTGGGGCAAGACAATGGGGATAGGAGCGGCAGGGTGCCACAAAAACAAGTATGGGTTAGCGGTGGGGGGGGGCCTGAGGAGGGGTTTCAAGAAACTGGCCGTGACATTGATTGAAAGTATTGGATTGTCGGAGTATGATGTTCCCACCAGAACGCCACAAGCGACGAGGAATAGGTTGCCGTATGTTGGGCGGGGCGACATGCCGTACACACACCCGACACGCAGCGGGTGTTTCGCCTCGCGGCCAGTTATTTTAACACACCCGACACCCCTACCGGCACACCTGACAAACACTGACAAATGCTGCCCCGTGCCCGTTTCCCTCCTCCTGTGAAACACCCGCTTCTGTGTAGGTCCTGCGTGTGCTGCTGGATGAGGTGGGCCTTACGCCCGCCAACGCTGCAGCTGCCGTACAGTCGATCCGTACGGAGCTGACGTCGCCGCCGCTGACGTTGACGCCGGCGGAGGCGGCGGTGGCGGAGCAGAAGGCCGCGGCGGCGGCGGCGGTGGGGGCGGAGGCGGAGGCAGCGGTGGCGGAGGAGCGGGGAGCACGGATGGCGGAGATTGAGGAGGCGGCGGCGCGGACGTATCGCCGGGCGCTGACGCTTCAGGCTTGTGAGTAGCGGGGGTGCGGGGTTGAAAGCACACGGGCCGCATGTTACAGACCGCAGGAGCGATTCACGCGTATAGGATACAACACCCTTGCCCTCTCACTCTCACTCTCACCCTCCTCTTCGCTTCCGCTGCACACGCCACACTGCCCACTGCCCACTGCGCCCTTACCTCCCCCCTCCCAGCTTCTCCGTCCCACTGGCACGCCAGCAGCGACACCCCCGCCCTGCACCGGTTGGGTCTGCTGGCGGCGCTGCTGGGCGAGCTGGTGGCGTGCGATGCAGCGGCAGGAGCTGGTGGTGGTGCTGGTGCCGCTGCGGCTGACATGGCGGACTCAGTGCGCAAGCTGACACCGCAGCTGAGGTGAGAGGAGAAAGCAGGTTTGGGGGGGGAGAAAGGTGGGGGGGGGGAGCGCGGAGCGTGCATGCGGGGCGGATGGCGGGAGTCGTGTCGCACATGTGGTGGTTTGCGCGGCTGCTGCATTGCATGTTGTGACTTGGTAGCCCCTCACCCCGCGCCATGTTTCAAGCTTCCTGTTCCTCCCGCTCCCCCCGCTCCTCCTCCCGCCCCCCCCCCAGGATCAAGCTGAGCGAGGCTGAGGTGGCTCGTCGTACCGAGCTCCTGCAGGCCCTCACACCCGCACCACCCGCACCGGCGGAGGCGGAGGCGCCGGCAGCGGTTGAGGCGGAGGCGCCCGCTGCCCCCGTCGCTGAGGCCCCGGCGGCTGAAGAGACCTCGCCTGACGTCGCCGCTGCGACTGACGGCGACGGTGCTGAGGCAACCACCAACACCGCAGCAGCAGAAGCGGAGGAGGCGGAGGAGGCGGCGGAGGCTGAGACATCTGAGGAGGCGGAGGCAGCGAAGGAGGAGGAGGTGCAGGTGGAGGAGGAGGAGGCGCCTCCGGCACCACCAGCTCGCCCCACCCCCTCCGCTGCTGCCTCGGAGCTGCGTGCGCTGCTGGAGGCCGCCATTCGGGCGCAGCTGGCAGCGGCGCGGGAGGAGCGAAGGGCTGCTAGGTGAGGGTTTAGGGTGGCTGAGGGGTTGTTGGGGTGAACCATGGGTCGCTGCGGGCGCGCTGGGGTAGGGGCGGTTGACTTTGATGATCCTGGGATCAGGGCTTGGGTGGGAAGTGGAGAGTTAAGGACCGGGCCGCCCGTGGCTGTTGCGAAGTGCTCATGCGCGCCTGTGTCGTCCCTTGTCGTGCCCCTTCCGGCGGTAGGGCGGCGGCGAGGGCTGAGGAGAAGGCGGCTGCCAAGGTGAAGGCGGAGGCGGAGCAGGCAAAGGCCGCCGCTGCTGCTGCTGCTGAGGAGGAGGAGGAGCAAGCGAAGGTTCCTGAGCAGGCAGAGGAGGAGGCGGAGAAGGCGGAGGTGGAGGCTCCGGTTGCTGCAGCGGCGGCGGCGGCAGTGGAAGAGAAGCAGCAGGAGGAGGGGGAGCTCGTTTCGGTTTCCTTGGAGGTGGTGCAAGCGGGTGTCACGGTTGGCTTGACGGTGACTGAGGAGGGCGGCGTCGCGGTTTCAATCAAGGTTTCGGAGAGCGTCATCCTCAGAATTGCCGTGGAGGAGAAGCAGCAGCAGCAGCAGGAGGTTGTGAAGGCGGTTGAGCCGGAGGAGGCGGTGACGGCGGCAGCCGCAGCGGCAGCGCAAGAGGAGGAGGAGGAGGAGGAGGAGGAGCAGCAGAAGGCGGCTGTGGCGGAAGCCTCTTCTGACGAGTCGCTAGCGCAGGAGGCTCCCCCGTCGGCGCCTGAGGCAGAGGCCGAGGAGGAGAAGGCGGAAGAGCCTGAGGAGCAGCAGCAGCAGCAGCAGCAGCAGGAGGGCGAGGAGGCGGAGGAGGAGGAGCCACCCACAGCGGAGGAGGCGGTGGATGTGGAGGCCGTGAAGAGCAGCGTGGAGGCGGAGGCACGGGCTCGCGCAGAGGCGGAGAAGGAGGCGGCGGTGATGAAGCTGCAGGACGCGCTTGAAGCGCTGCGTGCCAGCGTCGCTGACAAGGCGACGAAGGAGCTCATTGCACGTGTCAATGCGGCGACGGCGGCGACGGAGGCTGGCGCTGACGGCGCGCCTGACGCCGGCGCGCGGCTGCTGGCGCTGGAGGCTCAGCTCCGGGCCGCCGGCGCGGCGGAGGCGAATGCGCTCGCGAGGGCCGCCGCCGACGCCGCCGCCAGGCTGACGGCGGCGGATCTGGCATCACTCGACGGGTCGTCGGCGGCGGCAGTGGCGCGCGTCGCGACGGCGGCGGCGCGGGTTCAGTTGACGGGCGACGCATTGAAGCTGGAGATGGGTCCTGGGTGCTGCGAGGTGTTGCGTCGGTTGGATGGTTGGTTGGACGAGCAACTGAAGGCCGCCGCGGACGCAGCGGAGGCCGCCGCCGCAGCAGCAGCAGCAGCTGCTGCGGAGGCGGAGGCGGAAGCGACGGCGGCGGAAGCGGCGGAGGGCGACGAGGCCGCCGCTGATCCGAGTGGCGACGAGCAACCGAAGCCGCAACCGCAACAACCGGTCCAACCGCAACAACCGCAACCGAAGCCGGAGCGGTTGGTTGAGGGTCGGCGGTTGGTTTCGGAGCTGCTCAGTGAGGGCCTTGTGCTGCTGGAGCTGCCGGGGCCGTCGTACCGGAAGTTGCAGATCCTGCGTGAGAGCGTGGATGCGCTGGATCCAGTCGGGGGGGATGGTGCCGTACAACACCGCCTGCTGGGCACCCTGCAGGTGAGGGGGGGCGGCGATCAGGGCTGGTCGCTTTCTCTTTAGGGTATGGGAACATGGCAAAACAGCAAGCAAGCTAGTGATAACGGTTTCCTAGTAGCGGTATGCATGCATGCCCGTCGATCCGCACGCCTTGTTGTGTTGCTGGTGATCACCCACATGTCGTGCGCGGGCAATGGTGCTCACGCCTCACGTAACCCCTCCCCCTTCCTCCCCTCCCGCTGCAGGAGTTGGTTGGCCAGTTGGGCCCCATCGGCGCCTCCGTCGACGCCCGCCTCAGCAAGGCGGTTGCCACCGGCAGCAGCAGCAACAGCAGCAGCAGCGACGCAGCTGTCCAGTCGGCCCTCGGCGGGGCGGGTGAGGAGCGCGAGAAGCTGCTGGCGGTGCGCAACACCGCGCTGGCCATCTACCAGGCGCTCACCGCCTTCCTCAAGACGGAGACACGCAGCTGGGAGGCGGCCAAGGAGGACCTGGCCAAGGTGGGGGGCGGGGGCTACGGTAGTGGGAGGCAGTGTACTAGTGGGCATTGCGCTGGCCACCAGCCCTCAACCCTTCACTCCACATGCTCGCATCACCGCTATACCTATCCTTCTACCCACGCCCCACATGCCCCCATTACCCTCATCACCCTCATCATCATCATCGTCCGCTTCCTCACCGCGCTGCTGCTTCCCTTCCCCTTCCCCTTCCCTCTTCTCATCATCGCTTCTTCTCATCATCGCACAACACACAACACCCATCACACCCATCACACGCATCAGGTCAAGGAGGCGGTGTACGGCATCAAGATCGAGCGCCGCGCTGCGACATTGGACTCGGGCATCTCCGGCTGCCGGGGGGTGGCGGAGCGGTGCGCGGCGCTGGCGGGAGGGCTGTTCGGGCTGGGGGCGGGCAGCGAGGAGGTTAAGGCAGCGGTGAGGGAGGCGGCGGGGGCGCTGCAGGCGACGGCGGAGAAGGTAGGGAGGGGGAGGTGGGTAAAGAGGAAAGGGATGTAAGGAAGGGAAAGGCGGAGGAAAGCTGTCGGAAGGGGGCTGTTCCGCTCTCCTCACGCTCGCAACTGACGCACTGGTGGCTTTCAATAATCCGCGCCGGTATCAGGCAACATGTTGGTCTCATGTTCCCCCCCCCCCCCCGCCCGCACAGGGGTTCTCTGGTCAGCGGTTTCTCGCGGCTCAGATCATTTAAGCCCCCCGCTTTCCCCGCCCCTTTCCCCCCCTCCCCCGCCCAGGCCCAGACCCTGCACTCCCGGCTGTCCGAGTACATCTCCTTCGTGCGGCTGCGGGAGCACGCACTGGCGCTGCCCGCGTCGGCACCGGCGGACGCGGAGGTAGGGCGGGAGGGGGAGGGGGCGGGGAGGCAGAGGGGCAGTGGAGGTGTAGGGAGCGGGCTGACGGGTGTCCAGGTGGGGGGGCTCCATTCCGCTGTAGGGTTCAGATGAGCAGTGCCGTCGGCGGCGGGCAGCGTGTTGAGGTGTTGGGGTGTGCACAGGAAACTGGCGCCGAGTGGCCGCTGGTGTGGTTGTGCTAGCAAGCGAATCAAGAGCGAATCAAAGGCAGGGTGCTAGCAAATTGGAGCTAGGATGTGCCGTATAGCCCCACAGTATACCGGTAGGTAGGTAAAGCCTTCAGGACACCATGGCGAACAGCGATCTCGCTTCACTGACCCGTGGGTCACCTGTGTGCGCCATCCTCCCTCCGCCTCCCCTCAGGATGATTACGAGCTGTCCATGCCCACCCTGGAGGAGATGATGGCTCGGCACGGCGGCAGCGGCAGCAGCAGCGGGGAGGAGGGCGAGGAGGGGCAGGAGGAGGCGGAGGGGCAGCTCAGCTGGCTGGATCTGGCAGGGCTTGGACTGCCGCCGGTAGGAGGAGGAGATGGGCGGGGAGGGGGGGGAGGGGGAACAAGGAGAGAAGGGGGGGGCATTGCCGTACAGTTAGACCAGACAGACATGATACCGGATGCCATCCGTACCACCATGCCCACCCCCCTGCTTTGGCAGCACTGCTTGACGTATAGGCGTGTTGGGCACATTAGGACCGATCCATCCCGCGTTTGTTGGGCCTCCCTTCCCGTCCCTTAGTCACCTCGTCCCCCTCCTCCCTGCCGTACCTCCTCCCCCTGCCTGACAGCCCCCCGAGCAGCCCGAGGAGGAGGAGGAGGAGGTGGATGAGGAAACCAAGGCAGCGCAGGTGAGGTTGGGAGGGTGGGTGGGAGGGGCTGTTTCGGTAGGGGACATGCAGCAGGGGCCGGGGGGGCTGTCAGGGACTGATGCAATCATGTATGCACGGGAGGCAACCCGGTCACGCATGTGTGTGGGCAACCCCCTCCAAGCCTCCATACCCACACGCCCAACGCATAACCTCGGCTCGTCATTTTTCTCCCACCCCGCCCCACCCTACGCAAACCACCCTATCCTACACCTCCACCCCGAACCCCTCCTCCCCCTCTCACTTAAGACACCCTTGGTTTGCTTCACAACTATTTGTCAGTGTTTCCGCGGCTCAGTTTATCTAATCCCCGCCCCCCCAGGAGGCCCACGACCAGGCGCTGTCCCAGCTGCAGGAGCGGCTGGACGGGTGGCACGCTGCGGGACTGAGGCTGCTGGCACGGGGCCGGGCGGCGCTGGTGACGCTAGGGGGTGAGGCAGCAAAGGAGGGGGGGGCAGCAAGGGGAGGACTGGTACTGTGGTTACGTTTGCGCTGAAGTCACCTGACCGCCCATCCCCTTTCTCGGATGGACTTCCAGTGCTTTCCTTCTCCTTTATCTTTTACCCCCTCTCCCATCCGCCCCCCCCGCCAGGTGCCTCCCTGGAAAGTGGCGAGCTGGCGCTCTCCGCCGACCCCGGCCTGCCCTCCGCCAAGAGCCTGCTGCAGCTGACTGCGGAACGGCTGGCGCGGCTGCAGCTGCTGGCGGCGGAGAGCGTGAGCGGCGCCAACAGCGGGGTGGAGAACCTGCTGCAATGGTAGGAGAGGGGAGGGGGAGGGGGAGGGGGTCAAAGGGGAGGAGAGGGGGTTGGACAGGGGGGAAGGGGGTTGGTGAGGGTGGATCACGCTATGCTTTGTGTGTGTTGTGTGAAGGAACTGGGACCTCCCTGGTCTCTATTAACCCTTGGCACCCCCCCCTCCCCGCCGCCACGTAATTCGCGAGAGCCTCACCCTCCTCCCTCCGCCTGCCCCCCCCCCCCACCAACCCCCCCAAGGTACATCCTGGTCCCCCCCGCCGCCTCCGAGCCGCTGTCCGCCTTCCTGAGCGACAACAACCACTTTGGGCTGCAGGCGGGGCAGGTGGGGTGCAGGGGCGGGCATCGGTGTGTGGAGGGAGGGATGCTGGGGTGGACATGCCTTCCGAGGGCACCGTAGTCCCTGCGATGATGCCACCCCATGCGCTTGCATGCCCCGTACATGCTATTCCTTCTCTCATACCCGTTATTACGGGGTGTTGCGGGTATTGCTGGGTTCAACAACATGAACACACAGCTGGCGGGTTTTTGTTTCCCCCTGGTCCACTTCTCAACCCCTCCATCTACTCCTCGCTACCAACTGACACAAGCACCCCGTTCCCCCCCTCCCGCCCCCCTCCGGGACCCCCTCCCCCCAGGTCCACGTGTGCATCAACGACGTGCGCCCGCCGCTGCTGACGGAGGACATGCGGGTGGTGCTGGAGGCGGGCGGAGCGCGGGTGGCGCGCAGCCAGCCGGGGAGCGGTGAGTAGTGTGTGTGTGGGGGGGGACGGAGTTGGGTGTGTGCCCCCACTTCCTTCCCACGCTGCCCCGCCGCTGCTTTCCCGCTGCCACCCTGCTGCCCTGCCCCACCCTGCTGCCCCCTCCTGCCCCCTCCTGCTCCCCCCTCCTGCACGCAGGCGAGGTGTTCCTGGCCCTCCGCCGCAGCGGCGCGCTGGCTCACATGCGCCGTGCAGGTGTGAGCTGCCTGGAGGTGGCGGCGGTGGAAGACAACCTGCCCGCCCGCCCGCTGGATCCGGGCTTCCTGGGAGCGTGTACGGCAGCGGGGGTGGACTGCGCGGCCAAGGTTGCCGTACCTGGGGTGCAGACGGAGGGTGAGTGGGTGAGGGGGGGGAAGAGGGCGGGAGTGGGGAGGGAGGGAGGTATGGTATGGTATGGCATGGCTGCTACGGGGTTGGAAAGAGAGTGCAGTGGCTTAGGACACTGCGCACCTCACTGCTTTTCCCCTCAATTGATTTTTTCTCGCGCATTTTGCAGACGAATATAACTGGATGCGTTACGAAATTGCAACCTGAAAACTGTACTGTGGCTACGTAGGAGTTTCCAACTCTGCATGTCTACACGTCCTCTAAAATCGCTCCTCCTTCTCCTCCCCCTGCGCCTCGGGGATACGGGATTGGGACTCCGTTGCTTCACTTCTCATTCACTTCCCCCCCCCCCCCTACCTCCCCCCCCCCAGGTCCCTCCGCGCTCCCCGAGGTGTACTCCCGCTACCTCGGACTGCTGGGCACTTCCTCGCACCTGCTACCCGCCCTGGCAGATGCCGTACCCGCAATCGGAACCTACTACTTCACAATGTCGTACGTACGGAAGGTGGACGAGCTCCTGAAGAAGCAGCCGCTGGCGTTGTACCGCCTCGCTCCGGCGGAGAAGGTACCGCCAGTGACCCGTGGGTCGGCAGCGGTGCCGGCGGCTGCGGCTGCAAAGGCGGGTACGGCAGGAGCGGCGGCGGCGGCGGCGACGACGGCGGGGGCGGCTGGATACCGGTTGGAACGTCGGTTGTCGGACTTTGCATCGCCTGTGGTAAGTGCGGTATACGTCTTTTAAATCCGGTTGCCGTACAAAAAGGGGACCGGGTGCCACTTGTAAAAGAGGCTGGGCGCTTTGCTTGAAGCAGCCTTGAGAGGGACCTAACATGGTAGGCCTGCCCCGCGTCACGGCGCGCCAGCTGAACGCCTTTTTCCCTCATTCCAAACTGTCCCCTCTCTCCCCAACTCATCCAACCGTCCCCCTCCCCTCCCTCCCCTCCCTCCCCTCCCTCCCCTCCCTCCCCTCCCTCCCCTCCCTCCCCTCCCTCCCCTCCCTCCCCTCCCTCCCCTCCCTCCCCTCCCTCCCCTCCCTCCCCTCCCTCCCCTCCCTCCCCTCCCTCCCCTCCCTCCCCTCCCTCCCCTCCCTCCCCTCCCTCCCCTCCCTCCCCTCCCTCCCCTCCCTCCCCTCCCTCCCCTCCCTCCCCTCCCTCCCCTCCCTCCCCTCCCTCCCCTCCCTCCCCTCCCTCCCCTCCCTCCCCTCCCTCCCCTCCCTCCCCTCCCTCCCCTCCCTCCCCTCCCTCCCCTCCCTCCCCTCCCTCCCCTCCCTCCCCTCCCTCCCCTCCCTCCCCTCCCTCCCCTCCCTCCCCTCCCTCCCCTCCCTCCCCTCCCTCCCCTCCCTCCCCTCCCTCCCCTCCCTCCCCTCCCTCCCCTCCCTCCCCTCCCTCCCCTCCCTCCCTCCCTCCCTCCCCTCCCTCCCCTCCCTCCCCTCCCTCCCCTCCCTCCCTCCCTCCCTCCCCTCCCTCCCCTCCCTCCCCTCCCTCCCCTCCCTCCCCTCCCTCCCCTCCCTCCCCTCCCTCCCCTCCCTCCCCTCCCTCCCCTCCCTCCCCTCCCTCCCCTCCCTCCCCTCCCTCCCCTCCCTCCCCTCCCTCCCCTCCCTCCCCTCCCTCCCCTCCCTCCCCTCCCTCCCCTCCCTCCCCTCCCTCCCCTCCCTCCCCTCCCTCCCCTCCCTCCCCTCCCTCCCCTCCCTCCCCTCCCTCCCCTCCCTCCCTCCTCCCTCCCTTTTTCCAGATGCGCGCCTACCTGGGTTGCGAGGTGCGGCTCGCGCTGGCTGCGGTGGACGTTGGCTCCGAGTTCAGCCCGGTGTGGGGCGCGGCGCCCTTCTACCGCACCGCCTCGCCGCAGGCAGCCGTGGATGCACTGCTGCTGCAGCACACGCGGTGAGGCGGGGGAGGGGAGGAAAATAAGGGAAACTCACGCACTGGATGACGAGGCGGAGGGCGGCGCCGGGCATTGGGGGGAAGTGGAAGGAGGGATTTCCGCTTAATTTGACTCTGCTTACCAGTGCGAGCCAGTCCGCTGCTACTGCTGCAGTGCACGCTCACCGTTACCTTGCTTCCCGTGTTCTGCTCGTTCCTGGGCCTTGTAGGCCTGCTTTGCCACACCTCTTCCTTTGTTCGTGCCATGTGCTCATGTCCCAATCTTGCCCCTTCCCCCCCCTCCTCCCATCCACCTACCCCCCCGCGCCCTCAGTTGGGTTGAGGAGAACGGCGGCGCGGTGGGTGATGAGGACGGGGTGGTGGAGGTGGGGCCGCTGGTGTCGTACGGTGGAGAGGGCCTGGCGCCCATCGTGGAGGGCAAGACGTACGACGAGGCGTACGTGCTGGAGCTGCAGGTGGGGGGCGGGGGGGATCGTGTGTGTTTTGTGTGGTTGGTCGGGGTGAAAGGATGTGGGAAGAGGAGGTTTGGGGAGGATACGTGTCGTGGGGTGTGCGGTTGTTAAAAGCAATTACGGTGCGTGTATCAAGTCAACGGCGGGGCATGTGTGTACGGGGGGGGGGGTATCGCACGAGCTATATGAGTAGGAGTCGGGGTGCACGTGCTGGTGCCTACTGCCAGCATTCCTAGCCCAAGCCACCCGTCAAATAGAACCATGAAGGCATACGGCTCCCGACCCATGGGTCACCCACTCACTCAATCCTCCCCTTCTCCTCCCCCTCTCCCTCCCTGACTCCCCCAGGGTTTCTCCGCCCAGTCCTCGGGCACCTCCTCCAACCTGGGCCTGTGGGCGCTGCCCGCAGTGGCGCTGTCGGCGGGGGTGACAGCGCTGCGGCTGCTGGGGGGTGCGGCGGGGGCAGCGGGCAGGAAGTGAGCAGCAGCAGGGCAGGGAGGAGGGGGGTTGGGGTGGGGTAGTAGCAGCAGGGCAGAGCAGGGAGGATGGGAGGAAGGCTTGATGGGAGAGCAGGGAGGACGACGGCGGGAGCAGGCAGCAGCAGCTGCAGCAACACAGACAGGATGCGGTGACACGTTAGGCCCCGTTGGGTTGGGCGTTGAGAGGCGGCTGGGTTGGGGGTGACTGGGCTGGGAGGAAAACGAAGTGGGCTGTTGGCTGGTTGGCGGCGGCGGCGGCAGTAGGGAAGGTGAAGTGGGCGTGTGATGGGGAGGAGGGGGCAGACGGCAGCTGGGAATGGCTGCAGGAGAAACGTGTGAAAGATTGTATATGCCTTCTTCCGCGGCCGACAGATTTTGGTTCAGATACCGTAGTAGTAAGGGCCTGAAAGGATACGGGCTGCCAAGGATTGGGAGCTGGTGCGAGCAGTTGGCTGGGGGCGAAGGGGCCGTAGGGATGTAGGATTGTGGGGGGGATGTGGGGTTGTGGAAGGGAGTGGTGCGGAGTTCTTTCATGCTTGTTAAACGGCATTCTCCTCCAAGTGAGGAGGTTCCTGCTCGGCCATACCAACGGCTGGCGAGGTGCTGTTGAGATGGGATCATACGGTGCTGATGTCAGGATGTTCCAAAGGCAGGACAAGCTCATCGTTGACTCGGAACACGAGAACCTAGAGATTACAGTATGGAGCAAGTGAAAAGGCGCACATAGGAGGTACATGCACAGCCCTGTACGCAAGGTTCAGGGACACAGATGATACATACGGCCCCCCTGCCGGTGCGTGTCTTCAGCCGAGTTCGTTGGGAGCCTATAATGAGTCATGTCGACTACAAAATGCGTGGCTACCTGGTATCGAGACTCGGCGCCAGTCACTAGGTCCAGCGTGCCTACTCGTATCCTACAACTACCGTACTTTTGAGTGCAGCGCGGCATCACAACACGGCACTGGAACACAACACGGGGAAATGACACGGAAACACGGGGCGGGAAAACAGGGCTGAAACACGTCTAGACGACGTCTGCGTCATTGCGCCGCCTGCCTGTACGGCACTTTCGGGCAGCTGCGGAACACCCCGCCATGCAGCTCGGGGTTATAACATGGTTCCCGGGGTCAGCGCTGGATGAGCTTTCTGCAGCGAAGGATGCAGCCGCTCGCTGGAGGAGGCAAAGCGGCTACGGGAACAATGTCGTCAATGAAGTGTCATGAGGGCATTAAAATTGTAATGACCACAAGCTAACTATCCTGAGTCCTGCACATCAGCTCCTGTGTGTCAGCCCTCCACCGCTCCCTTGAAGGGCAGGAGTTACAGTGGAGCAGGCCTCTTAACGTCTTAAGACACTGCAAACAGCAAGCTTCACCGAGGAAACAATGAAAACAAGGTAATGAGCAATTACCAGCCATGAAAGAGTGTTTTCTGAGCCCAAAACAGGCAAAAATGCACCAGCCGAGAATCGAACTCGGGTCTGGTCCGTGGCAAGGACCTATGCTACCACTATACCACTGGTGCAACACGCCCAATGTGGGGCTCGAACCCACGACCACAAGGTTAAGAGCCTTGCGCTCTACCGACTGAGCTAACCGGGCTTGATGACCAAACACAAATCCAAAGCTTCTTAAGCGCCAGAGCCTTGCCGTACAAAGTACGTAACACAAAAACTGGTCAGAGAGAAGGCCATCTCCTGTACCGCACCCGCACCCAGGCCCTTCAGACGCACCACGGCACGAAAACCGAGCCGGCTGAAGGCGGTCCCCGACCCTTCTGGCATACGGCGGCACTGCTCCGACAGCAGAGCAACCTACATTGGAGGGGGTATGGAAAGGAAAGTCAAGCGGCAGAGCTGGAATGCGGTCAAGGACTGCGGAATGAAATCGCCACCACCTGCCTAGGGGTGCCTACGCAGCCTACCCACCTGCCTTGCAGTAGCAGGTGTTCGCCAGCAGCGATTATGGCGCCGTGTAGGCCACACCGGTACCGAAGTTAGATTGTCATGGGAATAGGACGACACAGTGTTATGGGTTAGACTTCCGGAACTGAAAGATGGGCAGGTTATAAGTGGTTGCTTGCGGGATCGTCGCAATGTATGCCCCCAACGTATGCGTATGTCTCCATCACCCTTATTATTATAATATACGGGCTGTAATAGCATCAGTTCAGGCAAGACAAATCCCCTGACAAAGAAGGCGGTAAAGCCACGAGCTAGCTCAAAGGGCACTTGAGCTATGCGGATATACTGCACTATTACTACATAAGACCAGTTCTACCACATTCAGGTTGCTAGGGCTTAATCCGACGTGGGAAAAGGCAAGAGGCGAAAGCCTGTACTGCAAATAAACCCTAGTTCAGTAATACAGCCTAACTGCACCTAACTTGTTTATTCGTTACTGGAGGGGCAGGAAAGGGTTGCCCTTACCTTTAAAGGAGAAAAGCCGGGATACCCAAGGTCCATGCCGCTCTCCGCTAGCTCCGTCACGCCACACGGCTACGCCCACAGTTTGGCTTCATTTCTCTGAGACTGCGAAGTGCCCAACCATGTAGGAACTATGACAACTCCAGAAACTAATCCCGGAAACGTTACCCTTGTGCCCAGACTCCAGGCTGTGGGCAATTGACTAGGTCGCTCTTGCAGCTGTTCACGACGACCAAACGTCTCAAGCATTATTATGTTCAATCGCATTACGTCTACTCTTCGCTCATCCACTCCTTGGCATGTTGGCAAGGTTGCAGTCCACGTTTAGGTCTCGGAGCGAAGTTGGAAAGCCGTGTAGGCTGCAATGGCGTTCAATAGAGGGAAGCTTAGAGTGGCAGCTCGTAGCTATGTTTTTCGAGGGCTCCAGAGGTGCTGCACGGATGATGCGTGTTGCGTGACGTCACGAGCGCCACGACCTCTCGTACGATACATGAGCATCAAAACAACACTTAGGTCACTTACCCTCTGTTGCCGTCGTCGACTGCAATCGTCGTTAGGTTGCACTTTAGACCAACGCCGGTATGAGGCGCACAGCACGAGTGATGCGGGAATAAGGCACCTTCCATGGGGCGCATGACCCATGTTGCGTTGTTGCCATAACTCTGAGAGCCCCGACGAAACCTGCTAATGCAACCTACTGCTACATGTCACAAAGGTGAAGACACCCGTGTGGTACAACGTGTCATTGGAAGAGTATCGTTTGTGTGGTGATTGTCCGCGCGGTGAGACAGCACGGGTAGTAAGACCGCACAGCGGAGCGTTGGGTCACCGCGGTGTGTTGGGGCATCATGGGGTATATCACAGGCTTGGGGTAGTTCACGGTTTAGCACAACGGTTACCATACGTTACCATACGTCCAGGGAAACATGATGACGTCTTACCCCTTCATCCCACCACCGCAGCACCGCACCAACTGATGTTGAATGAATGACCGTTACAATGCCAGGGTTGATGTTGCCTGTGCGTGTTGCCTTGCATGCCAGGGTGCTGCGAAACATGGTAAACAGCGGGAGTGGGAGTGGGGGCTTCTGGCTGGGTGGCTTGCGGGTACCTGAGCGGAGCATGACAGCGCTTGTTGGCATACAACAAGCGAAGGGGGTTAGGGCGTGGGTTTAAACACCCCCATTCCTTGCGCGCGTACACATGACGACAAGAGCAAGTGGGCAGCGGCATACTGCGTGTCCCCGCCCCGGTCGGGGATGTTAAGGCCAGACTGCATGTCAGGCGAGGTGAGGCAGGGGTGACAAGGAGCGATGGGTGGCGTGGGCTTTATGGTAGGGTGATTGCGATGGGCTATGTGGGCTTGTCACATGATAGCAGGATTCTGCAACAGAGCGGCGGCAAACACCACTTGTGTTCGCCGTGATTCATTCCAAGGTGGAAAAGCATGGCAGGCCTAATGCATGTTGCTTTGAGGGCGACCTTTGGGCTCTAGCAGTCTGGAGCGTCAACCCTGCGTCAACATCCAATTATCGTGGGGGGAGTAAGAGCGTTAAGTTTGCTTGCATGTCTCATGGAGGGATGTCGTCCGGCCATGGCTACGGGGGTAGATAATGAACGGCGCTATCCTTCTGGCCATCTTGAGGGGATGGATGCTTGAAGGGATGGATGTTTGCCGCAGTGCTGGACCACCGCCCACTTGTCATACAAACCCAATGCCCTTCACAGTGCATGCCTATCGGCGTTTTGACAACTGGATGCGCACGCTGGGGCTGATTGTGGGTAAACACGTTCCTTAGTCGCAAACCCAACCACCACGAATACCGAAAGGTGAATTAACATTCGATTGCAACAAATTATCACCCCCAAATTTTTATAGATATTATTCCCGAACGGTTGAGGTGCAAACAAGGGGTTTCGCGGTGCTTATAAGCATGACCTGGCGGCGTCTCGTACGAAGTAAGAGATGGACCACCATTGCAAGCCCGAGAGCCAGTTTCGGCGAACATATAGGTTAGATAACAACTAATTGGAATTGCTCTGTTGCGTCAACAGGGCAGTATAGCCACAATGTCCACAAAGTGAGGATTTCTCGCGTGTTGAAGTCTTGCACAATGCTGGCTCGTGTCGAAAGATTTTGATCTCACCCAGTTGCAATTCTTACAGATCTAGAGAACCGCTGGAGGATGATGGCGTTATAGAGGATAATTCCGAGGTGCATCAGCCGCAATTGCGCTGCACTAACGGATCGTTATCGAATTTGCGCAATCCCATGACACTAATACAATACATAGTTGTTGATGGTGCCAGCTGCTCAAAATGACTTCACGACACGCAGGAATTTGAGGACGAGGAGGTTGACGAGGGCGAGTATGACGAGGAAGATGAGGGCGAGCAGGACGAGGAGGAAGAGCAGGGTGCGTTTGTCAAATCATGCGGCATATAGCTGAGTAAACGCTGCGCCAGGCGCTTGCTGCTTGCACCCGACATGACACCTTGCGTCTGCTTACCAAGTCGCACACAACTGAATTACTTTCTCGTAATGCCTTTAACGATATACATCCATCGCAATGACCTGCAGCTTCGACCAGCGCGCAAAGGCCAGCCCCAGCCATGGCTGCTCCATCTGCACCAAAGGCCATGCCTTCCCTTCCCGAGCGCCCCAAGGGCGGCCTGCCCGCGCTGCCTCCCCGAGCTAAGCCCAGCACCCCGGCTGCAGCCGCCGCCCCAGCAGCCCCTGCCGCCCCCCAGCCGCAGCCGCAGCCCCCAGCTGCCACGCCCGCAGCCGCAGGCGCCATGCCCAAACTCCCCCCACGGCCCGGCATGGGGGCTGGCCCCTCGGGACTAGGCGGCGCTGGACTGCTGCCCCCCAAGCCCGCAGCAGCAGCACCCCCAGCAGCAGCAGCTGCTGCGCCCAAGCCCGCTGCTGCCGCGCCGCCCGCACCACCGCCCTCGGTGACCGCAGCGGCGGCAGCACCACCGCCGGCGCCCCAGGCCCCGGCACCTGCAGCCTCCGTGCCCGCTGGTTTGGGTCTTGGTCTTCGTGGCGGACTGGGAGGGGCCGCAAAGCCCACTCTGCCGCCTCGGCCTGCTGCTGCTGCTGCTGCAGCTGGGGGCTCGGGAGCCTCCGCTGCTGCCCCAGCTGCTGCCGCCACACGTCCCGCCGCAACAGCCCCCGCCCCGACTCCTGCTGCTGCCCCTGCGGCTGCCGCAGCCCCTGTTGCTGCCCCTGCCCCTGCCCCTGCCAGCAAGGCCCCAGCTGCTGCTCCGGCCGCTGCTGCTGCTGCGGCTCCAGGCGCACGGCCGGGCGGCTTGGCTGGTGGCTTGCCTCCCCGACCTGCGGGTGGGTGGTGGGTGGGTGGGTTGGACAAGTGGTTGGTGGTGGGGACGCCGCGTTGTAGGCTGGGGGATGGGGGATGTTGGAGGGATGTAGGCGGCGTGTGGGTGGGAGGCAGGGGGTGGGAGGCAGGGGGTGGGAGGCAGGGGTTGGGAGCTACGGCACTTGGTGTGGGGGATGCGGGTGACGGCACCCCCGGCACGAGCCTGGGACGGACCCTCACTCAGGACTGGGCTGGGCTGGGGTACGAGGGTGGGAGGGGCGTCTCGTCATTCCGCTGCGGGGGGCGGGTCGTGGGCCTTCCTATGGGCGAGGGAGGAAAGGGTGGCGGCAGAGAGACGGCGAGAGAAAGCGGCACATTGCTTTTGAAGGAGGAATGTACTGAAGGAGGAATAGTGACGGGCATGGTGTGGGAGCGGCTGTGGTGGGGCGGCAGCGTTGGGGTTTGAGGCGGTGTGAATTTGCAGCGGGCCACTTATTCCTATTCTTGTTCTGGTTGAGCTCCTGGGTGCCCCCTGAACAAGCACTCCGGGCTTGAGACGAGTGGCTCGGGGGGGGGGTCCATGTCTCGTGGGTTTGCAGCTCTGCATGCAGCTGCGGGCTAGCTGGGGTCCTCGGGTGCGGTGCTGTTGTTGTGCAGAGGGCGGTTCGAGTTGGGGACACGGCGTGGGCGCCCTGGGCGCATGAGGGGGGGGGGCTGGACCGCGGGCAGGACTAGCGGGAGAGGGAGAGGGAGTGGGAAGTAAGCGCCCTAGATAACACTTGCCTTGCGCCAAGCACACCACGTTTGCAACCACACGCATTCAATCCCTTCCGCCCCCTTTCCCCCAACCGCACCCCACCACGCCCCACCCTTCAGGTCTGGGCCCCGCTGCCCCCGCTCCTCCAGCCCCCATCCCGGCAGCGGCTGCAAGGCCCACACCGGCTGCCGTACAGCCCCCCGCCCCTGCCGCCGCCGTACAACCTGTTGTCGTACAGGCTCCCCCTCCCGCTGCGGTCAATGAGGTGGTTGACCCGACTGAGGAGCGCCGGGTTCAAAAGGTGCAGCGTACGGCACACGAGATCCGCGTACGGCTGATCCGGGCTGCGGCTCGGTTGGGCCTTACGGCGCGGTCGGATCAGGTTGCCCAGTTCCTGCAGGTGCGAGGGATGCATGGATCGTTAGTAGGGGTGATGATGATGATGACGATGATGACGATGATGATGATGATGAGATCCATGCCAGATCCATAGTCAATCCACCGAGAAGGAAAACTCGATCTCAGCCAGTCCCAGCCCAGAGACGAGGGGGGTTTATAAGCGATGTAGTGGGGCGAGGATGCTGACAACGAGGAGTGCTTACGTCGCGGGATGGGATACCCCTGAACACACACAGCTATGACTAACACACCCCGGGCGCCCCCTCCCCCAGGCCATCGAGCGCTCCGAGCGCATGCTGGGCGCGCAGCACTACAAGGGCAGTCGGCGGGTGGATCTGATTGCGGCGGCGGAGCGGGACGCGCGGGCGGCGGATGCGCGGGAGGCGCCGGGGGGCGCCATTGGGGGGCTGCGGGTGAAGATCATGGTGGTCGGCATGACGGGTGAGGGGGGGGGAGGGAGGTGAGGGGGGAGGAGGGAGGTGAGGGGGGGGGAGGGAAAAATGAATGAAAATATAAGCAGCGAAGTCCCAAGGAAGGGAGGGGAGTACAGAGGAAGACCCTGGGAGTGACCCAGTGTGACCTATTGTGAAGGAGGGGGAGGGGGGCATGAGTGGTAACTGAGGATGACGTCGCCCCTCCCCTCCCCCCTCCCACCCCCCAGGCACCGGCAAGTCCGAGCTCATCAACAGCCTGCTGGACCGCCCCTCCGCCGCCCGCACCAACCCCTTCCGCGAGGCCACCCGCCGCGTGCGGGTGCACCGGGGCACGCACAACGGCATCCCGCTCACCCTCATTGACACGCCCGGGCTGCATGCGGCGGCATCGCGTACGGCGGACAACAAGGCGCTGCTGCGGGGCATTCGGGCGGCGTATAAGTGGCACAAACCCGACTATGTGTTTTACGTGGACCGGTGAGGGGGGAGGGGGGAGGGGGGGGAAGGCGGGAGAGGGAGGGAGGTAAGGGACTAGGGCAGGCAGTGGCGAGGCCGATTGAAAGAGCCGGCAGTTGGGCTCTTACCTGGGTTCACACCGGGTTGGTGACGACGATGCCTTGGGGGCCGCCCTGCCCTGCTCACCTCCTGTTGAGCCTTATCACCCCTCCCTTAACTCCCCTATTAACCCCAACCCCCTCTCCTCCCCCTCCTCCCATATGGATTTGAAAACTCCGTTGTTTCACTTTTCAATTGTTTTACCGTCCTCCTCCCCCTCCCCCTCCACCCCACCCCTCGCAGCCTGGACGTCACCCGCCCTGGTTTCGGGGAGCTGGGTCTGCTGGGCCTCATCACGGAGGCGCTGGGACCCGCCGTGTGGCGAAACACAATGGCCATCCTGACCCACGCGCACGCGGCTCGGGCGGCCTTTGGCGCGCAGTACGACATCAACAGCCGACAGCGGCGCAACATCCTGTCGCAGCTGCTGCGGCAGGTGCGGCAGGCTGCGTGTGTTTGTGTTTTGGTGGATGTGTGTTTTGCTTGCGTATGCGCATTTCCCCGTCCTTTACCCCTCCCTTTCCATTTCACCCCCACCTTCTCCCCCTCTCCCCAGGCTGCCGGCGACCAGCAGACGCGCAACCCCATGTTCCTCGCCGACTGCCACCCCGCCTGCCCCACCAACCCGCTGGGGCAGCCCGTCATCATGGACGGACCCACTGCGGTGCCCTGGAAGCAGCAGCTGCTGGTGCAGGTGCGGGAAGCGGCGGGGCGGGAGGGCAGGGAGTGACATATGGGTCAGCATGACCCATGGGTCGGGCTGGGTGGTGCGCAATGGGTCGGGCTGGGCGAGAAAGTGGGTGGGCAACGTGCCGCAGGGGCTGGGTGGAGAGATCTGGGATGGTGGCATGGAAAGATGTGTCCCTCCTCTTCCCCTTCCCAACTCCTCTTCCCCCCCCTCCCTCCCCCCTCCCTCCCCCAGCTGGTGGGCTACAAGTCGTACAACATGGCCACCGCCGCCTTCAAGGACCTCGCTCGGGCCAAGGCGGGCAAGGGCGGCCCGGGTGCTGGTGCTGCGGGCGCGGGTCCGGGCGGCAAGGGCGGGCAGCAGGACCTGTTCCGTCAGCTGATGCGCAGCCGCCTGCCGCCGCTGACCTTCTTCATCGAGCAGCTGACGGAGGGGGTGCTGAAGCCGGAGGTGGGGAAGGGGGTGCGGGAGGGGGGAAAACTTATATAAGAAATGCAAACAACTAGTGTCCCATATCCCGACTCATGCAGTGAGTGCAGTGAGTGGGGAGGGGGAGGGGGGGGAGGAGGGGACGGATGGGAGGGTAGGAATCTTAGATGGGGGGAGGTGGAGGGGAACGAGAGGGGGAGGGCAGAGGAGCCCTCCTTCATGCAATGCTGCAGGCCTGGCCTTGCTACGCCTCCCAACCCAGTCTGCTCAACCTCCTGCCTGCCCTGCCCCCCTGTCTCCCACCCCCCGCCCCCCCCCCTCCCGCCGCAGGGCTTGGCCACCATGGAGTCGGTTGCAGGGCTGGGAGAGGAGGTGACGGAGGACGAGGAGGCGGAGAGCTTCCACCACGCGTGAGTATAGGGGCGCGCGTGTGCGTGTGCGTGTGCGTGTGTGTATGTCGGGTTCGTTTGCGTTTGCGAGTGAAAAAGTGACAAAACCAAGTCAAAACTGCTCCAGCTGTAGTTGGAGAAAGTATAACTCCTGTGACCCTTGCTGGCGCGCTTCCCCACCTTCCTCGAGCTTCCAAGGAATCCGTTCCCCGCCACTTCCGCCGGGTTCTCCCCCACCCACTCCAGTGCTGAACCCATGATGAAGCCGCGTCATAGTTTCCTCTTTTCACACACCCCCCAATGCTGACAACCCCCCTCCCCCCCCCGCAGCTACTACTCCCACATGTACGACCTGGCGCTGTCGGGCGACCCGTGGGCCCAGCGCGAGTACGCCGCCATGCTGCGGGCGTACGATAAGTCCCGGAAGACATTCCACGAGTCGTACGAAGATGCGGATCTGGATCAGATGGTGGAGTACGGATTGGAGGTACGTACGGCATGTGTTAAAATAACTGGCCGCGAGGCGAAACGTACTGTGATGGCCGAAAGATGAAGTCCTCCCACTGAAAACGGCATGTGTGTGTGTGGGGGGGGGGGATGTGGGGAGATGGTGGGGATTTGGTGGGATGGCGCATGGGTTGAAAAGAAAACACAACGAGAACAAGGGTGCGTGCTTTCCTGTGTGCGTGTGTGCGTGCTTGTTGCAGTGTGTTGGGTCTTCTAAAAGTATATGGGGTGTATACATGCATCCCACTCAACTATGTGAACCCGCCCTTTGCGGACGCGCGGACATGGATTTCCAAAACGCTGGTGGAAACGCAAAAAGGCAAATGCACAGTGTTGCCTCCTGTGCTTTGAGCCCACCTCCCCCTCACTCCCCCCCTCACACCCCAGTCCTACGTGGTGGACCCTATCGACTTCGGCCCCACCTTCGACCCGGAGGACCTGTACAGCCACCGCCACGCGTATGCGGAGGCGGGCGACTCGGGCGTGCACGTCATCCCGTCGCAGGTGGGGGATTAGATAAACTGAGCCGCGGAAACACTGACCCTGACCGCAATGTGTGGTGTGATACCGGTAGTGGTTAACTAGATGACAAGATGATGGGGGGTGGGGTGGGGGAGGGTGGGGGGATGGGGGAAACGAAGGATATCCAACAGGGTTGCCACCGCCCAGCGGGTGGCGCTGCGACGGCTGGCGTTATGTACAACACACCTTTCCTGCTCCCCAACCACACCTCCCCTCCCTCACTCCCATGGTTGTTTCTTCTTCTCCCTCTTCTCCCTCACTTGTTCCTTCCCCGTTCCCCCAACCTCGCGGAAGAACCACCTCGCCCCCCTACGCCACGCCTCTTTAACCAGCTCCTCCTCTCCCTTCTAATGCAGAACATGTATCCCTTCCCCCCCTCCCCCCCAGTCGGGCTATGGGATTGGGACTCTAGTTGTTTGCATTTATTATATAATCCCCCCCCCTCCCCCACCCCAGGACTACTACGGCCCCGAGCACGACGACCCGCTGAACGGCATCGTGCTGCAGTACGAGGCGCAGCCCTTTGCGCGCGCCGGCTGGGGCGGTATCCCCTTCGACCTCACCCTGTGCGTGGAGAAGGACAAGACCAGCGCCTGCCTGCAGGGGGAGAGCCATGTGGCGCTGTTCCACTCGGTGCCGCCGTTCGGGCCGCGACATGTGACGCAGGTGGGGGGGTGGGGGGGCGCAGGGGGGGAGCGACATGTGACGCAGGTGGGGGAGGGAGGGGGTGGGACGGAGGTGGGGGGGAGGGGGTGGGACATGTGACGCAGTTGGGGGGGGGTAAGGAAATGAATGAACAGTGAAGCAGTTGGGGGGGGAGGTGTGTCACCCCCAGGCGATGCTTGGGGATGGGGGTGCTCTGGTGAAGGGTTATATGTTCCCGGTATAGGTTGTGAACGTGTAGGTACGGTAGCTGGAGAGGGAGCAACACTGCGGCAGCCCTACACAGCAGCGGCAATACTAACCATCCTCACCCCTGCACCAATACCTTCTCACCCCCTTCTCCCCCTCCCCCCCCTGTGTTTCCAGCTGACGGGCAGCTGGGAGATGATTCGACCCAACATCAAGGACGTCATGTACCAGCTGGAGGTGAGCAAGGGGGGGAGGGAATAGACGGGAAGTGGGAGTGACGAGCGACCCATGGGTCGATCAACTGCGCTACCTGTGGATGGGTGCAGTGGGAGTGGGAGGGCGCGGAGGGAGAGGCTTGTGTTGTGGTGACTTGAGGCTCACTGAGCTAGGCTTGAGAGCCCCTGTAACTGCCCCCCAGCACCACTACCACCCCCCTCACGTTGGCACCCTGCCGCCTTGCTTTGCCCTAGCTCGTGGTGGTTTCCTATGGTTTGAGCTGGTCTTACCCCCCCCCTTCCCGCCTCCCCAATTACCCCCTCCCCCCCGCAGGTTGACACGTTCAAGGATGGGCTGTTCGGTCGCACCGACCATGCGGGTTGTGGCCTCATGGTTGCGAGGTGGGAGGGGGAGGGAGGGGGAGGGAGGGAGGGGGAGGGAGGGGGGTCTTTCAGTGGGGTCTTTCGCGCAGGCGTGTCACACAGTGTTACCGGTTAACCTCTTCCCCCATCTAAACTTCAACCCAACCCCCTCCCTCTCACCCCTCCCACCCCCCCCCCAAAAGGCTGGGCGAGGGCGGCGACCCCCGCAAGGGCCCCATGGCGGTGGGGGTGCGGCTGCAGGACACGGTGCGGCTGGGCGCCTTCAAGGTGGAGGCGTGCGCCAGCAAGGTGGCGGTGCAGGTGGGGGAGGGTGGGAGGGGGGGGGAGGGGGTAGGGTAGGGGGAATTGGTAGGGATGGGGAGCTGGGGGGGAGGGGAGGTTTGCTGGAGAGTGAGAGGACCTTTTGCATCAATACCGTGCATCGCTCCTGCCTGCCCTTTGTCACGCCCTCGTCTAAAGCGCACTTCTCTCTCAACCCCCCTGCCCCACCCACCCACCCCCCCAGGGCCCCACGGGCGGCAAGGACGAGGGCTGGGGCGCCCGCGCATTCGTGCACTACGACTGGCTGCCGGTGAGGAAGAGGAGGGGCGGGGAGGGGTACAGAGGGGAGGAGGGGCGGGTAAAGAGGAGGGGAGGGGTTGAGAGGAGGGGGGCGGTGTTGGGAGGGGAAAGGGTTTTTCCACGGAGAACCATATTTTTACATGTGGAAGGGGAAGGACCGTGGGCTCTCCTCGTCTTTCCGCCGCTCTTCCTCATGGAGGGTCACGGCCAATAATCACTGCGGCTCAGGCACAACACCCCTCGCACCAACACCCCTTCCCTTCCCCCCCTCTCCCTCCCTCCCCCCCTTCCTTCCCCCCCTCCGCAGGGTGTTGGCATGGCGTTCGACTTCATCCAGCAGCGCACACCCGAGGAGGGCGGCAAGCGGCTGCGCGGCTACGGAGCCAACTTCACGTACGACTGGGAGATGCTGGGGGCGGCGTTCGGGGCGGAGGTGAGGGGGGGTGACGGGGTACATATTCCGGCTGGAGGGGAAGGGGAGGGAGGTGGAGGGGAGGGAAGGGGAGGGAGGTGGAGGGGAGGGAAGGGGTGGGAGGTGGAGGGGAGGGAAGGGGAGGGAGGTGGAGGGGAGGGAAGGAGGTGGGAGGAGGTGGGGCCAGAGATATACCAAAACCACAGCTTTGGGCAAAGCAATGGGGATAGAGTGAAGCAGTTTGTCACGAAACAAGAGGGCGAGGATGGGGAAGGAGGGGTGCACGCGCCTGCGCCCCAGACATGTCCCGCGCTGTGTGTTCCGTGTGTCGCGGCTGGGTGCGTGCCGGCCTGCTCACCCCCCACCAACCCCTCCCCAACCCCTCTCTTCAACTTGACGCACCACCACCTGGGGGGGGCCTTCGCACATGTCTAGCTGGCATGTGTTTCCGATTACGGTAATCACCCCCCTTACGCTCTCCCTCTCAAACCCCCCCCCCGCCTCCGCCCCCCAGGTTGACTACGTGTCCGCCTCCGACTCGCTGTTTCTGTCGGTCAACGCCTTCAGCGGCAACGACTACCGCCTGGCCTGGCTGCTGCTCATCCCGGCGGTCAACTACGCAAAGTGAGGAGGAGGGGGCGGGGGAGTAGTGGAGGAGGGGGGGGTAGCGGGAAGTGGGAAGTGGCGGGTAGCGCGAACTAGAGTAGTAGCAGGAGGGTAGGGGGAAAGCCCCTTCCGGGCAAGGGTGAGGGAGGGAGGGAGGGGCTACCTGTCACTCCCACCTCTCGCCTGACCGCTGCCCTGACGCTCATGGGTGCTGTCAGGTACCGTGTGGGGATGTGTACGGTGAGGGGTGTGTGGCCGCTGTGTATGGCGGGCTCTGTGTGAACCCACACCCACACCCGCACCTCAACCCCTCGCGCTCCCCCTCGTGTTCTCATCCTCATCCGCTGCTGCTGCTGCTGCTGTCCGCTGCTGCCCGCTCGCAGGGAGACGGTGGCTGGGTGGTGGGCCCGGCTGCGGGGGGTTGCGGGCGGGGAGGGCGAGGAGGGCGAGGGCGAGGAGGGCGGCGAGGAGGCGGAGGAGGAGGAGGGGGACGAGGAGGCGGAGATGATGATGGCAGCGGAGGCGGACATGTAGGACACCGGCGGCGCTTGCCTGGGACGGGGCGCGGAGCGGAATAAAAGGCTGTTAAGCTATGGGGTTAAGGCACGGGAGGGGAGGCACAGCTGAGAGGGAAGCTAAGGGGGGGGGGCTGTTGTAAGGGAGAGGGGGTAAGGGATCCGTAATGCTGGCTACGGGAGTAGGGCCCTTGTGGTTTCTGTGTAGTAGCGATAGGGACGAAGCGGAGACGGGTGGGTAAGAGAAGGAAAGGAGAGGAGGGGTGGGAGAGCGGGGGAGATCCCGCTGAGGAGGCTGCATGCTGTTGCCTTGTCCTTTTGGATTTCGTCTGCCTGCGCTTTGTCGTGGTGGTGGTTTGTTGCTGTATGGAAGAGGCTGAGATGCCGAACACCATGCGGACGTCCGGGGTTGTCGCGGACCGCTTTACACGGGGCTGTTGTTGGTGGACTTGTTTTGGAACAGCGGGTTGTCTAACTAGTGTGGCCGGTGTGTGTTTGGGGTTTGCGCGTGCTAGCTAGCATGTGCCTATCTGTGATCCCCTTATTACCTAGCGTGTATGAGTTAGGGTTAGTTGGGCCGTGTGTGTGGGGGGGGGGAGAAGATGGGTTTCAGGGGTTGGGTTTTGTGTAACTGTTCGAAGGTGTGGGGTCCCCGTGTGATTTGAGCAGCTTTAGGAGGTTGGTTGCTTAGCCGGCCATCTCACGAAGAGATCATTGCCGTCTTGTCCTGTTGCAAGGGCACCAGCACACGTGACGGGCATACGCGTTTTGTGTTGTGTTTAAGAAAGGTCGTGCGGCATCGCACCACCTTTGTATGCGAGGACACATGGGTCGGTGCTTTGCTTGAATCCGACCAGGTCCTGACACGTGCGCCGCTGCCGTGGGTTGCCGTACTTTGTTGGTGGTTGCGTTGACTAGGGAGGGAGCGGGAATGACTGGGGCTGTGGATGCTCAATTTTGAGACCCTGTGAGCGTTCGGGCCCGACATCCGTTTGTGCCCATTCTGGAGAAACCCGTCCACGGTCCATGTAAGCAACCCACAAGGGTTCGACGAGGAATTGCATACTGCCAGCCAGGCCGCCAGGCATCCTGGAGCGCCGCTTTAGCTTAAGTCTGCCAGCTCCGACATTGTTATTGCAACAAAGGCGTGGGCGCTGCCCTGACATAAATGGTGGGATCCTCAGGGGGGCCCTTCAGGAAAAGGCTAGGCCCCTAGTGATCTAGTAGTAACTGCTTGCAGGTGTAGATATATTAGGAGTAGCGGCGTTGCGTAGGCTAAAACGCCTGAAAGTGGAACGACACAGCTGTATACCACAGTATGAAGCCGGCAGTTAACGGGAAGGAACGGCAATGGCACGAAACGCGGCGCGTCACTTGACAAACTTCTGACAGGCAAGACCTATCTACATAGTTAGATGGTGCTTTACTATAGTTAATTTTATTAGCGTCGCCCTAGGTAGTTGCAGTAACACTTTGAAACCTTTCGACACAGTTTCGTAGGACTGTAGTGCTTCCTCTGTCTACAGTTGCACTATGGCAGCGTTTGATCTAGGCAGGCAAGCAGCGGTGCAAATAGTTAGCGACACCGGACGGCAACCGCAAAGTTTCTTTGGTCGGTTCTTACAAAGACGTCGCGACGCAGCAGCCGTGCGGGTAGAATTATTGTACTGCCTCGCGTATGGCATCTATAGGAGGCCTGGCTGAAAACCGTGGTCGCAACGGCATGCTTGCAGTCTGAGCAGGAGTACGCCAGCATCCTATCCGAATCCCTGGGCCACGACTTCAGTGACTTAGATCAACTAGAGTTTCTCCAAACGTCTGGTCGCGATAAAGATGGCCGTCCGCTTGTGGTCGTCGTGGCGCGTAATTTCCCGGCAAAGGTCCTCAATCCTGACAGGGTTTACCGGTGAGTACAGACAGGCTCCCTGGGATTTTATGCTCAAATGCGGCGAATGTGCCACTAGGATGCGGAGGAGGTTGAACTCTCACCTTTTTGCCTGGCGTTCTCCATTCCCATCCATCCATGCTCCGGACTCCGTCCTCCTGCGCCCCTTCCTCTGCCCTCTGCAGGTACCTTATCACCAGGTTAGACGCCATAGCAGATGGCCCCTACAGCGTTGTTTGGTTCCACACGTGCAGCAGCTACTGGCAGAACTGCCCCAGCCTGTCCTGGCTGTGGCGAACATACGAGAGGTGAGAGAAGGGCGGAGTGTGCGGGCGTGTGGAGAGTCATAGCTCGATAGCTCCTGGGGAAGCACCGGAGTTTGTTGACGGATTGGCGTAATTGAAACGCACGGGTGGAGGAATAGCGCAACCGCCCAAAGAGCCAAAGAGGCGGTGGCTACCTGAGTAGGCAAGAATCATAAACCCAAAGCAAGGGCACTCCATCCCTTACCCCTTCCACCCCCATTCTTTCCCGCCCCCCTCCCCCCCTTCCTCCTCCCCATGCAGGCTGCCCCCCAAGTACCGTTCCCACCTGCACCGCCTCTTCGTGGTGCACTGCGACCTGCCTCTGTGGGTGGGGCTGGCGGCGCTGGGGCCGCTGCTGTCTGAGGCCCTGTGGCGCAAGGTGGAGTGGGTGGCGCGAGTCGAGTTCCTGTGGGACCACGTGCACAAGGTGGGGGGAGGGCGGGGTTGAGGAGGCAGTAGGAGGTAAAATTGAGGAGGGGGGCGGCGAAGGAGGGAGGAGGGAGGAGGGGGTAAAAACGAGGAAACTGACGAGGCAACTGACAGAGGAGGAGGCAGGGGGGGTTTGGTGAGCAGCTGGGGGGTAGCCAGAGATTGCTGCTTTGGAAAGGGTTTTATCACCTGACGAGCGGCAGGCAGCGCTATACCTCCCCAACCTACACAGCCACACCTTCCCTCCCTCCACACCAAACCCTGTGTGACTAGACTTCCTTCCCACATCCGCGCTCCCCCTCCACCGCCTTGCTACCACCGCCACTCCGACTGCAGAAGCAGTTGGCGGTTCCGGACTTTGTTTCGGAGCACGACGCGCTGCTGGAGGAGCAGCCCCTGGCGGACTACGGGGTGGTGGCGGCACGGGAGGTGAACGCGGTACCCGGGTTGCCGGGACCCGTGTGATGGGGGCGTGCGGGAGGAGGCGGGGAAGAGGGGGTTAAGAGCGGCATGTCGAGCGTGGCGTGCTCGGGTGTATCTATATGGCATGGAGGTGCTGCAAGGGATGCGATGCCAGGGTTTGAGTGTACGGCAGCTGTGTGTGCGGTAACGGTCTCAGGAGTGCCTGGCATCGTGCTCCGAGGAAGGAGACGGGGCAGCGTGCATGGGTGCCTGAGGGTTGGGAAAGGGCAAGACACTCCGCTCAGTGGGGAGTTTTGGGTAACGTGGGCTGCGGGATAGGGAAGGTGGCAGCGGTTGGATTTGACGATTTGACGACACAGTGCATCACACCCGCTGGGCACGGCGGTAAGGAACGGTTGCGGCAGCATATGGTATCCTTGCATTGTCATGCATTGGGGCACGCAGGGATTCATGTTTCAGACCTCTGGCCTCCGGGCACCATCTTGAGCTTACCGTCCCACAGGCGGTTCCCCAAGAGTGCCCTGCTGTCCGACATGTGTCGCACTGGGGACGTGGGGAGGTGTGGGCGTTATGTGGGCGATGGCTTCAGGTTGGCCCTTTGATGACCTGGGCTTGCTTTGGGCTCTGCGCCGTACCCGTTACTTAGGCCCTGCTGTTGAGTGTTCTAGGATGGTCTAAAGCTAGCTGGGGCTACTCATATCCCGTGAAGGGTCTGTGTGTAAAGAAAACTGGCCGTGTGTGTGGGGTGATATATGTTAAGCGATATAGAGTGGTTGCCTTGCACGGGTGTCAAGAGAACAATTGCTGTTGGCGGCCGATCATCATTCGTACATGTACTTATTTAGAAGCCCCAGGAAGATAGCAAGGGTGTTGGGTGAACCTACACTGCAAGGAACGGGGAATCCCCTTCATGCGTTGCTAGGGTTGGTTGCGGTACTGAGAACTGCCTTGGGAGGTACTACACTGGCCGTAGTTGTAGCAAAGATGTGGTGTGTGCGGAGGTGGTGTATGGAGATGGTATGTGAATGGCAGATACGGTACCGGCAGTTGACGAGTACCGGGAAGAAATGAACGAGATGACGGAACACGTGATCCCCGTGAGCCCATGTCTTCTGCAGCACGTGGACTCAGTGCATGTACACATGAGGCAAGGTGACCGCTGACCCGTGGGCCACGTTGAGTTCCCGTCTCAACAGCAGCCTACCTACGCAACCAGATTGAAGCAGTATTAACTCTAGACCGACGGTACAAGGAATATCAAAGCATGGTCATCAGTTCAGGGTCAGTACGGCGGGCGTATGACGCAGTTGCATGCTCTAAATGGCTAACAGGCGCGGCCAGCGGTTGATGCAGTTAGATTTGCGTGTGAGAGCTCTCCAGCTAGCGGTGCCATCCTTGCAAGTCCTGCTGGCAGAGTCGAGGATGTTAGCCAACCTTTCCAAGGCTCCAGAGCGACAGACAACGGCAGCACCGGCCGCATCACCAGCCTGCCTGCAGCATCAACAGCCTCAACCACAACAGCAGCAGCAGCCGCAGCAGTTGGCGAAGAAGAACTATGAGGATTGCCTGACGCTCGCTCGTTCGCAGCAATATGACGAAGCCGCACAGGCGTTTGAGGACTTTTTGCAGCGGGAACCGGGGCATGATAAGGCTTGGATTAGCTACGCGCAGGTGAGGATTATGTGCTAATACTGACCTAGTTCTTTCACCTATATATGGCTAGCTACAAGGTAGATCTATGTCTCTTGCCACTACTTTGCTGAGGAATGCCGTCCACCAATGTTTAGCAACGCCGCGCGCAGATGAGCAAAAAGAGGTATATGCAGCACGGAGCTCCAAGCCTAGCGTACGAGGCTTGCGGAAGCGTGCTGGATCGCGGCTTGGCGTTGAACCCTCAAGCGGCCAAGATCTGGCAATCGCGGGGCCTTTTGGAGCTGCAGCAGGGCCACACAGGACCCGCGAAGGAGCTGTTGAAAAAGGCGGTTGCGCTGGACGCACGACTGGCGCCGGTGCTCAACTGGAAGGCTGTGAGAGAGGGAGGGGAATCGCAACCCGTGGTGTCATGTGAGGAGAAGTAGTAGGCGTTGGTTTGTGGGGGGGTGGGTGGGAAAGTTGGATTGGGTGGGACGATGGAGGGTGGGAGGTGTAAGGCAGTGTGAGCTTTGCGGGGAAAAGGACAAGTTGTCTAGGGTACCTGGCGGCAACAGCAGCGCAGGCGCCAATCCGTGTCAAAAGTGTTAACAGATTTAACTGGTTAAAGGACTATATGCGAGGCAGGCGGAGGAGTTGCAGGAGGATGAGGCGCTTGCGGACACCCATCGCCAGTGTACGGCACACGGAAGGTGCGCTTGGCATGACGTGCGTGCTAGATCGATTGTGGGTGCAACATGTCAGCGTGTCCCTTGGAGGCAGTGATTCAGCAGCTCCCCGGCTATGCATGTGGCCCGCACTGGCCGCAAAGGGTGCGGTGCACAATGGATACCCATGCCCTGTGGCCCGAGGCTTATAGCGACACATTGCGGCACAGTTGCGGCTCTAACGCTACTAACTTGAAGAGGCCGCGTGCCGACATTCTGACGGTCGCATGCGCGGCAATTGGGTCGCGGACCTTCCTCATTATCCAGCGCAATGCTTATGAAAGCCTCCTAGCGGCCGGAGGACATCACAAGGAAATACGTGCGGTTGCACCGAATTGCGCAAGTTGGCGAGATAACAGGAAAGATGTAAGATGCAGGGTAAGGACTAACAATTGCGTGTACGGCACCATGCTAACCACTTGCGTTTGAACATGAGCATTTCACACACCGCGGGGCTTTTTTCTAAATGTACCTACTTGGTTAGTGTATCAAAAGCGGCCTTCTAGGCTCATATCGTGATTACCTTTTTACAATGACAGCGGGGGAAAGGGACAAGTTGGTAGCAGGAGGCTTATCAGCTAGTGCAAATGGAGCTGCACCAGCACCGAAGGTCAATAAAGGCCGCGGCATCCTTTGCTGGGCAATTTTTGGTGAGGTCGACTCAGCTATTGATGGCCCTGACTTACCAGGAGCGGTGCCTTCACATGCAAATCTTCTTCCTGTAGGAGTGTTCCTGCTATTCTTCATTATTATGGCAGCCGTCTACACGGACCCGCAGCGTTATAAAGGTGAGGCAATCGTGTGAAGCCGGCAACCAGCGCTAATTCGCTGCGATGTTTTTACTTCCCTCTGCTACCCCTACTTTCAATTTTAGCTGCTTCGCCGGTTAGCTACCTGACCGGCGAGGATGCTACGCTGTACAAGAACCTGGGCCAGGTGTACTTTGTGCCATCGACTTCAAAAATGAACGCTATGGCAAACTTCCAGCTCGGTCTTCAGCTCTTGCACGTCTTCTGGTATGACCTCGCGCTCGTGAAGTTTCACCAGGTGAGCTCCACGGGTCGGCAGTCCTGGAACCTCCCGCCTTTTGGAACCTTGGCTCGTACCCGCGCCGATAGCGTGCATCGAAGGGGGCTACCCTGGGAGGGAAGCAAGGACCCTTGTTTTCCAACACCCTCCTGCCTTCCTTCCTTCCTCCATGCATCCAATACCCCGCATTGCATGTTGTTCGCATCCTGCAGGCTCGCGTCCAGGACCCCAAGCTGGCCATGGCCTACTGGGGCGAGGCGATGTGTCACAAGCAGCCGCTGTGGCAGTCGGAGGACGTGGCGGGGGCGCAGGCGGTGTTGGCGGCGCTCAACAAGTCGGTGGCTATCAGCAGCCTGCAACGTAAGTTGAGAGGGCGGGCGGGCAGGCGGGATGTGGGTCGGAGAGGAATGTAGCAGACGACGTACAGGCGGGCATGCTTGGTGTGGGTGTGTTCTGGTGGATGGCCGTGCTGTGTTGTTCTACAAGGCGGGCAGCATCAGCGGCTTGCGGGATCAGGGCGAGGCTGTCTTCATTTGGCTTGGAGTTGCACCTGGCACTTGGGGTTTAGGATTAGGTTTGGGGTGAAAAGGATTTGGTCTGGGGTGAAAAGGAAAGGTTTAATTGCCCTTATGCCTGACGTAAGTCGTGTGTACGAAGCTGACTTGGGTCGGTCGGGTAAGGAGGCATGCCGTCCCTTCTTCTGTGTCCCAATAGTCATCCAGATTGGGCCCACAATTCCCTAGACAGCACATATAGAACTCGGCCGACTGTGACGAACCCCGCGCATAACCGGTACCTCTCCCCTTTGTTGCCCTTCCTCTGCGCCGCCCCCCCCATTTCCCCCCTACCTGCCGCCCATGCAAGCAGCCAAGGACCAGGCCTACATCGCGGCCGCCCAGGTGCTGTTCGCGAGCAATGCCACGCAGCGGCAGCGCGAGATGGGCTACATGGAGGCCATGAAGGTTGGGAGGGGGGAGTTTGGGAAGAGGGGTTTAGGAAGAGACGAAATGAGGGTGGGAAAAAGTGAACATTGTACACCAGGTTAAAAGTACACGGTGGTTGTGCCGTACTCGTCAATGTGCCGTATGGGGCCGTCGCTGGTGATTCTTTCGTGAACATGAGGTGCTGTTTGCAGTCCGTGCATGAAGCCAGTATACGTTGGAGTGGGGTAATCAAGGAGGTTTTCGGTACAGGTTAGCACTATGCTCAACACCATGACCATATCCTCTCTACACCTGCGCCCCCACTCCACTCCTGCGCCCCCACTCCACTCCTGCGCCCCCACCCCCGCAGGAGATCCACAACGAGTACCAGGACGATGCGGACGCGTGCGCCTTCTACGCGCTCTCCATCCTGGGCTTCCTGCAAAGCACCGGGGGAGCCCTGCCGGCGGACTGGGTGAGCTGATACGTATGAGGGGGCTGTGGAAGGGGGTTGGGGAAGGCGAAGCCAGGGGGTGTGGGGCGATGGGGCTGCGGGTCTCCTTTCCAGGTGTAATGGGCTGGGGCGGACAGCGGATAGCGGGTGAGCGGACAGCTGGGAGGGGAAGGTGCTGGCCGACAGGAGTTGCTTGCGCAACCCCCACCGCGCCTCATGACCTTGCATGCCGCATGCTCCCTTGAACTGGCTGCCTGGCCTCCCTCCGGTTGCCTGGGCTGCCCCTCGCCCCTGGATTCAGTTGTCTTCTTCTTTACCCCCTTGCCCCCTTGCTGTGCTTACAACGCCCCCGGTTGTGCTGGTCAGGCTAACCAGCTGCACTACCAGGCGAGCGAGGTTCTCGGGGACTGCATGGACTATTACCCGGGGTAGGAGCGGGAGGGAGGGAGCGGGGAGAGGGAGGGGGAGGGGGAATGGGTGATGGCTCACCCCACCGGACGGGAATGCGTAGTAAGCAAGGATACGGCATTGGCAGTGATGAGGTGTGGGGTGGATGGGGCGGCAAGGGGTTCCTGGAAGATCAGCCAGTAGCACTGAGCTACAGCGCGTCGGCAGCCAGCAGCAGCGCCGACAAAAGCAGCGGCAGCAGCAGGGTGGTGGCAGTGATGGCGATGAGTAGGAGCAGCAGCAGCACAAGCAGCAGTAACATCAACACAAAGAAGCAGCGTTGTTCCTCGGAGCTGCAACAGCCATCGCCGCGGCGTCTTATGGAGTGGGGTCCAGTAAAGAGACGTCAGGATCCTGCTGGCAGACACCACCACCTCCTCGGAGGTCGCTTGCTTTTGAAGAGCAGTGCTGCCGGCAGTAGCATCGTTGGTCGTAGCAGCGGTCGCATCAGCATCAGCAGCGACGGCAGTAGCAAGTCTGTTGGCGTTCAGCAAAGGTTACGAGCAGGGTTCAGACGCGGGGTCCAGCAGGGCCACACACCTAATGATGTTGCATGTCCCCCACACTCCTTCCTCCCATGCAGCCACGCGGGGTTGCTGCACTACGCGACCCACCTGTACGACGTGAGCGACATGGAGGAGGCCAAGAACGGTGGGCGCTGGGGGCCGGGATTGGTGGCTGGGGCTTTAGACGCTGACTATTGAACTGGCACGGTTGACTTGTACACTGCTAGTGGCTCCGGCGGGCATTGGATGCAGGTTCCCTATCATGCCCCCCCCTCACCCCCTCCCTCGTCAGGTATCGCCCCCGCCCTGGCGCTGGCCAAGCTGGCCCCCGCCTCCAGTGTCGCGCAGCACATGCGCAGCCACATCTTTGCGCGCTTCGGGAACTGGAGCCAGGTGGTGGCGGGTAACCAGGTGGGGACGGGGGGGGACGGCACCCGTGTGTGCGGGTGATGCGACGGAGGAGGGTGGCAGCTGGGTTGTCCGTGGGTTGTTTCATGTCGTTCGTTTGCACTGTAGCGGGTGGTTTAGTGGTTGGGCGGGTCGGGTGCGCCATTGACACGGTCGGTCTGAGCGGACGGAGGTGGAGGAGGGAGGTCTGGAGGGAGAGGTGGAGGAACATTTCTCCACCCGCCGGGTATGCATTTTCCATCCCATTCCTCCCCCTTCCCTCCTCAACCTCCTCTCAGGACGCCGTTGCCGCATCCGACAAGTACTGCACCGCAATCGCCGCCGGCAACTCGTGTGACGCGGACAACCGCTGGCACGCGCTGGAGTGGCAGATCTACGGCCAGCTGCAGGAGTGCGCGCTGTCGGGAGCAACCGTCAGCTACAAGCGCATGCAGGTGGGGGAGGGGGTGGGATGAGGGGGGGAGGAGGGGAAATTGTGTTGGAAAGGAGGGGTTTAATGGCAAGGTTGGGTGTTAAGGAAGGGGGGCCGCTAAGGAGGGTTGCTGCCGATGAGGATACCATATGAGGGCCCTATACAGCCAAACCAATGACCCCCTTGTCTTCGTCCTTGTGTCCCTTCCTCCCCACCGGCCCCCCACCGCCTCCCCCATCTCCTTCCCCCTTGCTTCCCTCTATCCCCATTCCTTCGCCCTAACCTGTGGTGTTGGTATACCCCCCCCCTCCCCCCCTCCCCAGTCGGTGGCCGCCTCCATGAACTACAGCGGCGACTACGTGCAGTGGCTCTACCGCTCCTACGCGCACATGCAGCTCTCCTCGTTGGGGGCGGTGGGCGCCGTTCCGCTCCGCAACGCGTCCGACAACGCGACCTCCATGCTTCCCCCGCCGCTGTACGGCAGCGCGAGCGGCATCAAGGACGCAGCGGACATTTCGGTGAGGGATCGCAATGAGAAGGGGAGAGGGCGAGGGCAAGGTTGTTGGGGTTGTTGGGGTTTTTTCAACAAAAGGTTCTAAAGCAACTCTCAATTCATTTTGTAACCCCTGATTCTCCCTTTTCCCCGCAGGACCACTTCTGGCCGCCCCACGCTGAGGCTCATGCGCTGCTCGCTCGCATCCACTCGCTGGTCTGGGGGCGCACCGCGGCCCAGCAGCAGGCGGCGGCTGCCACCGTGGATGCGGCGGCGAAGCGGCTGGACGCCATTGTGGCGCTGCAGACCAACGCCTCCGCACAGCTGAACGCCGAGATGACGGCACTGCTGACCACGGTTCAGCTGCAGGTGTGTGTGGGCTAGGGGGCGGTGGGCTAGGGGGGGGGGGTTGCCGTTGTTACTCGGGTTGTTCTGTTTCGCGGGGCTCTATGACTGCGATGGCGGTGCCGGCAGCTCGCGCGGTAGAGGTGTAGTGGCTGCCACTACCGTAATGGGTCGAACACAACCCTGAGTGCATTCAGGGCTGTAGGGGCAGGCTGTGTTACAATCGTGTCCAGCCCGGTAGTGCCAGCCACTGCCCCTCATCGCAGCCCTAGATCCCCGCACCTCCATTCCCCGCGCTCCTGCCGCCCGACATGCCGTTGCTGTCTCCGCAGCCGCCCAGCCCCCCGCACCGCCATCCCTCACGCCCCTACCGCCTGGCGCGCCGCCGCCGGTGTAACAGCCACCCAGCCCCACACCGCACTTGCCTGCACCCTTACCCAGTGGAACCCTGATGCCTGCTTGGTTGTATGCTAGTGTATGCAACGAAGGTGTAGGTAGAGCCATCTTGGCGGCTGGTTCCCCAATCAATCCCTACACTCGCTGCCCCCTCCACTCCCTCCCTCCCTCCCGCCCCTCACCCCCTCCAGGCCACCGCGCTGGTCTCCGCCGCCGCCTGCGCCGCCAACCTCACGTCCCGCTGCACCGCCTGGCAGCCCCTCATGGAGCAGGCCATGGGGCTGTACAACAACTTCTCAGGTGGGTGGTTGAGCAGTTGGGCGGTTGCGGCGCCGTTGGCAAGGGAAGTGCTGCATGCGGCGTGTCGTGAACCCAGCCAAGAAAGTTGGAAGGTTCTGGCATGCACAGAACCCTTCTTGGTGTTTCGGTGCCGGTCTACCACCACCCCACAACTCTACGGCGGTGACGCGGAGGAATGCACCCCTAATGTGTCGTACTATCGTGCGCACGGTCCGTACCGCAACCCCCTTCCTCACCCCTGCATGCAGGCTCCTCCACGCTTCCCTCCCTCAAGATCGCCCCCACTCCCGAGTTCTACGCCAACCTGCTGCTCCTCACCGGCGGCAACGCCACCCAGGCGCTGCAGCTGTATGACATCTGCCTGGGCCAGATGCCCGGCCGCATGACTTGCATGCTGGGTCGCGCGCGCGCCGCTCGGGCGCTAGGCAACACAAGTGCCACGCGCTTCTTCTATGAGCTCGTGGTGTCGCAGTGCGGGTCTGCAGGGGACGCCCGCTTCCCGGCGCTGGTAGAGGCGAAGCAGGCGCTTGCGGCCTCGCCGCCGCCCCCGGCCAAGAAGGGCTTGCTGCGGCGGCGCGCGCAGGTATAAAAGAGGAGTATAGCTGCGGCTGTATGTAGATATCGGCTAACTGGCAGGGACTGTGCTAGTGATGGTGATGCTGATGCTGGGTTTTCAAATATGGGTAGGTACAGCTGATGCTCGTTGCGGACTAGGGTATACGCACGTACAAGGGTATATGAGTGCGGGCAGTTGCTGCGCGCGGCTAGGGTGAGTGGCAAGACGGAATGAGGTTCCTTTTGCCGGTTGTTGACGGTTGGGGCCGTCACTAGGGTACGGGGTGGAGAAGAGGAGGTCAGGAGACTGCGGTGCTTATGAACTGGCAAACTCTATTACGCTGCCTTTTAGGGAGTTAACGCAGACACGTGTAGGGCGAACGAGATTTTGCGTGACCTTATGTCTGAAGGGCTAGCGTCGGTCGTATGCCTTCGCGGTGGTGTGACAGGGTCTTCATCTAAAGTGGCTGCTGGGTAATCCTGTTTTGTTTGGTCCACTGACCTATATGTACTGAGGGAGTATGGGGCGTCATTCTACAATATCCGTATATGTGGGACCCTCGACGAACGAGACCGACCTTTTGTGTTGCCAATTCGGTGTGGCTTCTTACCGCTTTCGTAACCCTAGCTGCCCAGCGTGCACGATACGCGGGCGTATGAGGAGGGATTTGGGTGCAGACGTGCGGACCGAGCGATTCCTGCTAGCCGTGGTAACGAATGCTTACATAGTGTGTACGTCTATCTATCAACACAAACCCTTGCGCCTGTAAATAACAGGTTGTGTGGCTTGTCACAGTCAGTGGACCCGCTATCCGTTTTCTTGGCTGTAGACTAGTAACATAGAAGGGCGACCCGCCAGGCTATTTGCACCAACTGGCCTCGAATTGGAAAGCCCATTACAGCTTGAACCATATTAGCCTTAGCCACTAGCGCGCCCGGTATCTTATGCGCCCCTGTTGTCATGATAAAATGGAGCACACTCAGTGCATGGCGTACCACTACCTGCCTTTCTAGAATCACAGCACCTGCCTGCTCTTACCTACCACTAGTCCTGCGCGGCACAAGCCTCGTCCCATCCTAGCCTGTCCTGCTTCCCTGGTTAGCCTTCCTTAGCTAAACAGCACTTCACGCCACCTTGATACAAGCCGCTTGCACCCTGCCACCCGGCACCATGGGTACGTAACTCCCTAGACACCGCCTAAACGGGGTCCGCCCGTACGAAATAAGCGATTAAATGCTACACCCCTTGTGCGCTCTAGTACACATCTGGATGCACACAGCCACTAATCTTCTACTTCTGCTGCCACACACGCTGCATAGCTCTTGCCTAGGCTTTCAGATTCTATGGCCCTCCACCACAAATGAGCCCCATCCTAGCCCGTACGCTACCACCTGCCTACACGATACCACAGCCTAAGATCAGTGTCATCCACACCCTTATAAACTGACCCCAGCAGCCAGTCCATGCAACCTTGTAACTAACGACCTACGCCTCCTTGCAACCGCACGCAGTGGGTAAGGCCCTAACCCAGCTGTCACCTAACAGCCTTCTAAGAAGTGCCCCTCTCCTCTCTAACAGACGCGTGCTGGTCACGCTGACAACCAGCGTGTGTTTGTCTGTCCTGCGAAGACCCCCGTGTGCCCGTGCGCGTTGCCCAAGGACATGCACGACCCAGGAACACGCAGTCGGGCCACACTACAGCGGCAAATGCCTGCGACCCATCTAGCACCGACTACCGGGATATGCAACCGTTACATGTGCATATCCCCTCCCTTAACCATTTCTTCCTCGTCGGTTTTCTATTCCAATGCTCCGCAGTTAGGTAGCTACCTGCACATATCTGGCCGACAAACGAAGAAACGCCGCACAGGAAAGCAGGCGCCTCAGGAGCGGGTTGATGGAACGGAGAGAACAGACGCGGCCTCGCTAGACCTCGAGCGCTTGTGCAACGTGTTCAGGACGGCTGCCGCTGCAGCCGCCCCAGCAGCAGCGCTGCTAACACTGCCCAGTCCCGGCGCTGCTGCCACAGTTCCAGCATGCAAGCCAACACGTTGTGAAGACATCAGCGCTGCCCCTTCACGAGGCGCCGCCCATTGCTGCTGCGGCTGCTGAGGAAAGTGCTGCTGCAGCGGCTGCTGCTGTAGGTGCTGCGGAGGCGGCGGCAGCAGCTGCTGCGTGAGGAGCTGAGGCGGCAGGGCGGACGGCCCGGCCGCACCGACACCGGCGCCGCCGCTGGCGTTGCGACTGCCGCTTCGTGAGCGTTTATGCCTAGAGGCAGCTGCAGCCGCGGCCGCCGCCGCTGACCCGGCGCCCCCCAACCCCGCGGCGAGCAACAGCGATTGCGCCGCTGCTAACGAAGCCGCGTCGTCATATGTTTGGTCCGCCCAACTCGCGTAAGGATCACCGCCGCTAGGCGGCGCTACGGCGTTCGCCGGCCAGTAGGCGACCGCGGAAGCTGAAGAGCCGCGACCGCCTCCGCCGACGCTGTCATGTGCAGGTCCGAGGGGGTAGCCCGCCGCTGATCCACCGCTACCGCCCTTTCCAGCGTGGCCATGTACAGGGCTAGCGCTGGAGGTTGCCGCGAGTTGGAAATGATTGCCGCCGCTGCCCACGCTGGTGCCTTGGGTGTCTACACTTGGACCGCGGGTATGGGACACCATGAGCGGGGCAGTTGCTGTGGCAGCTAGGCTGGATAGCTGCGAGCCAGATGGAGCCGAGTGCTGGTGCTGGTGCTGATGGTGCTGGTGTTGCATGGAGGTATTGTGGCTGGCGGGCGGTGGCTGCGCGGCGGTCGCGGGGGAGGTCGGGAAGGCGGAGGGAGTGGTGGTACGGGACGTGCCGCCACCCCCACCCACAGAAGCGGTGACCTGCAGTGGCGCAAGAGAAGAAGGGCGAGGGGAACTCGGACGGCGTGGCTAGGCGTAACAGATGAAGACGGTTTACGGTTTTCGTCCAGGCCATGCGTTGCAGCTGTGTGGTACCACAAATAGACGGCCAAAACTGGCGTATGTTAGAAACATTTACGTACGACACAGCAGTGAAGGGCTACTTACGTAATACTGGTCGTACAGCTCTGCCTTGTGCGCCGCCCACCACTGCTGCGCCTCCTGCTGGCTGAAGATGCGGCGACTGAAGCGCAGCTTGCACAGCTCCACTCGGCCCCCCGGCTGCTGGGGCGGCCGCAGCGTGATGTAGACGCCCTGTGGGCAGGTGCCAGGAGGTTGTAACCACTAACCAGGCGACCGGAACAACGCGAAAGGCGGTCTTTCCTATCCTAAGGAGAATGCCAAGATTGAGCCGACGAGGATGGAAGACAAACGAAACAACACAGCCAGGCAGTCCAATCGCAGCGACACTACACCGTGGTGTTGGCAACCCACCTGTGCATATTGCCTCACGACGGACTCCCCTCCCGCGGGCGGCGCTCCCGCGTGCTGTTGCCCAACCAAGCTGCTGCCACCACCACCCACTGCATGCTGCTGGGGCTGCTGGGGGTGCTGCTGGTAATGATGATTAACGTGCTGCTGCTGTTGCTGTTGCGGCTGCTGCTGAGGGTGGTGTTGCGGATACTGCTGGGGCTGTTGCATGGCTTGGACGGCCGCATTGCGACGGCTGCTGCTGTTGCGGCCCTGTGTCACTGCCGCATCCAGCGGCTCGGCCACAGCTGCGGGGTCGTCGCTGCTACACAGGGAGGAGCTGGAGGAGAAATAGTCCCTGGCGTCGACCGGGATAGCGGAGGAGCCGGGATGGACCCGTGGGTCGGACGGGTGCACCTACATGGATTGGAAGATGCGGGACACGGCCCCGGGGTAAGCAAGCGAGGGAAGAGCTTGGGCCATAGCGTTCCACCAGCTGCATGTACGAGCATGTCGCATCCTAAGAAGGCCTACAGATCCCATGGCTGTACGGCACCACCCTACCGCTCCGTACCTCATATCCGTGCGGCCCTGCTGTGCGTGCTTGCAGCTGCTGCCGCTGTGTGACGTAAGCCTGCCGCCGCACCGACCCCTGGGTCGCGAGTGACATTGCTGCCGCCACCGCCACGGGCGGAGGCGGCAAGCATGCGGCGCTGGCGTGGTCGGGATCCTCTAGCTCCGCGGCGCCCACGTCGCCCTCCGCCTCCCCATCTACCTCGTCCTCCTCCTCCTCGTCCTCCTCCTCATCCTCCGTTGCCTCCTCTTCGTCTTCATCGGCTTCCGCCAACGCCTGCAAACCCAGAAAGGGCGCAGGAACGCCGTCATCTCAGCGTCGCCCGTGTCATGCACCACATGGCAAGCATGTGGTATCGGTATGAAATCAGAGCGCGAAGCAACGTAAACATACTCTAGGAAATAGACAAACATTGCATATGCCTACAACAAATCACAATCACTGCTCTTTCTAATGAGGTGCGAGGACAGTATGCCAGCCACTGCTTACCGCTTGTGCAAGGGACAAGCCCGCGTGCGCATGCCGCAGGGACTCCAGCGCAGACGGCGCAGTGTGGTGCCCCATGGGGTTGCTCCCGTCCCGAATCAGCTGACCGCCGCCGGCACCGCCACCGCCACCACCGCCGCCCCCACTGCCACCGCTGCCGCTGGCCGCACGCGAAGACGACCCGACCTGCAGCAGCTGCTGTTGTTGCTGTACGGCAGGGGCCAAGTAGTCCTTAGCGGGCCCTATGCCGTCGCGGGTTGCGATGAGCGACATGAAGTCGACGGATGTGGAGCGACGGTGACGACCCGGCGCCGCGACCGCCGCCGCCGCACTCGGTATTGGCGGCGCCGCCGCCACTGAGGTCACGGTGCCGAGCTGTGCGGCAGGTCCGGGAACCTGTGGGAAAAGAAGAGCGGTGATACAGACAATTACAATATCAGAGGTAATGGGCCGGACGCTTTGCACAACACTCGGCATGGGAGTGTAACTGTACGTAGCAAGCAGCATCGGCAGGATAGATACTCGTGGCAAGGCTAGGAATCGGCTGGACCATGCAAACATAGTACACCCATACACGCGATCAGCACGCTGGTCCGGGGCCAACCCTCAGGAAGCCGACCCATGGCACTCACCTGGCCCCTATCGGCCGCCGCTCCGTGCACCACAGCCGAACTTACGGAGCCGCGCCCGCCCCCGCTGGGGCCCAGCGGAGGCAGCCCATGCCCCTGCGGCGACGGTGGCGGCGGCGCTGCAGGCAACGCATGCTGCTGCTGCTGTTGCTGTATGTAGGAGGCCGTCGACCCACCAGACGTGGACGTTGGAAGCGTGACGCTGGAGGTATGGTGCAGGTGCTGCATGCCCGGTGGCTGTGGCGGAAGCGGCGGCGGCGGCAATACACCGCCAACGCCGGCGTTGGGTGACATGAGGACCATCAGCCCACCGTCTGCACCCGCGACCGCGGCTCCCGCAGTTGGCGTCCCGCTGCCGGATCCCGTGAAGCCCGCCGCCGCTGCAGCGGCTGCCGCCCCGCCGGGGCCCGGATGCAGCGTGGTGTGGAGCCCCGCAGCGCCTGACGTCTGCGGTGCCGCCGAAGCCGCCGCCGCCGCCGGCGGTAGTGGCGGCGGGTATCCCAGCCCTCCAGCGGGCGCCCCGGCCGCGGCCCCCAGTCCTGCTGCCTGCGCTACCAATGCCAGGTGCTGACGCAGCGCCTCCACCTGCTGCTGCAGGTACTCGTTCTGCTGCCTCAACGCTGCGTTGGTCGCCTCGGGAGCGGCGATGGAAGGCGGCGGCGGTGGCGGCGGCGGCTGCAGAGAAATGGAGGAGGTAATGCGCGATGGCGTGAGAGGCACGCCAGCAGCGGTCGCTGGAAGGGCCGTTGTATCAATGGCAGCGATGCTGCCGGGGCGCTGGTGCAAGTGGTGGGCGTCGGCTGCCTCGCGTGCAGACCCCATGTCAATGCTGTCGTACGACGTCGTACGAGAATGACCCCGTGACCCGCGGTTCGATCCGCCGCCACCCCCACCGCGCACGCCGCCACTAGCCCTGCCGCCCATGTCATTGCTGCCTCCCCGGTGCTGCAGGGCAGGTGCGAGGCCATCAACGCCGCCAACCCCGCCGGCAGCGACGGCTGCAGCTGCCGCCGTTGCGGTGGCAGAGTTGGGTGCTGACGACTGCGGTTGCTGAGCCCAGACGGAGATGCTGATCTCTCTGGAACGTACATTATAGGCCCCGGAAGGCGGCGCGACCGCTGACATGTGAGCCTGGGAGTTACGTGCGCTCTGCAACATATCCTGCGGAGCACGCGAGAAGGACGGTCCTGCCGCAGCTGCTGCCGGTGCCGTTGCGGCTCCTGGTGCCAGCGGCTGCTGCTGTTGTTGCTGCATGTGCTCAGACGTGTACGGCATGTGCTGTAAAGGCGGCTGTGGTGGTGGTGGCGGTGGGGATGACAGGACGGGCTCGTCGGGCAGGATGTAGGGCCCTCCTGGGACACCTGCACGGGACAAACGCGAAATGATTATTCCAGACCATCTTCAAGCCGATTGTTGTACTGCTGCCGGTAGTGCATTGACATACAGCTACGACCCTGCTAACGCCGTCTATCCCTCCTGCTGGCTTCGCAAGCACACAAGACGCAACCACATGCCCCATCCAGCTCATGTGGACCCCGCACACCCACCTGGACTCGGCGTGCCCATTCCGGACGGCGACATGCCGCTGCTGCTGGCGCCAGTGTACGACGAATCCATGGTAGACACGGACGCCCGCAGCAACTCCGCATTCCCCATGCCGCCGCCGCCTCCTGCCGTACCACCACCGCCCCCGCCGCTGCGTGACAGCAGCGCCACACGCGGGTGTGCGTGCACCCCCGCCATGCCAGCCGGGGGCGGCGGTGGGGACTCCATGGCCCCCGCCCCGGCCCCTCCAGCCAGCCCCAGAAGGTGCTGTGGGTGGGGTGGTGGTGGTGCTGCTGCTGCTGCGGTGGTAGCTGCGGGGTGCGGCGGGTGCGCGGTGCTGCCCGCCACAAGGTGCGAGTGGCGGCTGAGGCGGCAGGCGGGGGAACTGGGGGACTCCTCGCTCTGTGGGGCAAGCATGGGGAAGAGGGAAGGGGGAAGGCAAGGGGAGGCGAGGGGCCAGGTCACAACAGACATGGAAGGCCCTAATCATGGCTTATGATGCCCTGTGTTGCAAAGGACAAGCAGGGGACACGCGTACGGCAACAGAGCCCCTACCTGCTCCGGAACCATGTCGAGGCTGCGTCCGCCCTGGAAGTACGAATCCGTGTCACCATCCGTCTCTGTGGCCGCCGCACTGTGACCGCCCAGCGAGTACTCCCCTGCTGCGCCACTGCCGCCAGCTGCTGCCCCCCCATGCCGCACTGCGCCACCCCCCACACCCCCGTTCATAACGACCCCACCAGCTGCGGAAGAGATGGAACCCGCACGGCCCGGATGCCCTGATGCCGGCACTGCTACCGCGCCTGCAGCAGCGCCAGACGCGGCGGCTGAAGCGGCGGCGGCGCCGGCGGCACCTCGCAGGGAGGTGGCGTTAGCATGGGGTGGAGCGAAGCGCGCCGCCTGGGGCTGCATTGCGTGGCGAGCTAGGTTGCCTTGGCTGTGGAAGTCGCCTGTCGTGCTGCCCATGTCGTACAGGGAGCTGCTGGTGGGGCTGACGGACCTGGGGAGTTGGAACGGAGGGTGCAAATGCGTCAGGGTGGGTGCAGGTTCTCCAACAGAGAGGGCCGGGAAGCTGAACGTGGGCAGCGTAACTCTACCCAGCGGGTTGTACGGGGGGTAATGGGTACGACATTAGGCAAGCTTCAGAGCAAATGCGCCCCTCAGCAGGGCCCCCGCGTGTCGTGCTCAACAGCCGCACTACCGCACCTGCTGTCCCCCTCGTCTCCCTTGGCCAGCGGCTGGCTGGAGCGGTGGCTCATGATGCTGCTGCTCACGCTGGCGGCGGGGTCCAGGACCTGGGCGGGGCGAGGAGGGGGAGGGGGAGGGTATGAGATGTGGGGAGCAAGGTTGGCAGGCGGGTCCCTAGCAAGGAGGACCCGCTGTGGGACCAGAGCTCCTGATGGCACCACCCAGCGGCGCAAGCCCACAGTGCGGGCCGCTCTCTCCCCACCCGGACACCCGACACCGGCACATTGGGTCGGACCTACTCCATGAAGGCCACCCCGGCACGACCCCCGGCCCACCTTGCCCAGATGCGCGCTCATAGATGCGGACTTGGGCAGCCCCGGGGCGGGCCCACTGGCGCCCCCGGCCTGGCCCCCCGAGTGCTGCAACCGAGTGGCACTGCGTCGCAGGTCGGAACGAGGGTGGTGGTGATGGTGGTGCGAGTGCTCTACGCGAGCAGAGGAGGACTGCGAGGGCGCCACCGGGATGGCCACCAGTCGGCTGCTCTGGTGGCGCCGCGCCGTCCCATGGGTCGTTCGGGAGCTGTCGCTGCCGGCAAGCGAGGGCTTACCCCGCGTGCCGCCCACGCTGCTGGCCACCATTTGCTGCAGGGCTGCGGCTGCTGCGGTGATGGGAAGGGAGTTCGTGAGCTGGAAGGGACTGGACATACTCAATAGGCTGCCCATGCCGCCACCGCCGCCACCGTTTCCAGCGCCGCCGTCGCGTCCCTCCCGCAGGATCATGGATGACGACCCGGCTGCCGAGTGGTACATAGCGGCGTACGACGCGGGGCGAGCGAAGCCGCCGCCGCCGCCGGCGGAGGGTGTGGCGGCGGCTGCGTTGCCGTACGGATGCGTCGGCGTGGCTGCCGACATGAGGGGTGTTTGGTGAGAGCGGCGGGTGCGGGGGTCGTGCTCCAGCACCGCCATGGTGTGGTTGCCGCCCGCGGAGACGTGGAGCACCCGCTTGCCGTCCACAGCGGTGACGATCTGGGGGGGGGGGGGGGCATGGCGGGATCCGACCGACAGAGAGGGGTGTACGGTGTATGGTCTCAAGGACTGAAAGCTGTGGCAGCATGAAGGAACGGGGATCAGTTCAGCAGAGCAGGGCTGCCGCCAGCCTCCGCATCCTGGTCTCCTCTTCCAGAGGCTTCAGCTCAATGCGTTTACCCATTGTTGTAACCATAACTGCCATCTCCTCTTCCCGCCTCCACCGTTGCCTCTTCCCTAATCCTTCCCTTGTTCAAGTCGGATCTCGGATCCTGAACTCCCAACATCCTGAGCTCCCAATGCCAACAACTCCCCATTACGCAGCCACCCTCTGCCTCCCACCCCTCACCTGCGGTAGGCTGTGGTCCACCTGTGCCACCGCCACCCGCTGTTGCAGCGAGCCCTCCCCGGAGGCGCTGCCCGAGCCGCCGTCCAGACCCAGCTGACCCTCCGCGCCGCGACCCCATGACAGCAGCCGCACGCGCCGCTGGTCCTCCGGGATCTGACCGTTCGCCTGCACGCCCGAAGTTAAAAAAAGTAGAACCGAGAAGTACAGGGCGAGCTGGGTGGGGGTTGTGGTGGGTGGGGCACTTGGGGGATGCACTCGGCGAGGAAGGAAGGCGGTCAAGGGGTACCGGAGCGAGCATGCGGCCCTACAAGCAGGAGCATGCGCCCTGGAGGAACTGCTGCCTCACCTGCACCTTGCTGGCCACCACCACCACATGGTGCATGCCGCACGCCACCTCCTCCACAAACATGCCGAACAGGTTGCCATCAACCTGGACGCAGGAAAGGTGGAGGCGGAGACGGAAGAAAAGAAGTCACAAGCAAGGTCACGAAAGCCAGGTGGCGGCAGCGTTGGGTTGCGGCGGTCCCCCACCCACAACACATTGGGTATCTCCCCCCCTTCTCCTTCTTCCTCCCCCCCTCCCAGTCCACTGCCCGCACCCTGCCTATCCACTGCACACTTGTTACACTTGCCCGCATTCATGCCCTTAACATTTACCCCTCGGTAACTATACCAACTATACCGCATTCACCAAGCCACCTGCTCTTACTCCGCCAATCTATCGATCCCTCCCACCGACTTCGCAATTCCTGTCCCGCCTTGTCGGACACGTCTGCCACTCTTCATATTGCATGCTCACCCCCGCCCCCACATTCCGCGCCGTTCGGTCCGTCGTTTCCCACTTTAGGTTTAGGTCACAGGGAGTGTGGCATTGTATTCTGCACTCCGCTACCATGAACACGATAAATGCCTGGACTGCTCCTCACCCTTCCTTTCAATATGCTCGCATGTACTATCCTCCAATTCTTCGTCGCTGGTCTTCATCCAACGCGCCGGCCTTGACCTACGTATTTCGGTCGGCGGTTACTCATCTGCTTACAGGTAAGTCAGCCGGTTCTTCGTAAATCGTTATTCTTTGTTCTTGTATGGGTTTGCATCAGTCATTGGGTTGTCGCTGTGTGAGTTGCGGGACCTACGGACCGTCGGCGCGGCGGACTCCCCTCGGTGCACTATCTCCGCTACTCGGCGTCTTCCTATCGCGAATGGCCATGGCTGCAGTAAGTCTCATCGTTACGGTAAGACCATTTGTTGTTTTGGCTTGACTAATACGGGTGGGCTGGGATGGGCCAATTAGCAACCCATGGTGGAGCCTCGTCATTCAGTTTGTCAGTGTTTCTTTATTTTTACCCTCCCAGTCCCTCCTCAGCCCTCACCCGAGTGGGCGCCAGCGCCCCCTCCCACGCGCAGCTCTTCTCGCCGCTCTTGGGCGCCCCGGTGGAGCCCATCTGGTACACCCGCCCGTCCAGCGACAGCGCGATGGTCATACTCCACCCGCACGCAACCTGCACGGGCGCAGGAAAGACAGTCGGGTCAACCAGGGTCAGCGCCAGAAAACCTCACTGTTTCCATGCCATGCGCACCCCATCAACGTAGTAGCGAAGGCTCACCAGATTTCACGCTACCCGGCACGCCGCCCATGCGAATTAAGCGCCCCCATCCCTACCCTCTCCCCCCCACCCACCTGCACCACCCCCAGCCTGTCCAGGTCCCCGCGCACGCGCGTGGGCACCAGCCGGCCCTCCTTGTCGCCGTGTCCCAGACACCCCCCGTGGTGGTCGCGCTTGGGCGGCACGTGCTCGCCGCCGCGCTTGGTCGCCACCTCCGCCGGCTCCGTCCAGGAGGAGTCGCCGCCCCAGGTGTACAGCAGCCCGCCACCTGTGTACGGCAGCAGCACCAGGGGGGGAAGTTAATTGATAAGTGCAGCAAAGGGGGGGGCCCTCGCATGTGCGTCCCCAAGAGTCACCATTTGTCAACCCAAACTACCGGTAAAAAGAAGAGGTCGCAACAAGAGAGGTTGCGCCATTTTGAGTTTCTGGGCTTTCCGAAGGCTTCCCTCGCCTGCCAGTAGAGGCAACAACTGCAGCTCCCACATGGCTCGCTGCTGGACCAGGTGAACACGCAAGCCACCCAGCCACCCAGCCCGGCTCGTCACTCCTCACCCGCCATCAGCGCCGCGACCGGCATCTCCTCCGCCGCACCGTCATGCAGCTGGTCCAGGGAGGCCACGCTGCTGCTCATCAGGTCGCTACGCACAGGGCCCAGCAGCGCCTGGCCGCCAGAGGTGTTGCCGTTGTTACCGCTGTTGCCGTTACTGCCGTTGGCCATGACGTCCGCGCCGCCGTAGCTCATGCCACCAGCGGCATTCCTAGCGGCGTTGGCCGCCGCAGCGGCATTAGCAGTCGCGATGACAGCCTGCGACAAGGCAAGGGTACAGCCGGATCGGCTTATGCTGTGTTGCTGTAACGGTCTGGGCGTTGCTGTCTCGTCAGGCCCTTGCTGGCCTTGTGCGGCATTACGGCATTCCTCTGCTCGCCTAGTCCCCACGACAGCTCCCGGGCGCCTCACTCCTCTAACTCCACAGTCGGCTTCACCCTCCAAGCCCACAACCAAGCTCACCCGCCCACCCACCCGCCCATCCAACGTAACACGCAACCCCCCCACAGACCGGTCTTTCGACGCACCTGCAGGTCGCTGCCGCTGCTGCTGACGTCACTCGCAGCCGTCAACAGGCGCACCGGGCCACCCACACTGCCGTCCTGCCCGCCGCCAGCCCCGCCCGCCGTCCCGGCCGCCGCGCTGATCCCGCCCGCCACGGTGATGCTGGAGCCGTTGCTGGGCGGCGGCATGGGGCTGCTGTTGCTCTGGGGGTGCGGCGGGTACTGGGATTGGGACGGCTGGGACCGGTGGTGCTGATGGTTGGGAGCGGCCGCCGGAGGGGCGGAGCTGGCGAAACAGTTGGGTACCGTTGAGGCCGGTGTGGGAAGGTCAGCCTGGTTGTTGGATTGCGCCCTGCGCCGGCGTGACGTGTTGTCGGTTATGGGCCTTTTAGCGTCGGATAAACACCGGTAGGTCAAACATGACATCGCGGGTGAAGTGACGAAGCCCCTGCAACCGTCAATCTCCGCTATCCTCCGGAAATTGACACAACAGGAACCATGGGTCATAATTCCTAATGAAACCCAAAGCCATCAAGCCGTAAATCAACGCAACCCGCCCACACACATGGCCTGCTCAGTGGGTGCCCTGGCCCTGTGGCCCATACACGTGCATGGCGGCGACACGTGCAAGCGAGAGGGCAACGCGTGCACAGCAACGGAGGCAGCAACAGAGGACCCGAAGCACCCCACCGTGTGATGCTGTTCCTGGGTGTCGCCACCGCCGCCGTGTGCCAGTAGCCGCAGCTGACGCACGTCACGTACATGTCCTCCAGAGCAGCAACCCTGGGCCGCGAACAAGAAACGCAAAAGCCGAAAACGGTCAGTCTCCCTACCCGTAACCTACCAGACTTCCTACAGTTAGACATTGTGGAGACCTTTAGAAATCTCATCAGAAAGCCTGTCGCAAACGGGTTGTCACCTCTGCTACGGTATGCACCCTCGTTAACGACAAACCTCAATCACAAAACCCATAGACCCGGCCCACCAGACAACAACAACAACAGCATTCCCAGCACCTGCATACCTGCGGGGTCGGTACTCGGACGCGTGTGTGCCGTGCCCCAGCCGACCGAACAGCCCGCTGCCCCAGGTGAACAGGTGGCCCCCCTCCGTGATGGCCGCGGTGTGGTAAGGGCCGCAAGACACCGCCAGGACCTGCGTGAGGGTGCGGGAGAGGGAGGTGGGCCCGGGGGCGAGCGGAAGGCGGGGATGGAAGGAGGGAAGCAGGTGGGGGAACAGGACCGATGAGTATACTTGCATGAAAGGCGCGAGCAGCTGCGGGCATGCATGGTAGGATGAACGATGGAGTGTTGATGACCACCGAATTTACTAAACACCCAAGTAAGGCCACCATGGGTGTCACTGGGTGGACCCGCACGTAGCTCCCAACAGGACACTCCACACTCGCATCCTCTAGCCCGTCCTCACCCCAACGGCCGTCCGCAAGCCCGGGAAACTCTTAACGCGCTTCTGAATCACGACCCGCTCTTCCCCCCTCCCCCCTCCCGTGACGCACACCCACCCGGACGCCCTCCCGCATGCCCGGGAAGACCACAGGAGCCGGCTCCGCCATGGGGAAGGTGTAGCCGTTGCCCAGCTGCCCCGCCGTGCCCGCCCCCCACATGAAGAGCTGCATGTCTGCGGAGATGGCGGCGGTGGCGCCCTCGCCGCAAGCCACCGCGCGCACCCCCTTGCCGCTCATGCGCGTGACCAGACGCGGACTGGCGTGGTTGGTGCACCAGCCGTGACCCAGATTGCCATCTGGAGGGGTTTGCATGGAAAGGGTTTGGGGCGGGTAGGGCACGTTGAGAAGAGGTGCGCAGGGAGCACGGACGGCTCCGATAACGTGGAGGGTAGGGCAGGAACGGCCAAGCGTGCAGCACAGGCGACGATCCGCGACAACCTGGCTTCCGCGCCCCGTATTTCCATATGCCGTATCCACATCACCTCCTTCGCCGCGGGAACACTTGCCTTCCTCAAACCCAGCCCCAGCCCCTCCCCCAACTCACTCGTGCCCACGCCCCATGTGTACAGCTCGCCCTTGCGCGTGATGAGCGCCGCATGTCGCGGCGCGCACGCCACCCGCACCACGTCCACACTGCCCGCGTTCTGCACCAGCACCGGCTTGCTGCTCTGCTGCCACTCGCGCATGGCCTCCGTGTACAGGCCCGGCTGCGGTTGGGAAATGCCAGGGGGAGGAGAGGGAGCGGCATGAAGCGAGCAAAGCAGCAGCTTGGCAGCTCGGTGCCCTGGGAGGTACTGGCAGTAGACATCCCGACTGGATCGGACACAAATGGGCAGACGTTGTCAACGCCGGTAAGAAGAGCCCTGCGTTCGCATGTTCCCGCTTCCTCTCACTCCCCCTCACCGGCGGGTTCTTGGCCGCCCACTCGTCGTCCTCGTGAGTGAGCAGGCTGCCCCACACGTACAGGTCCCCCAGCTCCCGCCGGTCCCGACGCATGGCCAGCGGGGCACCGGGCACGGGGCCGGGGCGGCTGCCCACGGAGATCGTCAGGCCGGCTGCGGAGGGCGGGAGACGGAGAGCGGGGAGAGTGAGAAAGAGAAGCCGCATGGAGAGGATACCCATATCCGCGCGCCGATACCGATACCTCATGATGTGCACATGCATAGCGGGATGACTACATTGCATGGACGGGGTGCATGCGTGCCTTGTTTGCATGAGGTATGGTAAGGAAACTGGCCATGAGGCATGTGTGCGCACTTCGGCGCTCCCTAATACGGCTGCGTTCGGGATGAGATACCCGAGCCTTTGCCAGGTTTAAGCCAACCGTGCGAGGCAACCCTCACAAGCACCAGGCGCCCGGGCGCTTCAGCAGCAGCCCAACCCAGCGTGTGACGGTGACCCTACCTGCTGCTGCTTTCATCTTGGGTGTGGGTCGCTGCACCCGGTCATCAGCCGGTGCCGCGCGAGCCGGCGGAACCTCCACGCCGGGTGGCGCGTGTGTGGGCTGCTGCGGGATTTACCAAGCGGGGAAACATATGGTGTCAATCTTAGTAGCAGCAGCAGCAGCAGCTTCAAAAGGATCACGCAGGCCGGCGAGAAGGTTGCATGAGATCCAATCGCCTTCTCATCACACCGTTCCATGTGTCCATCGCTTTCCCCGCGTGCTGGTACGGAATCTGGACCTCACATCAACCAGCGCCTTCCCAGTACCCTCCACGACACTCCTTGCTTCAGCCACTTCTCACTCCCAGCCTCCGCATGCTACGAAGCCACCTGTTTCTGCCCTCATCCTCCCCCCGTCAGCCCTCAACCCGTCAGCCCTCACCCGCGCCGGTGCGGAGTTCTGGCTGCCCACGGGTACGGGCACGATGGAGCTGCTGTACGGCTGCGCGCCCGGCAGCTGCGTGGGCGTGGGCGCGGACCAGGTGTGCGGCGGGTAGTAGCGGATGATCTGCACGCCCCAGTACCACATCTCGAACTCGTTCACCGTGTTGCAGATCACGTCCAACGTCAGCTCCCGCCCCTTGCTGTGAGGAAGGGATGGGGCCATGCATGCGGTGGGGTGGGGCAGAAGGCGAGTAGCGAATGGGAGCTGACAGGGGAGACAGGATACATCAGATTACTACAGCATCGCATGAAGGGGCATCAGAACACCCCCGGTAAGTGTGGTCGTGTGGCCTGATGTGGATTGAAGGTTTCATCCCGAGTCAGCACCCACCCCTTGCTGCGCATGAACGCATGGATCAGAAGGGTTCAGTAATGGCATGGGAACGAGCCCAATATGCAACAAAACAGGTCATGAGACGGTATACAGGTTGCGTGCATCATGCCATTCCTTGCTGGAAATGCAAGAGAAGATGACGCTTGATTGTAGGGCAAAACAAGCAGCGTGCACGCATTCCCACATGCCCCTATCCCCTATTTGCAAAATGTACTTCCTCCTCATGCTCGCCCCCGGCCCAACTCACGCGTCTATGTAGTAGATTGAGAAGGAGCGGTTGGCCGCCTTGGGCTGCGGGTGCTTCCGAAACACCGGTGTCTCCTGGCCCCGCTGCCACCGAGTAATCCGCTGCAGGGGCACCCGTCGCACCAGACCCTGCACACCGACACACACACCAGGGTTTGGGGGTGGACGCCGAGGTGCGGGAAGTATACCGGTATACGGTGGTACACCTGGGTACACCTAGGTATTTTCGATTGTGCTTGAGGCACTGTTACGGGGCCCGGGCGTCACGGAGATTAAGCAGTGCATGAGGCAGTGAGTGAAGCTGTGCCTAGATTTTACAGTGCCCGGGGCAATCCATCTTCCTCATTTGTCGTAGCCAAGAACCTCCCCGCTTGGCGTCTAGATCCGGAGGAGGCGCCAACAGGGAGCACAAGTAGGCGCCACAAGAGGAGCGTACCCCTCGTGCGTAGTACCCTTCCAGGCCAGCAGTACCAGCGCCCCTTCCTTTTCCCGGAGCATGCCATAACGTTTGCGTGCAGGCCGGCTACTGGAAGACCAGAAGCCTCGGCATCGAAATGCGTCGAAGGCAAACAGTTCCTTGGATTGGAGGATGCCCTAGGCTATGGGACAATAGCTGTTGGCTTATGTAAACAGACATGAGAGCATACCTTTTTAGATTCCCACTGCAGCTCCAAGTCATCGTTCGACAGCCGGAAGGGATGGTACTTAGGGACTCCAATGCGCCCATACTTAAGGAGCTCCGTGCCCTGTGGTCATGCATGGGTCCATAAATGGAATGATGTTTCGCTCCAAGCCCACGCCCCCGATCGGCGCTGACATCCCCTGAAAGCGCACCTTGCGCAGGAATGTAAGGACTTCCTCATATGGCTTTGGACCTGAAGGAAAGCCATTCACGTAGACGCCACCCCCTTCTTGTGTGGGAACTGGCAGGTGCTCCTGCAGATAGAGGCGAGCGTAACAGAGAGGCCTTCCCCGCGAAACATACTAGTAGCTACAGATCCATAAGCAAAGAGATCCTACCGTTACGCTTGCCATCACCCGGCTCAAATTTCCTCTAGTTAAGTGTCTCCGCCTAGGCGCTTTCACGCAACATTGCAAAAAGCAACCTCCGGACATCACATTTCTTCATTATGATAATCTATCGTTTGAACAGCATCTGAGCAGGATTGATAGGAAAGAACTGTTACTCGGAGTCGAGGAACGTTTTAACATGGCATGGGCCCCAGGCCGAAGACGGGTTTACAGAAATCTTCGTGCCAATTTATGCGTCCCACCAAAGGTACTACGTACCTGTGTCGCTGCTGATGGAGGTGGAGCTTCCACTCATGCCCGGGGACCCGCTCTTGGTACGGCATCGCCTGCGGCACCCGAACCACAATCAACTTTCGCTCACCTTGGTGCCTGGTGTCGCACAATTCGCTTGTTTTAGCATATGCTATAGCCAATTGGGTTCCGCTTTAATAGCATAGCCGCCGCTACACGTCTAGCAACTTGCAATGCAGTCGCTTTGCCAGCCAGCGGCAACGCGCGCGGGGGCCTTTAGGGCCGGCGCCGCTCCGCGTCCTCAGATCTGTGCTCGCATGACGAGATTGGTGGTGCTGGCAGGCACGGTTTCGACCAACGACTTCAAGAACGGCCTGACCGTGGAGGTCGACAGCCAGCCCTATAAGGTGGTGGAGTTCCTGCACGTGAAGCCTGGCAAAGGCGCGGCTTTTGTGCGCTCAAAGCTTAAGAATTTCTTCACGGGGAACGTGGTCGAGAAGACGTTCCGCGCTGGCGAAATGTTGAACACAGCCGATATTCAGAAGCGCGAGGGCCAGTTCACATACGCTGAGGGCGACACATATGTCTTCATGGACACCGAGACGTATGAGGAGACGCGCCTTAAGAAGGATGATTGGGCCCAGTATCTTAAGGAGGGCACGACCGTGCAGCTGCTCTTTTACAACGGCAAGGTCATCAGCGTCGACATCCCGCAGTTCATGGACCTGAAGGTGGTCGCAACTTCGCCAAACGTGAAGGGTAACACCGTATCAGGTGGCAGCAAGCCAGCGACCCTAGAGACGGGAGCTGTTGTGTCGGTGCCGCTCTTTATCAACGAGGGCGAGATTCTTAAAATCGACACCCGGACCGGCGCCTACCTGTCCCGCTCGTAAGCCCTTGCTTACAAGACAGCGCAGTAGCACTGTAGGCAGCGACTTCGCAGCACCCAACATGTCTGCGCTTCCTAGCTGGCAGGTACAGCAGCAGCGACGTCATTACATGGGTGGCTTGACCTTTTCGGTTGGCCCTTTAATCCTGATCGCAAATTCGTTGAGGATCAGAGCACGCCGATGTGCTGTTCAGGCCTGCCGTACTGTCGTGCAAGGTGGAAGTCTTGATCTGGGTCACGCTGCATACCTGCTTGCATCCAAAACGAATAAGGCAGGAACTGACTGCATGGGCTTTGTTACGGGCTTGGTTGCGACACGTTGTGTTAGGAGTTGGCAGGCTGCTACGGCTGCTGGGGAGGGCCATCGGTCCAGGAACACTGTACGGCGCAGGGTTTGAAAGGTGATTGAGGTTTCGTTCCGGTCGAGTGAAGGCCCGGGTGTCTGGGACGACGTGCGCGTGTATACGCGGTAAACAGTGCGGCATGTACCACAAGCGTTGTGCTGTGTTAAAATAACTGGCCGTTGTGCTGTGTGTGCTTACCAAACAGTGCACACGGTGTGTTGCTGTGCGCATGTTGCCAGGACAGGAACAGGACCAAGTAGACTGGAGGATTAGTTTGGGCCGTTCAGCTGAGGCAGAGAGGAGTTGAGAGCGCGCACAGAGGGGAGCCAGGTTAGGGGAGGGCGGCTATGATGCTGAAGCAGTAGAGTTCGGGTTGGGGGAGGCCCGGTGGCACCTGTGACGGGCCTGGCAGGCCGAGCGGGCGGGCTTTGCGTTTGATGAGGGTGCGGAACCGCTTGTGCTGGAACTCGGTTGTTGTTGACTCGTGTAGGTCGTTGTTCTTGTAGTTGCAGCGCTGGTGATGAACGTGGTGGTATTTCTAGGGGCATGTTATGAGGTAGGTTTCACTTTGGATGGGGCAGCCTGTATCGGAATGCTAGCTGGGGTGTAACAGTTGGGGAAATGCCGGGTTGGGGGCGCGCAAGGGCAGCCTGAGGCTAACCACGCGGCGGGAGTTGTACCGGCGCTTGGGTGCGACTACACACGGCTGGTAGCATGGGCGGCAGCAGCGGAGGGGGCAGCCGGGGTACGTGTTGCGGTCACTTATGTGACGGAGCCTGGGATATTTGCAGGTACACGGTGACGGGGGAGGGGCCCATGTGTGTCGCCTCGATAGCAGCCCGGAAGGAAGGTTCCCAATTTTCGCTATCATCGCAGGAGGGGCAGGGTGGCTAGAGCTGAGGGGTGTGAATGTGTGATTGTGGTAGGGGGGGATGCACACCGGAGGGCTGTGTGCTCTGTTGTTTCTCGCACCGAGCTATTTCCTGTTTTGCTTCGTGCTCCTCCCTCTCCGTATGTCGGACGCATTGTAAGGGAGAGGGTGGTAAGTTGGGCGCACTTGGGGCCGCTCTATGCGTTGCTCTATGTTTATTGGGTTTCGCATGTTGTCGCGCAGCTTAGGAGCTCATCCACACTGAGAGCCGTGTGTCCTATAGCTGTTGGGGGCGCGTGCCCGGGTGCGTTCCAGCCAGCAGCAATGGCGGGCTGTGGTGGGGGTTTGGCTGACACGTGTGGTGGCAAGTAGGCACCCTCGTGCGGGGTCGTCACTCGTCAGCTACCTTAGTCGTAGCTAGTGGCCTGCCGTGTAAGTGTTACAATGGTCACCTAATGGTGCGCCTCCTTCGTCCAGACACAAACCCGCAACACACAATCCGCAGCCAAGACAACTCCACATCGCATGGAACACCTTGAAGACCCGGTCTTCATGTCTCTGATGTGGACCTCACACCCCTCCAACAGATTAGGAGTTACTGCCGCCTAATGAGCAGAACCCTAACATGCATATCGGTATGAGTCCCGTAAGCCTCCTGACCACTTACATAGCTCAGTTCTTGCCTCGTTCTATTGACGGTGCATTGGCTGATACCGGTATCCCACGCACACCCCTCCCCTCGCATTACAGCACCACCACACAACGCAGCGGTGTGCAGCGCAGGAGGCACTGCTGCGCGTCCGACTGTACGAAAGTGGCAAAATGTGCCGTACAACCACAAAGCTGTACAACTACCGACTTCCCCCTGTTGCGTATAATCCTAAACAGCTTGCAAGGACAAGCCAGGACACGGCTAACAGCATCCATCTACGGTAGGTATGGCATCCAAATACCCAAAGGAAAAACAACACGGCATGCCGTACGAAAGGGCCTGCTGACACCAATACTGCGCCAGCATTACGGTGACGAAGTTAACAAGTTATACAAGGGTGCAAACCCTTTAAACTGCTCTGGTTATGCTTCCAATAGTTAATACTGCTAACATTACTGCTCACTAACCGCTAGAGATCAAGGCCACTATCCTGGCCGCTAACTAGAGCACATCCACCAACCTAACAACCAAAACATGCGTGAGGACTGTCATCTATAACAACAGTGTGCAGAGATGCGTTTCTCAGTTGTACCCACATTTGTTCAACCGTCGCAGCAAAGACATCACCGCACACACGTGACCGACACACACGCGCGTGGCTCATTAGTTCTTGCGTTCATAAGTTTGAACCTCGTCACACACGAGCACGTGACTCCTTTGCCCGCGTTGCTCCATGTGCCCGCTACACTGTCGCACCACCATCACACCCTGGAAAGTACGTATATGCACTGCAGCCGCCAAGCCAGCCCTGCCCAAGCCCGACAGACCCACGGGACAGCTCCCACTTTGCTGACCACCTCACACACCATGCCATGCCCTCCCCGCACATGCGCATTCAGGGCTTAGCCAACCCACACATCCTGCATTGTCTCCGTTCAACTGCCCCCAGTTGCCCGCGCAAGACGACCTAACACCCGAAAAACCCCCTGGCCGGCCCCCCCTTCGCCTAAAAGCACGATGCCTCAACGTTTGTACTCTATCTACATGGCAGCGTTCCGCTCATCTTCCTGCACATACATATCGCCTTTCCTGCGAACTGTTCAGTGGGCCTCCAACACCGGCCATTAAAACAGGCCCCCAAGCTGGACCCTACAACAAGCCACCCAAGCCTGAAATGCCGGCCGCTCGAGCCCCATGCCAACCAGCCAGGTAACCCAAGGAGAGAGAAGGATGATGAAGAACGGGAAATGGGATCGGCTGTACATAAACGCAGGCCCACAAGACCAGGCCCAACGCCTAAAGGCAAACCCTACACCTACTCCAAGCCAACCGCAAGACCCAAACTGCAACGCTTGCGTGTCCGTAGGCCCTAACTTTATTATCCCATTCGCCCGTCGCCTTCGCCAACAGCCTTTTACCACCGCCGACAACCGCCAATAGCAGGGCAAAAGGGTACAGGTAACAGTGGCAAGAGCCGTGGCAGCGACATGCCATCTTACACGCAGCAACCACTTGCGAGGCTTGCACACAGCACCCCATCCACGCAGTGCGGAAGACCCCGCAAGACAACGAAACGCAAAGGTTTAACAATGGCATGGCAAGGATACACACATATAGACACAATTGGATTTGATGAAGTATGAGCGCCGCCAACGCGTTATGTGTTTTCATAGGTTTAGAGTTATGACGGTGTTAACACAATCGTTTGGTACGGACGGTTACCGACAGTATGACTCTTTCGCAGCCCTATGAAAGTCATCCAAGGCAATGCTGCGCAGCGTGACGCTAGTCGGCAGCACGAGCTGGAGCGCCGCCCTTTCTCCGACTCTTGGCCGTAGGTGCTGCTGCAGCCGCCGGCGGCGGCGGCGGCGGCGCTGGACCCTTCCCACTACCAGCAGCAGCCGTCGCCGCCGCCCCTGGCGCCGGAGCCGCCTTTGTTCGTTGGCCACCGTTGGCATTGCCGTTAATGTTACCGTTACCCGTCGCAGCCGTCGTCGATGTCACCGTGGCCACGCCGGTCGTCTTACCAACCGCCGCAAGACCGCTAGCCAACCCCTGTAACGCCGACGCGAATGCCGCCATGTCTAACGGCCCCGCGCCAGCTGCTGCGGCGCGCATTGCCGCCGCGACAGCTGCTGCCGTCGCCGCTGCGGTACCACTTGCGTCAGCACCCAAGGTCCCGGCGGCGGCGGCGGCCGCAGAAGTAAGGTCCCGTGTCGGACTGCTACCGCTTTCACCGCCGCCTCCGCCTCCGCCACTGGCGCCCATTCTCAACCCGGCAACGATCCGACTGGCTGCTGCCGCCGTCGCCGCCGCCAAGGAGCCCGGCGGCGGCAGCGGCGACGGCGACGCCGCCGCTGTAATCCCTGGAAGCGGCGGAGGAGTCCTCCGCGGGGGATCCGCCACCACCTCAATCCGGCTCGGGTCGGCCCGGTTGGGCACTTCGCTGGTGGAGGGGCTTGCAGCGCTGGCGCCGGCGTCCTCCGCCGCCACTAGCGCCATTGGTGACGCACGTGTGATGGCACCAGCGGCGGCACCGCCCCCGACAGGAAATGGCTGTACGGCAGCGGCTGCAGGTCCCGCCGGCGGCAGTGTAGCCGCCACAGGGAACGTCCGACTCCTTCCGAGCGGGTGACCCATGGGATGCGGGTAATGAGCAGGTGCGCCGCCGCCGCCGCCGGTGGCACCGACCACGCCATTGCTCCTGCTGCTGGCACCGCCGCCGCTGGCGCGGTCATGGTTGCCGTCATCGTCTTCACTTTCCCGGGAGTACTGTTGTGGTGCATGAGAGGGCTTCTTCTGTTGCGTGGGCGCGTGGACGCCCAGGTCCTTCATTATATTCCGGAGCTTCAAGGGCCCCGTGGGACGAGCCACACGGCGAGACCTACCGTACAAAGGAGGAGGGATTTAGGGGTTGGGCGTTGGGGGTTAGGACGGGGAAGTAGCATTGCGTTCGCTTTCTTCGCATGGGGACGGGGCGGCTACCGTGCCATCCCAGGCAGTGGAAGGCCTCCATGCACGAACTGATGGTACGTTTTTGGCGATCAGCAATATATGTATAGGGTACCGGTATATACCCCTAGCAAGCAAAGACGCATCAATGGCGCTGACGCGGACGTACCTGTGCTTCTTAGGGATATGCCGCCCAAGCAGCACCGTCAATCCCCAGCCGCTTCGCGACTGCCGTACGGCCGCCAGCAGCGCCGCGGCTGTCGTACCGGGCAGGTGTCCTCCTAAAGCCATGGCAGCTCGCAGCTGAGCCACATTGGCGGCGGCAGCGGCAACACCCGACGGCAGCAACCCGCCCCCGCCGCCGCCCCCATCGAAAATACCACCGCCGCTGACGGCGGCTGGTAGCCCCGGCAGCCTAAGCAGCCCCCCGTTGCCAGCAGGGTTGAACATCCCGACGCCGCTGCCACCGCCGCCGCCACCATTCCTTGACGCCGCCGCCACGGCGTTTGCCAACGCCGCGGCGCTTAGGCCGCTGCCGTCAACACCGCCGAGGGATGCGCTGCCAGCCAGCATTGCCGACGACGGCAGACCCGCGAGGGATGACGTGCCTCCTAGCAACCTACCGCCCAACCCAGACCCGGCTGTCCCAAGCAGGATTCCGGTGTCCGAGGCAAGCCCAGATCCCGCGCCCGAAAGGCCACTGCCTAAAGCTGCCGCCGCAGCGGAGCCCGCCGCAGCAGCGGCCGCCGCCATCTCTGCCGCAGCCACTTCCTGCATCTTCTGACGCTTTAGGATTTGGGTCGCAAGACTGCCGTTTTCAGGACGCTTGTTGGATCTCCTCAGAACCGCTGGAAGCGACGACGCTGGCGCACCTGCTGCCGTCGTGTTGATACCATCCGAAGCCCCCGTCGCCGCCAGCTTAGCCGCCGTGTCACCCAACCGGCCGCAACCGCCGCCGGTGGCAGCGCCCCGACGGCTCTGGCCGCCCGTCACAAAGCCCAAGTTCTCCAGGTCTTCCATCAGCTGTACGGCAGCCCCACCGCTAAGCCCTGCCAGATCCACTAGTCCGCTGCTGCCGTTGATAAGGCCCGCGACGCCGGCGCCAGCGGCTCCAGAGCTGACTAGGTTTCGGAGCAGCTGTAACCCGGTGGGCCCCTTGCTGGTACCGCCGCTGCTGCTGCCGTAGCCAAACTCGGCGCTTGCGGTGCGCAACGGCCGGCCGCTAGCGGTTACAGCAGCAGCGGCTGCCCTGCCGCTTACACCGGCAGGAGCATCCCTAGCGGAGGCTGCTGACGCTGCGAGGCGGTCCACATCGTCTGAACCCCCACCCACTTCAAGCCCTTGCTGTAACTGCTGTAACCTGTCCCGGGCTATTGACATCGCGGAAACAGGGTTCAAACGTCCGCCTGGCAGGTCCGAGAGTGTGAAGCTGCCCAGACCTGTCAACGCACCGCCACCGCCGCTACTAGCCGCGCCTAGACCGCTGCTGCCCCCAAGACCCCCCGTCAGAGGTGTCCCTTGCTGCTGACAGAGTTGCAGCAACGCCACCTGCTGTGGCGTCAGGCCGCCGCTGGAGGGGGGCGCACCCACCTTGCCACCGCTAGGTTCCGTCTTCAGCAGCCCCGCCAACACCGCTGCGTCTACTCCCAAGCTGCTGGCGCCACCGCTGCCGCCGTTCGCCGCCGCCAGCTGCGCTAGGAGCTGCTGTACGGAAGTGGGCTGCGAGGGCATGCCTCCGCCGCTGCCGCCGTCGCCACCTTGCAGGCTGCGCAGCAGCGCCAACGTCGCCGCTGCTGATGGCGGCGACGAGCCCTCACCAACACCGCTGGCAGCGGCGCCGCCTAACTGCGACATCAGGGCTTGCAACTGCCCGCCGGCTCCGTAGCCATTGGAGCTGTTTAGCTGCGACAGCAACGCCTGTAGCTGTGCACCGCCGTTGCCGCCGCCAGCAATCATGTCAGCCGCACCCAACGGCCCCGCACCCAGACCGCTGATGCTGCCACCGCCGCCAAGCGACCCGAGCCCCATTCCCAAGCCCCCAAGGGAATCGCCAGCAGCCAACAACGATCGGATTGAGTCCATGCTAGCTGGCATAACCCCGGCGCCGCTGCCGCCGCTAGGTTGAGGCTCCCTGCCGTACAACCCTTCAACTCTTCCGCCGCCGCTACCTTCGCTGCCACCTCGTGCTGGCAGAGGAGATTTTGTCCTGGCCGTACTGACGTTGCCGTAACCACGTGACCCAGATGGAAATCCGGATCCAAACCCAGATCCGGTGCTATGGCTATGATGGCCCCTGTCAGGATGCAGAGCAGGCCGCCCTCCGCAGCTAGGGTCGCCCCCGCCATCGCCGCCCATGCCTGAAGGAAAGCCGCATATGAGGGCCCTGCCAACCACATCCTGCGACTCCGTTACCACGCTCTGGCGTACTGCAAAGGGAAGAATCAAGCTGTCCAAGGCACCGTCGTCGCGGCTTGAAGGCCGCGGCTTGCAACCACCAGGTTTGACCTCCGGGCCCTCCTTTTGACTGGCACCGACCAACCGCCTGTCGTTGGTGCTGCTGCCAATGCCACTCGGCTGGCCGTACGGCAATCCCATGGGGCCAAGCGAAGTCAGGCCTCCAGCGCCGATGTCAACAACGCCTGCGCCGCTGAACGAATGTGGTGAAGGTGGAGCCATGAGGGCATCAGAACCGCGATGTTTGCCCGAAGATGCTGTTACTGTTGCGGTTGTTGATGATGGTGGAGGGGAATGCGGTTGCCATCGCCGTATGTTGCGGCCGGCAGTCGCGGCCATCGCCAGCCCTGGAACATCTTGGCCCAAGCCATCACCGGTTGCCCCCAGCACCAAATCTCCAACGCACGCCATCCAGTGACAATGGACCTCTTTAATGCGGCGATACTGTAGAAATTAAGAAGAGATGGGGGATGTAGCTGTTCCAAACACGCGATGTGCCGGCACTGCTCCTTCTGAACGGGAGGTAAAACGACGACAGGAACACCACAAGCCGAGGAGCCCTGCGACATGGGTTACAATATGGCAATAATGTTCTCAATGGAATAGGTGAGACAAGCAAGATAGGTCGAAGCGGTTGCATGGGCTGAAGCTTAGTAGCTTTTTATGTGTCTGCCAGCCTTAGCCGCGGTTGTCTGGTTAGACACAGGATCAATCTACTAGCGCGAATGGCGCAAAGGCACAAGAGGGCTTTCGGTAGGTGCCACCCGTACTAGTGAAACCAGTCTTACGCATTCTGCCAGTCCTAAGCGATATTACTTACTTCAGTCTAGCCTCCCCTGGCTGTTTCTTTTAGGTTCGCAAGGAAACAGCGTAATCCTGCCAGGTCCTGCAAGGAATTATGGAGCATGAGAACGGTACATGAGACAACTGTTCGCCACTTAACACCAAGCATGGCAAACATTTACTAAAAATCCCGATCAGTATGCATGCTATCAAAAAATCCGGCAGGCCAACCCTTACACCTAGAAGGTCGCCATATTGCGATATGCCTCATCCCACACCTTTCTCAATGTAGCCCTGCCAAACTACGTATTTGATAACTGAAATCAACGAGTTACTGGACCAATGCGCTTTCAATAAAGCATGCAGCCTCTCGTGTGGTACACGTAAACCGTAAAAATGCGATTCCCGCACTGTTCTTAGTTACAGACTGCTTGGCAACAGAAAACAATACACAACAAAATGATACTGGTAACAGCGAAAAGTGACAGAAGATTCCATCGCGTCTTCTCATCGTCATTTACTCACCCGGAGACGCAAGTTGGTCAGATACGGAGAATGCAAGGGCAACACCAACGTGGCCTCCCAGTATATGCAAAGACGTCTATGTGTACACAAGGAATCCCTTTTCAGCACAGCGCAAGGTTGGGCCAATTTCGGACCGAGCCACACGGATGCGCAAGCAAGGCGTAATACGCACGCGGACTGTCAAGATGCTAAATTCCTGATCAAGAGGCAAAGCATCTGTCGCGGAAGGGGCATGCATTTTTCTTCGACCCGTTGGGGCTTGTGAGAGTCGCAACCTTGAGTCCGAACAGAACGCTCATCCTTTAACACGATGCCAAGGAGACGGTCTAACTGCCTTGTTTGAGCCTAACTCTAGACGACGAAGCCTCGGAACAACGCCCTCACCTGAACGCGCTTCCGCGGGTCTGCCCTCGTCCTGCTTCTTCCTATAGCCGACGCTCCTCCACCAGCGGTAGAAGCGCCTCTTGAAGCAGTTGAAGCGTGCTCTCAACCTCGAAGCTCCAGAACACCAGTTTGCAGAGGCTGCTGCCCGGTGTCCCAAGACCAAAGCATAAGCATAGGAAGTCGAGTGCCTTATTTTAGCTCTACGGTTCGGAGGTATGCTGTATAAGACGAGATATAGCTGGGTAGGGGCTGGTTGCGCGGAAGTGTACGGCGGTTGTATTAACAATGTTTGTAGCCGTTGGAGATGGCCGCTAATAGTTATAGCTTTTAATTTCGAAGCAATGCAAGCCACAATACCCAACTAGCGCAAGCACTGAAGCACGAAGGACCTGTAAAGCGACATCCATAGTACTGAAGAGCGAGCTTCAGGAAATGCCTGAAGCAGGTGCCTACCTACTAATCACATTACATAACATTTCAGAATGCTTTGCTCATTCCAAGGCCTTGTCGCATAACTGGTATTCCTAAGCCGCGAAGGTAGGTAGCCACGCGCTGTGCGTCTTTCGTATGTTTTTCGTTTTAACCACTTGGTGAAAAGCGTCACACTTGCCCATTTTCCTGGCAGTAGCCAGCCGTACTGGAGGAAAACTGCGCCGGCGCAACCGCCTTCGTCTACCATAATGAACAAAGTAAACCATATAGAACGTGCAGTGCTGACTAACTTCAATCCTGTAGTGCTGTCATGCAACGCCGGCCCGAGTCAGTCTGTCCCTTCGTCTAGTATCGCCCACCGGCCAATGCAGCAAGCGAATCGTGCCCTTGAATGCACGGTTAGTGGACTGCGAATGTAAGGAATAGACCTCCAATCAAGCTGCTGCAAGTCCGGAATACAACTGTCAGGACGCTATGCAGTAACTTTTGCAATACGACACAGTCCCCTAACTTGGCACATTAATCCATAAACCACAGCGGGGTAATTTTTCATGAACGGCCAGCAGGTCGACCCGTTGACGCCTATTACCTGGCGCTGACCTGAAGCTGAAGTTCAGTAACTGCTTATGGCCGCTCATTGCGAAAGCGTATGTGTATGATGTTGTGCCTTCGGGCACGAAGGGCTGTTCCAAAGCCATGGGCAGTATGCGTACTACCACGTAGCCGTAAGAGGCCAAAAAGGATGCTAGCCTCGCGCTGTCCGTTCCGTGTCAGTCCAGCATCCTCTCAACGAACGTCCGCGACGTTCCGTCTTGAATGCCAACTCCAGGCAAAGCAGTGTGCGAGAAAACTTCGAGTAGGGGCCTTCGACGACGCAGCCCATCTCCTTTCCAACCCCCAGGTCGTCACAGATCATAAGCACCGCTGACTCCCTGAAAACACATGCGCTTTCCTTGTATAGCCGGGGTTAATATGTACGGTACATAGTGATGGAGTCGTACGGAGTAGCCGTATACGTTGGCAGCCTCAGCCAACCCCCCAGCAACGGCTGCTGGGCCCTGCCTGCGAGGAGACCCCGCAGGAACCCCTCGGTGCATAAATAGGCCGCGGAATCCGGCATCCAGCCCGTCTAAGTCAGGCACGGTTGGGGTGATGGATGTGGGGTGTATCCCCTGTGTATCACTTAGCCGTCCCCAGCACAGTACGACACCGACAGCTCCCCTGTCCCCCTGGATTAGCAGCTGTACCGCTTATGCCGTACACCCCTGCTGCCATCTGCCGTACTCCTGTTCCCCTCAGTGCTGCATGCACAGAAAAGGTTTGAAGGTATCGAGGTTACATTGGTTACGACATGATGACATATACGCGTCCTTGGGTTTTAGGTGCTGCAGGCTTGCCGAATCCCCACCAGCCAGCGGTAGTCCAACTGATTGAAGGCACCAGGGGCGCCATCAACGTTTCATGTGGCTTGGGCGCACCTGTTGCCGAAAGTATGTACGCGACATAATGTAACGCCGAGGCAGCCAGCAAACCCAACCTCGCACTAACATGCATGGTTTATACCGCTTCTTGAGAACATAACACAAGAGCCAGCGAGAGCATTGAGAATGGCTGCAACCGTGTCGGCATCTCAATTGCCAACCGTCGTTTTTGTCCTTCCTAATTCTTCCTACTCCTCCTCTGAGTCCTCCTCCTCATCGCCATCTTCCTACTTTGTCCCTAACCTTGCAACCACGCAAAGTGAAGAAACATCCGCAACAAGCACATGTCTGCGCGTTGCCTTCATACTCGTACAACGGTTGCACAGCAAACACAATCATGTCCCTTCCTCCTCAAGTGTCATACCCCCTCTCCCCTTAGCCTTCTCCACCCATACCACACATAGATAGCTTGATAACGCCGCACACTGACTACATAATACCGTTAAACGTACAGCTCCGTACGGAACTGCACTGCTACATTCCGTACAACATCTTAACTCACGTGAACATCGCAACTCTCGATGTCCCCTGGCTACACACCAGCTGCTGCCGCATACCGTGCAGCGGTCTGTTTATTCTTCGCCACCCACCTCCTGCGTGGTTGAAATGCAACGGCTGTGCAACAGCACGACTAACGCTCAAAGGACAACGTTCAGCGAATTACTTCATACATGCATGTCTACTTCATACATGCATGTCTACAGCAGGCCCCTGCTGGCACAACAACAACACCAACCATGCTTGTTACCGAATCCTACATGCCTACACCAGTTCCCACTGTGCAACTGACACACACGTAGCCGTACTCACACGAGCGGGCGGGCTGCCTGCCTAACTAGGCAACCAAGAAACACATAAACACCCTACCGGTACGGCGGTATCCCCCTCGAACAGCTAGATAGGGCAGTTAGTACACGTCAGATTAGATTTTAGATACATAGGTAGACAAATAGACCGATAAAGGCAGATATAGGATGCGAAAGCACGAGTTGCATGTGCATCTTATCAGGCACCCAGCACATGAGTCTTCTCACTGCCCTCCAGCCGCTGCAGGGGACGCACCCCCTCACACACAGAAGCACCTTGTGTCGTACAACGGCATGCAACGCTCGCTCAACCGACCAGGCAACATCCTGCGGAAAGCACACCCTTGGTCACCCCTCTTCTTCCTCTCCACTGCTCTTCTCCCCCTCCACCTGGCCTCCTCTTGTTCTGAAGCTCTATTTTTGCTTGCTCCTCTCCCCTCCTATAAAACATCGTCTCTACGGCCTCTCTGCTCTCCTTGCTAGCGCGTACCGCTGACAATGCAGCACACCCGACACCCTTCACCTGCTCCTCTCACCCCACCTTACCTTCGTCTTACCTCACTTAACCTCCTGCTTCGTGCTTCGTGTCCAAGTCGGTAGCTCTCCCACACCCCTCACCTCTCACCACACCCACCTCCCACCCCACCCACCTCCTCCATTCCACCGCTTCCACGTGCCTTCTGGCGCCCGGCTCCTGCCGCCCACTCCGCCCCCCCTCCCCCGCAACACCCCTGACACCGCTTGTTGGCTTCCTCCTTACCGTCCCGCCCCCAACAGGAGCAGTCGTCAAGGTTGAGTTCCCCAACGTTGCTTTCCTCGCTCCTCGCGCCTCCTGTCTCAGTAGTAGTTGGCCACCCTGCGTCGGTGTACGGCGGTTCGAGCTGCAGGGTCGGACACCGCACCCGCCAACACCTGCGGAGGCCGGGGAGTGGGGGTGGGGGCGGGGAGAGGGGGTGGGAGTGTGGGAAGCGGGACGGGGTGGGATTGGACATGCCACCCAGGGAGGGACCGTGAGGGGGGAGAAGATGGAGGGGGCAGCCGGGACGGATTCGGTCGGGATTTTGGGAAGCATACGCGTGGAGGCTAAGCTGGGGGCTAAGCTGGGCTTATACTGGGCGGGGGAGGGGGCCCGGGGGGACTCCCGTCATACCCCACGCTACCCCCCCCAGGTCCCCATGTACGGCATCCACCCCCTCCCTTCCCATCGAGTCTTCCCACCCACCTCACAGTACGACACCCAGTGATCCGGCGTCTCCAGCCGTGACACCACCCGGGCCTCCAGGTAGGCGATACCGCCCGCCAGCACCGGGCAGCCGGTGTGGGGGCCGGGGAACCACTCCACGCCGGAGAAGCGGTCCGCGCCGGGGGAGAAGCGCTGCATGGGGAAGGAGGGGAAGGGGGAGGGGGAGGGGGAGGAGGGAGGAAGGGGTGAAGGAGGAATGGGGGGGAGGTGGATGGTGGGAAGCGGCGGATGGTTGGTTTGGTATGTTGGCAGGATTGTTTGGCTTGTGGAGTCAACCAATCAGCTTGTGGAGAAGGGAGGGGAAGGGGGACGCATGCGCCGAAAGTAGCACAAGGAGGTGCCAACAAACACAAGGTACGATACGCACAAGGTACTAAGCCGTACAAGGCGCCCCGTGGTTAAAGGGTCTCGTTGCAACTGCATGTGGTGAGTTGTTCATTCAGAGGTGCACACCCTTGACATCCGTAAGCCACAAGCACACGGCTTTCCTAACCCCATGCAAGTGTATGCAACCGCATGCGGCTCCCAGTTTTGTTCAGTCCACAACAGCGGGGAGGGCGCAACCATGCACACCCCCCGCACCTGCAGGAAATGCTTCATGAGCGGCGAGTAGGTGTCCTCGCCCAGGCAGTTCAGCACGAAGGTGTCACCCACCTGCGGGGAGGAGGGAAAGAGGGGGCGGAGGAGGGAGGAGGAGGAGGGCTGCTGTTGGGAAACCAGCACCCATGGCAAACACGTGTAATGCTGGTTTCATTGGGGTTTGTTGCTCAAGGATGGCACCCCAGTTCCCAAGCGCTGCCACTATCGTCCAATGCAATACGGTACCCTCTTCTTTACCGCCCCAATGGGAAGCCATCACCCCCCGGTATATTCCGGGTCAGTGTTTCCTTTCCCCCGCCCCACACCTGCATCAGGCTCTCAATGGCCCGATCCTTGGCCACTGCTATGGTCAGACCCAGCGGCTCGAAGGAGGCCTGTCAGGGGGGGATTAAATGAAGGGGGCGGAAGGGAAGGGGATCGCGGCGGGGTCTATTGGGTGGGAATATATGCCCTTGCCCTAATAACGTACGCGGAGCATGTGGGGTGTTACTGCGGTCAGACCTTACTTTCGGGTCTCCCATGCGTGCCCCTCACCTACCCCTCGGGGCTCACATGGGTTGGCCCTTGGCACTCCTCGTGCATGCGAGGCTAACACTTTCAAGGAACCCACCAGCGTGTAAAATCAGCTGGTATGTGTCAAAACTGACTGCATGTGTGCGTGCGTGTGTGTTTCGCCCCCCGCCGCATTACCCCTCTCCCCCCCCAACACACCTGTGACACCCAGGACGCCACCATGGCACTGCGTGCGTTGTTGTGCTGAGCCGTCACCACGTACAACCCCGAGGCCAGCCGCGCCAGGGCCTTACACACGTCGGGCGGCATGGCGGCCTTCTTGCGCGCGATGGAGGCCTTGGCGGTGAGGGCCTGGGCGAGGTCGGTGCCTGGGGGGGGGGGGATAAGTAGGGATACACAGGGATCCGCATTGGGCTTTGGATTATAGGGTTGCGTACGGTATAGTCGGTGCCTGAGTACACACCGCGGAGTTGTCGGGGGTTGCAGGGCGGTGGGGGCTAGTTAAACTGAGCCGCGAGGAAACACGCCGACCGTGACCTCAAGACGTGCAAAACACATTTCCCCCACCGCTCCCCTCTATTTCCCCTCCCCCACCCCCCTCCGTCCCTCACCCTCCTCCTCAAACAGCTGGTACACCTGCTGCCCCGGCAGCTCCTTCACACGCAGCGGCGGCGCCAGCAGCTCGCCCCACACATCCACCACACTCGACGCCAGCACGTCAACCGGCTCGTCACGACCGCCGTACGACTCCGCAATCACAACCTGAACGTGCATGGAGGTACGACACAATTAAAATACATGTGTACGACAGATTTGTACGACATAGCTCCGACCCCCGAGTGACACGACGACACATGCGACGCATGGTCTGGGTTTTTCAGGGCTCGACTGCCGACGACGCCAGCGCCCCACTTAAGCAACCTTGAGCTACCGTACACTAACATTTCCCCCACATCTTCATTTGGTGGACGAGAAAGGGGAGGGGGTCGTACGGCACACGTCGTACCTTGGTTTTGGGTTTGAGTGCTGACACGAGTGCTGCCAGGCTGGTGCGTGCGTCGGCGTTGTCGTTTGGGGGAGCCATGAGGACGAGGCCGGAGGCGCGGCCCACCGCCGCAACCACCTCCTGAGGGGGGGGGCAGAGATCAAGGTTAAAGATCAAACCATAGGAAACCACAAATTAGGGTAAAGCAAAGCTCCGAAAACGTACTGTACTGATATCTGGGAAGCAAACAGGAGCCGCTGACCTAACACCCCCCGGTGACCCATGGGCCTGTAAGCGAGGGATGCGGTTGAACAAAGCCGTACAACACCCCGCACATGCACACGCACACATGCACAATCCGACAATCCAGTACGTTCCGATTCGCGGCCAGTTTTCTTAACACACGCACATCCACACATGCACACCTGCGGGTCGGCTGACAGTAGGTCCAACATCTCCGTTGCGACACCCGCCTGCGAATGGGGAAATTGAAGAAATCCAAATGCGTTGGATCTTGAATAAGAATGCAAACCAGACAACAAGCTCCGGGTGAATGAAATTAAGTGGGGAGGGAGGTGGCGTTCGAAGGTGAACGTTGAAGGCATCAAGGCACATCAGTCGGGGCCAAACACAGGTGTGCAGACCTCGGCGAACCGCAACTAGGCCAGTATTCCTGTTCAGCAAAGTACCAGTGACGCAACCCCAACCCCAACCACATCGGGTCTTCCCGCTCCCTACCTTGGTCACGCCCTTTGCCAGCGTCTGACTCAGCCGGTCTGAGAAGCCGTAGTCGGAGCAGTACAGTACGACAACCGTTGTCGTACCCTTCTCCAGGGCGGCGGACCAACGGCCGTAATCGCCAACCAACTCTGGTACGTTGTACCTGTTGTAATAACGCAGTGTTTGGGGTCCGGGGGGCTCGGAGTTAAAACACATCATGCAATAATGAGTGTTTAGGGAATCCAAGGAGTTAAGGGGCTGAGGTGGGGGGAAAGAGACAGAGGGGGTTAGGAAGGACTAATACAAGGATACCGTATAGCGGGGGAGGTTGTACGACACACGATACACATATGCCGTGCAAGTGCCGTACACACACGCATGTCGTACCTGAGCATGGGTCCGTGGCCGTTGGCGATGAGGGTGTACGGCAGGTCCTTAACCTTTCGAAGCGCTGTGGTCACCGACTTGGCGTTGGGTTTCATCAGGCAGTCGTAGTAGAATCTGGCGGGGGATGGGGGTGGGGGAAGATTGGAAAACACAGGGGACGATTAAGGTGGGATTGTGGAGGGTAGGTTCGACGTAAGTACTCTTGCCGTTGCTTTGCCCTAACCCGTGGTTTTGGTGTTATCCCTGACCCTCTCCGTTGCTTCACATCTCTCAGTTAGCCCCCCCCTCCCACCTGCGATTTTGACTATCGGTATACCGGTACATGCAACCCTAAAGCCCCGGCTCATGCAGAATATGTATCCCTGCTAACCTCCCACCTATAGTGCGGCAGCAGGCTCTTCACGTCCGCATCAAAGGGCCGCAGCGAGCAGTAGTGCGACCCGAATGCGTCGCATGTGAACATCACGCCGGTGCCGTGGTCGAAGCTGAACATGGTGTCAGGCCAGTGCAGGTTGGGAGCCATCACGAACTCGAGCAGGTGACCCCCACCCAAGTCGATCTGGGGGGGAAAAAGAAATTGCAATGTGTGGTGTGACAATGATACAAGTTGCTGACAATCCCTGGGGGGGGAGAGGAGAGGGACAGGGGGAAGACATACATGAGAAGTGAAGCAGCAGCTGCAGTCCCAACCCCAGTTTCCCGACTCATGCAGCGGGTGCACCCCCGCCGCGCCCCCGCCCCAGGGGACACGCACCTTGTCCCCCCCCTTGACGGCCTGAGACTTGAAGGGCCTAGCAGGCAGGCGGGCAGGCGGCAGGGGCAGGCAGGAGGCAGGCAGGAGGCAGGCAGGTAGGCAGGCGGCGGGAGAAGGCAGGGTTGGGTACGGTCCGTAGGCGGGGGCGTGGGAGTCGCAGGCAGCGCTGCCCTCCCTCCCTCCCCTTCCGAGCATCCCCCACCCTAGCAGTGCGAACAGCAGGTAGCAGGCACGCCGCACCACGCGTTACGTGTTACGCGGACAATCAACTGTCTTCGCACCAACACCAAAACTGGCACCCGTGTGTGCGCTGTAAACAACAAAACGGGTCCCCGCGAGTGGGGCCGTACCGGATTGGTACGGAAGACGATGTCCCCACCCAACCGCCAGGGGAGACCATGCCCCCTTACGTACAACCCCACCCACCCCAACACCACATTAGGGCAGCAACCACTGCCCTAGTTGTTTGCATTTCTTATATAATCCCCCCCCCCCACCACTACCCCCCACTGGTCGCCCGGCCAGTTAGTTGCTTCCTCTTTACCCCCCACTGCTCCCCCCTGCCCTCACCTGTGCGTGAGGTTCTGCAGGAAGCCCAGGCACACCTTGCTGCCCACCACCACCGCGTCCGGGTGCTCGTCCAGCACTGCGGGGACGAGGAAGGAGTGGTCGGGCTCGGTGTGGCTGACAAGCAGGTAGTCCAGGGAGCGGCCGGCGGCGGAGAGCTGGGCGCGGAGAGCCTGGAGGGGGAGGGGGGGAAAATTATATAAGAAATGCAAACAACTAAAGTCCCAATCCCATATCCCGACTCATGCAGTGAGTCGGGATATGAGGGGGAGGGGGGGGAGGTAGGCGGTAGGAGGAGGAGGGGGAGGAGGTGGGGGAGGAGGTGGTGGGAGGAGGAGGTAGGTAGGGGATACATACTCTGCATTAGGCTGGATGCTAGGATTGCGTATAGGCAAATGGAGGAGGTAGGGGGGATGGGAAGTGGGGGTGGCCAGGGGGTGCCGTACAGCAGCTAACGGATGCGGTTCAGCGGAGGATAACGAGGAAGTGGGAAGGGTGATGTAGGAGGGTGCAGCTACTATGCCCACAGTTCTTTCCTTCACCCAGCAAGACACGCCACCGTCAACAACAGCAGCTGCTGATGCTCCTCCTCATTCCTCCGCCCCGTCCGCCTCCTCCTCCCCCTCCCCCCCCTTTGCCTCCTCCTCCCCCTCCCCCCCCCCTTTGCCTCCTCCCCCCCTTCCGCCCCCCCTCCGCCTCCTCCCCCCCTTCCGCCTGGATTGTCAGCAACTTGTATCATTATCATACCACACTTTGGAATTCCTTTTTTTTTCCCCTTCCGCCTCCTCCCCCCCCTCCGCCCCCTCCTTCGCCTCCTCCCCCCCGTCCGCCCCCCCTCCCCCCCTTTGCCTCCTCCCCCCCTTCCGCCCCCCCTCCCCCCCTTCGTCAGTGTCTCTTTATATATATTTTCCCCCCCCTCCGCCTCCTCCCCCCCTTCCGCCCCCCCTCCGCCCCCTCCTTCGCCTCCTCCCCCCCGTCCGCCCCCCCTCCCCCCCTTCCGCCTCCTCCCCCCCTTCCGCCCCCCCTCCCCCCCTTCCGCCCCCCCTCCCCCCCTTCCGCCTCCTCCCCCCTCCCCCCCTCCGCCCCCCCTCCCCACCTTCCGCCTCCTCCCCCCCTCCCCCCCTCCCCCCCGTCCGCCCCCCCTCCCCACCTTCCGCCTCCTCCCCCCCGTGGGGATCCGGGACTGGACCGCTCGCTGTTGCCATAACTGCCTTTCCTGCCACACCCCCCGGGTTGCTATCCGACATGTTCACGTCATTGTCGCCCCCGTTGTCACGCCGTACTCCCAACCTTCCCTTCCATGTTAATGACCATCCCACCACCACTCCTTCCTTTACAATGCCGCGCCGCCGTGTCTATAGGATGCCCTAGCCATACTGACCTGCCTTGTTTCCAATGTCGTCGCGCATCTCCTACTTAACATTTCGTTAACGCGCCCTGCTCTCTTTTCCCTCTCTTCTTGCATATTGACAACCTCTTCTCCTGTTTCCGCTCGGCGATGGACCATGCCCTGCTGTGGCATTGCTGGCCTGCGTCTACACTCCTTGTACCCATGGCCATGTTCCTTCGGGTCCTCTCTCCAGGTAAGTTTCCCGTAACGCGTCTCGCTGACTTATCTGCTTGTATGCCCAATAGCCTTGTTGCCTTAGAATTAGTGGCCGGCGGCGTGGCACATGCCTTACTAGTGTTCATATGCAAGGCGGCTTCTTCCCCAAGTCATCTCGGTTTCTGGTAAGCAATTGGTAAGTCTCTGAGATGCGTGTTTCTAGATTAGTGTCTCCGAATGCGCTCACTGCATGAGTCGGGATTCGGGATTGGGATTGTGTTGTTGCACTTTATAATTCGCCTCCCCCCCCTCCGCCCCCTCCTTCGCCTCCTCCCCCCCGTCCGCCCCCCCTCCCCCCCTTCCGCCTCCTCCCCCCCTTCCGCCCCCCCTCCCCCCCTTCCGCCTCCTCCCCCCCTTCCGCCCCCCCTCCCCCCCTTCCGCCCCCCCTCCCCCCACCTGCAGGAACAGGTCATGGAACTTCTCATGCGAGGTGTCCACCAGGGCCGTCTTGTGGTCCCCAAAGATGAGGTAGGCGTTGTAGGTGGTGCCGTTGTCAAGACTGACGGGAGGGGGGGAGGGGCAGGGGGGCAGAGGTGGTGGTGGCAAGGTAGGGGGGGTGGCAAGGAAGGGGAGTTCGGGGTAGGCCGCACCTTGAGCCTTTGCAGGACCCACAAACCCAGTCCCCCCCTCACGCTCGCTCGCTTAGCTGGGTTAGCTGCACAGCCCCTCCCCTCCCCTCGGGCTGGGCGGGTCGGGCTGGCTCACATGTTGCTAACCGTGATGACGCCTTATCACACGGTCACTTCGTTGTTTCCTCTTTTGGTCTTTGAATCCCCTCCCTTGCCCAGTGCGAGATGCCGATTTCCTCTTTCTCCCATCCCAGACCATCCCTCGCCTCACCCCCCCCCCCCTCATCCCTCGCCTTCCCCCCTCCCTCGCCATCCCCACCCTTTCATCCCCCCCCTCTTCATCCCTCGCCTTCACCACCCTCCCCCTCCCCCACCCGAACTCAATGTCGAATCGGTCCCGGTCCCAGTCCAGGGAGCGGATGGTGAGCGTGTCCTCGGCAATGGGGAGGACCTGGCAGCGGCCAGGGGAGGCATGGCAGGGGGGTACTGGTAACAGGGGTCCCGCCGCCACGGTGGGCCCCCAAGGGGGTCTCGAAAGGGGTGAGGAGGGTAGGGGGCATCGGGGGCGCAATGAGGAAGACGAGGGGTGGGGTGGGGAGGAATACCCGATGTGTTGAATGAGAATGGCAAACAAGATGACAAGAGCCTGGTGAATGGAATTGCGTTAGTCGAGCCGAACGTGGGGAAGAAACGGGTGGGGACGAAGGGGATCGGACGCATGTAGGCAGGTGTAGGTGGGTAGGGGGGTAGGCTTATTCTCCTCAAGCCTCTTCGACCCGCCTCCCGCCTCCTCCCTCCTCTCCCACCTGCGTCTGCAGCCGCCTGGTCCCAGCCCACATGACCACATCGCTTAGCTGGTACGACAATTGCTGCTCCTCATCAAGTGCAGGATCGTACGACAATGCTTGCTGTTGCTGCTGAATGGTGGTTTCGGAGCCGCTGGAGCTGACAGCTGGTGAGGTCGTTGGCGTGGTGGTTGAGGTTGAGTTGGTTGGGGCCTGCAGCGATGGGTAGCAAGGTGCAAGAAATGGGTAGGTGGGATGGATAGCACAATAACCGACGGAGTATCAGCGTGACTAGCGACACGGCCCAAGGGAGACCTACGGCGAAACAGGGGTTAAGCAGTGAACGTGGGAATGTCGTGCGCATATGCCTTGCGCCTATGACCTAGGCCCATGTACTTCGCATATGACGTGAGACGGTCTGTGATTGTAGTGTCCCGGTATGCGAAGAGGCGATGGGATGGAAGGCAAGGGAGTTACTGCGCACAGGCGGACTGGATAACGCTGTGCGGCCCTCTGCAGTTGGGAATGCAGACGTGGCCATCACGTTGCACAGCCCAAACCCCTAATGAGCAGCCCCGCACCACACACGGCAACGAACGCGTGTTCTGGACACAAGATGCAGTTAATGCTTTTCCATATGTTTGCCGAGGTGTCGCGCTCTACTGGTATGCTTGCATGGTCACTCGCTGCGAGTTGGTTACCGGAACAGAACGGGTGCTTACCGCCGCAAAGGCCGTTTGGAACCGTAAGCAATGACCGCGACGACCGCGCAGCGTGAGATGGCCGGGCTGCGGAATGATTGCAAAAGGGCCATCGTGGTAGGATGTAAGGGGACTTCGGACTGTTGGGCACAATTGGATGCGCAGGAGCATGCATAGGTGGTAGTGTGAAACGTACGATTAAATCTGATCGTTGCGCAGGGAGGAGGGGGTGCGATAGGGCTTCGCCCGGAAGAAAAGTGCAAAAGCCTACAACGAAAGCTTCGCTGCCTGTGTGCTGGCTCCCAATCCATAGCTAAAGCTATCCGTAGCAATGGAAAAACGATACCGACATTAAAATTAGCCAGGCAGGAGATCGCGACTCTAGCTAACGGCATACCTACCCAACATGTTGCGGTCAGCCGAGGCGTTGACTTTATTCCCAGGGTGAGCGGTTGCATATTCAAGCAAAAGGCACAGACAAGCAGAAGGGCTAGGGGGGCCTACAGGATAACCTACAGGATAAATAGGACTTTGCCACCGGGAAGAATAATAATAGAGCCCGGCGATAAACGACCTTGTATGACATTGATTGTGGGCAATGCATAGTGGGCAATGCACAGTCGCTGTACCCAGGAAAGAGAGTTGCCGTACAAGTGTACGATTGCCAGGACAGCGTCCTGCGGAGTCTATGCTATAGGCTTGACTACTTCCTGAAGGATTACAGACACATTTGTGGATTGTCTGTCCGCCAAGTGGACATCTTCCCTTGTCATTGTCATTTGAGTCACTTTAGACATCATGGCCAGGGCACAGATTGAGCGCTGGGCTGCGGAGCACCCTTCTGCTCCCCGGATTGGCAAGTTCTTCGAGGTCCCGAACAGCTGGGTCCTGCCCCGCGTTGCTGCCGGCCTTGCTGCCGCGGGCTTCCTCTGCTGGGTGAACGCTGAGTACCTGTGGCTCCAGAAGCCGGAGAGCTACACCCCTGAGTTCCAGGCGGAGCAGAAGAAGATTGGCGAGGTCGCGGTAAGCAGGCTGGTCTGATGGCGGAAGAGGGGTTCCGGCATCTCTTTCACGCCAACAAGCTTGGGCTTCTTTGCAATGAATATCTTAGACGACGCCACAAAAATGGCTAAGGCCTTGCTACGCATGGAGCTCTAAATCAGCGCCTGGGCTGCAGTGCGCATCTGGCCGCAAAACGGCGGTGCCTTTGCCCGGCATTTGAGCTTGCCAGCTTGGACGCAAGCCCTGCATAATGACACTGTACTTTGGACTGTTCTAAGGACAGTATAAAATAGCTTCTGCCGCCCTAAGCCGGTACAAGTTTGGTCCTGATTGCACTATTCCGTGACTTTGCAGACACGCTCCTTAACGTCTTTCCCCTTACATGTTTGCCTGTTTATCCCTTTTTGCAGCAACGCATTAACGCTTCGCCGGTCTACCTGAACCCCTTCACGAACCGGATACCCGGCAGCATTCTGGGCCCCGAGGACGTCAAGGACGCCTAAAGCAGCCATGTGGGCTTCATAATGCGCACTTGTGCTGTGGAACAAGCCTTCAAAGTGGCGGGCCGCGAGCACTGGCGCCTGGCTTATACCCTTTTGTACATGCGAACAGTGAATGTTTGCTGGTGTGTAGACGTAGTTGTTCGAACATTGCTGTTCTGGTCTGGTGAAAGTGGGTGCGTCGGAGGGATAGCGTAGGCGTGCGTCGAAACCCAACGGTGTGAGGCTTCGCCAACGTGTAGTTGACCGCTTCTCTTCTCGGGTCCCGCGCGCGTAAATGTGTAATACACTCCTCCCTTGTAGCACCGTCTGGTCCCATTCATAGCCTACTACTCTGCTGCTGCAAAAACTTCAGCTCCTTCCTTGGCAACTTTTGCTGAAGAGCGACTCAAGCCGTTAGAAAGTATACAAATGCAAGCCCTGCTCAGTTTCCTAACCAAGGGAACCCTCCCTGCTGTCTTCATGATGACGAAGCTGACGGGTAAAGCTGACGTTTCAGCCATTCAACTCGCCCAATCAACTACCACACAGCAAAAAATACCCTCTGAAGCTGCCTCACTTCCCCACTCCAACCCCCGTCACCGCCCAACAATCTCACACTTCGTCGCAATGCAATGCAACCCCCCCCCCCCAAAAACGCTGTGAAGTGGAAGACCAGCGCAAAGGAGTAGTCGCAACACCAGCAACCCCTCCCGCCATTTACATTTTTCCCCACAGTCAGCTGGAGGTTGCTTCCAGGAGCTACCACATTTGCAGAACCGCCATTGCTGCAGCTGCTCTCGTCCATCCTGCAATTGCCGGCTGCTCATTGTCCCTATCGCAGTTACCGCTTATATAAAACGCGCTGTGGAGCCCTTCTGCTTCTTCTCCGTAGTTCCCGCAGCGTTTGCCACTGCAGCTACCGCTGCCGAATCTCCAGCTGCCGTAGCAGAAGCTTGCTGTTTTGCCTTGCCTTCTCTTCCTCCTTCTTGGTTGCCAGGCAAGGTGCATCAACATAGCACTTCTCACTTCCCCCCTTCACCCGCCGCCGCCATTGTCAATGCTGCCACAGCCTCCGCCGCTACCGCTATCGTCTCCTCAACCACAGCGTCCGCCGCCTCCGCTGCAGCAGCCGCCTGCTTCTTCGCCTCCTCCGCCTCCCTCTCCTTTTCCAGTTGCCGCAGCCGTGCCCGCTCCTGCCGCGCAGCCTCCCAATCCGCATGCGCAGCGATCACCTCTTGCTGCGCCTGAGGGGGGTGGTCCAGCATGGTGGGTATGGTGGGAAACACAAAATATAAGTGCAGCAACGGAGTCCCAATCCCAAATTCCGACTCATAGTGGGAGGTGGGAGGTGGGGATCCCGCCGCGGGATTAACACGTGAAACAAGAGTGCAAAAAGGCGGCGCAGCTGGCGACGTGAAAGGTACGGCAGCATCCGGAACAATGAGACCCGGACCAGGGCCTAGGAGGGGTAAAGGGGGAACTGACGAGCTGTATGACACGGCTTTACCATGGGGTACAAACATGGTAGCCGGTCCATCCCACCCAACCCGAATCAGCCAAGCCATGAGGTTTTGGGGGGCAGAAAGAGAGAAAGGGAAGGATGCGGTTGTGCCTTGCCCTTGCCCTCCGCCCTCCCCACCCACGCCTACACCCTCCACCCCGGCCCCAACACCATCCCCACCCCCCAACCCCCCACACCTGCGGCTGCCAGCGGAACCTCCGCAGGCTGGTCTCGAACCGCGACCAATCGGGGTGGTGAACCAGGTCGTTGAGGGCGGGGTCCAGGCACTGGGGAGGGGTGTGGAGAGGGGTTTGCGTGAGGAACGAAAGGGGTTAACGGGGACACAAGAGGAGGCGCAGTGTGTAGCGTCAAGTGCGAGGCCCAAGGGCCTAAGGGCCGGGCGGGGGGGTAAGGGGCGGGGAAGGACGGGAGAAAGCACAAAGGGTTCCCTTGTGTCGTCCGAGGAGCCTCCTGCACGTCTTACCTCCTGCCTGAAGGCGCGCAGGTTGTCGCTGCCCCCTTGTCGCAGCCCAAGTCGCTCCCCCGACCAGCGAGCCACTCGAGCCTCGTCAGCACCCGCCTGTACGCGCCCGTTGTACGGCATGACACGGTGTTCGTGCATGGTGGGGGGTAAACTAAGATACTAACACTACAATGATACAACTGGTGGTGCTGGTAATAACCCGTAGGAGCACGGAGGGAGGCAGAGATTTGTACGATCGACGACGACAATATGAAGGGCAGTCATATGTGCCGCTTCTTTCCATCCCAAGTTCCCAACCATCCCATCCCATCCCATCCCAACCGAAATGCAACCACTTCCGTACCTTCCTAAACGGCGGGAAGCTGCAGTCCGCCAGGATGAGCGTGTGCGGCGGCGCCCGGGGCACCGTCACCCGCGCGGGCGCCGCCAGGGAGGCGCGCAGCAGCTGCAGCGGGACCATGCCGCGAGCCGCCGCAAGCCCGCCCCCGATCATGTGGCGTATCTGGTGCAGCATGAAGCTCTGGCCGCGCACGCGAATGCGGACACAGGGGGGCCCGCCTGGCAGGGGAAGGGGGGAGGAGTGGGTGGGGTTGCTGAGGAAGCAACTAACGAACCGTGTGATACGGTAGGGTGGGAGGAAAGGGGAAAGAAAGGTTTGCACTTCGCACGGCTTTGGTAACAGTAAGCAGTGTCCGTTTCTTTGATCTTGCACGACGCGAGAGGGGAGGACGGGAAAGCGAGGGAAAACGTAAGGGGGGAGAGTGCCGTACCTGGCACCAGGGGTTCTGGGTCGTCCGCCGTGAAACTTGAAATGGTACGGAAATGCCGCACTGTCACGCGGTCACGTGAGTCAGCCTTGTTGTTGTTGTTGTCGTGCAACCAGTGGCAGGTTTGGATCCAAGTCGAGGGAGGGCGACCGGAAGTGGAGGAGTCGCTGTTGCTGCATGTATCGTACTGCGGGTGGGGGTAGAGGTAGCGTGGGTGGGGAGGGTAAGAACGGTGCAGCGGGAAAAAAGCGGCGAGGAGGGAGAAAGGTGCGAGGAGAAGCACGCGAAGGGGAGTGCGTGGAAGCACGGGTGAAAATTCGAGTTAGGCACTGCAAATTTGAGCAGATGCTGCCTTGTCTCCATTACCCAGCCCACCCATCAATCACCCAACGCCTAGCCACGCTGCGCCCGGCACGCTGTAACCCCTCCTCGGCCCCAACGCACACCTCTCTCCCGGTCGAACCCCCCGCTGCAACCCCCTTTCCCCCCAACCCCACCCCACTGCATCCCAAACCATAACAAGCAGCTCCCAGCGGTTTAGCCAGGTAGGTCATCCCCTCCCTCCCAGCAACTTACCTCCTCCTCCTCCGCCTCCTCGCCCTCCTCCCCTTCCTCATCCTCCTCCTCCTGTTGTACGAGACATGGTGGGGCGGACAGGCGGAAGACGCGAATGGCAGGCACGGCAGGTTTGAGGCAAGACGAGCACATGGAGCCCACCCAACCACGATGACAACAGCATACACATACCGTGTCAAAACCGTTGAAGCGCTGTGGAACCCAGGAGCATATCCAGATCGCTGCGCGCGGTACACATAGGAGCTATATACCGGTAGTAGATGCGGTCCCGCTTTCGTCGGCCAGTTGACCTAGCGCACTCCCCCTCTTTACCCACCAGCCACCCACGCCCGCACCCCTCACCTCCAGGGGCTCCTCCTCCTCCTTACGAAGCTTCCTGGCCCCAGCGGCAGCTCCGACCGAGGGGAGGACAACACCAGCAGCAGCGGTGGCTGCAGCATCAGCCGTTGCGTCGGTTGCGGTAGCAGCCTCCGAGATCACAGCATCGGCATCAGCATCAGCAGCATCCGTAGCGGTGCCGCAAGCAGCAGCAGCAGCAGCCTGTGTTGCGGATTGCGCCGCCGCTGCCGCACGAGCCGCCTTACGCGCCTCTGCGAGGAGAGTTGGAGATAGCAGCGGTAAGGGCGGTGACGGTGGTGGAGGAAGCAAAGGGGAGCAGGGGTGCTATCTATGGTTCACGTCCCTAGCTCTCTACCCAACCGCAACACTCACCTACCAGCCGCCCATCATTACCCCCCACCACGCCGCATACGAGGGTACGAGGGACTTCTACACACCCGTGCCACTGCAGCAACACCGGGGTCACCCGACCCCACCCTCCTCCGCCTGCTAAGGGGAAAAGCCAGGGCCGCGGTGCCCTTACCTCGCTCCCGGGCCGACTGCACGTACTCCCTCCTGCGTGCCGTGTAGTTGTGGAAGGGGTGCGTGCCTTGGAAGCAGCTCAGCGCCGCCCGCAGCCGACCCAGCGCCGCGGCTAGTTGCTGCTGCTTCTGGTCCGACTGCGGTGGCTGCTGCTCGGGCTCCTGCCCCTGCTCCTGCCGCAGCTGCCCCTCCAGCTGCGCGCCGCCCGCTGCCAAATTCACGTGTGATTGCAGCGACTGAGGCTCCGGGGTTCCCAGCGCTGCAGTGGCGTCGTTGGTGGTTGTGGCGGTTGAGGTGGTTGATGAGGTGGTTGTGGTGTCGGGCAGCAGCAGGTGGGCGGGCAGGAAGTACTCGTAGGTGCGGTCGAAACAGAACCTGGGAGGGGTGGGGTGGGGAAGGTGGGGAAGGCGGGAGGAGGGAAGAGAAGGGTTTCGGAGAGAGATGGAGGGGCACCCTAGCCGTCCCCGGGCTTAGGGAGGTTGGGCTGGGGTGAGGTGGAACAGCTTTCTCTCTAGTTTACGCGTGAGAGTTGTGCAGGTCGGGTGTGTTTCGGCAGGGAGAAACACTCACTTTTCCCCTTGCCAACCAACAAACCAACGTGTCCTCCTGGTCCCCTTGCTAACGTCCCGTTGCTCGCCTTTCCCCTCCCACACATTGGATATTATTCTTTCTCACACACAGCAGTAACGTACTACCACCCCCACAGCGCTGCCGCCGCCGCTCACCTCCGCGCATTGAACTTTTTGTTCACTCGTTGCACGCTGAACACGCGGACCTGGCGTCAGGAAGTTGAGGAGGCGGGGAGGGGGAAAAGGGATTAACACTGCCATGAGACCAGGATGGACGCCATTTGAATATTGCCAACCCTGTTGCCAACATTGTGTTTATCGCTATCGCGGGAAGAAACGTAAAAACAAATGGCAGCTACAAAAACCTTCGGCCCCCACTACAAGCTGCTGCTGCGGCGAGTCCCCACCCCCCACCCCAACTGTCGTACACACGCTCCCCTCTCTCGTCCCCCTAGCCTCCTGTCTCCCTAGCGGCCCTCAGCGTGTCCACCCGCCCACCCAGCTCACCTCCCGGGGCAGTCTGCGGTTGAGGGCAGCTGCAAGGGTGAGGCCCTCGGGGTCCGTGTCAAACCTGGGGGGGACGGGAGGGGAGGAGTGGAGAGAGGTGGGGAGGAAACACGCGTGGAGAGATAGCAATGCGTGGCAGGAGGGGCAGTAGCGATGAGAATGAGAAGGGGAGGAGGAGGAAACTGTTTGGGGCGTTGCATACCCGTAGGGTCTTATCCCCATAAACGCTATCTGTAGAGCCGTATGATCAGGGCTTCGGGCTAAACCCTCCATCTTACCCACCTTCGTCCCCCCTTCACCCAGGTCAGTTGAAGTACTCCCCCCCTCTCGCGGCTCAGCTTACCTAATCCCCCCCTCCCACCGCCCCACGAGTATTGTTGCGCTCACTGCATGAGATTGCCACATGGGATCTGTGCGCTTCACATCTCGCAATCTTGTCCCCCCCCCTTCCCCATCCCCTCACCTCTCATCCCCCGCCAGCAGCACCCGCAGCCCCACCACTGTGGACACCGAGTGCACCCCCTTGTCCGTACGACTGCTCCTCGTCCACTTGACCTTTTTCAAATCCCCGAAATTGGATTCCGCGATCAGCCCCGCGTCGTACACCGCGCGCTCCAGCAGTCCCTCCACGGTTTCCGGGAGGCTGCTGCTGCCGGTGCTGCTGCTGGCGGCGGTTGCAGCGGTTGTGGTGGTGGTTGCAGGGCTGTTGGCGGGGCCGCCGGGTGCCGAGATTCGGTTGATCTGGAGGCCTGGAGTGCATGGAGTCGCAAGCAAGAGGGTACCGGTTAGAGGTGGCGCCGTGGCGGACTTGAAATGTGGGGAGAGGGGAAGCTTGGGATTGGGTGGGGAGATGCATGGAGATTGGCTGGGGATATATGCAGGCAATACAGGGGCCTGAAAGAGTGCTGGCATTCTAAAGGACACTGAAATAAAGAAGGGGCGTTAAAGGAGGGGCTTCAGGTGGTCAACATGTAAAAGCATTGGCGAAAAGAATGGACGATGCCCATCTCTTGCTCTTTCGTCACCGACCCGCCCCTCACCGCCGTTCGCCCCTTTCACTCCACTCATGCCATTCAACTCATTCCCACACTCGCCCCACACACACCCTCCACTCCCAACCCACCGTTGAATGCCGTACCCACATAGCCCACATGCATTGCCACACAGCGTTTCACATGACCCGCGGGTCGCTTGGTCCGCAGCCCGTCATTGGCAGCTCCCGAGGCAGCGTAAGCTGCCGCTGCTGCGGCTTTAGCGGCGGCCTTGGCGGCTGCCCGGTCGGCAGCTGTTGTGGCGGTTGACGCTGCTGCATCTGATGCTGCCAGTGGTGCTGATGCATCGGTAAATGCAGTTGCGGTTGTCGCGCTCATGGTTGGCTCTGGTGCCGATATGGTTGGTAGGTTTGCGTCAGTTGCTGTTGACTCCTGCAAGGTTGAGACGGCTGGGGCGAGGAAGAGGAAAGGGTTATCGCACTTATCGGAGCAAAGGCGAGCGAGAGAGTTACCGATAAGGTGACTGCAGGTGTGTCGGACACGCCAGGATAGCTTATCGCGAATGTAGGAGCAAACGGTATCGGCCGGAGATGACTTGTTTGATAGCCGGGAGTATGTGGTTACGAAAGCAGATAGGATCTGGGAGACTCAGTACTTACTTGCACAGGCCCGCAACTTTGACTGGTGTTTGCGGAGGAAGGTACGGTTGTTTACGGGGTCGAGGAAGCGCAGGGCCACGCCAGCAGCGCCGATGGGACTTGCGAGTGGCAGTGGATTACGGGCAACACCTACCAAAGGGACGCGGCTGCCGGGACAGCAGGCCGACGTTTGCAATTGAAGAGCACCAGAATGATCCGCTGAGCAGCGAATATGGCCGGAAGTGGTCGCAGACGCTCGTATATAGTTAGTAGGTGTCACGCCTCGAAGCGATAAGTTAATCGACGGCGGAATCCTTGTGCTGCTTGCTCGTGGGGCGGCGGACAAAGGAGCAACAACAGCTGGCCTAAGCATATCTACCACTATAAAGGGTTCCAAATAATTAACGGCAGTCAATTAAGCTTACGAAACACGGTATGAAGCATTCTGTCCGCAAGCACCTTTTGCTTTCCTCGTAAAGCTCACGGCGTAATAGAGTTACGCCTGGATTGAATTATCTACAAAGAATGGATTAGAGGTAGTCTAAAAGCAGGCAAGTAACGCAGCGAGTGTTTTGCAGCTGGCAGTTGGCCATTGCTTGACAGTTGGCCGAGACTGTACCTAGGCTTTTTGCTACGGCTGTGCAGCTGCTCTCTGTTATACCTCATTAGAACCTTAAGAAAGTTACATCCTGGCCTGCGCTCCCTACCATTCCTGGTGGGGTTCGCTGGGGCCGCCGGACCATAGCGATGCGTCCAACACCCTCTGGATGCGGCTCTCTGCCTAGGTCCTACGCACATGATCGATGTGCTTTTGCTTGCCATGGCGCAAAATTCAGCGTTTCGGGCCCGTTGGACAGGAGGCATGCTGCAACCAAGGCGCCACTTGCCCCCCTTGCTGCCTATGATAACACAGCAAATTACCTACCTGAGCATAGTCGACCACAGCTGCAACGACAATTGGACGGATACGCGGATGGTCTTACGACTGGACACTCATTTGGCCTTGAACTTGCGCAAGCAAAAGCAGCGCCCAGCAGCCAGCACTTCTCCACAATGCCGGAGTTGCCCAGCCAAATACCAATTACTCCTTTATCTCCGACAATAGCTCGCGCGCTGGCAAAGGGCTTTCGGATGGGCGACATTGCACTTGCAAGCGTCGAGCCGCTGACGGTAAGGCTTGGCTAAGTTTCAAACCCTCCACTGTCCCATCCCCGTTCCTCTCCTTATCACCCAACAGCCCACTCTAAAGTACTTCTCACAACCTCCAAACCTATACCGGTGCACCAGGTCTGGTGCCCTCCCCGTGAGAACCCACATCGTCATGCCCTGCCCGGCCGGCCTGGGTGCGGCACCCCCACTCCAACCTCCACCCACATCACCCCCAGCAACGTGCCGACCCTCCAATCCACCGCCAAATCCAATCCCCCTACCACCACCACCACCGCTAACAGCAACAACGTGCACGACAGCAGCAGCGGTAGCAGCAGCAGCAGCAGCAGCAGCAGCAGCAGCAGCAGCAGCAGCAGCAGCAGCAGCGGTAGCAGCAGCAGCAGCAGCAGCAGCAGCAGCGCTGGGCTCCCTGAAAGCGCCCGTGGCAATGCCAACACTGGCCATGGCAGCAGTGGCGGCGCCTGGCGTGCAGTCGGAGGCCCTGCAGGCGCTGATTACGGGGTTGCGGCAGCAGCAGCGGGGCCAGCAGCGGGGCCAGCAGGCAGGGGCGGCGACAGCGGCAGTGGCGGCTGCGGTGCGGCGGACGTGTTGTTGCTGGGAGCTGCGGGGTTACCTCGGGACCTGTCAGCGCTGGTGGCGGTGGTGGAGCGGGTAAGGGGGGTGGGACGGGGGTGGGTGTGGGGGTGGGGGTGGGGGTGGGGGTGGGGGTGGGATGGGGAGGGGAAAGAATACCCATTGTGTTGAATGAGAATGGGGGGTGGCGGGTCAAAGGTCGGTGGGGTTGCAGGTGGGTTTGTTGGGAGGGAGAGGGCCCGCTGCGGCCCAGTACGGCTCGGCGCTCTTCCCACCCGCCCGCCCGACCCCTCTGACTGCCTGCCTGCCCCAACCAGTCCCCATGTTCCCCCCCCCTGTTCCTGGGTACCTGGTCCTGCCACACCCCTCCTCCTTGCGATCCTCCCGACCCACCCTGTCACCCGCCCAACCCCCCCTTCCCCCCCTCCACAGCTGCGCTCCCACCCTCCCCCCCGCGGCTCCGTGGGTGCGGTGCTGCTGGCCCCCAGCCGAGAGAGGGCGGAGGCGCTGCATGAGGCGGCGTTCGCACTGCTGGCGGCGGCGGGGGGCGGCATGGGCGTGATGGTGGGGGTGCGGGGGAGGGGTGCGGGGGGAGAGGGAGAGGGGCAGCGGGATGCGAGAGGGCGCGAGAGAGAGGCAGACGGAAAGAGGAGTATGGCACCTGCACCTGGTGTGCCACTACTATCATTCAGCGCATGTGTCTTCTCCCCCCCTTGTGTTTTGGTCTTCCCCCTCCCCCGCCCCCCCCCCAGGTGGTCCACGGCGGCACCCGGCTGCTGCGAGACGACGTGAGCGGACTGCGCTGCCAGCCGCCGTGGCTGCTGGTGGGCACACCGGGGCGGCTGGGGCAGCTGCTGAGGGACAGGGAGGTGAGGGACAGGGAGGTGAGGGAAGGCGGGGAGAGCCTTAATGAATGGGGGTTGGAAGTTTCACATGTTGCTGAATTACAGGATTGCGTTGCGTAGTCATACATGGGAAGGGGGGCTGACAGCAATGGAACGGCGCTGCGGATGGCACGAACGGCTCCGCTGAGGTCCGTTGCTCTCCCTCTTTGCCTGCCTTCCCTGCCTTCCCCTCCGCACTGTTCACCCCGGACCCTGGCGCCTCTGGGTGCGTCAGCCGTGCAAACCCTGCGAACCCGTACTCCCCCTCCCTGCACCCCCTGTCCACACAGGGACCACCCCCCGTGTACCGTACTCAACCCCCTTCTGGGTTGCCAACCACCCCCTCCCCTCTCCCCCTCACCAACACTTGTATTATGGCACCCTGCCGCCTCCTTTCCCCCTTGCTTTGCCCTAACCCGTGGTTTCCTATGGTGCGGTATGGTCTTTGATCCCCCTGCCGCCCCTCTCCCCCATCAGGCTCGGTTGGGCCCGCTGTTCGAGTCGCTGCGTGTGTTGCTGCTGGACGGGGGGGAGGCGCTGGCAGCACCTGGGCTGAGGCTGCAGGTGGGGCGGGGGAGGGGGATGGAGGGAGGGGGTGTTTCGATGGATGGGAGGGCTGGAGGGGCATGTGTGGGCGTGATTAAAAGGGATATGCGGGGGGAAGGGAAGTGGGAAAGGCGGGGAGACGGGTGAAACGGGGATGGACTGGGTGTGCCCCCCGTTTCTACTCCCCCGTTTCCCTTCCTTTCACGCCCATGCGCACCCCGACACACCTGTGTGTGTTGTCAGGTGGAGCGGCTGCTGCGGCTGCTGCCCAACACCGCCCTCTCCGGCTCCCGCGCTGCACCCGCCTCCTCCGCCTCCTCCTCCGCCTCCTTCTCCTTCTCAGCGCACCACCCCCGGCAGCAGACACCTCCCCGGCAGCCCCCCTCGCAAGCCAGCAGTGCGGGTGCGGCGGGTGCTGCCTTCTCAACTACTGCGCTGCCTGCTACTTCTCCTCCTCCCCCTGCCGTGAGGGCGTCGCCTCGCGTGGTTACGTTGATGACAGCCGCACTAGCAACAATACCCGCAGCAGTACCACCAACACCAACAGCAGCAGCAGGCACAACCCCACCTGTGGGGGCACCGGTAGCGCCCTCAGCAGCACCCAACCACCCAACCTCACGTCCCTCAGGGGTGGCAGGAACCAGCACCACCACCACAGCAGCAGCAGCCTCCGCTGCTCCCTCGCGTTCGTTCGACTTCCTCCTCCAACCGCCGGCGGGCCTGCATGCCCTCACCGCGGTGGCGTTACGACCGGGGTTCGTGGTGTCATACATGGGGCCCGCGGTGCCGTACTCTTCGTCATGTACGGCAGCGGCGGCGGCGGCGGATTCACGTCAAGTGTACGATCACGGCGGCGGCGGATGTGGTTTCGGAGGCGTTCCTGCGGGGGCCCCTACGTCATCCTCCCTGGCAGCAGCCGTCGCGGCGGCGCTGGCAACCGAGCGGCCTGCTGTCGCCGCCGCCGCCGCGGCTGCAGCAGCAGCAACGACCGCACCTTTTTCCCCGCTAGCAGGACCTAGCAGGACTGCGATGGCGCCGCCGCCGTCATCGCCACCGTCTTCTTCCTCCGTCGCCACAAGACCAGCAACGGCAACGGCAGCAACGGTGACGGCCCCGTCAAGACCAGCGATGTTGACAACGCAGCAGCAGCAGGCAGGGCTGCCCGCGTCCTCCGCCTCCGCCGCTAGCGCTGTCTCGGGGTCGGGGCCGTTCCGGACAAGTGCTGCGGCTCCCTTAGCGGCGGTTGCCGTACCTTTGCACGTACTTGCAGTGCCGTACGAGGAACATTTGTCGTACTTGTACGTCATCCTACGTCAGCATATGCTGTCGGAGGGCCGTCACAAGGTGGGTACGGTCTGCCGTGCATCCTTGTCGTATTTATTCTTAAGGTCCTTCGCAGCATGCACGGCTAAAGTGGATTGTGCGATTACCTCTCCGTGACCTCATACCGGTGGCAGGACAACACAATGTCCGTACATACAAAGCTGCTACAACAGTAACCGCCAAGCAACCTGAACGCTACATCCATTATTGGCCGCTTTTACTCAAATTGAAACTGATTGTCGTACCCTGCTGTTGTTGTCGTACATGCAGATCATCGTACAGTTCCCGAGCGCGCATCTTGCGGTGTTGTACGCCCGGATTTTCCAGGTGGGGCAGATGGGGCTGCTGGGGCACTGGGGGGCAGGGGGGCGGGGGGGATCCCCGGGGGGTGTGGTATGTGGTTGGGTGTTAGCGTATTGGTCAACTTGACCCTTGGGGCAAGATGGGTTTGGGTCAAGGGGGCTCTGCTCCACTGCGTTAGATGATGCTTCCACTGCACCAAGCAAAGCAGCACTCCTTGCGCCACCGCCCATCTCACCCTCATGTGTGCTCTGTCCCCTTCCCTCTCCTCCCTTTTCCCCTCCTCTCCCCCCTCCTACCTTTCCCCTTCCACCCTCATTCACACAAACACACGCACACGCGCACGTGTGTGTGGGGGGGGTGTACCCCAATGTACGACAAAACGCCGTACCCCAAGGCCCTGGGATTCCCCGTGGCTGAGGCCCACAGTCGCAAGGCCCAGGTGGCTCGTACGGCGGCCGTAAGGGACTTTGCTGCGGGCCCCCGGGGGTTGCTGTTCGCAACAGACCTGGGGGGCGGGGCGGGTGTGGATGTGCGGAGCGGCCTGACGCTGCTGTTGTGGGTGAGTGGGGTGGGGTGGGGCTAAGTACCATAGGACGATACCATACCATAGGAAACCACAGGTTAGGGCAAAGCAATGGGGATAGGAGGCGGCAGGGTGCCACAATACAGGGGGGCGGGCATGGTGTGGTACCGGTTGGAGAGGGGGGGAGTGCAGGGCTTGTGGTGAGGTTCTGGACCCCAAATCCTGCCTCCACAGCGCCGTCCCTACCGTCGTTCTTGTCCTCTCCCCCACTGTTGTACGGTACGATACGGTATGTACTCTCACCGTCATCTCCCCCCTCAACCCCAGATGGGCCTGCCGTCCGGTTCACCTGACTCGCTTGTACAGCAGTTGTCTGCCGTACAGCAACTGGTGGCTGCTCAGCAAGTGGCCTTGCCACCGCCGCCACAACCGCCTGCACCGCTGGCAGCACCGCATGCTACTGCCGCCTGCAGTACTGATGGCTGCAGCCCCCGCAGCAGCAGCGGCGGCGGCGCCGCCAGCAGAGCCCCTGCCGGACCTGGACTAACCCCGTCACTGTCACAAGCGGTGGCGCCGCCGCCGGTTACTCATCCTCATCCTCATCCTGATCCTCATCCTCCTCCGCCGCCACTGCTGCTTCCTCGCTGTCTGCTGCTGCTCAACGGAACGGAAACCCCGGTTGCACCGGTGGCGGCGGCGGCGACGGTGCCCAGTGTCGCACCATCAGCACCCGCAGCGGCAATAACGGGTCAGCTGGCGGCGGCGATGGCGGCGGCGGGCCTGGGGCGCGCTGTCGTACCTGTGAACCCCGGCGCCGTCTTCGCCGGACCGTTGGATGCCGTACAGGTTCGTGTCGTACACGCACTCCGGAAGGTTCCGCCGAATGTGAAGCAGAAGGGGCTGGAGGGCTGGCTGGGCCACTTGGTGGCTGCGAGTAGGTGCTGCTTGGACGCTAGGAGGAGCAGCAGCAGCAGCAGCGGTGGCAGTAGCAGTGGCAGGGACAGCGGTAGCGGGACGGACGGTTACGGCGGCAGTAACTGGCCTGCTGGAGGCCGCGCGGGCAGCAGCGGTGGCGGTAACAGCCGCAGTAGCAGCGGCAGGCCTGGCAGCGTGCAAGGGGCGCTAAGGGCGGAGCAGCTGGGCGAGTGGGCTCGACGCTTTGCAACCACAATGGGTAAGCAGGTGTGCCCAGCTGCTCCGCGGCATCCCCGGCCACCCCCGCTGCTGCTTAGCGCCCGTTCCCGTTGCATACATCCTGCTCATTACCCATGCCCTCTTGGCTTGCATGCATACTGGCTTGCTGACCCATGGGTCGTTCCCACTCACCTACCCACCCACCCACCACCGAATCAGGCTTGCCGCTACCCCCGCTGCTCAGCCGCCGAGCCGCGCTGCGCATGGGTCTCTCCCAGCTGCCCGGAGTGGCCATCGTGGAGGCTTACCCCGCACCCCCGCCCCTGCCGCCACGGCCTCCGCCCTCCCTGCTGCTGCACCCCCCGCATCACACCAGCACAGCACCGGTACCGCCGCCTCCCTCGCAGCCACCACAGCAGCAGCCACAGCAGCAGCCAGCGACTATGCCACAACAACCACCAATGACGGGGCAGCAACAGCCACAGCAGCAACAGGTGCGGCAGCTGCATCGAAGGACTTTCACAACGCCACAAAACCAGCAGCAGCAGCAGCGTCTTGTTGTTGTAAAGCAGCTGCGCAGGGTGCCGCGACGGGGCCCCTGCAGCCAACAACGGAAAGAGGGACAGCAACTGCAGCAACGCAAGAAGCAAAAGCCACAGAAGGTGGATGGGACGCCGCCGGGTCAGCAAACATCGCCGCCGCCGCCGCCGAAGAAACAGCAGCAGCTCAGCAGCGCGGGTTCGAATGAGCCCTGCAGCAGCATCGTGGCGGCAACGCCGGCTAGGGATGCCCCACCCGCGGAGCCAGGAACCACAACAGGAACTGCAAGCCCGACGGCGACTGCCGCGGGCAGGAAGAAGAGAAGGCACAGGGTTAGGTCGGGGAAAGGAAGGGCAGATGCGCAGGGGGTTGCCGGAGAGCAGGTTGCAGCTGGATGAGAGTGTCAAGGGTTGGTTATTGGCCGAGGGGAGGGGTGCAAGCCCATCCTCTGTACAAGGCGGAGTTGTATCCGTCGAGGTGGACCCACGGGGATGATGCCACCTTCAGTTGATGACCCCTGAGGAGCCTGCTCCTTGACATGGCAACAGCGGTGCTTCCTTGTGCGCTCTTACGCTTTTGCTCTTACGTGTGCTCTTTCACTGTCTGTTACGTAACTGCGGTGAGGTACCGGTAGTAGCGCGCAAGCTGTGACACGCATGGGGCCATGCATGGCGTATTATTGCTGGACACACAGCCCACAGCACTTGTCGTGGAAGGTTAGATCTAATAACTTCATGTAACGTGCGTCTTTCCGTAACGTAGCAAGGTAACGATCTGGGCGCAGGATGGGAACCGCGTCACAGCCCCTGAAAGCCTGCCTTGCGTCGGACACACAGCAAGTCACCATCCCCACTCCTCCTCATCGGCCGCACCCGCCAAACACGCACACCCTCATGCATCGGAACCGACTGGCATCGGCCATGCCCTAAAGCCATTCCGATGCCGAAACGGAACTCCCGCCCCCGCCCCCAGCTCAGTTGTTAAAGAAAGCCGTCAAAAAAGGACTGTGCTCTTATGCAGAAAAATAACACATTGCGGTCATGAAGCGGCCGCCTGCACGGAAGTCCCGCCCTGCGTGCCGAACCCGGTCCAGCCCACCTATCCTTAAGGCCCCCATCCTGAAAACAAGCGAGGCTCTCCATACGCCTGCGTAGCGAACCACTTTATGCTACAACGCTGCAAAACGCTCATCCCTTGGATGCAACCCGCACAACGCCGTCGTATTAAGCAGTACTAGGGTCGTGCTGAAGCGGCTTATACAATGCATATATACAATGCATCACGAAGAATGAAGAGAACGGATAAAACAGAAAAGATGTGCCTCACAATCACACTAACCGCTGCGGCTGCGAAGAAACGTCGGTCGTCGGGAACAACCCTCTAGCTACGTAGCTAGAGATTATACATGCTCTGGGCCCAAGGATTGTCACCAATTTTGATCAACCTAACCAAGCTTGCACATGTCAAAGAGGAGCTTCTGCAAACTGCACACATCAAACGGCCAACAGTGAAGCAAATATCCAGATTGATCACATTGATGTAAAACCGGCGTGAGAGTGTTACGTAGAGACCATGTACACACCGGCACCTGTGCCACTGCAGCAAATGATGCGTACCGCTCCAATTGATGTCACTGATACCGTACTCCGGCTCGACCTGTGAGCCCTCACAATCAAGCCCGGTTAACCTTGGCGTCTAAGGTGTCACCCCTCAAGGAGATGCACATGCGCCTCGCTGTCCAGGCACGCAACACCCACATGCCAAACAGCAGTCGAAGCCTGCAGGTTGTTGTTGCTGCCGTTCCCACAGCAGTGGCGGCAGTGCCGCATGGCCTGCGCGACGTTCTGCTACTTGCCCATCCCCCGCTGCCGCACACCCGTGCCGCTAAACGACGGCATCCCACCCAAGCTAACCTCCACCGAGACCCCATTCCCGGCGGGGTTACTGCAGCTGTAGCTGCTGCTGCTTCTGTAGCAGTCGTCGCTGTCATTGTCGTACTGCACCAACCGCATCACCCGTACTTCCGCCCTGACGTACAAGTACAGCGCCAGGATCATGACGTGGCAACCGGCGAACAGCAACGTCACATGGTTGACGTGACCGTTACCCAACAACCGACACAGCGTGGCGTCCAACGGAACCCCACTTAGCGCTAGAAGGGCCCCGGAGAGCAGCAGCACAAGGTACCTTCCCTGCTGCATGTGTAGCCGCTGCTGCAGCTGCTGCCATTGTTGGGGCTGCTGGTGGAAATTCAGCTGCTGCGGGTACGACAGTCGGCGTTGGCGTTGCCTGGAGGTGAGGTGTCGGCCCACGACTGCGGCTGAGAGCACTGTGATGCCAATGTAGAGGAGCTCGGGCATGAAGGGAATGTGGGAGCCCAAGAACCTGCGGCCGGTGGGTTGCGGCATGGGGGCGGGAGGAGCCTTAGTCGGGTAGGGCTGGGTTGCTTGGATAGTAACACATATTCAACCTTCCGGTATGTAAGGGTGTGGCCTTGTCCTGTTGCACTGATGCAAAGCGGACGGAACGAGGCAGAGCGGACAGCGCACAGGGCGGGCAACCTTCAAGGAATCCGAGAAAGTGCGAGGCCGCCTTTCTTCCACGCGCCTTGTCCACCCCAAGAAGCCACAATCCAGAAGCACCTACACCAAACCTAAACCTAATCCCCCACCCCACCCGCACCCGTACGACCCATGCCCTCCCAACGAGCTACTCACGCAGCAGTCATGATGGCGCCCACTCCCACCACCACCACAAGCCTGCCAGCCGCATCCCGCCGGCCACCGCCGCCACTGCTGTTACCGCCATCCCCGCCACACCACCCGCCGCAAGCAGCCAGATCGTTACCCATGCAGGCGCACAGGGCGCAGAAGGAGCAGCAGCCGGTGGCCGCCACGTCAGCTGAGATGGCGAGGTGCTGCCAGGAGCTGGAGCGGGGCAGCAGGCAGTGGCTGAACAGCGCAGCAAGGTTCATGAGCGCGTAGAAGGCCATGGCCTACGACCCGTGAGGCCCATGAGGGGAGTGGGGTTGGGGTTTAGGGCTGCTGGGTACAGGTTGTGTAAAGGTTTATGAAAAGGAGATGCGTGGTGAGGTTGGAGCATGAGGGTGCCGGTTGGTACTTGCGACGTGGGCCATTTGCAGGGAGATGGATGGAAAGGGAGGGAGTGGAGTCGGGATTAGGCTGTTGCAAATAGCTATAAACTAAGGTTGCTTGCTCGCGATGTCCTTTTCGAAAGGCACGAGAAAGTACAGTTATTAGGACAATCCTATTGACAGTAATTACTATGGAAGTGGCACGATAACCCCGCATGATGTGCCCCCAACTCGAACAACACCAGGGCCTAACGTAAGAATACGCGTTGCTTACCAGTGGCCATGCAAACAGCGAGCGATCTATGCGGCTCTTGTGCTGAGCCCTTGCCGACAAGCTCACGCATCCGGTCACGCCCAACTGCAAATAGCAATTCCGCTTCAGCAAACATGCCAGAGAGAAGGCCTTACAGTAAAAGGCCATATCTACTTACAGCGATGCCAAGCAACACCACAGGCACCAAGGTTGGCCAACTTATGACCATATGCTTGCCCGCCAAAGACTCGGGGACCTCCAGCGTAGGCTTAAAGCATACTTCTTGCAGATCAGGAGGGAACAACTGTGTAAAGATATGGGAACGCTTGCTGCGCAGCCACTGCGAAGTATGTGGAAAGAAGACATCAAGGAATTCCGTCGACATGGCGCGGAGTTGCTAAGTTACATGAGGTAAATCACGTATAGATATGTAAAACAGCCCTTAGGCACAGAGGGGAAGACGCTGTAACATGCCAGCGACAGTTAACACGGTTGTACGAGTATCAGCTGCTGCCTTGCCCCTGGTCTCGTTGTGTTGTCCTGCAGCGTACCCACTGGCACCCAGCGGCAACACGCTTCTTGACGACGAAACTTCCTTCTGATGCTTACTGCCCCAACACATCTGACTACAGTACGAAACATCATCAGGTATCACCCCCTCCTTGCCCCGTACCTCCCCGCCTTTACCGAACTGGCGCTGTCAATAGCAGCCGCTAACAGTGCCCAAGCACGGCTATGGGATAAGCCGGCCACCGCTCTAAACAAGCAAACAGCAACGCCATTCCAACCGGCTACTTTATTTTTACACCGTTATCACCTAAGCTCACGTCCCGCCACTTCCACCGGCGGGACCAACTCCACCTCCTCCGCTCCCTCCACGTCTCCCGCTCCCTACATCCTCACGGCTCCCTTCCCCAGGCGCCTCCTTGCGTCCGGGCGACTGCCGCATCCGCCGCCTAGCAGCCGGCAGCACCGCGGCCGCAGCAGGTGCGGGAACGATGGGCTCGCGCCTAGCCAGCCAGGGCAGAGGGGGCTGGTCCTGCGGGAAAGGCGGCGGGAGGGGTGCAGTACGCACAGGGGCTATAAAGTACTGGGCTTGGGAGTTGGGAGTTGAATCGTCGGGCTGAGAATGTTTTGCCGTACAACACATGTGTGAGGCTGCCCGGGCCCCTTCTTCACGTCTGTCGGCTTTAATTGGACTTCCCTGGGCCTCCCTAACCCCGTCCCATGCAACCATGGAACAGAGCAATCGCCCCCTCCAGCCACACAAACCCCCCCCACGCACCCTCCGGACACACATCCTCCGGCATGGGCAGCTGAAACCCACCCACCCCCCCGCCACCCCGCCTCCCCCACCTGCAGCCCCATCACTCCCCCCTCCTCCTCCGAGCGGAAGGTGGTGTACCGCGGCCCCAGGCAGGCGGCCAGCACCCCACCCGCCAGGAAACCGCCCAGGTGGCCCCTGAGGGGGCAGGCGGGGGGGGGGGGGAATTATATAAAAGTGAAACAACAAATCCCAATCCCATATCCCGACTCATGCAGTGAGCGCGGGGGGGGGGGGGTAATAAGGAGATAGCTGACGAACTGGATGTCGAGGCTTCACCCTGGGTTGCTAAGTAAACCCGGCCAATCCCACAGATGGGCAGGTAGGGGTGAGGGTGGAGGGGGGTGAGCAGCGGGACGGTGAGGGTGTGCGACCAGATCGCCCGCATCACGACACGCGACATTGCTATTCACCTCGCACACCTTGTCCATGCCGGCACCCGTTTGTTGCAAAACACACACGTTCCCATAACCCCTGCTCCCCCCTGGCACCTCCCTTTGTGTTTTGGTTTATTCTACCCTGGCACCTCCCTCCCTCAGTTTATCTAATACCTCCCCAACACATTGGGTATTCTTCTCCCTCCCCTCCCTCAGCTTCCCGCACCAGTTGTCCAGCCGCTTGTTGGCTGCCGCGTACACCGCGTTCACGGCCGCCGCCAGACCCAGCGATCGCAGCCCGCTGTCGCACGCGCGCTCGCCGAACGTCTGGCGGTGGCGCCTGGGGAATGGGAGGAGGAGAGGGGGGAAGAGGGGTACCCGATGTGTTGAATGAGAGGAGGAGGAGGAGAGAGGAGAAAAAGTAATTGAAAAGTGCAGCAACGGAGTCCCTATCCCATTTCCCGACTCATGCAGTGAGCGCATTCTTACACGCAACTCAGCGGGGAGAGGTGAGGGAAGGGCGGGCGGGCAGCCGGCGGTAATGGGTGGTGGGGGTTGCTTGCAGGGGGAGGAGGAGAGGCGGTGGGGGTGCGGGTTGTGCGAGGATGTGAATGAGAGGGCCACTGCCGCCCCCATCAACAGCTCCAACAGCAGCTCCAAAACTCAAAATCACTACCGAACATGCCCGGATATTTACACATCCTCCTCCCAGCCGGGATAGCTCCTCTTTTAAAACACCGTGCCCTACACGCCCTGACGTACCCGCACCCCGAACCCTCCTTCAACACCAGCACACCCACCAGCCCCCCCCTCCCCCCCCCTCACATGAAGAACAGCGCCAGTGCCGCCCCCAGTCCGTACACCGCCCCGCTTGCCCCCAGGGAGGTGGCGGCGGGGTTGAGGAGGTGGGAGGCCAGCGTGGCGGCGAGGCCTGGGGGCGGGGGGATGAAACGATAAATGGATTGTGAGGCAACGGAGTCCCAATCCCATATCCCGACTGGGGGAGTGAGAGGGGGTGAGGGGGGAAGGAGAGAGAGGAGGGGACGGGATTGCATGGGGGGGGTGGAGAGGGAGGAGGAAAGGGGAGGTACAGGCTGGGGTGAGGGTGGTACAAGCGTGTAGGAGGCAGCGGCAGCCAGGAGTCCTCCGACGTTATGGAATCCATTAGAGTTACCGACTGGCGGACCCATGGGTCGGTACGTCCCCCTTCATCCAAGGCAAGGTAGCCCCTCGCCGCCGCGAACCCAGCCCGCACATACCCCCACCTACCCGATGCCAAGTAGATAACTGCCGTACGTGCATGTCCGGAGGTCAGTTCCACATAGGGCCCGACCTCGTTGAGGGCTTGGAGGTTAACCTGCGGCGGCGGAGGGGGGCATGGACAGGGTGATGCATTAGGAATGCCGAATGCATGCGGGAAAGGAAGCACACAGGGTGTGCCAAGCACCGGTATACTCCGCCGGCCCGCCCGCTGCCTCACCGCCAAGTGGAAGGGGTTGAGGTGCAGGAACATGGGGGTCAGCAGGCGGTGAAGCTCGCCCTGGTTGATCAGGGGGGAGCACTGGGGGGGTGGGGGAAGAAGGGGGGGCGCAGGGAACATGGGCAGGGACAAGGGGTTTGCATTGCAATCTTTACATGGAGACGTAGGAAGGTAGGAGTTTTGGTTACGGCAAATGGATATGGAAAACGAACGGTAATGGTACGACAAAGCGGGTAACGGTGTTGGAGGCCAAGATTCCGGCAGACGTAGTGGCAGGGTTTGGTTAGTGGTTAGTGGCGGGATGCGCAACGACGCTTTTGGCAAGCAGCTTGCGCCAGGGAGGCTCCTGGGGCGGGTTCCTACTTGTGGCAGGGATGAACAGTGTTAGCAGTGTGCAGTGTGCAGTGTGTTGCAGTGTGTTGCAAGTATCTCATCTCCATGCATCTCCTCTTGCGGTTTGCCTACCCCTCGTCAGGCGTCAGTCCTGCGGTTCCCCGGTCCCCCCTGCTCACACCTTGACGCCCCACAGGTTGATCGAATCCTTGAGCAGCCAATTCAGGACGAACAGAAAGGTGTTCAGCGCGAGGAAGATGTCGGTGACACGGCGTTTGGGGTGACCCAAATCGGTTCCAGATTTAGGCGTCCTGCACACATGCAGTCAGACTCTATATTAATCCATGACAAGTGCGGCGCTCGTATTCGTGCGTATCGGAGTAGCTATGTGTACTTACCACCTTTCCCTCTTCTTGTCGCCGTTTGCGCCAGGTCCCGTGTCGGCCGGGTCGGGTTCCTGCTGTGACCCGCCAGCATCCGGCATGCCTGGAATGCCGGCAGCAGCTGCGCAGGACACCAGCAAGCGCATGCCGTATTGGGCTCGAAGGTTGGAAGAGGGGCCATGTCCACGTAGCGCCCGCTTCAATTGGACTCTAGCGCGGCGCCAGCGCCTGGCCAGCCAGGAATGTCCGGGCCATGTGCCAGCTGAGCTGACAAGGCCTCGGGTGCCGTGGTTCATGGCACGGCGCAATAGAAGCAGATGACTGTCAAAGCTTGTCTTCAGCTACTTGCAAAGGGATGGACAACGGTGTAGTGACAGGGCCAGCGTCGGTGGTTGGTCTTGCGCTATACGACGCGTGGCTTGCATACCATCCAAGGTTTTCACCATTAGAAACGTTTGCACGATTAAAAAGCAATTTTTGCGATAAACCACGTGCGCGACGAAGGGCATGCTCAGGGCGGCGACCTAACAGTTATAAGCCCACATATGCATGGCATTTAAAACGTTACAAAATGTTCGTTTGTCAATTGGTTCACATAAGCGCTTACGACCGTTCGACTATTGGGCTTCAATTGGCGGTTGATGGATTTACATTGAACCAGGCTGCTTACAAAAAGGGCTCGTAACTTGCGGAACATGGACATTAAAGCTTTGGTCTGCATTAACGCATTAACACTGCTATCTAACATGACGCGCGTCGTTCTTTTCGGTGGCACCGGCATGGTCGGCCAGGGCTGCCTTCGGGAGATTCTTCTTGACTCAGGGATCACTAACGTACTGGCGATTGGAAGACGGTCAATTGGGAAAGAGGACCCTAAGCTGCGTGATGTCGTCATAGGCAATCTGTCAGACCTCAGCGCTGTTGCTACTGAGCTCAAAAGCGTGGACGCCTGCCTCTACTGCCTCGGAACATCAGCAGCAGGGATGAAGGAGGCGGAATATACCGCTGTAACGAAGACCCTGACGTTGAATGTCCTGGATGCATTGCTGGCAGAGAACCCCAACATGCGCTTCCTGTACGTCTCGGGAGCAGGCTCAGATGCCAAGTCATCGACCATGTGGGCACGCGTTAAGGGCGAAACCGAGAATGAGGTGAGCTGCCCGAAGCTCCAGCCCTAAGCGCAACAATGGGAACGTCCCCACGTCCCATTGCTGGTACCTTGCCTGACCTTCCCGTCTACCTTCACATCCGAGCCAACCACATACCGACCATCTATTCACCTCCCAACCTCCCGCATCCGAGCCAACCACATACCGACCATCTATTCACCTCCCAACCTCCCGCATCCACATCGCAGATCCTAGCACGCGCCCCAAACACCGCGGCCATCTTCCGGCCCGGCCTCATCGAGCCGCTGCACGGCATCAAGGGCCAGCAGTCGCTGCTGTACAAGCTCATGTACGCAGCCACACCCCTGCTGCGAGGTCTGGGCGCGCCGGTTACCTCAACGGAGACCCTGGGTCGCGCCATGGTTGCGGTTGCCAAGGGCGCAAGCACTCCAAAGAAGATCCTAGAGAACGATGACATTAACAACCTTGTTAGGTAGTACGGCAGCGCCCCACCTAAGTACCAAGCACTCACCAGCAGGGGTTGTGTGAGGCTGAGACGCAAGTAGCAGTAGTCTTGGACTCATGGTACGACGGCTGGGTTGGTACGGCAACGCATGCTGTACGACAGCGAGATGTAGGACATGGGCTGTAGCGATGTACGGCAAGGTATGGTGTAGGACGGTTTTGCAGACGGGGGATGAGTACCGTCAGTGTGCCTGCAGCTCTTGCACGCAGCTGTTGTGGTCTCGCTTTCTGCTGGCCCCCGCCACTGGCTGAGTGCAAGTGAGGCACCACTGTGTGAACAGCGCTGCTAGGCATACCCCTTCAGTGTAAAGTAACAAGTACGACAGGGCTGGAACGTTGGGGTTCCTAACGGTTGCAGGCGTTCCAAATGGATGTGGTGGGGGCGTGGGGCGTGCTGCTGCATGGCGTAGTTTCCCCTGTTATCGTTCTGTCGTTCCGCATAAGAATGGCATACAATGGCATGACATGAAGTGACATGACCTCCTTTGAAGCATCAAGCTGACATGCTTCCAAGCTTCCCAGCATGACGTACGGGAGGGCTGTGTCTCTTTTGCCAGTGCGGTTTGCATGTGTTGCTTCCATGTCTCATGGGTGGGAGTCCCTTGTCGACGCCCTCTCCCCCATGCTCGAGTGGGCATTAAGCAGGTTTCCATTGTTTCTTGCATGCTTCATTGCAGTCCTGACCTGGTTTTCTGCACTAGGACGCCCTTAGCTTGCCTTACGTGATGTATGTACGGTATGGAGCTGCTCCGCATTCTGTAAATACCTTATTGCATGGATATATGGTACCGTACAGAGAATTGTTGATGACAATGATTGAATGGTAAACAACCAGTAAAGGTGGTAAGAAAGGTGCCGTTTTAGCGCGACTGAAGGTAATATATAAATAGTTACGGCAAGAAGGGAATGGCGAATGCGGTGGTTAGGTGTGACTCAGCAACTAGTCGTGCCGGGAAAATGACATCCAGGGCGCACAGTCAGTACATCTAACGCTATTGCTACTCTCAGCATCGTCAATGTGACGCTTAGCAACTGCAGACCCCCGCGTTACGCATTCTGACGGCAGAAAGCGAGGAGGTCAGCGTTGGAAGGACAGTTTCAGACAAAATGCTGGTATCAGTCAAACGACACCGAGAATGCCAACGGAAAGTTTCAGTCTTGACAGTGCCTTTGATGGTGGACTTTGTTGGTGTTATCTCCTTTTGATGGCTTTGAACCCTCCCAGCCCTGACCCGTGGGCCAAGGCCGGGCATGTTGCGGTGCAAAGCAGCCGACGCCGGACTGCTGGGGTGGGTTCTATAGGCGTTCAATGCCGCAAAGCTAAGTGGACGAGCGGGCTGGGTAGGCGGTGCCGGCGGCGAGGTCCACTAGGGCGAAGTTGTACGGCAACTGACCCCGGGGCTTTCGCAAGGAGGAGCACCGTCGACTGCACTCTCTAGGTACAACTTAACACCGCGACGACTACGAAACGGTTTCATTGTAGGATTAAGACCAGGGAAATGAGCAACAGCAAGGCGGCAGGCGGATGTACGACACGGTCCCCAAGTGCGCTCTGCAAACAGCAGTTTCAGTACCACGTCCTTTAGAAATTACTTCCTGTTCCTGGGTCACATTTAAAGCAGTAGGACTTGGAGGTATCGGCCCAGCGCAGTAGCTCGCAGCAGCCAAGCCACGGAAAGAGTCGAAACTTCAGTTGCATTACGCAAGCTATGGCACGGCCTTAAGTTTTCATACGTTTTAAGACTGCCTTGTAATTGAATTGTCCTAGCTCTTCCTGTTGGTAATTGCAACACGCTTAATTAGAGCTGTTGGCCTAGTTGACGCAAATATGACTCTTTAAGAGTACATGACATATTTAAATGTTTCTAAGCAAGTTGCATGGCTCCCCTTGGGCGCGATGGCAGGGCCTGCCGAAACGGTCCATGCTCTCTACGCCCTTAATTGCGCGACCGACAGCGCCACATGCAGCAGCTTCTGATGCGCCTGATACCAGCTATCGTCCGGGCCCTAAACGGGTGCCGTCTGGTCGGCGACAGCGTACCCGGAAGCCCATGCAGCGTCGTGCGCCGCCGCCCGAAGAGCGCGAGGCGCCTGACAACATGTTCATGGACCCAGGGCGGTTCAACATACAAGAACAGATGGAAATTATGCAGCAGCTTATCAGCCGTATGACGGACGAGGAGCGACAGGAGTTCATGCAGTTCATAGCTGAGCAGGAGACGCAAGCGGAAGGCGAAGCATTTGCTCAGTTGACACCTGAGCAACAGCAGCAGGCCATGTACGAAAGTTCTTTTGAGGCCTTCCAAGAGCAGCTGAACGCGGGGCTTTGGAGCGCAATTCTCGACAACATGCCGGACGGGGATGCAGAGCTACTCCGCAAATTCCTTCCCCCGGGGTGGTATGGACACGCCAACAACCTGACACGCAGTCAGGTTGCAGCGGGCATGGCTCGCCTGAGCAGGGCGGAGCAGCGACGGTTACCCAATGCCATCACCCAGGCGACCGCGCTGCAGGATAGCTTTTTCACGGCTGCCGTCGCACATGACAAGTACAACCGCATATCAGCGCAGCGCCGCAAGCGCATGGCTGCGCAAAAGGGCCTAACGATATCAGAGCCTGACCCAGACGCTAATCATGTCTTCTCCATGGCCGATGAGGATGACGTTGACCCAGATGACGCCTCCGGCGACAACGACCAGGAGAACATCAGCACATCCCAGCGGCCGGTCACTGACATCAGCGACCTACTTTCACGGGTGCGGCAACGGTTAGAGCGGGAGGATCTGCAGCAGCAGGAGCAGCAAGGTGGACTAGACAGCCCAGCAGCGGATGCGGAAAAGGAGGAGGAGGAGGATGCCTATGCCTACGCCGATCGCCGCCAGCAACCAGGTGCTAGTACTAGCGGCTGCAGCAGCAGCAACAGTGATCGCAGGAGGTATGGCAGTAGCAGCAGGAGTAGCAGTAGCAGCCGGCGTGGTGATAATAGCAATGGTGATATTGAGGAGGCGGAGGAGGAGGAACAAGAGCAGGAGCTGCCTATCCCTGCCGTACTTCGGGAGCGGTTAGGAAAGATGAAGGAGGCGTACGACATCTACGTGGCAGGTGGCGGTTGGCAGCGGGAGATGGAGCAGCGGCACAGCAGCGAAATGCGCAACCTCATTCGGTGGGTATATCATTTGTACGACAGTGCGGTACAACAGTGCGGCTGCTGTCGCCGGTTGGGGTGGTTGTTGGGGGCAGTTGCGGTGCCGCCGGTTGGGAGGTGGTTGTTGGGGGCAGTTGCGGTGTCGTTGTGGTGTCGTACCAGAGCACTGCTGGTGCTTCCACATGTATTTGCCGAGCACCGTCTCGGAGGTTTAGGGGACAAGCACGCACGCACACAGAGTCACACATAGCGCCCCCAGCGCCGCATCAAAAGAGCCCTCATTTCGGCCCTGGAGGGGGACTTCCGGTGCCTAGCGGTCGGGTCACACGGGGGGGCTCAGGGAAGGCCCAGGAAGGCCCACAGCGCTCCCCCTCCGGTCTCCGCACGCTCGCTTCATGCAGCAGCTGCCAGGGTCCCCCGGGGGGGGGCGAACCAATTGCGCACACAATCTGCTCATACACACCGCCTCGCGGCCAGTATTCTGAACACACAGACACGCGCTTCTCCGCTCCTGCACTTGCCCAGTCTCAACATGCAACCCTGCCCCGCCGCCACCCACGCGTGCCACCTACCGCCACCCCCCTCCCGGTGCCCCCCCCAGGTTGCATGAGGAGTTGACGGAGCTGGCGACAGCAGCGGCCCGGCTGGCAGCCCTCACGGGGGCACCTCACACCACCGCTAACAACAACGGCAGCAGCGCGGCCAGCAGCGGGGGCAGCAGCGAGGGGAGTCGGGATGTGCTGATGTACGACAGATCTGCTCGTGTGCTGGCGGCGGAGGTGGAGCAGCGGGGGGAGGAGCTGGCGGGGCAGGTGGCGGCGCTGTTGGAGCCGGGGACACGGGGGAGGCTGCAGGTGGGGTGCGGGTAAGGGGAAGGGGGAGGAAGGGAGGCCCCATGTGTTGAAGGAGAATGGCAAACAAGACGACACGCTCCTTCCTCCTCCCGATCCGCCCACACTCGCCCGCACGCACCGGTACCCTCCCGCGCGCCTTCTCACTCACCCGCCCTCTCCCACCGCCCTTTCCCGCCGCCCCTATGCATTCCCTCACCCCACCCCACCCCGCTCGCCGCTTTGACTTAACCTGTGGTTTTGGTTGTATCTCTTACCCCCCACCGCCCCAAACCCCCACGGCCTGCAGGACCCGGCTGCTCGCGCGGTGCTTCGCTACATGGAGACCCAGCTGCTGGCACCCGGGGAGGGGGAGGGGGAGGGGGAGGAGCAGGGAGGAGCTGCACTGGAGGTGGATGAGGAGTCGCTAGCCAGGTGGGGAGGTCGGGGGTGCGGGAGTGTGAGGGCAGCATGGCAGTAGGGAGGTGAGGGTAGGGGGTGTGGCGGGGATCTGGGTCTGTAGCTGGGTCTGAAGGCGGTTGGGGATTAATTTGGAGACGTAATCCCCAAGGCGGGTGGGGGCGGGGGGTGCGGTCGCTTTGTCACCGGGACGCGGGGCGACTGGAAGGGGAGGTGAAGGGCTAGGGTAGGAGGGTTGGAATCCCGGCTTTCCTCATCCCAGAACCGACCCCACCCATATGCAACCCCCACCCGCCCGCTCCGTGCACAGTTGGTTCCGTTCGCACCCCTTCCCCCTATCGCACCTCCTCCTCCTTCCTACTTCCTCCGTACACACACACACACACACACACACAGCTCGCGGCCAGTTATCTAAAAACACACACGCGTGCCTACACTGCCGTACATTGCCGTACAGGTTGGGTCAGTTCATGGTAGCTGCCAGCAACTGGGAGGCCTACCGCCACTTCATGGGCCTCATGGCGGTACGGCACCCGGAGCTGCAGCTGCAGGGGGTCATGCAGGTGAGGGGGGGGGGTGGGCGCGAGGGGGGGAGCTGATGCATGGGGGGAGGGGGGGCATTAGGGGAGCTAGGAATGGGGGCGCGCCGGGTGTGTGGGTGTGTGGAGTGCAGGCGAAGGAGCTAGAGGTGTTACTTTACCGGTCCTGAGCCAGCACTCGGGGCGACTTACCATGTCTTGTGTGCTTTTGCACTCCGCCTCTCCGGCACCTTGGCCCGTCCCGCCGCGTTTCCTGTGGCAGCTAAGGAGGGCAAACAAGGAGCCGAACGCCCTCTGCCGCTGCTGCTCTCTGTTGCACCCGCTGTAGGCTGCTGGCATGTCGGATGATGACGAGTGGTGGGTCAAGGTTCCCGACATCCCGGATGACGACGACGGGGATGGTGACGGGGACGGGGAGGAGCAGCAGCAGCAGGCCGGCGGGGCCTCTTCTACTGGTGGGAGCGGAGCGGGTGGGCAGCAGCAGCAGCAGCAGCACCACCGCCACCCGCAGGTGGACTGGGCTCGCGTGGAGGCCATTGCCGCGCTGGATGTGGACGTGCTGGCTCTGCTGACGGACCTGGAGGCAAGCAGCTACTCGGAGGAGAGCTTCATGCGCTGGTACTTCCACCCGGGGTTGGGGCCGCGGATACGGGCGGGGGGGCTGGCTGCGGGGGCGGGGGCGGGGGGTGAGGGGAGTGGGGCCGGTGGGTTGGAGGGCTTGGGGTTGGGGGGGTTGGGGTTAGGGGGGTTGGGAGGAGGAGGGGCGGGTTTGGATCCGGCGGCATGGATGGTTGGGTTGCTGGGAGGTGCGGGGCTGGGTCCGCTGCCTCCCCTGGTGAGAGAGGCGATGGAGGAGGCGGTGGCTGGGGTGAGGGCGGGAGGAGGAGCAGGGGAGACAGGGGAGGTATGGGGAAGTGGAGAGGAAGGGCAAGGAGAAGGGGGTGAGGGGTGGTGGGTTGGGGAGGCGGTGGAAGAGGTGGCTAGGGCGGCAGAAGGAGAGGAGCGGAGAGAGGGCGGTGGCGGTGTGGGGAGGAGGAGAGGGTCGAGGAGTGGGAGAAGACGGCAGCAGCAGCAGCATCGGGGAGGCGTTGCGGATGGGGCAGGGTGAACGTGGGGTGCAGGGGTTGGTGAGAGGCATTGCAATGCATACAAATGTTCAAAAGTAATAGGACCGAGTAGGCGACTTAACCGGTAGTAGGCTAGTAGAGAGGCGAGACAAGAGTGGAAGTGAGATGAAGAGAGCCGTTGTGTTGTGTTTTGCTTACGACATTAGGACGTGTGAGAGCGACGTTTTCATAGATCAGTCCTATGAACAATCCTCTAAGTTTTGTACTCCAATGTACAACCCTAGCGATACAGGAAATGCCGTACAGCTTGTTGTTCGTCTGTACTGCCTGTTGCATAGTGGGACATCTCGGACCGTGTTTTGTGATCAACGGAGAGTGTGGCACATCACACATTTCTCCCGGGTCTTGTTATTTTCCTGGACCTCTTATGGTGTTACCGGATGCAGGGTTCGTCCTTGAAACCAGCCCACCACCCTTCAGATTCCCTCCGCGTGTGAGGCGGTCTGATGCAATCGGTGCCACCAGCTAAGCTGCCGCTCACCCCATCGTTCCCTCCCTGAAGCCCTGACCCCGAGCACCTACACATCCTCCGTGGCAGCCCTGCTTCCGAAAGCACACGTTGAGAAGTGCCTGCCGTGCGGCTTGGGGCTCTCTTGCCCCTCCTCTCCGGCGCTTACATCAGGCAACAAGGACACGTGACATGGGGACATTCGTGGGCAACATGCCAACCCAACCACATCCACAACATCGCAGCAGTGCGAAAAGCGTATCGATCCGTCCGTTCGTTAGCCTCTTGTTGGTCCTGCTTGAAAGCGTGCACAGTGCGCAACGAGGATGATGAGCTAACATGCAACAGCCCTCTTCATCACGCGCTCTGTGGTCTGAGTCGGGCCATGGGATTGGGGGTTTCCAGTGCTTTCACGTCTCCTTCTTCTTCCTCACCTGCTAGGGGGTTCCACCTTGAACCGCGGGCCCCTCACACCCCGGGTAAAACGCCGATGAGCTTCAGAGTTGTCGTAGCAGTTAACCAACCGTACATGTAATATATCCTCCTCTCCTCCCTTTCCCTCGTATCCCCCTCCTCACCATGCAGCGACGCTCGGAACCCCAAACCCAGAGAGCCACATGCATGCATGCCAAGACCCGGTTACGGCCTCCCAAACCTCTGGGAACGCACCTTCCCATCTTTCCCCCTAGCGCTCCCCAATCCCCAATCCCAAGCCTCCGGTGCAAGCCGCCGCTGCCCCGCTACCACGTCTTCGCCGGGTGCCGCTGCCGCTGCCAACATAAGCCATCTTCCCTTCATCGTGAACCACTGCCAGGCTAATCCAACCAACCATCCGGCATCAGCGGCTGTCTCACGGCTTGCCAACCCGGTGCCCCGCGCCACCTCCACTCGGAGTGCCTTTGGGTGTTCCCCCCCCGGGCGGCTTCCTAGATGCAGAGGACGTCGTTGGAGAGGCGGGCGCCGCCGCCGCTGCAGCAGCAGCAGCAGCTGCCGTCCGCGCCGCCGCCGCCATCTCCTCCCGCATTCGCCGCTCCTCCTTGTCCGCCTCTATGGCCAGCCGCACCCGCTCCTTCTCCGCGGTGTCGCGTTGCAGCTTCTCCTCCCGCTCCAACCGCTTCTTCTGCGGGCGGGGTGGGGTGTGATGGTGGGTGCGATGGGGCGGTGTGTGCGTTTTCGTTTTGTTGCGATAGTTGGAAAGGGGGGTCCGCAGGGGACTGCTTGTCACCGCTTTGGGTTTTACTCCTTCCCGCTTGCTACTAATGCGCAACCCTGCTCTCCCCCACCTTGCCCCCTCCCCCCGAGTTGGGTCTTCTTCTTCCCCCCCCCCCCCCACACCCCCCGCCCCCTCCCCTCCCACCTCCGCCTTCTCATGCACGGTTTGAAGCGCCTTCTCGCACAGGTGGAGGGCCTCTTGGAGCACCCTGATGCGGGTGGGGGGTGGGGGGATGGGGTGTGTGGGGTTAAAGAGGGGGTGGAGCGACGGGAGCACGGGGAGAGGGGGAAGGGACGGAACTGCGGCCAGGAAGGGCGAGTTGCAGGGAGGAGATCCCAAATCGTGAAAAATGGGTCAAGAGCTAACGGCCCACTGTACGATACACCTTTAATGAAAGATCCTTTCACAGGAAGGCCCAAAGAGGCCTCAACCCACCACATGCGGGATGCAGGACATGCGCGATGCAGGACGCACCACACAAAGAAGATAGAGAGCTGCGTTAATCACGTGCTGCTTCCGCCTTTCCAATTCCCCCCACCCCCACCCACCCCCCACCTGAACCGCACGCTGCCCGCCTCCGCATCAAACACCCAGTACTTCTCCATTTCTACAACCTGCACACGAGCGAGGGACGACCCACGGGTCTCAGCAGCAGCGGTGGCGGCACAGTGGCGCACCCCAATGTCACGGCTACTACGAACAGAGGAGGGCAGGAAAAGGCTCAAGGGCCTCGTGCTGGCTGCACTCGTTCTTTGCACAACGTGCGGGCGACCCACGGGTCTCAGCGGCGGCGGTTACATGCGAGATGCGGCCCTAACAAGGCTCTCCTCCATCCCGCCAGTTCGTCAGTCTCCTCGTTTCCACGCCACCCGGCCCACCCGGTGCGTCCAGCCCGCATGCAGCGGCAGGTCCTCTCCGCCCTTCACCGGGGCCAGTGCGTTGCGCAGGGCGGCGTTGGCGGCTTTGACCTGAGCGGGGGGTGATGAGGTGTGATGTGAACAATCACCGATTGTAAGTGTTGGCATGGTGTGTCACGAGCCACGGGGATGAGGGGTAGGGTGGGTAGGTGCGTTGGGAGGTACGACAGAGGGAGAGGAAAGAGGTGCACTGGGAGGGGTCCCATGCGGCAAGCAGGTGTGGCCAGGTGGTGCGGGGGGTCAAAGACCATACCGAACCATAGGAAGCCACAGGTGGTGCGGGGGGGGGGGAGAGGTGGACGGAGAGGCATGTTGGGTTGGGGCTAAGGGGCGCTATATGGCTTGCTGCTAGGTGAAGAGCAACGGGGGTGCACACAGCCTGGCTTTGTATACGCCTGGTATCTGCCACCAGGCGTGAAACATGGCTGCAAAGGCCTTGCTTTGCTACACACACACACATACCTTGCGGTACTTCTCCTCTTGAGGGTTATGCACCACATTCCCGAAAAGCTACATGCGGGTCAGGAAAGAGGGTTAGGCAAGGCCTGCACCGCCTGCTGGGAGCTGTAGGCATGTCCAACCGCCAGTTGCTGACCTTGATGCACGTATTGAGGCAAGCCTCTATGTGGATAGGGTTATTGTGTAGGTAGTCGAGAACGTGGTCTTCAAGGTGGCTGTAGAATTTACGGCGGCCCTCTTGGACCTGCTTCTGCTGCTCATGGGCGATGGCAGCTGATACGGCCGCGCTATGATCACCGGCGCCAGAGCCTACGGGCTTCTGTAGGTGATCCGTCATACTTGTGTTGCCGGTACCTGCCTGCGCGAGTCCGGTAAGGACCACAGCAATTCACCTCCGACGGTCCGGCTGCCGTGCGAACTCGACTTACAGCGCTAGGTCTCAGCTAATAAGCTTCCGACAAACTCCGCTAGACCGAGCGTAAGGGCTTCCTTAGTGCGCCTTTCGGTTGGTTTCAGTCTAGAACAAGTGTGCAAAACGTTTACGAGAAGAGTTCGTTGGATAAAGACGTCTTGAAAGTACAGATCCCTTATATCTATTGCTGCACAGGTTGGTCTGAACTTTAAGGGAAAGAATTTGTCTTGATGTGATCGTCCCGGACAAACGGTAACAGCCGTGTGTTACCCGAGTTCTATAATGCGTAAGCGAATTACGTCGGAATATGTAGGCCTACAAAAAATGCAAAATGGCGCACGCAAGCACTGATATCTCTGTCCGCAACACTTTACCATGCTGCCTAACTCGGCCTTCAGGTCGCCAACCTCGGGTGCAATTGCACGGACGCCATCAAACAACTCTTAACACTACTTGTCGTCCATGTACTACTCTTCAAGCATCGCGGAAGGTCAATGGAGCGCAGCCATCGATACCATCGCTCGGAGCGTTGTCCTTACAAGTACCGGCGATTAACATATGCTTCAGCCCCCGCATTGCGAGTCAAAGCCCCAGGCTCCAAATTGTCTCGAGGGCTTCAATTGTAGCCCTACGGTACGGCCGTGGCGGCCCAGGTGCTAACCGTCCACAGGTAGGTTTGACCTTGCAGGACGGACCGTCCGCTGCTTTTACCTTCCCGCAAACCTTCCTTGAGTTGGAGCCATATCCCATAATGCCAGGTCCTTTTTGCCTCGTCAATTAGTACGTTGAACTCGACATGTCCCCCTGACGTCCATGTCGCTCCAGCCGTCAGCTCAACCCACCATCCCTTCCCGCTTTGCCTGCTCCTACATTTCGAATTCCAGCCCTGGCAGCTGGTGTCAGGCGTGTGTGCGGTGGCGCTGCTGCTGTGCAACTTCCACCGCTCCGTGTTCACGGCGCTGCTGCCATTGCTGACGGAGGGGCTGGGGCTCGCACCGGCAGAGGTGAGGGAGCGGGATCGCGTAGGAGGGGAACTGTGGGAGGCAGGCTCCTAAAGCTTTGTTGAATCCAGTCTCAAGGAAGCTGTGTAGCTCGGCTGGACGGCAGGGGGCTGAAGGCTGACCGACCCTCATCCTCCCCATGGCACCCTTCCTACCGCCCCCTCTCTCCTCCCTCCCAAACATCGTTAACATTACTTCTCCTACGTCCTTCCCCTCCCTCCCCAACCTGCCCGGCCCCCCCTCCCCTCCCTAACTCCCCCCCAGGTGGGTCTGCTGCAGTCGTCCATGCTGTGGGGCTACCTGGCGGGGCAGATACCCGCCGGCAGGCTGGCGGACAGGATGGGCGGGGAAAGGTGCGCTGGGGTGGGCGCCGGGAGGAGGGAGGGAAAGCAGTGCGCTGGGGTGGGCGCTCGGAGGAGTTGCCAGCACACTAACAGACCGTCTGACATGAAGGCTTGGGTTGCAAACGCCGCCGCTAGCCCCCCGCTGGCCCCCGCTCACCTCCCCCTGCCTAATCCCACCTCCCCCCACTCCCGCAGGGTCCTCCTAACCGGTCTAGCCCTGTGGTCTCTCGCCACCGCCGCCACCGCCGCTGCCGCTGTAGCCCCCACCACCGCCACCACCAGCTTCCCCGTCCAGTGCTCCCCCGCGCTGCTGCTGCTGCTGGCGGCTCGAGTGGGCATGGGGCTCTTCTCCTCCGTCATCATGCCCGCCGTGTCGGCAGCCTCCGCGCAGTGGGTGCCGGCGGAGCGGAAGGCGGCAACACTGGCCATGATATACGCGTTCTTCAACATGGGTGGGTGGGTGCGGGGTTTGGAAAAGAATGAGACACTGACGATGCAACTAACGAGCTGTATGACAAGGCTTCACCATGGGTGGGAGGGTGGGTTGGGTGTGCACCCTACTCGGGGGTGCGTGAGGGGTGAGGCGGGCGATGGGGGCATTCTTCGCCTCCCCTTATCCCCTTCCTTGCTCTCGATGCCGCCGCGTTGCCTTCCGTACCTTTCAGTTGTATATCGGGTGCCCGGGTAGCGTTACCGGTACACATACGGGCTCTACCGCAGGCTTAATGCTCCCTTTCTCACTCTCACTCTCCCTCTCTTCCCTCGTATCCTTCCCTCCCCGCTCGTCCTCATCTTCCACAGGCGGTGTGCTAGGCCTCATCGTGGCCCCCCACCTAGCTGCTCGCGGAGCCAGTCGCAGCCTCGCAGCCGCCGGTGCAGCCAGCGGCACCGCCGGCTGGCCGGGAGCATTCGTCACCGCTGCAGCCGGGGGCCTTATGTGGGCACTGCTGGGAAATGCGGTGCTGTCTCAAGCCGGACCCCGTCCTGTACGACAACAACAACAAGTCGTACAGCAACAGCCAACTGTACGGCAGTCGCCGCCTGGAGGGCAAGGAGGGGGAGAGGATCAGGCAAATACGGCAGCTGTAGCAGCGACAGGGGCTCCGAAAGCTGATGAGGATGTGGCACGCGGCTCGTCTTGTAGCGGTACATCTTCATCGGCGCAAGGAATGCAGGCAGCAGCTGCAGCAGCAACTGGTGGAGACAGCACAAATTCATCAAATTCACCTTCATTGCCATCGACTTCCAGTCGACAGCAGGCTGCCAGCGGTGGCGTAGATGTGTCCGGTGGAAGAAGAGGGTCTGGTGACCCGCGGGTCACCGGTGATAACGTCGGACGCAAGGACGTTACTGCGGACAGAAACAGCACTCTTCTACAGGTGAGGAGCATGGGATGCGCAGGCCCATCCTAATAATCAAATAAAATTTCTTGACTTAACTAACAGGATGCTGGTACTCCAGTCATGCAGTACGAACCACTGTCCCATTCCGCTCCCAGGGTCCCTGACGTTCTCTCCACGCACCCTGGAATCAGGTTTCCAGCGTTGCTGCAGCTGCTGCTGCCCTCACCTGGGCCTGCATGCCCTGCTGGTGCATCTCTCCTTATGTGCGCTCACTGCATGAGTCGGGGTATGGGGTTCGGACTCCAGTTGCTGCACTCCTCAAACATATATGTGTTTCATCCCTCCGCCTCCTCCCCACTCCGCCGCAGGTCGCCGCTCTGTGTTGGTGTCATGCGGTGATCGGCTGGGGCTTCTTCGTGCTGCAGGCCTGGGTGCCCATGTACCTGCAGACGCTGGGGGTGGCGGACCTGGCACAAGCAGGTGGGGTGGGTGGGTGGGGGGGGCAAGACAATGGGGATAGGGGGCGGCAGGGGGCCACAAAGCAAGGGAGGGTTAGCATGAGAGGTCGCATGGAGCCGACTTGCAACCTGCACAGCCTTGCTAGGGCCCTGCTAGTTGCCTGCGCGCTAGGGAAGGCAGGGCAGTGAAACAGATTACACCACAATGCACCCTCCCATCCCACACACAGGCCTTCTCGCCTCCCTGCCCTGGCTAGCCGCCGCCTTCACCGCCACCGCAGCAGGCGGGCTAGCTGACCGGATGGTGCGGTCCGGTCGTACATCCCGTATTGCCGTACGACGAGCCATGCATGCCGTATCCACGCTGGGCTGCGCGGTTGCCGTACTGCCTCTCGCGGTGTCTTCGTCCGGGTCGGCTGCACCGCACCCGCTGCTGGCAACGGCGTGTCTGGTGGGGGCGGTCGGGTGCTACGGATTCAGCTTTGGCGGTTTCCATGCGTATGTGCAGGTGAGGGGGGCAGCGGGGAGGGAGCGGTGGGGACGTGGAAAGGAGGACTTGGTTCAGGCAGTGAAGGCATCCTGACTTCCAACTTTTTCTCCAATGTGGAATGGCACAACCTTGTAAAGCCGTTACTCTTGTCAAGTTGTTCTGCATGCCGCATTGCTACCGGTATAGCGCCCTCTACCCCTAGAAGCACAAGTTGGCACCCAGCGGCAGGGGTCACCGCTAACTGCATGTTTTCCATTGTGCCGTTAAGAGCGTGGCATTATCACGTGTGTATGCACTGGCATGCCCCCTGACTTCCCGACCGCCTGGTGCGTCGGGATATGGGTTTGGAACTCCAGTTGCTGCACTTATGATATCCCCCAGTGTGTGTGTGTGTCAGTGTTTCCGCGGCTCAGTTTATCTAATCCCCCTCTCCCCCATGCGCTCACTGCATGAGTCGGGATATGGGATTGGGACTCGTTGTTTCACTTATTTAATTTTCCCCCACCCCACCCGCAGGATGTTGCCGCTGCCGACGCGGGGTGGCTCCTGGGCCTCACCAACACCGCCTCCATCCTGGGCGGCATCGCGGGCAACATGGCAACCGGGGCGCTGTTGCAGGTAGGGAACGGTGGGGTGGGTATGCCGTGTGCCGTACAACTGGTATGAGCTCTGCCGTACGTGTGCGTGGCAAGAAATGGACGTAATAGTGCCGTACTTCGCGCATTGTACGAGAGAGCGACGCCTGGAAACCCCTACCGTACCCGCACCCGTAGCTTCCCCATGTGGCGCCAGCTCGCCACGTACCTTCCCCGGATCCCATCTGCTTTTCCCCCACAGTTGTTGCCTGCCCCCGTAAACCCGGCCCTCCTCCCCCCGCACCGCTCCTCCCTCCCTCCCTTTCCCCCCCTGCAGTCCACCGGGGGGTACGGCGGTGTGTTTCTGGCAGCTGCTGCGCTGTACGGCAGCTCCTGGCTGTGTTTCACGACGCTGCTGCGGGGGCAACCCATAGCGCTGGGGGGGCTGGGAGGGAGGGACTGGCTGGCGCCGCTGCGGCCGCGGCAACCGCCGCAGCAGTAGCGGGCAGCAACAGCAGCAACAGCAGCAGAGCAACAGTAGCAGCGGGCAGTCCGTGACAAGGGAGAAAGCTGAGTAGACAGGAGAGGCCGGCCTGGAGAGGGGAGGCGGCTGGTGACGGAATGGTTGGGGATTGGGAATGACATCCGGAGCTGGGAGGAGCTGGGAGGGCAAGAGCTTTGGGCTGCCGTAGGGGGAGAGGCGCAGGGTTGTAAAGCTTTGGGGAGCCGAAGGATGTAGGGGAGTGGAGAATGATGGGGACTTTTGGGTGATTGGTGGTTGAAGGTGCAACTTGCAAGTCAACAAAACCTTTGGCCAGGCCGCCGAGCTCGCACGGCCCTGCGCGTCTTGCAGGATCAGGTGGGTGGTTACAGCGCGGTCGCGATTGCCGTGTGTTTGTGTTGTTTGTGCCGTGTGTTTGCATTTCGCAGGATGTGCGTCTGGTCGGCAGGTCTTAGCTGCATGAAAGGCTCTCCGGTGTAGTTGTGAAGAGGCTTTGGGGATTCGTGCTGGGCAATGATGCATGGGCATTCAGCCCCGGCTCGGCTGCGGAAAGGCCCATGTTAACCCTGATTGGAACAAAAGCAGCATGAGCTCGTGATGAGAGGCACAGATTATGGCCGGGTTGTATGGTCGGGTTGTCATAGCATAGACGAAGACGATATCAGTCGTGTTAGACGTCTTTCCTCAGCCTCAACCCCGAGTTAGCTTGTCACTACCACCCACGTGCACATCCCCCTCCCAATGCCAGGCGAGCGCCAAAGACCGTGCATGCCATGAGATGTTCTCCCGAAGACACCGTTGATCATTTGTGATTGGTGCGAGCAAGGCAATGCGTAAGCTACGGGCAGCAACGCAGCATTGAAGCTAGGAATTTGGGAGTACACCGCGGCTGTAAACCCTGTTCAGTTCGCATTAAAGTTTAACAACCGGTTGCAAAACGCTATCGCATATCGCATTGCAAGGACAGGCAAAAACGAGTCAGCTGTCCAGAAACCTCAGTGTACGATCAACCGCCGTGGAACTTTGCTACTTAGACAGTGCAGATATCTTCGGCTGAAATCACGGGTACATACCTGTGGTTTGTAGCAGGAAGAGACACATACGCTATCGTTGTGCATAAGTAACGAGAGCAAACGGCAACTGTATGTAACGTTGCCGCTTCATCTGTCCTAATCGCAAAATAGCGCGACGATAGCAGCATACGCTCCGCAATATATAAGTGTTGCGCGGCATATCGCTGCAGAAGATAAGGGCTTGCGAGTCTGTGGCATAAACAAAATAATTGTAACTCCCTTGCAAGCAGCTCATTCAAGATGGCAAGTGGGCAGAAGGTATGCATGTGTATACATATATTCATTAGGCTTTCATTAGACAACTGTTGCAGTCGCGGACACACTCAATTCATGCCATGTTCAACGACGCGTGTCGCTTTTCTTGTTTGCATCAGGCAATAATGATGTGTGAGAGGCCAGGACCTTCACACTTGGATGCAAGCCCTGCTCCCAAGCCCTTCTTGCCTTCATCGTCGACATTGGGCTTGGAACCGCTTGGGCTAGTTCCAGCTCATAAGGTAAACCTTTCGACTATAAAGCAACATACTTGCCTTGACACAATGTAAGGGAACGTTCACCGTCAACTAGTTCCAGACCCATCTAGCCTCAACGGCTGACCTCCCTACCTTCACTTTTCTCCAAACTGTCCCTTTCCCATGCCTAATACCCACCCCTTCCGTCGCCAAACTCCACCCTACAGCAAGAATACCCTCCAAGTGTGGCTCCGAAGCCACCCAGCATCACCGTCAAAGACCGTGCCCGTGTGCGGGAAATGGAGGACGAGAACCGGCAAGCAGCACTGCGGGAGGAGGAACGGCGCCAAGCGGAAGCGGCGAAACTGGAAAGCTTGGCGACGTTTAGGTAGGAGTGGCCGCGGGTTCTGGGTGGCTGCAGTTAGGAATCAAGTTGGGGAGGGGGGCAGGCGTGCATGCTAGGTTGGGCACCACCGTTACAACGGGACCTACATTCAGAGGCTCCGTCATCTCTGCTCGCTGGGCTCACTGGGCCTCGCTGCGACCGGTACCGCGACGGAAAGCATGGCCTCCTATCCTTCCTTTCCCCACTTCCCACCTGCCCAAGCCCTTTCCTACCTCCCTACCTCCCCCTCCTCCAGCGCCCATCTGCGGTCCGCCATCCTCACCGGGGAGGACGTGGGCTTCTGGCGCGCCACACGACAACCGCAAACGCAAACGCAGCAGCAGCAACCGTCATGTCAGCAAGCGGCCGCCTCAGATGGCCCCAGCAGCACACAGCAGCAGCAGCCCTCTTCTTTCGCGCAACAGCAGCAGCAGCCGGCTGCCTGCTCCAAACCAGCGCAGCCCGAGCAACAAGTCAACTGCAGTAGCTCCACCACTAGCGCTGCAGCAGCAGTGGGGACAGCAGCAGCTGCAGCTAGCAGCTGCGGCAACACCACCGGTGATAGCGCGGCTAGGTTGCGGTACGACAACAAGACGGCCATGCAATCCTTCGTGGACGAAGTACTTCGAGAAGCCACTGGGGTCCTCCAGCAGCAACAGCAGCAGCAGCAACAAGGGTCAACAGCAGCAGCAGCGGCAGCAGCAGCAGGGTCTTCTTCTTCTTCGCCCACGCAAGCAGCCGCCGCAGCACAGGAGCTGTTGCAGCAGCTGCACCAACAGAAGCAGCAACAACGGCTGGCCGCCACGGGCGACGGCAGCAGCTGCACCGCCTGCAACGCAACCACATCTGCTGCAGCTGCCGCCGGGAAAGCAGCGGGTACTAGCACCGGCAGCCGACCAGGAACGAGTGTGCGACCTGCGGACGGAGGTGGAGGCGGAAGTGGGACGCAGGTCGGAAGCGCGGGAGGCAGCAGGCGGGTTCGCATCGCCGGCGGCACGGGTGGCGGTGGCGGGGGGAGCAGTAAGCCTGCCTGGGCGTTGAGCAGTAGCGAGGTGGCGGAGATGGAGGCCGCGGAGGAGGAGGAGCTGCTCAAGTTTGCTGACGAGCTGGACTTTGATTCGTTCATGGCGGCGCTGGATGATGCGGAGCTGCAGGTGGGGGGCGGGGGGCAGGGAACCTGGGGGGTGAGGCGGGGGGGTGAGGCGGGGGGGTGAGGCAGGGGGGTGAGGCGGGGGGGGGCTGCTTCCGAGGGGAGGAGGGAGTGTGCAAGTAGCCCCAGCGGTGTTCTGGCGGGCTGCCGTGTGCCGTCCGTGGGAGGGGTCGGTGCGGGGAGGGGTCGGTGTCGGTCGGGGAGCGGCTCCGACGCTGGCGGCTGCGCAGATGAGGTGCACCCCGCTGCATAACGCGCTTTCTCTGACCCTGACCCTGCCCCTGCCCCTGACCCTGCCCCTGCCCCTGCCCCTGCCCCTGACCTGGCCCCTCCACACCGCCCAACCCTGGACCCTGACCCCTGCCTGCCCAATGCTGACGCCGCCTGTCCGGATGCCGCCAAAACAGGAAAGCGTCCGAGCCCTGAGCAACGCCGTCACTGGCGGCGACGGCGGCGGCGACGTCTCCTCCACCGCCGCCACCGTCGGCAGCAGCGCCGCTCCGACGGACAAGCGGGCGCTGCGTCAGCAGCTGGTTCGGGCCATGAACCACGTGGCCATGCGGCGGGTGGCAGCTGCCAGGAGGGCTGGCGGAGCAGCAGCAGGAGGAGGAGGGGCAGGCGGGGAGGCAGCGGCGGGCGGGGCGGATGATGATGTGCTGTCGCTGGCCGCCGGCAGGTCGGAGGGAGCAGCTAGCGGGTAAGGACCTAGGGAGGGAGGGCAACAAGGAGGGGGTGGGGGGCTGGGGATGATGGGTCAGGAGCAGGTGCCGCCGAGGAGAGTCGTGGTGTTGTACAGGTGTTGGGCGCGACGTGATGTCGTACAGGTGTTGGGCGTGACGTGCTCTGCGGGTTAGGACTGTGTATGTGTCTCCGCTCCACGGCACGGACCTGCGTGACGTCGCCATTCCGCAAGAGGCTGAGTTCCGATACCCTCCCCCTGCCCCTCCGATGGAGCCTCCCGCGCGATTCTTCTCATTGGTGCCACCCCCACCTCCTTACGAAAGCCACGTTACGTCCGCTGCCTGCTGCCTCCTCGCTCCAACCCTCTCCCTCCTCGCCCTCCCCTCACCCCCAACCCTCCCTCCCCACAGAAACACAGCCGCCAGCCGTGCAAGGGCTGAAGCCGCCGCCGCCAAGCGCGCCGCGCTCTCCGGCGGCGACCTGGGGGGTGGGCCCGGCGCCTGGGACTGCTCCTCGCGTGCCTCCGCGGAGGATGTGGGTCGAATGGAGCGGGCGCGGGTGGCCGCGGCGGAGGCGGCGGAGTTCTTGCGGGAGAACCCGGAGATGCGGGCGGTGCACTCGCCGGCTAGCGTGAGGGCGATGATTGGGAAGACGGAGGGAGCGGGGGCGGCGTAGGGTGTGTTTGGCACTCCTTAGGAATTCAAGGGAGGGGGATAGCGGAGGCGGGTGGGGATGGGTGGGAGGCGGGAGGGTGTGTGGGAGTGTCGATGAGGGTCGGGTACGATTCGTGGTGTTGGGGGCTGTCTCGGGCGCTGCTATGCTGGTTTGGTGGGGTGCAGGCGGGCGCAGGGGGTGGGTGCGCGGGAGCTTCATGGTTGTAGCAGGAAAAGAGCAGACTGTAATGTATTGGGTCAGGGAACAAGGGGGGTCGAGGAAATTTTACGTAGTTGGGCTCAGTGCTTTGCATGCGCGGGTGCAGTGGTGGGGGGAGAACTGAATGTGGGCTTGGTGGCATGGCTACCGGGCTTGCTGCACCCAGGAAGGAGTGAAACCCGGTGTTGTTGGTAACTGCAGTGCTCGCGGGCGGCTGTGCAGGTGCTAATGGCTGCTTGCTGCTAGACATGCAGTTGGGAGGCTGATGCGTGCAGGATGCAGGGGTCATCTGGAAGTGCTGAAACATTGCATAGGGGGGCCGAGTCCGGACATCTGGGTGCGCAGGGCGTGCGTGCGTGCGTCCTCGCGGCGCGTGAACGAACCTTCACAATAGTGCATGTGCAAGTCACGTGTCTTAACTGTCTTAGCACTGTTTGGAGCACAAAAGGTAAGGTCATCCTATTGAAGCAGCCGGTTCCCGACACAACCTGCTCCCGGTCCATGGCTATCGGTATGCGAGCGCAGCCTTTCATTCATGATACCGCCGTGGTAGTTCCATTGGCCGCCCGAAGACAGGTGTGAACTGGCTGGTAGCGCAGCCTTTGCGCAACGCATCACACAACCCACCAAGATACAGACGCAATCGGGCAGCTATCCACCACGACAGCCAGTCCCTTCCCTGGGTCCTCAGCTGGAGCGGGAAACTCGCCCGTTCACAGAATCACAACCCCTCTAGGCACGGTCCCCAACCGTACAACCGTCAGTTCGTTCAACCAACCGCAACAACGAACCAACTAACCAACCTGCAGCTGAGCGACAAACCCATTCCCAGCTCCTCCCAACTCCTACCGCCCATCCTGCCCTCCTGCCACCTCCCAGCTCCTCCTCACAGCCCCTGCAACGCGCCCTGCAACGCGCGCCAAACCTCCTCCGGTGCCTCCTCGCCCTCCGCCCCTCCCTCGACCGCACCCCACCTGCCGCCTCCTCCTCCCCCACTGCCAGCCCCAGCTGCTCTACCTCCCAACCTGCCGCCCCCCTGCTGCTGCTCCTGCCGCTGCTGATGCCTCTCCGGCTCCCGCTCCACCGCTGCCCCGTCAAACCGTAGCTGCAGCAGCTCCGCCACCCGAACTCCCGCAGTGCAACATGCGCGAACATAACCGCCACAGCCCTCGGGACGAGGCAGGTCCGGCAGGCCCTTCAAGACACGGCCTAGGCACCGCCACTGCGCCCTCCATGCTGCCGTATTTGCCGTACCCGCCTCCGCCGTACCTACGCCATCGCCGACGGCGGCGGTGATGCCCCGGAGCGCCGCTGCCAGCAGGTACCATGCGCCCTGCTGCAACTGAAGGACTCCGTACGACGCTGACGGAGCTCCCTCCGCTGTCGTACAGTCGTTGCCGTACCACCTGCTCTCCTGCAGTACCTCCGACAGCCGTACGGCGACGGCGGCGGCCTCTGCCGGCGGTACGGCAGCGATGGCTTGTTGTACGGCGGGCCCGAAATCCACCAGCACCACCAGCAGCCCCTCCAGGACCTGTGTGGGCAGGTGCGATGTGGGGGGGAGGTGTACGGCATGTTGCGCTTGGCGGCGGCAAACCCGTACGGCATTCCCATTCTAGTTGAGGGTTGTTGTGCGTAGGGAGTGCTTAAGAGCCGCTAGAGTCCAGTGCATGACCAGCATCGGCCCTTCCAACACCCAACAGTATACGTGAAGGAAACTGGCCGCGAGCCGAAGCGCACTGTTATTGCCGGTGGGGGCTGACATGATGCTGGGGGCTAACCACTAACTGGTGCAAACCACGGTCAGAGCCTCATGCGCATGGGGCCAGTGGGGACCATGTCACGACACCATTGCCCACCCGCATGCCTGCACCCCATCCTTTCATCTCCATCTCGCATCCACCTCCCTCCCCCCACACTTTGGAATTTCTTTTTTCCCTCCCCCCCTCCCCCCCCACCTGCATGCTGTCGCCGTGGTGACTCAGCAGCCCCAGCAGCAGCCGCAGCAGCCCCGGCCGCAGACCCCAGCCCGCATGCAGGCGCAGCAGCGCCCCGGGGCCGTCCAGCTCGCCGGAAGAGGAGCAGGAAGCGGGGCCGGAGGAAGGGGCGGGGGAGGCGCTGCTAGCTGTGGTGGTGGCAGTGGCGGTGGCGGTGTTGGGGGAGGTTGAGGAGTGGAGCAGGGGAGCCAGGCGGCTGCCTAGAGCGATGAGCTCCTGGGGGGAAGTGGGAGGTGGGATGAGGCACAACACGGGTGGGGGGCAGGGTGACGGAACAGGACAGCCTTCAGAGGGATGGCGCGAAGTGAAGTCACATCCCCCTAGCTACGGGCGCGCCTGACGCATGGTGACAGGTGAGGTTTGCATGCTGCATGGAAGCAAAACACCCATCCCCCCCAGCCCACGCCTCTCAACTTCCATTTATCCCCCCCAAGCAGCACACCCCGCCTCACCTCCCAATCACCCCCCCCCCCTCAGCAGCACACCCCGCCTCACCTCCCAGTCACTCCCCCCCCTCAGCAGCACACCCCGCCCCACCTCCAGTAGCCTCAATGCCGCATCCAGAGCCTCATCGCTCAGCGGCACGGGGCCAGCAGCCGCCACCGCCGCCACCGCCGCCACCGCTGCTGCCTCCTCCTCCTCCTCCTCCTCCTCCTCCCCTGTCTCTCCGGGTCGCCCGCTACCGCTGACATCACCGCTTCCGTCCCCGTCCCCGCCCCGGCCATCACCACCGCCCCCACCATCGCCTTCGTGCCTGCCTCCAAGGCCGTACATCCATTCCTGCTGACGTACGGCACCCCCTTCATCGCCATCGTCCTGCATGCATGGGTGCATGGGTGCAGGGGCGTAAGCATGGGTGGCCGCCGCCGCAGCAGCACTGGACCGAGGTTCAGGTGGCAAGGGGATGTGGCTAACGGCGCAGCGAACAATCCCTCCCTTGACAGTTAGGTCCTTATGTGCAAGGGAAGGTAGCACCACCGGACGATGCTGCCTCGCTGCTACGCTCAGACTCAACACACCCCCTCAGGCCCCCGCTCCCCCCCCCTCACCCCGGGCAAGCTGGCTTGTAGTGCCTGCAGCAGCACGCCATGAACCAACTCCAACAGCCCGCAGCGAACCAGCCGCTGACACAACAGGCGGATGGAGGCTGTCGTAACCATGACAGCACCCGCCGGCCCCGCTGCTGCTGGTGCGGGTGCTGCTGGTGCTGCTGTGGTAGAGGCATTCGTCGAAGCCGCAGAAGCTGCTTGCGGTGCTGTCGCTGCTCCTTCCTCCGCATGTCGGCTGTTGTTGTTACTGTCCCTGCTGCCACCACCACCACCACCGCCGCCGCCTCCGCTGCTGCTGCTGTCGCCGGTACCGAAGGTCACGCCTGCACCAGCAGCCGACTCGCCTTCCTGCCCTGCTGCTGCTGCTGGCGCTTCCGCTGCTGCTTGCTGTGGGGCTGCCTCCGCGCCCTCCGCTACCTGTGCTTCCTCGCCTGCTGCTGCTGCTACCGCCAGAGCACCAGCGGCAGCGGCAGCAGCAGCAGCAGCAGCGGCGTGCAGGAGGGCCACCAGGGCGTCTAGACACCTGGCAAGGTACGAGAGGGGCGGGGTGTTGGGTAGGAGTCCTCCCAGGGGTTCAGGAAGGGCAGTTTGCGGGGCCGGCAGGGACAAGGCAGCCTGCGACGACAGCTGCTACGCACAGGAGCTGCACTGCTCTCGCCCCTGGGCACACTTCTTCCTCGCCCCTGCCCCACCCTACCCTGCCCCACCCCACCCTGCCCCACCCCACCCTGCCCCACCCTACCCTGCCCCACCCCACCCTGCCCCACCCCACCCTGCCCCACCCCACCCTGCCCCACCCCACCCTGCCCCACCCCACCCTGCCCCACCCCACCCTGCCCCACCCCACCCTGCCCCACCCCACCCTGCCCCACCCCTCCCTGCCCCACCCTTCCCTGCCCCACCCTACCTGCCCCACCCCACCCTGCCCCACCCTACCTGCCCCACCCCACCCTGCCCCACCCCACCCTGCCCCACCCCACCCTGCCCCACCCCACCCTGCCCCACCCCACCCTGCCCCACCCCACCCTGCCCCACCCTACCTGCCCCACCCCACCCTGCCCCACCCCACCCTGCCCCACCCCACCCTGCCCCACCCCACCCTGCCCCACCCCACCCTGCCCCACCCCACCCTGCCCCACCCCACCCTGCCCCACCCCACCCTGCCCCACCCCACCCTGCCCCACCCTACCCTGCCCCACCCTACCCTGCCCCACCCCACCCTGCCCCACCCTACCCTGCCCCACCCCACCCTGCCCCACCCCACCCTGCCCCACCCTACCCTGCCCCACCCTACCCTGCCCCACCCTACCCTGCCCCACCCTACCCTGCCCCACCCCACCCTGCCCCACCCCACCCTGCCCCACCCTGCCCTGCCCCGCCCTGCCCTGCCCCACCCTACCCTGCCCCACCCTACCCTGCCCCACCCTACCCTGCCCCACCCTACCCTGCCCCACCCCACCCTGCCCCACCCCACCCTGCCCCACCCCACCCTGCCCCGCCCCACCCCACCCTGCCCCGCCCCACCCTACCCTGCCCCACCCTACCCTGCCCCACCCCACCCTCCCCTGCCCCACCCCACCCTGCCCCACCCTACCCTGCCCCACCCTACCCTGCCCTACCCCACCCTGCCCCACCCTACCCTGCCCCACCCTACCCTGCCCCACCCTACCCTGCCCCACCCTACCCTGCCCCACCCTACCCTGCCCCACCCTACCCTGCCCCACCCTACCCTGCCCCACCCCACCCTGCCCCACCCCACCCTGCCCCACCCTACCCTGCCCCACCCTACCCTGCCCGACCCCACCCTGCCCCACCCCACCCTGCCCCACCCTACCCTGCCCCACCCTACCCTGCCCCACCTACCCTGCCCCACCCCTCCCTGCCCCACCCTACCCTGCCCCACCCCACCCTGCCCCACCCCACCCTGCCCCACCCTACCCTGCCCCACCCCACCCTGCCCCACCCCACCCTGCCCCACCCCACCCTGCCCCACCCTACCCTGCCCCACCCCACCCTGCCCCACCCTACCCTGCCCCACCCTACCCTGCCCCACCCTACCCTGCCCCACCCTACCCTGCCCCACCCCACCCTGCCCCACCCCACCCTGCCCCACCCCACCCTGCCCCACCCCACCCTGCCCCACCCCACCCTGCCCCACCCTACCCTGCCCCACCCTACCCTGCCCCACCCCACCCTGCCCCACCCTACCCTGCCCCACCCTACCCTGCCCCACCCTACCCTGCCCCACCCTACCCTGCCCCACCCTACCTGCCCCACCCCACCCTGCCCCACCCCACCCTGCCCCACCCCACCCTGCCCCACCCCACCCTGCCCCACCCCTCCCTGCCCCACCCTACCTGCCCCACCCCACCCTGCCCCACCCCACCCTGCCCCACCCTACCCTGCCCCACCCTACCCTGCCCCACCCTACCCTGCCCCACCCTACCCTGCCCCACCCTACCCTGCCCCACCCCACCCTGCCCCACCCCACCCTGCCCCACCCCACCCTGCCCCACCCCACCCTGCCCCACCCCACCCTGCCCCACCCTACCCTGCCCCACCCTACCCTGCCCCACCCCACCCTGCCCCACCCTACCCTGCCCCACCCTACCCTGCCCCACCCTACCCTGCCCCACCCTACCCTGCCCCACCCTACCCTGCCCCACCCCACCCTGCCCCACCCTACCCTGCCCCACCCTACCCTGCCCCACCCCACCCTGCCCCACCCTACCCTGCCCCACCCTACCCTGCCCCACCCTACCCTGCCCGACCCCACCCTGCCCCACCCCACCCTGCCCCACCCTACCTGCCCCAACCTACCCTGCCCCACCCACCCTGCCCCACCCCACCCTGCCCCACCCTACCCTGCCCCACCCTACCCTGCCCCACCCTACCCTGCCCCACCCTACCCTGCCCCACCCGACCCTGCCCCACCCCACCCTGCCCCACCCTACCCTGCCCCACCCTACCCTGCCCCAACCTACCCTGCCCCACCCTACCCTGCCCCACCCTACCCTGCCCCACCCTACCCTGCCCCACCCTACCCTGCCCCACCCCACCCTGCCCCACCCCACCCTGCCCCACCCCACCCTGCCCCACCCCTCCCTGCCCCACCCTACCCTGCCCCACCCTACCTGCCCCACCCCACCCTGCCCCACCCTACCTGCCCCACCCCTCCCTGCCCCACCCCACCCTGCCCCACCCCACCCTGCCCCACCCCTCCCTGCCCCACCCCTCCCTGCCCCACCCTACCTGCCCCACCCCACCCTGCCCCACCCCACCCTGCCCCACCCTACCCTGCCCCACCCTACCCTGCCCCACCCTACCCTGCCCCACCCTACCCTGCCCCACCCTACCCTGCCCCACCCCACCCTGCCCCACCCCACCCTGCCCCACCCCACCCTGCCCCACCCCACCCTGCCCCACCCCACCCTGCCCCACCCTACCCTGCCCCACCCTACCCTGCCCCACCCCACCCTGCCCCACCCCACCCTGCCCCACCCCACCCTGCCCCACCCCACCCTGCCCCACCCTACCCTGCCCCACCCTACCCTGCCCCACCCCACCCTGCCCCACCCCACCCTGCCCCACCCCACCCTGCCCCACCCCACCCTGCCCCACCCCACCCTGCCCCACCCCACCCTGCCCCACCCCACCCTGCCCCACCCCACCCTGCCCCACCCCTCCCTGCCCCACCCCACCCTGCCCCACCCCACCCTGCCCCACCCCACCCTGCCCCACCCCACCCTGCCCCACCCCACCCTGCCCCACCCTGCCCTGCCCCACCCTGCCCTGCCCCACCCTACCCTGCCCCACCCTACCCTGCCCCACCCTACCCTGCCCCACCCTACCCTGCCCCACCCTACCCTGCCCCACCCCACCCTGCCCCACCCTACCCTGCCCCACCCTACCCTGCCCCACCCTACCCTGCCCCACCCTACCCTGCCCCACCCCACCCTGCCCCACCCCACCCTGCCCCACCCGACCCTGCCCCACCCGACCCTGCCCCACCCGACCCTGCCCCACCCGACCCTGCCCCACCCGACCCTGCCCCACCCGACCCTGCCCCACCCGACCCTGCCCCACCCGACCCTGCCCCACCCGACCCTGCCCCACCCGACCCTGCCCCACCCGACCCTGCCCCACCCGACCCTGCCCCACCCGACCCTGCCCCACCCGACCCTGCCCCACCCGACCCTGCCCCACCCGACCCTGCCCCACCCGACCCTGCCCCACCCTACCCTGCCCCACCCTACCCTGCCCCACCCTACCCTGCCCCACCCTACCCTGCCCCACCCTACCCTGCCCCACCCTACCCTGCCCCACCCTATCCTGCCCCACCCCACCCTGCCCCACCCCACCCTGCCCCACCCCACCCTGCCCCACCCCACCCTGCCCCACCCTACCCTGCCCCACCCTACCCTGCCCCACCCTACCCTGCCCCACCCTACCCTGCCCCAACCTACCCTGCCCCACCCTACCCTGCCCCACCCTACCCTGCCCCACCCTACCCTGCCCCACCCTACCCTGCCCCACCCCACCCTGCCCCACCCCACCCTGCCCCACCCCACCCTGCCCCACCCCTCCCTGCCCCACCCTACCCTGCCCCACCCTACCTGCCCCACCCCACCCTGCCCCACCCTACCTGCCCCACCCCTCCCTGCCCCACCCCACCCTGCCCCACCCCACCCTGCCCCACCCCTCCCTGCCCCACCCCTCCCTGCCCCACCCTACCTGCCCCACCCCACCCTGCCCCACCCCACCCTGCCCCACCCTACCCTGCCCCACCCTACCCTGCCCCACCCTACCCTGCCCCACCCTACCCTGCCCCACCCACCCTGCCCCACCCCACCCTGCCCCACCCCACCCTGCCCCACCCCACCCTGCCCCACCCCACCCTGCCCCACCCCACCCTGCCCCACCCCACCCTGCCCCACCCCACCCTGCCCCACCCCTCCCTGCCCCACCCCTCCCTGCCCCACCCCTCCCTACCCCACCCCTCCCTACCCTACCCTGCCCCACCCTACCCTGCCCCACCCTACCCTGCCCCACCCTACCCTGCCCCACCCTACCCTGCCCCACCCTGCCCTGCCCCACCCTGCCCGACCCTACCCTGCCCGACCCTACCCTGCCCCACCCTACCCTGCCCCACCCTACCCTGCCCCACCCTACCCTGCCCCACCCTACCCTGCCCCACCCCACCCTGCCCCGCCCCACCCTGCCCCGCCCGACCCTGCCCTGCCCGACCCTACCCTGCCCCACCCTGCCCTGCCCGACCCTACCCTGCCCCACCCCACCCTGCCCCACCCCACCCTGCCCCACCCCACCCTGCCCCACCCCACCCTGCCCCACCCCACCCTGCCCCACCCTACCCTGCCCCACCCTACCCTGCCCCACCCTACCCTGCCCCACCCTACCCTGCCCCACCCTACCCTGCCCCACCCTACCCTGCCCCACCCCACCCTGCCCCACCCCACCCTGCCCCACCCCACCCTGCCCCACCCTACCCTGCCCCACCCCACCCTGCCCTGCCCCACCCTGCCCTGCCCCACCCTGCCCTGCCCCACCCCGCCCTGCCCCACCCTCCCCTGCCCCACCCTCCCCTGCCCCACCCTTCCCTGCCCCACCCTACCCTGCCCCACCCTACCCTGCCCCACCCTACCCTGCCCCACCCTACCCTGCCCCACCCCACCCTGCCCCACCCCACCCTGCCCCACCCCACCCTGCCCCACCCTACCCTGCCCCACCCTACCCTGCCCCACCCTACCCTGCCCCACCCTACCCTGCCCCACCCCACCCTGCCCCACCCCACCCCGCCCACCCTACCCTGCCCCACCCTACCCTGCCCCACCCTACCCTGCCCCACCCTACCCTGCCCCACCCTACCCTGCCCCACCCTACCCTGCCCCACCCCACCCTGCCCCACCCCACCCTGCCCCACCCCACCCTGCCCCACCCCACCCTGCCCCACCCCACCCTGCCCCACCCCACCCTGCCCCACCCCACCCTGCCCCTCCCCACCCTGCCCCTCCCCACCCTGCCCTGCCCCACCCTGCCCTGCCCCACCCTACCCTGCCCCACCCTACCCTGCCCCACCTTACCCTGCCCCACCCTACCCTGCCCCACCCCACCCTGCCCCACCCCACCCTGCCCCACCCTACCCTGCCCCACCCTACCCTGCCCCACCCCACCCTGCCCCACCCTACCCTGCCCCACCCTACCCTGCCCCACCCCACCCTGCCCCACCCTACCCTGCCCCACCCTACCCTGCCCCACCCTACCCTGCCCCACCCTACCCTGCCCCACCCTACCCTGCCCCACCCTACCCTGCCCCACCCTACCCTGCCCCACCCTACCCTGCCCCACCCCACCCTGCCCCACCCTACCCTGCCCCACCCCACCCTGCCCCACCCCACCCTGCCCCACCCCACCCTGCCCCACCCCACCCTGCCCTGCCCCACCCTGCCCTGCCCCACCCTGCCCTGCCCCACCCTACCCTGCCCCACCCTACCCTGCCCCACCCTACCCTGCCCCACCCTACCCTGCCCCACCCTACCCTGCCCCACCCTACCCTGCCCCACCCTACCCTGCCCCACCCCACCCTGCCCCACCCCACCCTGCCCCACCCCACCCTGCCCCACCCCACCCTGCCCCACCCTACCCTGCCCCACCCCACCCTGCCCCACCCTACCCTGCCCCACCCTACCCTGCCCCACCCTACCCTGCCCCACCCTACCCTGCCCCACCCTACCCTGCCCCACCCCACCCTGCCCCACCCTACCCTGCCCCACCCCACCCTGCCCCACCCCACCCTGCCCCACCCCACCCTGCCCCACCCCACCCTGCACCCTGCCCTGCCCACCCCACCCTGCCCCACCCTACCCTGCCCCACCCTACCCTGCCCCACCCTACCCTGCCCCACCTTACCCTGCCCCACCCTACCCTGCCCCACCCTACCCTGCCCCACCCTACCCTGCCCCACCCTACCCTGCCCCACCCTACCCTGCCCCACCCCACCCTGCCCCACCCTACCCTGCCCCACCCTACCCTGCCCCACCCCACCCTGCCCCACCCCACCCTGCCCCACCCTACCCTGCCCCACCCTACCCTGCCCCACCCTACCCTGCCCCACCCTACCCTGCCCCACCCTACCCTGCCCCACCCTACCTGGCGAACAGAGTCGTATCCGCAGTTGCCGCCGCCACCCACACCAGCCTCCGCAGGGCAGCGGGCGACTGCAGCGCACCCAGCCAGGAACCCGAGCCCTGAGGGAGGGGGCCGCGGGGCGGGGCGGGGCGGGGCGGGGCAGGGCGGGGCGGGGCCAGGTTCGGGAAGGGAATGAGGGAGCGAGGGCAACTCGGGTGTGTCAGCAGCAGCCGCATGCCAGCTAGTCAGCAGCAGGACATGCGGCGGCTCCCCTGTAGCGCTCCCAAAGCAGCAGCAGCAGCACCCAGTAAATACATATCACGATTACATTCATCTATAAATTACGGTCTTTTACGCGTATGACGGCGTGTCTGCATCAGCAACAGCCCCAGCAGCAGCAGCGGAAGACAGCCCCTGGCAAAGCAGCAAGGAGTGCGAGTGAGCCTCAGGGGCTAGGCAGTGCTCCCTGCCGCCTCCTATCCCCCATTGCTTTGCCCTAACCTGTGGTTTCCTATTGTTTGGTACCTGGTCTTCGACCCCCCACCTGACTCCTCAGCGCGAAGCTGACCAAGCGGAGGAGCTCGGAAAGGACCCGTGGGTCGTCCACATACAGCACACCACCACTGCTACTGCCACTGCCACCACCGCCACCACCGGGATCTGCTGCTGCTGCTGCCGGCTCCTCTCCCGCCGCCACTTGCCGTCCCTCTCCCCCTCCTCCTCCTCCTGCTCCCACATTCGCCTGCCCTGCCGCCACCCCCGGAGGAGCGAACAGAAGGCCCAAGAGCTCCCGTCTGCTGCTGACGTCAGCTGCGGCGGCAGGCAGGGTTACAATCAGGTTTGCCAGAGTGCCCAGGCAGATCTCCAGGATCCGCAGAGAGCTTTGAATTTGAATGTGGGAGGGTTGCGAAGCAGGGCGTGACAGCTGGGGGCTGCTAGAGGGGGATGGTGTCGCAGCTGTTGGGGTTTCGGGGCCGCGCGCCAGTGCGGCCGTGTCGGCTTCATCAACTACTGCTGCGGCTGTAGGTGATCTGGTTTCGGTGGACTGCTGTACGGCAAGCAATTCCCTCGCGATAACGATTTCCAAGGCGTCCAACGCGCGATGCCGCAGCAGCAGTCGTGCGACCGGACGTGACGCGCTCATGTCCCAAAGCATGCATCCCGCCTCCTCGCTGCTCATCGCTCCCTCGGCGCCCTGCTGCTGTTGCTGGGGTCCTTCTGAGGTCCCAGCTGCATCATGATCCATGGCATCGCTGGCCTGCACCTCTGATGCGGATAGCGCGGCTCTACCGGTGACCAGGATGCGCAAGAGATGGATGACGGAAGCTTCCTCAATTGCAGTTTGTTCCTCAGGCTCCTCGCCACGATTATCACCGTATGCAGCATCCCCATTACAAGGTCCTTCTTGGTCGGCCATCGGCAACTTTGCGTTTCAGTTAGGTCAATTGGCTGGTCTGGTGTGAAAAGAGTGCGCACAACTTTTTCAAGGAATACAGCCAGGCTAGTGTTGTTATTACTGCATCTTGCACGCTAAGGCACAGAATGCTAGAGAGCTAGCTGCATGGCGTTGCCGTAGACGACAGCCGTCCCAAAGCCGATCTAGCTCCACTACGCGCGGTTTGTGCTCTATCCAGCTTTGTATCTGCTTTTATATTCGGTTTCTAGTAACGGAAGCTACCTTGGCAAGCGACGGCTTTTCGTCTTCGTGGGCACGCACATGGGCATGCGGAGTCAGCTTTCAGTGCGTTTAACGCCTTGGCTCTCACAGAACGCTTGTAAGGGCTTAGGGGTTCCAGCTGGACAAAATCAGGTGCGCAGGCTTGCCAGTGTAAGACTAGTGGTTCGCCATGAGGCTGACGTGCCACGCGTAATCAACAGCCCCCTTCAGATTACTGTACAAATACTTATTTGGAGCTCGTACGAGTCACATGTATTGCTTGTACACGCCAAATACCTCGGCGTCGCCGTCGCCGAGTGCAAGCGGGCGGACTGCTGAGACATTCGCTTTGTCCCTACTCGCGCACTGTTCCACCACAAAAGACGTGTAGTCCTTACAGGACACATTCAAACGGCTATCACTTGCCTCGCTATCAAGGTCATCCTTAAGCGCTCTTGCTTGGCCATTACGCCACGTTAGCAATCTATCCCGACGCCTTCTTAAGCCTCCCCTCCCCTCCGGCTCCGCCCAACCTCAACACTTCCCTCCCCCTTCCCTCGTCACCTCCTTTGCCATTACCATTCATCACGCTGGGTCCTCTTCCTTTTCCCCTTCAAACTATCTCGCACACGACCCCAGGCTCAAGCTCTAGTCGGCGGGGACGCTGCCGGCAGCGGTTGCACAGTCACCCATGGCGGCGCCAGCAGCGGTGCTGCTGGCTCACAGACAGGCATGAGGGCAGCCGCCGCCACCACCGCCGGCATCAACAGCGGCGGTGCTCCAGGACGCTTCCTGAGCACCGTCTCCGCTGCCGCTGCCAAGGCCCCCGCCGCCGTCACCCCCGCCACCGCTGCTGCTGCTGGTACTGCTGGTGGTGGTGGTACGGCGACGGCAGCGGCGGCGGCGGTCCCAACTGCATGCCCGCCCCAACCGCCTGCCGCCGCCGCTCCCCCTCCGCTGTCCTTCTCCGACCACCGGGCGGTGTTCCAAGGGCAGGGCTCCTGGCAGCTGCTGCGAGCGTATGTCGTACTGCGGGCGTGCGGGTTCAAGGTGGGTCGGGGGGGGGGGGTCGGGGGGTCGGGGGGGGGGAGAAACCATCAACCAAACCTGACCAAGCCAGGTAAATATCCGTACTGCATGCCGTACAACCCATGACACACTCAGATGGCCCTCCTGCCGTACATACACCCTCTATACACCCCTTTGTTGTTGCTGCTGCTGCTGCTGCTGCTGCCCCCTCTCGTCCTGCTGCACGAGCCAACTGCCGCACCCGCAATGCCCCCTCCTTTGCCACTATCATGTCGTACATTGTATTTTCTTTTCTCCCTCCTCCCTCCCCGCTCCTCCCCCGCTCAACACATTGGGTCTTCTTTTCCCTCCCCGCTGCCCCGCTCCCCCCCTCCCCGTCTTTCCCCCCCCCTCACCCCCAGCCGGTTGTTGACAACGCGGAGACGCTGCTGGTAACCCTGCGGGGGCTGCTGGGGGCGGGCCCCACGGATGCGCTGATCAAGTCCACCTTCTTCGCGCACTTCTGTGCGGGTGAGTGGGGGGGGTGGGGGGGCTAGGGGGTGAGAGTGAGTGGTGGTGGGGGCTAGGGGGTGAGAGTGAGCGGGTGGGGGGGGCTAGGGGGTGAGAGTGAGCGGGTGGGGGGGGCTAGGGGGTGAGTGGTGGGGGTGGGGGGGGGCTAGGGGGTGTGAGTGAGCGGGTGGTGGGGGGGGGCTAGGGGGTGAGAGTGAGCGGGTGGTGGGGGCTAGGGGGTGAGTGGTGGGGGTGGGGGGGGGCTAGGGGGTGTGAGTGAGCGGGTGGTGGGGGGGGGCTAGGGGGTGAGAGTGAGCGGGTGGTGGGGGCTAGGGGGTGAGAGTGAGCGGGTGGGGGGGGCTAGGGGGTGAGAGTGAGCGGGTGGTGGGGGCTAGGGGGTGAGAGTGAGCGGGTGGGGGGGGGGCTAGGGGGTGAGAGTGAGCGGGTGGTGGGGGGGCTAGGGGGTGAGAGTGAGCGGGTGGTGGGGGCTAGGGGGTGAGAGTGAGCGGGTGGTGGGGGGGCTAGGGGGTGAGAGTGAGCGGGTGGTGGGGGGGCTAGGGGGTGAGAGTGAGCGGGTGGTGGGGGGGCTAGGGGGTGAGAGTGAGCGGGTGGTGGGGGCTAGGGGGTGAGAGTGAGCGGGTGGTGGGGGGGCGCGGTGGGCAGGCCTACGTGGGGCGGCGGGCGGTGTTGGACTGGGTTTCTGACAGGCGTGAGCTCACCGACCATTCCCCAAACGCGGCTGCTGCATGGGGCCACCACCCGAACACCCCCCGAACCCCCACACGTTTACCCGCCCTCATCCGCTCCTTCCCACCCCTGGCAGCCTTCATGACGACGACTGCCCCCTCTCCCCTTCCCCCCTCCACAGGCGAGAATGTGGAGGAGGTGCAGCGCACAGTGGACCGACTGCGGGTGAGTGCGGGTGTGGGTGTGTGTCAAGGGGGGGGGATTGGGGAGGAGGTGCGGAGGAGGTGCGGAGGAGGTGCGGAGCTGGTCCCAGCATGCGACACGTGTGCATCAACACGTGTGTCACGGGCAGCGCAAGTACGGCACCGGTACAGGCGGTCTTATATCCGGACAATCCGGTTACTCTTACGGCGGTACGATTTGGAAGCCCTTGGTACGGCATACCTCTTTGTCCTATCCGGCTAAGAGTACAAACTGAAAACCACAACCCGCTCAGCTGCCCGCTGTCCCTCCCTTTCTCTCCGCTCCTCCAACCCTTTCCACCCCCCTCCTCCTCCTCTCCACCCTCCCGGTGCCGTACATGCAGGCCTCCGGAGTAGGCGCGATTCTGGACTACGCGGCGGAGGACGACGTGGGCCCCTCCGCCACCGCCGCATCCTCCACTTCGCCCTCCGCCTCCTCCCCCTCCGCCTCCTCCTCCTCCTCCTCCTCCTCCGCTGCTAACGCCCGCAGCAGCAGCAGCGGCAGCAGCAGCAGCAGCGAAGGTAACAACACCAACGCCAGCAGCGGTGGCAGCGGCGGAGGCCTCACGGCTATGGCACCGGAAACCGCCGCTGCGGCTGCGGATGCTGCCACCTCCACCTCCACCTCCACCTCCACCTCCACCTCCACCACCACCACCACTGCAGACGGCACCAGCAGCAGTAGCGGTCCTGCAGGGTTTCGACACTTTGCACCACCCGCCTCCTCTTCCTCCCCCTCACCCTCCTGGCGTGCACCGCTTGCACCCCACCCACTTCCCTCTCCCGCAGCGCTGTCAGAGGCAGCGGCAGCGGCTGCACAGGCGGACGGCCCCGCCTCCTCCTCCCACTTCTCCGCCCACTCCCACTCCCACTCCTCCTCTTCCTCCTCTTCTTGGGTTTCAGTTGCGGCAGTGGCTCCGGAGCCCTCCCCGCGCTCGCTGGGGGTGGTGGGGCGCACGTACGACTACGGCTCGGAGGAGCAGTGCGACAGGTGGTGGGGGTGGGGCGGGAGGGGGAGGGGGGCGATGGGAGGGAGATGTGGGCAGGGGGAGGGGGGAGAGGTGGGCGGGAAGGGGGAAGTGGGAGGTTGGGGTAAAAAGAAGAAGCTGCCATGTGTGGGCGGGAGGGAGGGGTGGGAGGAGGAGGAGGAGGAGGAGACGAGTGAGTAGCGCTGGAGATGGGGCAGTTGATGGCGGTTGCTAATAATGGGTAAGCGACGCCGCAGTCATCTCAGAGCACAAACAAACTCTGGTAACGGCACTAGCTACAACCGCTTGCAAGTGTGCGCCCGTGATAAGTGTGGTCTACACGTGTCCCCCAACCCCCCGCCTGTCCCCCACCCCACCCCACCCTCCTGCCCCCCCCTTCCCAAACACACACACACACGCAGGCACGTGGAGCACTTCCTGTCGGCCATTGAGATGGCGGCTCGGCAGCCGGGACGACCCGCATTCGCCGCCATCAAGGTATGGGAGTGGAGGAATGACCGACCGACTGGCCCACGAGGTTCAGTAAGCTGAGTCCCTAAGAGGCTCTGTGAGCTGCAGGGCCGCCCCCCACCCACCCACCGCACACGTGCATCCTGACCCTCTTCGCCACACCCTTCCACCCCCCCCCACTTCCAATCCCCGCCCCCTTCCACCCACCCACCAGATGACGGCCCTGGGTAACCCCGAGCTGCTGCAACGCGCCTCCACCGCCATCACCACCCTACACGGGCTGTTCGCGCAGTTTGACGAGGATGGTGCGTGGGTGGGGGTGGGGGGGGGTGCGGGGGAAGGGGAGGGCTGTGGCTCTAACCTGCTGAGCCGCATGCATTACCCTGCACACAAAACGTGTGCCGCTCGGACTTCCATTGTTGTGCTCCGGGTCTCTGGGATGATTGCAACCGCCTCTGCACACGTGGGGGATGCCTGGGACTCTAAACCACATGTGCCATACCGCATGCAATGCCATGTACGCCCCGCCACCTCCCCCATGTGTCACAAACACCCCTCCCCCTGCTGGCTGGCTGATTCCACCAGGGATTGTCAGCAACTTGTATCATTATCATACCACACTTTGGAATTTCTTTTTTTCCCCCTGCTGGCTGAACACCCCCTCCCTCCCTCCCTCCCTCCCCACCCTGCCAGGCAGCGGCTTCGTGGACCGAGGCGAGTTCCTGCGCCAGTGGCGGCGACTGGTGGCAGGCAGGGGAGGTGCTGATGCAGGGAGCGGCAGCAGGGACAGCAGGGACAGCAGGGACAGCAGGGACAGCAGGGACAGGTGCTGTACTTCACATGCACTACAGCAACAGCATGCCCATACACACGATGCAGCAGCAGCAGCAGGCGGTGTAAGTGCTGCTGCCGAGGAGGAGGAGGTGGACGAGGTGGGCGGCAGCGGCGCCGGCAGCAGTCGGGAGGGCGGTGTTCCGGCGCACTGCGAGTACCAGCGGCACTTCCACTACACTGAGGGGGTGGATGAGGCGGCGGTGCTGCGACAGGCGGAGGACACGTTCCGCTGGCTGGACAGGCAGGGGACAGGGAAGGTGAGGGGGGGTGGGAGGGGGGGAGGGGGAAAAAGAAATTCCAAAGTGTGGTGTGATAGTGGGAGGGGGAGGGGGGGGATGTGCATGGGTAGGGGAGGGAAGGGGAGGGGGAAATAATGACGGAAGAGGAGGAGGGGGTTGCTGCCAGCAGCGCCTTAGCGTCTCCTGTCTACCCGTGTTAGCGTACACCTTCCTTTGCCACGCCCCCTCCCTCCCCACCCTCTCTTCCCGGCCCTCCCCTTCCCAAGTGGCCATGCGCCCCCTTCCCCATCCCCCGCCCCCGCCTCACCCCCCCTTGATGCTAGGTGGACTACGTGAGCTGGTGTCAGCGACTGGACCTGCAGCACATGCCCATGCTGGCGGCGCGGATAGCGGAGGGGGGCGGCAGCAACTCGACAGGTGGGTGGGGGTGCGGATGGGCGGGTTGGAGGGTGCTGGAGAGACAGTAGGTGCATTGCTTATAGGATTGGGAGTTACGGATTACGCATGAAAACTACGTTATTACACCTAGATTTCCCTTAATGACAGAGTAAACGCTTCATCGTAAGGACCTCAAACTGTATTTGTGTAACGGGATCCATGTGATAGAATGCAGCGCCCGATTGCGGGTTCCATAGCAAAACATGGTGGCAAAGGTGTATGACCACGCTCGCTCGCGTCTGTTAAGGAGCATCTGTTAACAGCAGTGTTGCCAGGAGCATCCATGGCAAGTCTAGGCTAACGCCAATGACTATTCGCTAAAAGAAAGACTTGAAAGCTTGCTGAAAGGCTACACGCCTATACAAGGCCTTAGGAAACGTTTTCAATAGCCTTTAAAAGTTTGGTAAACAGTGAATTAATGAATGATGGGCGACAGAAAAATATCGTGTTCCCTGCCAATGTAGCCCGCGCTAAAATCTGTATAGATATGTAAATGTAGTAAATGGTAATTAAGGTCAAGATGCGTGCGCTTTTTGCGCTTATTGCAAGTTTGGGAGTTGTACAGCAAATGAAATTACACCTGCAAACTGGGAGCAACGCAGTGCGATTACTTTACTCGTACCAACTTTGTGTGGGCATCACCAGCGGGCCATTAATGTATTTATAGTTCCCGTTTTGGATGTACACCTAAATTGACAACCCTAGCACAGCACAACCCTTGCAGCAGAGCACAACCCCATCATAGCAGAGCCCCAGCACAACCCAGCCCCAGCCCAAAGCAGCCCCAGCACAGCACAGCGCCAGCATAGCACAGCCCCAGCACAGCACAACCCAGCCTCAGCACAGCACAGCACAGCCTCAGCATAGCACAAGCCAGCCCCAGCATAGCACAGCCCAGCCTCAGCATAGCACAATCCAGCCCCAGCATAGCACAGCCTCAGCACAGCACAACCCAGCATAGCACAGCCCAGCCTCAGCACGGCACAATCCAGCCTCAGCACAGCACAATCCAGCCCCAGCATAGCACAGCCCCAGCACAGCACAACCCCAGCACAGCACAAGCCAGCACAGCACAACCCAGCATAGCACAGCACAATCCAGCCCCAGCATAGCACAGCCCCAGCACAGCACAACCCCAGCACAGCACAGCCCCAGCACAGCACAGCCCCAGCATAGCACAGCCCCAGCACAGCACAACCAGCATAGCACAGCCCAGCCTCAGCACAGCACAATCCAGCCTCAGCACAGCACAACCCAGCCTCAGCACAGCACAACCCAGCCTCAGCACAGCACAACCCAGCACCAGCACAGCACAACCCAGCATAGCACAGCCCCAGCACAGCACAACCCAGCCTCAGCACAGTACAGCACAGCCCCATAACAACACAGCACAACCAAGCACAGCGCAGCCCTGGCACAGCACCCAGCCCCAGCATAGCACAGCCCCAGCATAACTGCAACCAGCCTTAGCATAGCAGAGCACAGCAGAGTGTAGCATAGCCCCATCAGAGCACTGAGCACAGCAGCCCGCCCCTGCTCAGCACAGCCCCAGCACATCACCCTTTTTGGGTCGCACAAGTAATACGTATTTCTTACCTCAGTTATTGGGCCAAAAGAACTGTAAGCCAACAAAAATCTCATTTCGCAGCAAACGATAGGGCCATACCGGTATATCGCGGCCATATCGATTACCAATTCTGTAATATGTTTCACCGGTAGCGTAGTTTTTATAAAGTGAATTGTGACAGCCATAGGTCGAATGTCAACGAACTATGAAATTCGGCGGCACCACGCTTACATGCCGTCGGCTTGCTCTTATCTTGTAAAGTATAATAATTATTAACTACGCGAAAGGGCAGGACGTTCAGGCAACATGCGATCTTACCGCGCAATTGTCCAGACCCTGTATAAACGATGCCGAGCCTGTTCTCCTCATCCAGCTTCAGTAATGCACCTGAACCCTAAATGATCTGCGTGACACTAACAGCACTTCCTTCTTGGAGACAGTGAGGTCGTCAACTTGGGTTCGATAGCACGCTGTGTGGGTGCTATGCTATGAAGCGCGATGAGACAGTCGTAGATAGTCTGTCAACAGTCTTGAGCCTGAAATGTGTGCAATGGGCACGAACTCTCTGTATGCCATGTACGCTATGTTTTGTATGTCATGCGCAAACAAGGCAGCCAGCAGCCTCAACTGGACAAGGGGGTTCAGCGTCCGGTGTGTTAGGTCAACAGGTGCCATGAAACCACAGGATCGCATCAACTGATACTCCAGTGCATGGTCGTACGTTTCTGTGCTGAAGCAGGAGGGGCTCCGCCCTTTTCGAGCTTTGAGGAAGCTGCACCCCGTGTCCCCTTCAACCCCCTGGCTCCCAAGTGGTCTGTATGTTTCTTCTCTTGGGTCCTGAGCTGCGCCCCTAACCGCTACAGTTGCTGCTACCCTCCTCCCGTGCCCTACCCCTTGCACCCCCTCCCTCCCCCGCCCTCCTGATCCAGTCCTCTCACATTCGGCTCGGCTACTAACTCCATTCCACACGCCAAGAACCTGTCACCTGATCTGCCACTATCATGCAAACCGTTTGGGTTTCCTCCTTTCCCCTTACCTCCTCCTCCCTTCCCTCCCCCACCCTCCCCCACCCTGCCTCCCCCCCCTTCCAGTCGCCGACGCCTGCCTGGACGGGTTAGAGGTGGAGCTTATGGGGGCGCTGCTGGGGCGGCTGAGGGTGAGGGGGGAAGGGGGAGGCGGGGGGTGTGGGGGAAATTATATGTGAAACAACGAGTCCCAATCCCATATCCCGACTGGTATCCTGTGGGGGGGGGAGGTAAGAGAACCATTGGCCGAGAAGAAGAACATACTGCGTTTGGTACACTGGCCGCTACAAGGAACATACTGGGTTGTCGGAAGATGATGCTGTCCCCACCACTATGTCAAGGGGTGTGTTGCAGGGATTGTGGCGGGCGGGGAGGGGAGGAAGGGTAGCAGCGCAGAGCAGGGCGTGCTGGGAACACCGAAACACCCGGGGCCTGCTTTCAACGGCTTGACACGACCACCCCGGCCTGCTCCACCACCGCATGTGTCCGCTCTAGAAGCATGCGTGCGAGGCGCTCTGGTACCGCCGACAACCTCCTTACGGCTTTCGCCTTCCCCTCTCCCTTTTCCCTCCCGCCCCTCCTCGCCTATCGCTGCCAATCTGGCCCGGAGCCCCCCTCCCCTCTCCGCCCCCTCGTCTTGTTTGCCATCCTCATTCAACACACTGGGTATTCTTCTTTCCCCTCTCCCCGCCACATCCCCCTCTCCGCCGCCCTTTCCTCTCCACCCCGCTCCCCCATCACAGCGGCTGGTATCCGCGGCGTTGCGTCACAACGTGCGGTTGATGATCGATGCGGAACACACCTACTTCCAACCGGTGCGGGGGGGTGGGGGTTTAGCTGCCGGTAGAGTGGGGGTTGGGAAGCGGGTTGTGAGGGAAATGAGGAAAGGGAGTGCGAAGATTAAGCTCGCGAGCATGAGCACACCGCTACTTCCAAAACTGGTGGGTGGCGAGGGGTGGAAAATTATAAATAAGTGCAACAACACAATCCCAATCCCGAATCCCGACTCATGCAGTGAGCGCATTGCAGTGGCGAGGGGTGGGAGGGGTTGGCGGTAAGCGGCTGCTGCTGATGGTATTTACGACGGACTATGGAGAGCGATTGCGGCATGACAGCCATTACTAGAAGGCGCATGCTTCTGGACGCCTTGCGCTGATTTGCCGCATCCTCGGCCTTGCTTGCACACATCATCCACCATGGTCGTCGTCGTATCGCACAACTTTATACCGATTTTGCCTTACGTGCAATACCCCCGCAATAATCCCACATGCCTCACAGCAGCTGCCCACTGCTTCCCTCCCTCCCTACATGCACATGCACACGTTCATACACACTCGCAGGCGATCGAGCACGTGACGCTGCGGTTGATGCGGGAACACAACCGGGACGGCGTGGCACGGGTGATGAACACGTACCAGGTGGGTAGGGTGTGGTTAGTTGGGTGGTTAGCTGGGTGGTTGTAAGCCTACGGTGGGTGGGTATCAAGGACAGCACCACGGTTTGTTCGTGTACCCGGATCACTCGCCTCGGTCTTCTCAAGTAAATTGTGGCAAGCGGGATATACCGGTAGGTCAGCCTAGGGAGCAAGGCACCTGACGCGCATGCTTGATTGAGTCAGATGCACCCAACGCCGTCGGCGGTACTACTACTCCTTGCTAGTTCCTCTTCCTTAATCGCGCTAGGCTTTACGTGTTTTCGCGACGTTACTGTCCACAATAACCACCTCGTCTTTTCTGTCACTTACCCGCCCCCATCAGCTGCTACGGCGGCAATCACTTCAAGACGATCCATTCCCCTCTCCTGAACGCCTGCTTTCCCGAATTGTCTTGCCATCTCGCTTGTAATTTGGTACCGCTATGTTTCTGACCTCCGCCTGCTGCTGCTGCTCCTGCTGCTGCTGCTGCTCCTGCTGCAGGCCTATCTGGTTGACAGCCGGGCTCGACTTCATCGCGACTTGGAGAGGGCCCGCCGAGAGGGCTGGGTGCTGGGGGCAAAGCTGGTGAGCAAGGGGGATGAAACACAAAACTGGAACGCCTACCGTACAAAAACTGCCGTGCCACGTGTTGATGAAGGAAAAGCGCCCGGTCCTGGACCATATTACTTCCATCCCACTCCGGAGGTCTATACACACTCTGTTCCAATCACATCCCCCCATTCCGCGCCACCTACCGCACGCACGCAGGTCCGCGGCGCCTACCTGAATCTGGAGCGGCGGCGCGCGGCGGAGCTGGGCTACCGCTCGCCTGTTTGGGGCAGCCTGGAGGAGACACACGCCAACTACGATGCATGCGCGGCGGAGCTGTTGGCGGCGGTGGCGGAGGGACGTGCGGAGGTAGGGACGTGCGGGGTGCGGGGTACGTAATGCGTTGGGCACGCTGTTACGCGTGAACGTGTTTGATATACAGGCTTCTAAGGGAGCACGAATGAACCCAGGTGTGCTGAAACCAACTGGCACCTGCATGCATGCGTGCGTGCGTGTATCGTAAGGCTGTCCAAGGGGGTACCCATGGCAGATGAGCGTCATAGGAAAACGTGTGGCCGCGAGCAGGCGAATACCGGATTTTGTGTTAGGAAAACTGGCCGCGTGGCGAAACGTACTGTGATTGCCTGAAGTTGATGTGCATATGTCCGTACATGTGACACAGTGCGCGTGTATTCTACAGCTTGCGCAGAGTATGGCGATGGTGGACGCACGAGGGGACGCATCCTCGATGTGTTCCTATAACAAAACTCACAAAGCTGTAACCCCGTTTTGCCTCCCTCCCCGCCCCGCCCTCCCCCCTTCGTCCTCCCCCTCCCGTTCAGGTTCTGTTGGGCACACACAACCAGGCGAGTGTGGAGCGGGCGGTGGCCCTCATGTCTCAACTGGGACTGCAACCCCAGGGTGGCACCGGCAGCGGCAGCGGCACAGGCAGCAGCAGGGCTACAGCCTCGACTGTCACAGCTGCTACCGGCAGCGGCAGCGGCAGCAGCAACACGCCTAATGCCAGCAGCAGCGGGGTCAGTGGCAGCAGCAGCAGCGGCAGCAACCCCAGCAGCGGTAGTCCCCTCCGCCGCGGTCCGGGAGTGATGTTTGGTCAGCTGTTGGGGATGAGCGATCATTTGACACTGACGCTGGGCAAGGCAGGCTATAGGTGGGTGGGTGGGTGGGGGGATACCGGTAGCTGCCTTGGGTAGTGTGGAGTGATGTTGGGGGGTAGGATCGTGTGGGGTTGCAACCCTAGTGTGTCCTTGTGTGCCCCTGTCCTTCGTGGTTTGTTGCTTGTCACCACTCCACTGTTGAGTGAACGTCATAGTTGTTTGCGCTATGTAATTGATGCGCTATGTAATTGATGCAATGTTTTGTTTGTGAGCCTTGAAAGGGCCCTTAGTGAAGCATCCATCCACGACTTGCGCGCCACCACCTTCTGCCCCTATCCTGATGTCCTCACGCGACGTGTTTAAACCACTAGAGAAACTCGCCGGATTTGTCACGAACGCATAATAGTAATTACTAAACCACCTATCACCGCTCCATATCGCCAATTTACGTCCAGGGCCTACAAGTACGTGCCGTACGGAGCCGTGGGTCAGGTGATGCCGTACCTGCTGCGGAGGGCCGCTGAAAACCAAGACATCCTCAAGGTAGGGCCGGGCAGATCGGTTGCCGGCAGCGGTTGGTTTTCTTGTACGGACGGTTGCAACAGTTTTAGTTTGTAACGGTCGTGGTCACAGTGATAAGGATTGGAAGAAGTTGCGTGAGGTGGGGTAAGCGCAGGGGAAATGGTGGGTAGGTGTTGGCGGGGGGGGGCGCTGCCTAAGGAAGGTAAAAGGAAGGTAAAAGGATAAAGGTAAGAAAGGGAGGTGGATGACCCACAGGGCATATATATCTCTGCACTGCGGTGTACCAGCCCATGGCGTAAGAGGTTTCAAAAACACAAGCCCTCGCTGCCGTACGCTACTTTCTTGTCGTACCTGCTTGTCGTACCTGCTTCCGTATCCGCTTGTCACACCCCCTGTCGTACCCCCCTGTTGTACAGGGCGCCAAGCAGGACCTGGTAATGCTGAGGTCGGAGCTGCGGCGGCGGCTGGCGGCAGCGGTGGGACTGTCATCGGCCTCCTCCTAGTCCTTCTGCTGATGGCTGTCCTGTTGGGGTCTTTGTCCTCGGTTTTTATACGGTACTTGGCTTAGCTGCAGTTTCGTCTTAGGTACGGGGGCAAGGGCAGGATGAGGCGAGAGGGGGGGAGGGGTTGTGCGAAAAGGAGAGCAGAGCAGAGGGTCGGAGTTCGGTGGAAAACGGTGGACTGTGAAAGGAATGTTTAGAACCCTAACCCTAGCTAACAAGCAATGAAGTGCATCCAGCAGGCCGTTATTAGATGGAAGTGTCCCCAGCAGGCGTGAAGAACGGAGTCCAAACGTCTAGCAACGGCTAGTAAGCTCTTATTATCTAACTCACCTCGCCCATGCACTAGCTCATTTCCTTTGCAACGTTATTAATGGACCCCTTACGTGTCCATGTCTCACCTGTCATTAGATGTTCCGAGGCATGCTTGACATGGTTTCGACCAACTAGCCGTGAAGTAGCGTGTCGTGTACAGGGGCTTGTTTGAGATGGGAATCCCCATCTCATGGACGTTTGCGGCGTGTTGTGTGGACTACAGCGGTAGCACAATGAAGCTGTCGTACGGTATCCTAGGCTTTGCTACCGGCAATAGTAGTATGGAAACTTCGCGATGTGGTGGCAAGGCTCTCGTTGTTGGTTTGCTGAAGAAGAAAGGCAAGCAAAGTGATTGCCAATCAGCCGAGGAATGCGACACTTGTACGGCAAAAGACGGCTTAAGTGTACGAATGCATGTTTGTTGGCTAGGAATGTATTTGGTGATTCAGTGACAGGACGTGTCGTAGGGTGAATACGGCGTGACCAAGGTTTTATGGCGTTGTCATCTTGCTTATAAGCTCTTTTTTCCTCGTTTCCTATGTTGTGCTGTGCCGCTTTTGTTGACAGTTTGGGTAACGACAACGGATAACCAATGTCACCATAATTTGTCGCTGTGTCAAAAGCAGCTCGGTGGAGGTACGGCGACCCCCGGGTCGGGGTTCCCGGCCAACGTATCCCGCGCACCCGCGGTATGCCTGCTAACTAACAAGGACCATTGCGAATCACCCTTCACCACGATCCGCCTGCTAAGACGCATGCATGTTGTCGCTTCGTGTGACGAATTCGGTGCATGAAACGTCGTACGGCCGTTCTGCAGCTCAGATGCCGTTATGCAGCCGCAGTCCCAATCCTCCACGCGCAACCCTCCTCCACTTGCACCCAAGCAAGCCCCAACTGCTTCTCTCCTCCCACACTCCGCGCTTTCCTCTCCTAGCCTCCCAGCTGCACTCTCGATTGAACAACACCAGCAGATGACAAGCTCACCCCCACCTCTCACCCCCACCGTCTCACACTGAACGTACATCCCCCCAGGAGGGGGCGCCCATGCCCATGCCTATGCTCACCCCCACCGGTAGGCTGAATAACTCCAGTACGCGTGCAACCCAGATGAGCACAGCATGGCAGAACCCACCCAGCAAGCCAAAATACGGTATGCAAAAGCCGCCGCTCCTTGAAACGGTGTTATGAAGGGGAGCTAGCTAGCGCAATTCAGGCTGCTGATAAACCCACCGAACCCCCCCTGTGTCAACGCCACTACCGCGCAGTAACCCCCTTGCGTCCAGATACCTGGTTGAATGCGATGCTCGCTCCGCCGCGCCAAATGATAAGAAACACTTTTATTTAAATCCATGTGACAAGCCCATTGCGTTCGCAACACGCACACCCCTCGCGGCCAGCCTACTTACAACACAACTCTCGACCAGGTTTGTCAGCACACTACTGGTTAAAAAGAGGGTCAAGCGCTTAAACCCCAAACCTCAAAAGACGTACACAAACTACGCTGTTTTAAATCCCTTCGACCAGCAATGTTGAAGGGCGGCTCTCCGAGATAGTTACGGCGACTACACCCAAAGCAACTTACCAACAGCAGTCGACACTTCAGTCCCTCGCCCCTCCATTTTCACCTCAGGAAGGACCCCAGCAGGCGAATTCACGGCGATGTAATAACAGCCAAGTTCTAAGCGGCAGCTTGTCTGCAGTTTCCCACTGCAAAAGAATACCCAGTATAACGGCAAATACCCAGTAACATCGTGACTGCTACCAGACAGATACCCCAAGTCAGTAACAATTGTAGCGAGGGAAAAACAGTAGCAGCAGCAGCAGCAGCCTTGGCAGCGGCACGGGGAGGGTGAGCGCGCCAGGAATTTCTACCAATTAGCCACAACAAAGCTCGGCAAACAGACCCGCACCAGTACACGCCCACAGACTGGTGGACCAAGACCAAATACACCGTGCCGCCTGCTGTGTGCTACAGGCCGCACGCTGTCCCTCCCAATCCATTGAGCTTGTAGCGATAAGCTGCAGCAGACCACATACAACAGGATCACAACAACCCCGACACCGCCGCTGCTGCAGAGCGGATTGCAATTGAAAATGGCACCAGAAATGCACCCGCCCCCAGATGCATTTGCGTATGTGGTATGTCCTTCAATTCGTGCATACACCGATAACCCCGCATGACCGATTCACACACCCAAACCCAAAATTCATCCCACAGACCCTGACATCCAACCACGTGCAAATGCACATGATTTGCATGAACCCACGAGCCGAGGGCCCACCGACAGGAACTACAACGCATGAAGCTGCCAGCGAAACCTCCAACACCGCAAAGCCATGCGACAGCAAAAGGCGGAGTACCTTGTCGAAAACGGCAGGGACATTCTAGAATGTCAGGATGGAGACGGCCATTTGTTTGTTGAGTTTCAGCAAGCACACACGCTCGGCCAGTGGTCACGTCCATGTCGTTTCGCGGCTCGCTCGGGTTTTTGTTTTGTACACGCAGGCACGCGTTGTGGGCAGCGCCCGCAGCCAGTCCCCGAACCGAGCTCCTCCTGACTAACGATACTGGGAGCCAAGGAAACGCTCCCAAGGAAATAGCCATGCTAGTCAGCACAACAATATGTTCTCAAAATAGGGAACCTAGAAAGTGAAAGGCCATACGAGGTTTGGCGAGCAGAGTCCAGACGTCTACACGGTAAAAAGGCTTGGCAGCAATTTTTACCGGTGCACCAGTTGCAGTACATTTCTAGAAGTTCTAGCGTTGCCGACAACAACCAAGAGGCCCCGCTCTATGAAGATGCATCGAAGCAGCATAGAGTGCAGCTGACCGGCCATGTCAATTAAATTCGGGCCCTTGTTTAGATCCTCAAATGACCCATGGGTCACTTCTTGAAGAAGTTCTTAAGCTTGCTCGCCAAGCCCTTGGGTTTGTTGGCGGTACTGGGCGAGACATCTCCTGCGCCGCTGGAGGGATCGCTGACCCGGGAATTGCCAGCGGTCGAGCCGTTCCGACGAACAGAGGTATCGTACAGCGATGCGGCCTGTGCAAGCGGGTTAAGGTGTTAGGAGGATAGTAGTGACGCTGAAAAATGGCAGACTTTGCTGCGCATTGGTTTTGGTTTTATTCGAATTCCGAGAAACGTGTTGCCGCGTCCTGCGGAAAAACAAGGTATACAACAACCGCGCCTGACATTGCCAGCCCAATGCAGGAATGTAAACAAGTGACAATGCATTCTGCCCCCTTCGGACCGTGCACCTCTCACCTGCAATTGCTGTAGTACAGCCGCTTGCATTGGGGACGGCGGCGGCGGCGGCAGCGCCTGCGCCTGCGCTGGCGTTGGCGCGTCCTTCGCCGCCACCGTTGGTTTCTCAACCGCCGTCACAGCCGGCGCTTCCAACACTGGCGGCGGCGGAGCTGCCGCCGCCGCCGCTACCACCACGGCTGCTGCCGTACCCTGCTGGAACGGTAATGACGACTTGGATGTTGCACCGCGAGCGATTACAAAGCTTGTACCGCCGGCGGCGGCGGCGGCAACAGAGCTCGCTGGCGCCACATTGTCGTACGACGACTTTTCAAAACCGCCACTGACAGGCGCCGCCGCCGTTGTCGTCGTCCCTTCGACGCTGCCGCTAGCTGCTGCCAGGAGGCTGTGCCCGCTGGCGGCGGCGCTTGGGCTTCCATGGAGCATGCTGCGGCTCGCGGGTCGACCGCCCCTCGCGTATACGGCTCGGAAGGACGCCTCGCGAGCCGCCTCCCTGAATGAGCCGCTGCTGGCGGCGGCGGCGGCGACGACGGCGACGCTGCCGCTGCGCGGCGACGACGGCTGAGCCGCTGCCGCCGCCGCATTCGCAGCCGATATGTACGACAGGATATCGCCTGTTCCGGCGCGTTGGTTTGACGCCAAGTGGCGGCCGCCGCCGCTTCCGCCGCCGCTAATGGCTGCGACTCCGCCGCTTGCAAGATAATCAGCATTGCTTTGGGTGGAAGTGGCGGTAGCGGCGGCGGCGTCCGCACTGACGGGTGTCGCACCTGCAGCGGCGACTGCTGCAAGTGACATCGATGGCGTCAATGTCGCCATTGCTACGTTGCCACTGTTGTTGACGCTGCTAGCAGCGGAGTCGTTATATGGGTTGGGGAATGAGCCGTGCTGAAACGGACACTTTCGAATGGACGGAACCGCGGCGCCGGCAGCGGCAACAGTTGCTGCGCTTGTATCAACCGATACAACCGTTGCGCCAGTTTGCACCATGCCTGTGCTGCTTGTTGGGAGGTTCGTGCCGGTTAGGGCGGCCGAGGAATCTCCAGCTGGGTTGGAAGTGAAGGAGTTGGTTGCTGTGGTTCCGCTTACGAAACCATGCGGGGGGAGGCTCCGAGACAGTCGGTCCTCATCTCCCTCCTTGATTGCCTCCATGGCAGTTTGGGGCCGATAGGCAGCCATGCTGTCCGCTGATCTGTCGCGTTAATTACATTACACGCACACAAACCGTTTGTTCAAAGACACGTGTATAGTTATATCTTATTTGTGATTCACACCGGTATTTCATTTAGGTCCAAACGGTACCGACAACAAGCCGTGGGAATCCCGTGGAAATCCCATGCTTGTGACACGGGTCATCCTGATATATAGTTGTAAACCTCACCCGCCCCTCTCACCTGCCGGATGCAGTGACAACGAAGGAGCCATCCCGGCCCGCCACACCGCCCACACCGTCCATTTGGACATCCGTGAAGCTCTGACGCAATAGCCAGTCGTCATGCGTTCCACCGATCAGGTACGTCTGCAGAGTAACCCGGGTAGTGGCGCAACGGAAGGAACCCAGGTTTTTAGGACTACAATGAGCCAACGCTAACGTGCGAGGGAGAGAAGAGTTGATGCTGATGTGCGACTCAGGCAGGAAGACACTTGAAAGGTGTCTTTTGGAAAGGCACATGAGAAGTGAAGCAGCAGCCACTAGGTCAAGGATTGGCAGGCGTTCAGGTTGATACGGCGTTGCAAACCCCAAGAAGAAACAGCGGACAGGCATCATGTTGTACCCCATCCTCCGCCCGCCGTGCCCTCCATGCTCTGCCCCGTTCAGCCGTCATCTTTTTTGGGGATTCCCAGCTCCCCAACCCTCACCGTCATGTTTCCGCGCCCCTTGACCGCGATGTTTCCTCGCTCCCGCACCGCATACTTGTGCTTGTCCACGATGCGCGCGTAGGCGGCCGCGGAGATGTGGATCTTGCCCGGCAGTCCGTGGCTCTCCATGCGGCTGGCCACGTTGACCGTGTCGCCGTACACGCTGAAGCGCGGCGTCTTGGCGCCCAGCACGCCGCCCACCACGGGGCCCGTGTGGATGCCGATGCGGATCTGCACCGGCTGCCCCTGCGCGTCGCGCACCCCCCGCGCCGCCGCCTGCATGCGGATGGCGAAGTCGATGACGGTGTCCACGTGTCGCGGGCAGTGGGTGGTGAGGTTGCAGACCAGGAAGTAGGCGTCCCCGATGGTCTCCAACTTGTACACGTCGGGGAACTCGTCGATCAGGCAGTCGAACCTGGGCGTGCGAGGGGGGGTGATGGGGGCGGGAGGAGGAGAGGGGTTGAGAGGGGTGTAGGACAGGCAAGGGGAACTTGTCAAACAGGAAGTAAACGGAGAAAAAAATTGGACATTGCACATCGAGCAGAGGGCACCGTCAATGCATGGGATTCGACCCTGAGCACTAGCAGGCACTGAAAAGGGCACACCGGTACGGGGGTCGTACAAATGATAACGTTGCCGTACGCCTCTCGCGCAGACTTACTTGTCGTACATCTCATTGAGCATGTTGTACACCTCCTCGGCAGTTGACTTGGCGGAGGTGTTTGTGAAACCCACCATGTCTGACAGAGGTAGGAGCGAGGGGAGAAAGACAAGGAAGAGCGGGTGTAAGCAGACACTTAGTTGTTCTCCTTTCGAATTGTGACCTCTGCCACCTCAACAGCTAAGCCCGCTCTCCTTTTTCCTTGACCCTCTCTCCCCAATCCCTTCCTCAACTTCTCTAATGGCGTTCGGCAAAATGGCCTGCTCCCGTTCCCATGTTCAAATGAGCCAAGGGCCCCATGCCGCATGCAACCCGATGTCAACCGAAGCAACAGCCCCCCCTCCTCTGTCACCCCCCCCACCCACCGCTGAACAGAATGGTCACTTCCGGGTAGTTTATGGCCTCCACCTTGCGCCCCTCCCGCAGGTCCGCCGCGATGTCCGCAGGCAGCATGCGGTACAGCAGCGCGTCACTGCGGCTCCGCTCCTCAGCCAGCCAGCTGGTGGCCTGCTCAAGCCGCTCATTCGCGACCCGCAGCTCAACCGCCATCTTCTCAAAGCGCTCCTTCAGGTCAGCCTCCGCCTGTGTTGAAAGGTGGGGCGGGTGCATGGCCGAATGCATGCATGTAAGTTTTGCTTGCACGGGCGGGTGCATGGCAGCAGGTGCTGCAAAGCATGCGGGACCAGATGGCGTAAGCATGTGGTCAAGACACCGGCAGCCCCCGTTGCTTGCAGTGGACTGCAGCATGCATGCGGCTGCTGCGGGTGTGCTTGACGATGGGTAGCAGCAGAGGCAAAACGTGCTGCGACAACTTCTCACGCATCTGACGCGTGCAAGAGGCGTCATCCGGTGTGCATCAATCACGGCACGCAGTGTGCATTGGGCTCAGTCGGCTCATCCGGGGAGCGCGTGGCCGACATGCAGGTACCCATACGCGAGCGCATGCATGCACACGGAGCAAGGATGCATGAAGAAATACGCATTGGCCTTTCCCCTCCCTCCCCCCCCTCCCGCCCGCCCCACCTGTCTCTGCTCCGCCAGCAGTACGAAGTCGCGGCTCATGTCGTGCAGCGGAATGTCGGACAGGAACAGCCCGTGCGCGCCCATCTCCTCCAGCGTGGCCACGCGCGGGGAGCCCAGGAACAGCAACACGGGGCGGCCGTCCTAGGGGGGGGGGAGAGGTGAGGTGAGGGGAGGAGAGGAGAGGGGGACGAGCAGAGGGAGGGTGAAAGGGAGAAGGGAGATACAGGATGTGTGTGACGCGGAGGGCGCTGCTTCTCAGCACCGTTGACAAACTGGCACCGTCGCAACTGCCTTCCACCACTACTGCCCCGCACACACGTTCACCTACCGGCATGTTGGTCTTGACCATTTGGCCCTTGAACTCGAGACCTGTCTGAAAAGCCTAGGGTACGACAAGACCCGGACAAAACCAGGAATGTCGGTAACAACGGGACAGGTCGTCAGCAACGTCCCCTAACAGCAACGTCCCGAGCTAGCTGCACCGAGGTAAAAGGCACATCGGTGGAGGCGTGAGGAAAGGGTTGAAGGGTTGCGAGAATGCAAAGACAGGAGCTACTTAGAATCCAAAGTTACCTGAACGGAGCTGTGGATACACTCGCAGCACATGCACCACACATGAAGCATACGACAGCACATGCACCACACATGAAGCATACGAACCACAAACCGTAAACCGTATTCATACACCTATGCTAGGGAAAGGTTTACCTTGAGAAGAAACAATGAATCGCTCTCCAGCAACATTCTGTCGTACTCAAACGGAATGTGTGGATGGCGCAGCGTAAAGGTATCCGTGATGGCCGACCCATGGGTCAGCGTGGAGCCGAACAGTCGCGTCATGACGCTGCCTGCTTGTACGACGCGGCAATCTGGATCCAGGATGACGTGGAAGGGAAACATCTCAAAGAAAAAGTCCTTGGTCATGCTGTACTCCGATGCTAGGGCCGCGTCGTGATTGTCCCAGAGCGTGAGGGACTCCTGGTGGGGATACGTCACCCGGAATATCTGTGGAGTGCGTGGGTTCAGGGGTTCGGAGGGGCGCGGGCAGCAGAGGGGAGTACTTCTTAGGACAGTGGCAGTAAGACAAACGAAAGAGCAGCGTGATGCTGGTCATCCCCCCCTTCCATCTCACCTTACCTAACCTGTGGGTTTCCTATGGTATGGTATGGTCTTTGAACCCCCCTCCCCACTCACCTCGTGGTCGCAGTCGCCCGCCTCCCTGCTCGCCACCAGCTGCAGCTCCACCGCGTGCTCGAACAGCACCTGGGCGGCGCCCTTCAGCACGCCGCTCACGATGGGCCACAGCGCGGGGCGCATGGAGTGGTAGTGCAGCAGCAGGCTGTTGCTGGTGACCTGGGGGCTCAAATTGAACCACATGAAGCAACATTAAAACGTATAAAAACGGGGGAGCGATACCGGTAATGACTTCATGAGGTTGGGATGTGGGCAAAGAGGAAACAACTAACTGACTGAGGGATAAGGCGTCAACATGGGTTGCAACATGGAGGTGGGCGGTGGGGTGGACATGAGATGGCGTGGCGGCCACGCTGCTGCAGGGGTGGCAAGAAGTTGGGGCAGCGCGAGGGGGGAGCCAGGCGGTTCTCTGGGATGGCTCAGGAGGGCTTCCCATGCATCCCTTGAGGCTCGGCTCGTGAACCACGCTGGGCAGCAACCGGACCTACGCAAGACGTGCGCATTGCAGTAGCGCGTCCCGCTACAACCCCCACCTGCTCCACTCGGAATGCCGGGGCGACCATGGAAGGAAAGCCCATCGTCTACAGCAGCAGCAAGCAGTAGGGGCGGGCGAGCCAAGGAGAGGAGGAGGGAGGCCAGGTGGAGCAGATGGCAGGATACCCTTGACAAACACGGTGAGGCAGCTCCCACACACACCCCTGTCACCCCCTGTCATCATGCACCCTCGTGCTTCCCGTTGTTTCGACCGCTGCTGACAAGCAGGGGAAATACAGTGGTGCCGCCACTGCAGCATTGAAAGGCAGCGAGCCCCTCACCAGGTGCAGGTGTAGGTTGTTGAGGTTTGCGAGGAACCTGAGGCAGCAGCCGTATGACAGGTGTTTAGTACGATAGCTTTGCTAGAACATGTTGGCTGTATAACACGGTGTTCGGTGATCAAGCAAGTAAGCCGGCTTTTAAGTGACCCGCATACGGCAAGCACACCCCATCCTTTTCCTAATCAGGAACGTTCCTTGGCCCCCCTGGCTCGTACGGACACACTGTACACGCGTACAGACTGTAACCGTAACTGTTCCACTGACGTTGCCACCCCACCCGACGCGACTCACACCATGCCCCTATGGCGCTAAGGGCCTCCCCAGCACCGCAACCCCCCCCCCCCGGGTGCTCACTCCGCAATGTTGCTGCCCAGGCTCTTCATCAGCCGCGTGTAGCCCTGCTTAATCACATAGTTGACAAAGTACTGCCCGTACGCCTGCAGTGCAGGAGGGTACATGCAAGAGGGAGGAGGGGGAGACAGCCGTCAGGGGACCCGTAAAACGGAGGGTTACGGAACCCAACCGCCGACAATGGCTTGAATCCTTTGTAACCCCATGGTCTGCCAAGACAACTCAACCATCAGCCGTTGTAGCCTGGCAGGCAAGGCAGCAGCGGTTACAGCAACACCGCCCAGACGCCACAGCCGACGCCCCACCTCGCGCCAAGCGGGTCACCCAACAAACGCGTCGCGCTGCACTGCGGCACGCACTTCACAGCTGCGCCTCATGCTCGCCCACACGCAGCCACACACCCCCTCTCGTGGCAAACTGCTTCCACTATCCCCATTGCTTTTCCCTAAACCTGTGGTTTTCCTATGGTATGGTCTTTGACCTCCTTCCTCTTTGTAACCTATTAACCCCCCCCCTCCCCACCTCTAGCGCTTGCGGCACCGTGACGCCCAGGATGCCGGCCCCCGTGATGACCAGGTCGTAGGTGATCTTGTCGGGGTAGGGGCAGGAGGACACCCAGTTGCAGTCCACGCGGGCCTCCTGCACGATGCGCTGCCAGGCATCGCGGCCGAAGGAGTCGCAGATGAAGGCCTCAACTGGAGCGAAGGGTAAAGAGGGAAAGAAGGTTCGTTTGGTTGGTTGTGGACATTGGGAGGGGGTGTGTGAGGTAGGGGCGCATGGAGGACGCGCACTGGTGAAAGTGGACAGTACGGTATGCGTCACGTGGGGTTGTGGACACGCATTGCGCGTGTGTCACGATTTCACTCTCCTAAAGACCCCTCGTGCACCTCGTCGGAGTTCTCTTTAGAGAAGCCACAGTTATAAGAAGGTCTGAACGTACCGCTCAGGTTAATCCTTGAAGGGCGACAACAGAGAAGATGTTGGGGCAAGGTGGGAAATGGGGGAGGCAAGGAAGGAGACACTTGTCAAGGGACTGTCAGAGGATGTCATGGCGTGTACAGTAACCTATACACACTATGGCCAATGGTATTCAGCTTTCCGACGCGGAAGGAGTTGTACAATTGGACAGCCCTCTGCAAGTGCTGTACCGTTGCTAACATGTTCGGCATGCACATGGTAGAGTCCCACTCCGGATTTTATCCACAGCTCGCCAGAACGTACAAAGTGCAAGAAACACAATTGTCTAAAGCACCATCAACTCCCACCTACCATCCAATCATTCGTCAGAAAGCGTCAACCGTGCTTACGAAGCCCAAAGCTCGACGTCCCAGGTCGGGAGCCGGGCAAGCAGCTTCTTTGATGCCCCAACAAAGGCAGCTACTTGGAAGAAGCCAGCCCCAATTGGTAAATGGTACTATCACGAAAAGTGCAGAAAACTGCCACGCCTTCGCTGCCTCCGTAAGTTTAATACAAGCAAAGATAGTGCGTTGATAGCAGTCACAGCAAGTTTGTCAGCTCTTGCAAAATATGTCAAGCTCACTAACTGCAACTAAAATTCTACCTGGACCTACTACGGGAAGTTCCGAAGTTGGGTGTGACCAGACGTCTAAAGTTAAGGCTTAGGACTCACTACGTATATATGTGGGCACAGTTCTGCAGACTGCACATAAGAGGGTGCAATGAGCAAACGCAGTAAACGGCATAAGTGCCAGGCACATGAGCATATCACAAGGCTTCAGGTTGAGGACAGTCAATAGATGACGCTGTGGTGAAGAGATGAGGTTTCGTCTCTACTGGACGAGCGTACGTCATTCTGCTTGCCGATTGTGAATGCTACGAGGGCAACTGCGATTAACATGTTTATATGGTATACATGGGCTAGACGTATACCGGTAAAGCGCCTAGTATAAGGCAATCTTTAAGATTAGGAAAGGTGGTGGGAGAAACTCTTAACATAGTATGAGAAGACCGCATGGTTTGCTTGTATTCCTTTTAGCTACACAGCAGCCAGGTTAAGGTTTTCCATTCACTGTAGAGCGAATACGCAAGGGAACTTGGGCAGGCTTTCTCGAGGCAACCTGCCCTTGTTTGTTGAAGCACCATGGGGTGCTTCAACTCCAAGGAGGCTGTCTATGACGCTAGGGGTGGGCAGGCCCAAGCAGGAGGCAAGCTCCAGCACGGCCAGGGCAATCACCACTTGGGCTCGACGTCTGGTCAGCAGCCGCCAGCGTATCTATTGGAGGCAGGTCCGCAAAGCATACTACTAGGAGCGTCTGGCCAGATTACACCGTCGGGCAATTCTGCGGTTGGCAAGTATGCTGTACCAAATTCATCTCGGAACAGCGCGACGGCCATGGTCCCCAGTGCATCTTTTATCGCCCTGGGAGCCGCTGGAGGCTCCTTAAGCGGCGTCAGTCGCAGAACACCGGCTGGCAAGGGAGCGCACGTGTCAGCCGACCTGAACGCAATTGTTGACGACCAAGGAACCATTAACGCACTGGTTAGCCGTCAACTTTCAGTGATGAGCCATTACAGTGTGAAGAGTGAGGCGGGCAGCGTGATTCTCCAACCGGAGTTAGCTCAGGGACCAAACGCGCTAGGCTTCACCCTCCATAAGCTAATCGGACGTGGTGGCTTTGGCAACGTGTATCTCGGTGATTGGGAGGGACGCAAGGTGGCAGTCAAAGTAGTGACCGGTAACAACAACGAGGCACAGTCAGACCAGGTGCGCAGGATGATGACCGTTGGCATAGGGTGGTTAGGTTTCGTTGGGGTTGGGCCCAGAGGCCCATGGACAACGGCTGTCTGGCTTACTGTTTGCCACTTCACCCGTTGCAATTGTACTTTGTTTGATCTGTTGCATGGGGGGCTTCCAGGTTCACGAAACAGTCCATGCATTGACGCTTCCCAGAGCTGTTGCTGGTTATGTGGTCACTACGGTTGATGCAGCAATGCAGCGTCTGAGTAGCCGACGCCTAGCCTCCCTTTTCACCCTAGCGCGGACTCGATCCACTCAGTTCTGTGCTCCACGTACCACCCAGCGCTCTTCAATGTGTCTGGCCCTCCTGTCTGTTGCCAGGCGCCTTCCCTTTCCCTGTTCTCTGCCCTGCTGCCCCGGTGACTGCCTCCCAACCCCCGTCCCTCCCCGCGCCCGACCCAAATCGCAGCCTGAGGATAAGGAGTGGGAGGCCCGCAAGGAAAAGATGGCGCAGATGGAGGCGATTCTCATGGCCTCAGTCAATCACCCGAACATTGTGCACACGCTGAAGGTCAGACGTCCGGCAGGCCCGCATTGCCAAGGGAGCAGAGCAGGGTCTGGCAGCAGGAATGGGATAGTGGGGCGCAGGTGCCATATAGCGGTAGAGAGCTGTAGGGCCATCCATCTCCAGTTCGCGGTGTCCGGGGCCATTTGGGTCAACGGGTCGTGGTCTGGATAGATCATGGCATGACATGAAAAGATGGAGTAGCCCTTGTCAGCGCCGCGGCGGGTGAGCATCACCCCCATCAACCCCCGTTAACCCCACCCCGCCCTTACCCCCACTTCCCCCCACAACCCCAGGTGATAGCCCACCAGGGAGACGCCATGGATCCGGAGCTTGCAGCCATTGAGAGGGAGCTCTTTACGGAGCGAGAAGAGGTTAGTTGGTTGGATGTGGTCGAATCGGGTTCAATTTGATTTGGGTCGGGCAAATCCGGCAGCCAGAGACGAGTCCCTGATGGCGGGCTGCTGCCTGCAGTGCGCCGTGATTGTTTGCTTGCCTGGGCCCCGGTGTAACCCTGTTTGGCGTAGGCTATACACGGCCGTGGGTGTAGCTCATGGTTGGCTCCTAGCGCCATAGCTACATGAAACACGTGTTTACCCCAACCCTCCCTTTCCCCCATTCGCAGCACCACCCGCCTTCGTTCGAATGGCACATCATCATGGTAAGTAGGGGACATGCGGGAGGGGGTACCACACATGCATGTGTTGGAGATGATGGGCGTGGTGGCGGGGTCTGGTAGCAGTGGCATGACTTTATGGTGAAAGGGCAGGGTAGGGCGCTGCAGTCTTGTTCGTTCTTGTCGAGCATTACCGTACCTTGCTAAGTGCCCACTGCTGGCCCCAACGCGCAGGAGTACTGCGATCGGGGTTCCTTTTCGCGAGCACTAGCCTCCATGCGGTTTCACGAGGTAGGGTGGGCGGAGAGGGAAGGGGCCCCTCGACTGTCTTGGACCGTAAAGAGGTCGCTCTGAAGCCTTACATGGGCGACGGCTCGTCACCATGAATCCAGATGTCAGTAAAGTAAATAGTCCTTTCTCCAAGGTTCCTGCACTTGTTTTGCCGTACTCTTCCCATCGCGTACCGGCAACCAACCGTCCGGCTTTCCTGACGCGCCCCTGCCCCTGCACGCAGTTTGTGGAGACTGCTGGGTACGTGCGGTGGGACGCGTGGGCGTGTCTGCAGACGCTCAAGGAGGTCACCAAGGCGCTCATCTTCCTGCATGAGAACCGCATCCTGCACGGCGACCTAAAGGTGGGTGGCAGGACTAAAGACGGGTTTCTGGAAGGGAATCGGAGAGGTGCTAGACGTAGATGTTACCGAGTATATTAGTTCAGAGCAATAGGGAAGGGTGGCGGCGGGGGGGCCGTAAATAGAGGGACTGGCGAACTGTATGACGAGGCTTAACCGGCGGCGGCGGCGGGGGTTGGGGATGCGTTTTGCGCTGCCTCGGTGGGGGTTAGGAAGGACTTGAAGAGTTGCAGCAGGATACGCTGCCCTTTCCTTCAAACACGTCCTGAGTTCGACCCCAGCTTCGAAACCCTGTCTCGCCCGCTTGTCCTCGTCACACTCCAGCCCTATTCCCGCTGCACCCCTCCCCCCTCGGTTCCCCTCTACCCTCCCCGTTTCAACCCTGTCTCAACCCCGCTCCAATCCTCCCCCTCGCCCGGCCCCAGGCCGCCAACGTGCTGCTGAGCAGCAGCGACTTGGACCGGCGCGGCTTCGTGGCCAAGGTGTCGGACTTTGGGCTCAGTCGAGTGCTGGCGGGCAACCGGAAGGAGATCAAGACACAGACCTTTGGCACGGTGAGGGGGGCAGGAGGGGCAGGACCGGTGTGGGGTGGGGGTTGGAGGAAGGAGGGATGAACCTGGATGGGCGGCTGCATTTGCCGCAAGGGCAGTGGACGCCAGGAGGGGGGGAGCAGGTTAATGAAAGGAGGGAAAGTTCTCTTGCGGATACGGTGAACGAGGAATGAGAGCAGGGATGGGGTTGATGCCATGCTGCCGCCCCTGGCCGCCCTACGGTACACCGGGGGAAGCGCTACCAGCCGCCTTGACCTGCGCCCCCAACCCCGCCCTCCTCCGCCCCCTCCCCTGCTCCTCCCCATTCCTTGGCGCAGGTGACCCACATGCCTCCGGAGCTCCTGTCCAAGGGCATCCTCAGCCCATCGGCAGGTGCGGGTTGGGGACTGTCAACATGGGGTGCGGCTGCTCCGGCCGGCCTAATGGAGCTGTAGTTGGTTGGACTCAGTTAGTCGCTTAGTAGCACCCTTGCTAATGGAGGCAGTGCAGGGTGTGCTGTTGAAGCGCGTTATGACATGCAGGGGGTATGGCACATGCGGGCGACGCAGATAGATTGGTTTCCTGGTCAGCGACGAACGCATTACGGGCTGCCCCTTTAGCCCTCCTCACTTTCTTCTTCTTGGCCCCCGCACCGCATGCACCAACGGAATCATTCGCGCCGCGCTCTGCTTCCTTGCTTCCAATAATGTCCCTGCCCTTGCCCTTTCCACTTCCACCTGCCGTTGCCCTTCCCACGCTTTCCAACCCCTCGTTCGACTCCTTCCCGGCCCCAACCACTACCCGCACCCCCACCTCCCCTCCAGACGTGTACGCCATGGGTGTGCTGCTGTGGGAGGCCTACAGCGGCGACCGCGTGTTCAAGCAGCTGAGTGACAGCGAGGTCATCCTGGCGGTGGTGACCCGCAAGGCGAGGCCGCAGTTCCCACCCGACACGCCACACCGGTACGTCCTCCTGCGTGTGACACGCACCCGGCACAACACCTGCATGCATGCAGCACACGGGTGTGCTGCCCTCTCCTGCTGATGTCTTGCATGTAGTGCATTTGCATGTACCTAACACATTCCACCCGCCCGGCCCCCTCCTGTTTGTAGCGCTTTGCCAAAGTTGTCTAAGTGTTTGTCCCCGCCCTGTGCTCCGTTGTTCTGTCTCCTACCGATCCCACCCGTTTGGGGCCCCTTCGTGCCCCCTGTCCTCTACCCAACCCCGTCATCTTTCATCATTTCCCCCAACCCTTCTCGGCTATCCATGTTGCTATGCCTCCCAGCTATCCATGTTGTTGTGTTTGCCCTAACTCGTGTTTTCCTGGCGTCTGGTCCCATGCACCCCGGACCCTCAGCTTCAAGTACCTGGCTGAGCGCTGCTGGGCGGAGCTGCCGGAGGTGCGTCCCTCGTTGCAGCAGCTGTACAACGAACTGGAGAACCTGCAGGTGCGTGTGTGGGCTTGGCTTGTTTGCGCTGTTTGGACAGCGGAGTTGTTAACTACTTGAGGCATGTTAAGTACACGAGGCTCTTTGAAAGGATATGGCTTACGTAGTAAGCGTTGGGAACGTTCACTCCTGGCAGAGGAGAGTAGGAGGAGGAGAGCGCTTTATGGGATGGTATGAAAACGGAGCGCATGGCGTCATTGCGTGCCGGCATCCAGCTCACGCTGCTACCTTGGCTGTTTCCCGACGTCCTTCCTTCCTCCGCTCCCTGACCTCTTTTGCTACGCGTTCCTCCCCCAACAGGCGCAGCTGTGTCCCCAGGGCTCCGAGTCCCCCCGGCTGCTGGTGCAGTCCTGCATAAAGCAGAAGCGCAGCGTGTCCTCCGTGCCGCCGGTGCAGGTGGCGGGCGCCAAGGGACCGGGGCAGCAGAGCCGGCTTGCACAGGTGGGGCTTGCACAGATGTGGAGAGCGCGGGAAATCAGGGCTGCAGGGATGGAGAACTCGGCAGCGTGGGCTGCAGCGATTGCTTAGGGGTATGTAGGGATATGTTCCTTTCCAGCAGGCGCCTTGCGGTAACAGATTGAACCTCACCACACCATGCGTCCGTGCTAGGGTTGTAGGTTTTGGCATCCGGGCGCTGCCCAAAAAGCACCAGCACGCCACCTTGTTAGGCGTGCAGGACAGCAGCACTGTGCAGCAGCATACGCGTGGGCCTTAAGATCACAGTCCTGCGGGGCTCGCCCCCGCGCGTGGAATGCTATTGAGTCATACCCGCGCCACAGCAATGCAGACCCATGGGTCGTGCGCGTTATGCGCCGTGCCCAACTGTCGATTGCCGTACCAGCACGTAGCGCCGCTGTACTGCGGCCCCGTCTGCATGCGACCCTTGGTGGTCGTTTCGCCATGACATCAGACGGAAGCTGTTGCGGACGACACGCGTTTTGCAGCAACCCATTGCACTTCTTGGTATTCTCTTACCATTATGAAATTCACAATCTACCGCATCCATAAATCAGCTTATGCAATAGCGTTTACCTGCTATTAGCCCAAGTACCATGCACTTCACCCTCCCTCCATATGTTCTCACCCTTTCTTCCTTCCTGTCATCCTGCTTTGTCAAACCCCCTGCCCCGCTCCTCTGCCCTATCCTGCGCACACCCGCGCTTCCCGCCGCCCTGCAGGGCATGAGCACCGACGGTACGGCCAAGGCGGGATCCACTGCAACCGCTCCGATCAAGGCAGGAGGCTACACGTCCTCGCCGGGGGGACCAGGTGGGTTCGAGTACGGCAGGGCCGCGCTAGCCAGCTACCTGCACTGCACTGCGTGGGAGTGCTGCGCAGCTGCAGGAAATTGCAGCTGCACTTCATTGTGAAAGGGGTACTGACGTATCCCTTTGCTGTCCCGCATGTATATGGCAGGGCGCGAGTATAACAGCGGTGGGGGCCACGTGTACGTCAATTCACCACTAGGCGGCCCCGCTGGCGTGGGCAGCCATGGCCCCTCGCAAGCCGACAAGCTCAAGACATTTGCGGCGCTCAACCGAACGCAGCAGAGCGCCAAGAAGAGCAGCGAGTTCGGGAACGGCCCCGTAAGCAGCAGCAACATCGTGAACCCGAGCGCCGGCAGCGGCAGCGGCGGCGGCAGTTTGCTGGGAAGCAGCGGCGCGCGGCATGCGGGGTTGCATGCGGCGGTGGGGGTGCGCGGCCTGATGAAGGTGCCTTCCTTGCACAAGGCGCGAGAGGTGGGTAACTGGGTGAACCTAACGTGTCCCTCGTCCTGCTGTCCACCGTCATTTGTTGTTTATACCCCTCAGATTGCCTCTCCCTTTTGGCCAATGCCTCTTTCTCGCTACCCTCTCTACCCCCCTCCTCCCGCACAGTCCGAGCTCAGCGTATCGCACTCCGCCGCCTCCTCGCCCACCCTCATCTCGCCCTACGCCGCCAAAGCCGCCAGCTCCGGCCCCCTCTCGCCCCTCAAAAACAGCAGCGCCCTGGGCCAATCACACCCCATCAGCCACCTAGGCAGCTCGCATGTCGTGTCCGCCGGCTTCCCGCCAGCTCCCGCCAACCGGACCGTTTCGGCCGCCACGGTGGGCGGCGTCCCGTCAAGCGTGATCTCTGCCGGCGGTGCTGTCAGCGGCGGCGGCGGTGTTGGCTACACAAGCTCCCCCATTCATAACCATTACCACCAGCTTCAAGCCCAGACCAGTGGGCTCAACGGAGCGTCATCAGGAGCAGGGGGAGTTGGTGTTTCATCTGGGTCGCTGCCGCCCCTCAGCGCGAGCCTCAACCCCGCTGGAAACAGCGGCGGGATGCAGCCGGGAAGCCCCAAGTCGACATCGGGAAACGCTGGTAAGAGGGCGGGGATAACGGGGAAAGGGGCAGCCTAGGGGGCCAGCCATGTATGGATACCGGTACCAGAGACAACGCAACGAAACATTGTTACCCGTGTTAGCTAGCCCACTACCTGCATTAAGTCTGTCTGTATCTGCTTTTCCTAGTCGTTGCCTGACCCGATCCTGACCCGGCACAGCACACCCAGTACATGCGTACCACGCACACCCGCACATGTAGACATGTTACATGAAGCAGAACCTTTTACCCCCATGGCCTCATCTTCCCTGTTCCCCTGACCGTCCGAAACCCTGCCACGCAGCTCACGGCACGCCAGGTGCTAGCCCCGACTCCCCGCCGGTTGTGCCCAACGAATACCTGGGCCGTGCCCGCACTGCCTCGGCCACAGGCATCAGCCGACCCAGCCGCTTCGGACATGAGGAGGCTGTCGCACGGCAGGCGTCCACGGGCAGTGTGCCAGCGCCCTAGGAAGAAGGGCGGCTTTGGAAAGGTGGGTTGCTGCGGCCATGATCCGTGGCACCTTGCAACCCGTGCTGAAGAGCTGACAGCGGTGCCGTAGCTCGTGGATGTGGTCGGTCTTCGGCAACGCTCCTGTCCGTACAGTTGGGTGTGCACGAGGGAGGGCGATGCGGAGGACGCTTAAGGCCGAGGGTGATGCGTTGTGAAGGCGGAGGCGGCGACAGATGCCTGGGGCTGGGGTAAGCTGACGTGCCATGAATCTATGAAACTAAGTAGAACCAAAGGCAACTGATGGTTTTAACAGCCCGAGGGCTGCGATGAGGAGGGATAAATTAGGTGGGTAGCTATAGCAGCGACCATGTATGCAGGCATGCACGTGTTCCGTGCCCTTGGCTGCTTGAGCATACACATGTGCTAGCAGAGCAGCAACGCCTCTGGTGCAAGCGTGCGTGCATGCAAGGATGCTGCGTCGCATTGGAGGGGTTCCGCGAAAGGAGACTGTGTGCAGGACGGGTTTGGGAGTCGTTGCACATAGCCGCTGGTCTCTGTTTAGGTGGATGGCTGGAGGTATGCTGGGTGACAAGCTGGGTATGGCGACGCTGCTGCTGTGCCCCGCGCAAATCGCCGTAAATACGTAGAAGTGTCATGCCCCTCACCCTTCCCGCTGTACCCAGTCGCGTCTCATGGCTGGATTGGGGATGGTGGGGTTAATGGTCATGTGTATTGTAGTTTACTGGGTCTCTTTTCAGGGGACACCCTCGTGCTCTTGCGATCCACCAACCGCCCAAGGGTTTCCTCGGAGCATTTGAAGCTGAACTTGTGAACTTTGTGCGCTTTTGCTTGCACGGGTGAGTGGGGGCCCTTCATTCAGCATGTGCAGAGTATTGGGGCCTGCGCTTTGAGGTGTACGGGAGCGCATCCGGGCAAACAGTACTGCAGACTACACAATACTGCGGACTGTACCTTTAAAAAGATTTTGGTGGTGGTGAGGCTGCTGTTTTGGCAATCTTGCGACCAGGATTGGGTTTCGGTTTCAACGGAGGAGGGCTCCTCGGTAACCACGGGAGGTCGGAATATTACTTCGGTCGTTGGCTTTGACGTGACTCAGCTGCGAATGCTTCTGGTGGCTGTAGGGCTTTTTGAAGAGAAACGTGCGCGCACGAGTGCCGGTGAACAAACACATGTTGTGATGACATGCATGCGTTTTGTGGTGGCGTATCTGAACTTACTCTTTCTGGAGCGAACCCTGTGTAAGGGCATTCCCCGTGCATGGGGTGGATACAAGTCGTGTCCGGGTGCCGGGTTGGGAGGCCAGTGCAATGCATGGCTTGCCTCGGCGCTACGACAAAACCCTTTGACCTAAATATTTACGACGGCACGAAACCAGTTGGACAAGCTGACGGCATTTTGGTCCGTATGGTCCCTGGATGCTGGGGTCTGTGTAGAAGGGGTGTTGGCGGGTGGGGTGTTGGTGGTTCACGTTGGGGGACAATGCAGGGAAGGCCTGGGTGAGCATGGTATTTCGTACCCCACTTTGAGCCCGTTCTCGGTCGATGCAATGGTCATTTTTAGATGCAGTAACGTCGGGTCAACTCGGAGGCAGTTTGTAGGGATTGTGGAGCGCTCGGGTCGTACCCTGTTGCGTACCCACGTAAGTGTTTTTCTCTGTGCGACCTACGTGTCACTGGTGCGTCCCGACCTGATTTGGGATGAGGTCGCGACCTCTTTTGCTGTTAGCGGCTGCCCATTATATGCCAACGCAGGAGTGGTTGTCCGTCATGTGTTTGTGCGTGTCTGCGTTTTGTTTTTTCGTCTTCTTGGACCGATGGGCTGACATGTCGCCCCTATCTGGTGGCACTGTTGTGGCATCTGAAGGGACATCCTGGTCAAACAGTATTTACACGTTTCACTTTTTTAACGGATGAGTCTATTAGGAGGGTAGGCGTTGGCAGAGGTTTGAAAGGCTGGGGTGCACTTGGCTTTGGGTGAAAGAGGTTCCAGAACAGCACACGGTCGGCATGTTCGAGCGGACATCAAAGGCCGGGCCTTGCAATCCCACATGACCGGGTGGCGCTCTGCGCTCTTGTTCGCGTTTTCCAAACGGGACTGTTTAGTTGGGTGTGTTCCATGAAGGGGGTTTGCTGTCTTGGGGTATTAATCGGATCGCTTGGTTGGGATAGGAAGGAAGGGGGTGGGCGAGATTGGCTTCGGGGCTGCAATCCGGTGTGTAGGGGGCGGCCTGCGGCTTAGCCTTTCGGAGCCGCCCCTCATGTATATGTGGCGCTAATGGATATCTAAGCTTGTACGTACGGCACTTGTCAAGTATGTGATGAGACCGCTCATGCGTGCGGAAAACTTGTTATGTCGTTCACTTTCTATAGGTTGTACATCGGCTTAGCTTTGCGCTTGATATGACTCGTGGCCCAAACAATACGGTGTGCCATCCTTGCTACATATACCGGGAATCCTAGTATCTCTAGGCGTCTTGGGCCTGGAGTAAGAGGTTTGTGCGGTAATTGCAAACTTGCTGCAAAGAAACTGGGCGGCGGCAGTCCTATTCCATTCTTGCATGCTTTTGGTTGGCATCCGCACAACCAATTTGGCAACTTTCCCTCCATAACATAACATGTGTATGCTCCCGTACAAGTCGATCTCTTTATGTGATGAAGGGAACGTTCGCCGTACAATATGGAAACGCATGTGTCGTACGTACGGTGTTGGTTTCCTAGTTTGCATGGAGGGAGAGATCTCGGTTGTTGCGCGAAAGGTTGTGCATAGGGTAAGGTTTGGCTGGATTTGCCCATGCCATTTCCTGTAGACACAAGGTCCAGACAATGCCAAGAAGTGTAAGCCTGGCGGTTTCAATCGGGATATTGCATCGCACGCACTAGACACTGGTGTTGAGGCCTAAGCGCATGCAAGCGTGCTATGCAAAGCATTCGATGGCAGTTCTTACATGTGTGGAATACACACACACATCCTGCACCAGCGATTTAATCAGTTTTTGAGTTACGTTTCAGGTTTGTTCACCTCTGTTTTCCCTCTGTTTTTGCCTGTACTCGCGGTTCACATGCGAACCTATCCCAACTGCTTGCTCTTGTTCTACTCAACTATACACATCCGGCTCTGGCACGTGTGTCCTGGCCAGCATGGGCCATGTTGCCGTCATGTTTGCAGCGTCCACCTGGCTAGGCGAGAGCCGTTGATCGTTCATGGCTACTGCTCGCTCGCTAATGCCCAGCCGCCTCGCTCGGACTGTGCAACGCATCCCGCATCGCACCACCGCGCATGCATCTAGTGACAGACTGCCAACTCCTCGTCCTAGGTGTCCTGTTGTACCTATCTACTTAAAAGGCAACGACACGGGCCATAATAAGCATTCCCGCCTTCAACACCTATATTTACATGCCCCTGCGCTCAGCAATTGACCATGTGTGAACACGGCAGTATGGCAGTATCCAAACTGTGCCCCGAATTCATGCTATGGAACACATACCTAGCTACTAGCATACTATCTACACTCAGGTTTGTATTTTTTGGGCGCTGCCCCAGTTCCGATTACCGCTCATGCTGTGCACCCCTGCCATCAAGACTATGTACCGGTAAGGGCGTTGCACCCCAACGGCGACGCAACTAACGCACCCAGACAGGCCCACGCTATGCCCGGGCACTCCCGGCACGCCTGTTGATCTGAAGGATGCGCATTGAAGGCTTTCTCTCAACCCCCAATGGAAAGCACATTCGTTCCCACAACTATAACAGTCTCTACTGTTACGCGAGCCATACCTGCGTTCAAGACCCCTGCATGCAATTCAAGCTGCCTACCTGCCAAACGATGAAGCCTACATCTATCCTTCACCACAATTAAGTCAAAATACGCGCACAAACACACCGCCGAGCACGTCACAGCGTTGATTCCCACGTATGACCGGAGCGGCTTGTCGCATCCGTAATCCGCACGCACCACAATACCGGTACCCCGTGTGAGGATGTCACACACGCAGTGCCTCCTACACATCCCACATACCCCCACACATGCCCTAAAACCTCCATGCTTTCTTTTCACAAGTACAAACCTTGCGACTACACAACTCACACCAGGCCCTGCACCCTGCAAACATTCACGTACATGTGTCCCGGGGTGTCAACAAACGCAAACAGACACATCCCGGCAGCAGATCGCTTGCACACTCCTGCAAAGCTGTTGGCGTTGGGGCACTTGAGGAGCATGAAGAAACCGTCGGTGTAGGAATACTTCAAGCCGTAGATGTAGAGCTCGATAGAACGACCGCTGAACGTGATACCTGCGAAAGGTTTGTTGGTCAAGTACGGTGCGGCTGTCAGTGTACGGCTTTTTGTATGGTGTACGACATGCCAGAACAGTTGTGTCGTTGCCGCTACGTACTTGTTCTTGCATGCAAATGCAAACGAACATGTATGGTGTTGGAGTATCTTATTCAGCAAAGTGCTGCCTTCAACGTAGGGTAATGTACATGCTGGCGCAGGAGCGTTGCATGTTTCTTTGGCACGCGTCCATCTTGGGGTCGGGTCTCATGACCCCAGGGTACCGGTACCGGAACCAACCTCGAGCCAGCCCCCGAGACATCCAACCTCCAACACCGCCTCCTCAACCTCACCGACACGGGACTGGAGCCAGTTGTCCGGTTGGGCGGGGTTGCTGTCATTCCAGAAGCGGACACCCCTGCGAAAGCCGGCCAGGAAAGGAAGACGGATTCAGACGCGCAGAAAGGCGGGGTCCGGACTTTAGAGAGCGAAACCAGCTGCTTCGTTGTCGTGTTCTATACCGGTACCCCGAAAGCAGCACCAGCCTAGCAGCAGTACTAGCAGTAGTGCTAGCAGCAGTGCGTTCAACTTGTCCTTTGCACCCTGTGACGGAGTAACCGCACCACTACATGCTCCCAACCGCCGTATTCCTGGCCATTCAACCATCAAACCCGTGATTCATAACTACGGTATCCCTGCTACAAACAAGCACACCTAGGGTAGCCCCGCCGCAAGCACCCGCGCACCTGTAGCCTCGGGCCGCATCCAGGGTCGGCAACGAGTCGCCGCTTGACGAGGTGAAGCAGCTGGCGGCGCTGGAGGACAGGCGGAACGCAATCTTGTTCACAACCGCGCGCGTCGTACTGCCGGCCGTACGCGCGTGGATGGATGGATGGATAGGGATTGGATACAGGGACGAGATGGATGAGGGACGAGCATGGACGGATGAGGGATGAGGGATGAGGGACGAGTTCAAGTCGGGAGGTCAAGGGGAAGTACTACCGCTAACGGGACCAGTTAAAGTAGTACCCGTTGGAGTCACCCATTGCATCCATGCTATGCAGCGTATACGAATGGAGGGTGGAAAGCGAGCTAGGTAACTCGTAAGTTGGTAACTACGCGACCCCCCCCCCCTGTTTAGCTCTCCCCTCCCGACATCTATCGTCCCGGCTCTCATCATCCCCTACTCACCTGCAGACGGAATCCCCGTTCACCGTTATGCTTTCATCACACGCCTTGGGATACAGCCGGAAGGTGTAGTAAGCGCTGCAACCAGGGAGAAGGTTTCGTAGGGGCGGGTAAGTAGACGGTGGGTTAACGACGTGCTACAGCCCCACCAGCATTCGATGGAGCTCAAGAATCACTTTCAAATTCACTTTTTAACAGGCTAAAGACGTTAAACAGTGACTTACTCGCCCTCAAACACGACGTTGGGCCCAAATCGTATGCCGTACGGCGCCGCCCCACAGGCGCACACCGACGTGTGGAACTGGCCGTACGGGAACTGCTCACTGTCCACCATGACCAGATCTGAACTCGTGACGCGGCAGTCAACGTCCGTTTCGTTGGCGTTTGATGGCAGGGCTGCACGTTGGGTTGCATTTGGGCACGCAACAGGGGGCTAGTTATTAGGTCCAGCGGTTGTTGTTAGGCCAGTATGCCGGTAGTTGCATGGCTGAGGGTGACTATGAAGATGCACAACGGAAAGGCATCGCGAGGAGCACCACGAGAGGCGGGGCAGGGATCAGAAGCGCTCAAATGCCCAAAGGTTAAGAGCTAAAAGCAATTTCGGACTGGCGCCTCTCAGTCCCTGCAACATCGTAACCAAGCACGGTGGTGGTTACCGGTGCACGGCTGCACCCTAAGGCTCCATGCATGCTGTCAACACAGGCACCCGTACATAAAGGTTATAAACATAAATCATTCGAATGCATTTTGCTCCATATGGGTTTCCTTTCCAGATACCGGTGCAGTAACCAATCCCACATGCTTACGAGGAAAGGGCGGTGGCTTCGGTCTCGGGGGCGGCAGGGGTTGCGGTGATGGAGGCAGGGGCGGTCGTGCCGCCGGGGGCAACAGCTGCATGGTAGGTTCGCTTCGGCTGTAGCATACAGCGACCCAGGGGCCTGGGTATGAGCTCAGCTGCGGCGGGGGCGGTGGGGGCGGTGGGGGCGGCGGTGGCGGTGGTTGCATGTTGTTGTTTTCTTGGAGTGGCGGCGCTGATGTGGCTCCGAGGTGGCTGTCAGGGGGCTCCATTTGCATGGGTGGGTCGGGTTGTGGGGGGCCAGCGGGGGGAGAAGGAAGGCGCGGTGGTGGTTTGGATCTAGGAGGAGGTCGGGGGCGGTTTGGAGGGGGCTGGCGTGGGGGCGGCATGGGCGAGGGCAGCTGGGGAGGGGCCAGCTGGGGTGACGGAGGAGATTGAGGCGAAGCTGGTTGGGGAGAGGCAGGTTGGGATGGAGGAGGTTGGGTTTCGGGCGGCTGAGGTGGGGCAGGTGGGGTGCCGGGTAACAGCCATCTAGGTGGTTGCGAGGGGGGTGCGGCTGCAGGCGGGCTACTGCTGCTGCTGCTGTTCGGTGATGTCACCGCGGCTGGAGCCGCAAACACAGCAGACCAGGGTTGGGGAGAGGGCGCGGAGGGCGGCGGCGGTGTGCCTGGGGGCTGCCCTTGCAGCGGCTCTAATGGTGGCTGTTGTGGTGGCAGTAGCGGTGGCGGTGATGGTGGAGGAGGGGGAGCGGCGGAGGCGAGTGAACTGCTTACCGCGCTTGTTACGGCCTTCAACAACGTGCTAAACAACTGGTTGAGTGACAGCAGCGACCTCAGGGGTGCTGCGGGAAGCGCGGGTGGTGGTGGTGGTGAGGAGGAGGAGTGGTCTAAGATAGCCGTAGGCGGCGACGGTGGTGGTGTTGGTGCGTACAAGGGGGGCGGTGGTGGTAGGGATGACGGAGGTGGTGGTGGTGGTGGTGGGTACAGCGGCAGTTCAGGGGACGCGGGTGATCCGTAGGAGGGCGGAGCCGACAGTGGTGGATACAGGGGCGGCGGAGGCGGTGGCGGCGGTGGCGGTGGCGGTGGTGGCAATGGCAATGTGGGTGGTGATGGCGAGGGCGACAGCGGGGGTGGTTGTTCGGGCAGCAGCGGCGGCGGCGGTGAAGGGGCAAGGGGGGGTGAGGGTTCAGGAGAGGGCGGTGGCAGTGGTGGTGGCGGTGACGGTTGGGGAGGCGGAGGTGACGGTTGGGGAGACGGAGGTGGAGGGGGAGGAAATGGAGGTGGAGGGGGAGGAGGCGGAGGTGACGTTTTGGGAGATGGAGGTGGAGGGGGAGGAGACGGAGGTGGAGGGGGAGGAGGCGGAGGTGACGGTTGGGGAGACGGAGGTGGAGGGGGAGGTGTTGGGGGCGGGCTTGGTCTGTTTGGTGGCGGCGAGGGCGGCTGCGGTCTGGGAGGTGTGGGGGGCTGAGGTGGGGGCGGGACTGGAGGCGGGGACGGCGGTTGGGGCGGAGGCGGGGACGGCGGTTGGGGCGGAGGCGGGGACGGCGATTGGGGCAGAGGCGGGGACGGCGATTGGGGCGGAGGCGGGGACGGCGGTCGGGGCGGAGGCGGGGACGGCGGTCGGGGCGGAGGCGGGGACGGCGGTCGGGGCGGAGGCGGGGACGGCGGTCGGGGCGGAGGCGGGGACGGCGGTTGGGGCGGAGGCGGGGACGGCGGTTGGGGCGGCGGCGGCGGCCGGGACGGTAGCATTGGACGAGGGGGAGATGGAGGCAGGGGTTGGGGAGGGGGTAGCGGCCTTGGAGGAGGCGGAGGACGCGGGGAGGGTGGCAGGGGACGGGGCGACGGAGGGGGCCCAGGGGCGGGAGATGGCTTGGGAGGTCGGGGAGATGGAGGCGGCGGTGAGGGAGATGGGGGCATGGGTGACGGCGGCTGGGGTGAGGGTGGCGGCGGCGGGGGCACTTTTGACAGCTCGGGGTTTCTAAAGACAAAGCCCACCAGGCAAGTAAGGGAGCCGTCGGACGCCTTGTCGCGACAGAGGCGCTTCAAGCCGTAGCTAGCGCAGCGCGGCAGGAGGAACGTCCCACGGGTCAGTGGGTCGATGGTATCACCTTGCAAGGTGCCGCTACCAGTGCTACTGCCAACGCTGCTAGCACCAGCTGCTGTTGCTGAACTCACTGGAGTGGTTGAAACATGGCTGGTTCTGCCGCTGCTGCTGCTAGTGCTGGTGCTGCTGGTGCCGTTGCCGGTGCCGTACAGCGCTTCATCGGCGCTAAAAGGTGAAGACGAAAAGGCGTCATCAGCCGTGCTCGGAGGTGATCCTGGGGACGAGGGCTGCTGAGCGGGTGGTGACGGTGGTGGAGGTGAGGGCAGCGCTGCAAGCAGCTTCTGTCGGAGCTCCATTAGAAGGATGGAGAGCTCGAGGTAGGTGCCATTGAGGTTAGCACCTGCGCCGTGACAGGGATTGGACAGGGTGCAGGCAACAGGTACGTTGAAGCAACTACGGTATAGGATACACTTAGCGGGCAACACATCAGTGCACACGATTGACGCCACATTATGTAGGTTGTAAACGCACGCCCTGTTAAGCCCTCTCAGGCTCGCAACTCACCTAGGTAGGAGAGGACGGGGATGCCAGGAGCTGCAATACCCACACCGGGGGCGTCCGGCATGAACCAGACGCCCGAACCGAACGCCTGGCCAAGACTCCCCGGCTGTACGACAGAAGCTGAATCTAGGCCGTAACAGCTGGCCGTCTTATTCGAATCCATGCGGATTACCAGCGCATGCAAGGGAACTTCGGAGGGCGACCCATCGCCGCCCGGTCCGACCCGTGGGTCCAGACGAAACGCATAGAACTGCCTGTGGGTAACAGGAAGAAGAGGCAATGCAATGGACGTTTCCAGCGGCAATGGACCAGTCGGGGGCGTGATTTGATTACGGCAAGGAAGCGCTTGTATATTTGATTCAACGTGTGGCTGGAAGCTAAGGTGTCCCATTACAAGTCTTTAGGGGTCCGATGGGAGGTTACGGTATCTGAGGGGTATGCCTTTAGCAGCCAAGCTGTATTAACTCTTGCTTCTTCTTGCAGCCCACGTCTGCAACCCACTGGAAGCCCAAAAGCCCAACCGCCGTACCTCTCCGCGAACGCCACGTCAGCTCCCCACACGAAGCTGTACGGAGAAGTCGAGCAGCCGCAGTCGCTGCCAGCAGCAGCTGACGCTGGAAAGCTGCAGGGGCACACAATCCAGGGAGGAAGGGGGGTGGCGGTTAGCAGGTGACCCAAATGCGGTGGTAGTTGCCAGGTGCATCAAAGGGGCGCCGTGCGCACCCGACTAGACCGATTGCGTACAACTTGCAATGCCGCACCCCGTACCTGTAGCCACTAGGGAAGGTCCCCTGGTCCTGAATCACAGCTTGTACGGCAGCTTTCGCCGCAGCGGGCGCGCCGCCTGCTGCAAAGCTGGTTGATGAGGCTGGGGTTGTGGTTTCGGAGGGCAGGAAGGAGCAGCTGGGGGAGACCCAGTCAGTGGGGGGACCTGCGGGTGTGAGGCGGATAGGGAGACGGAGAGGGGAGGTGAGGTGGAGGAGAGGCAGCGGGGGGGGCGCGAGGGAGCTGCAACATGGCGGCTGGTGTGTGTGTTTGGGTGTTTGGGTGTGATGCTGCAACATGCGCCAAGCTCGGTCCGCCTGGTTGACCGGTACCTGTACCTAGTAGCCCCCGTTACACGGGTGCTGCGGGGTCGTGGTATCAACAGGACAGACACCGGGTGAGGCAGATTCGAGCACCACCAGCCTTCCCGCAGGCTAGTGTGGTGACCCCCCCTCCCGGTGTGACTTACTTGGCGGAGGCGGAGAGGGTGGCGAGGTGGGCGGCGGGGGCGGCGGCTTGGGAGGCTTCCTGCGCAGCATGAGCCGTAGCACAAGAGCCGTTTCAGGAGGGCGGCAGCAAGAGGGCAACACATGGCCATGCAGCCCCAAAGCCATGCTGCGATGTTCAGGTGTGCAGGTGAGAGCGCCTAGTCCGTAGTCCGTAGTTCTGGAAACACGCCTTACTTTAGGGGAGGTGGAGGCGATGGCGCCGGTGGGGGTGGTGCAGGCGGCCTAGGTGCAGGCGGTGGACGAGGAGGGGGAGGCGGCGGGGAGGGCGGCGGGGAGGGCGGAGGCGCCGGTGGTGGCTTTGGTGGCGGTGAAGGTGGGGGTGAAGGTGGAGGCACCTTCGGAGGCAGCAGCGGTGGTAGCGCTGGCGGCTTGGGAGATGGTGGTGGTGGTAGCGCGGGAGGCTTGGGAGGTAGTGGAGGCGGGCTGGGAGGTGCTGGTCTTGAGGGTGGGTGGGGCGAGGGTGGTCGTACAGGGGGCTGTGGAGAGGGCGGGGGTGGAGAGGGCGGTGGTGGAGAGGGCGGGGGTGGAGAGGGCGGGGGTGGAGAGGGCGGGGGTGGAGAGGGCGGGGGTTGCATGGGCGGCTGTGGAGAGGGCGGTGGTGGAGAGGGCGGGGGTTGCATGGGCGGCTGTGGTGAGGGCGGGGGTGGAGAGGGCGGGGGTTGCATGGGCGGCTGTGGAGAGGGCGGTGGTGGGGATGGTGAGTTTGGAGGTAAGGGGTGTGAGGGCGGTTGAGGAGACGGAGGCAGCAGGGGTGGCGGCTCCAGTGAGGGGGACTGCGGGGGGTTTGGTTGCGGCGGGGAGGCGTTGGGAGACGCGGGCTGAGCTGGAGGCTGAAGAGGCGGTGGATATGCAGGCGGCGGTGGGGATGGAGGTTGTGAGGTTGACGGGTACGAGGGCGGCGGTGGGGGGCCCTCCAAAGGGTAGGTAGGCGGAGGCGTGGACGGCCTGAGCACCTCCAGTAGCGGGGCTGGGGTTGGAGTTGGAACCGGCGGCTGCTGAGCTTGCGGCATTGTGGCAGCAGGATAAGGGCTCAGCTGCGGGTTTAGTCTCGGCGAATTTGGAGGAGGCCATGGTCGGCGCGGAGGTGGCGTTTCTTGCTCGGAATTGGGGCCACCCAGAGGGCTGTTGTTGGGCGTTAGAAGCTGTGCTGCGGCGTGCACGCTGCAGGAAACAAGCAGGAGCCCGGCTAAGAGGAGGTGGAAACTGTACGGAAGCTGTCTTCTAGGGTAAGGAGCGGCTGTCAAGTGATGCCTGCCGACGCCATTCCGCTGTGTTATCATTGTCGGTTCAACGGGAGAGGCTGTAGTCTGGCTGAAGTATGCATCTGACTGATGCGAGTCATACTGACGAGCACTGCTGCATGAGAAGCGTTTCGGACGCGCGATAGCGCACATAGTCATCTGTGCGTAGTCCTTAGCATCACGCGGCGTTGCGACATCCTCCCAGCATTCCGTGGCTGACCTAAGGCGCGCAGGGACAAGTGCATGTCCTCATTAACAATTTACGAAACCGCGGCGGCACGTCTTGAAAATGTAACCATTGCAGCTTCTGCAAACCGCTACATACTGCACGATTGGACAGCTTTGCGCTGGAAAGGAGATGGAGTTATGACGGTGGTTGGCAGCAACTCCCACTGCTTGGCGCAAGTCCCTTAGCCTATACCCAATTATTCAATTAGTTCGATTACCCACCAGGAAAAGGTACTGAGATATCCGCCGCTAAAGCTCGATACGTACCGGTGCTAATTCGCAACTGAAAACCCGCTGGAGAACAGCTTATAAAGTAAGAATACGTGACGATATACGCAAGCACCAAAACGTAGAGGCAGTAGTATTTAGGTAAGCTAATGAGGTAGTTTTCAATGCCTGCTGCGTCGCTTCTCATCAAGTAGTCACGGCATTTGCTGGTTATGCCCTATAACTTCATAGACAAGCTTAATTTTCCGACATTGACGAGGCTAAGCTGTGGAAGCGTTGGAGAACTGCTTCGTGGAGTACGGCCATGCGCATGGCGGGCGGGATCATGGCGGGAAGCTCTTCCAGAGCTGCGTGCAGCTCAGTTCTTTATCAACGCATCCATGCAGCAGACGGCGACCCTTGATAGTAAGCCCCAGAACAAAAGGCTATATAACAAGCACCCTGCGCCTGCCTGGCGTGAATGGTCGCGAGCCGTTGAAGTTGCCTTTCGGCTATGTAACGAGCTATGGACGACTCCCCGTATCGAATTTTAAGGCCAAAAAGAGATCCATTGCACGGCTTTTTGTCTTACATGGGAAGGCACCTAACTCACCGACAAAATCGCAACATTATACACCGACCTTGCTCCCAAAACCTGCAAGCCATTACGCCGTAGCTCAATAAGCTCCCCAGAGCTGCACGCGGCTATACGCTGCCTCGCAGTGTGGCTGGTTGTGGCGCACCCCGTCGTAGCCCACTCACACCTCGCCGATCTACCTGCATTGCACTTAGAAGCTCTTATGTAAGCTGACAGAAGTCCTATCATACGTATCACAGCTAGCATTTAACTTGTTTTCCGATTGCCAACCATGCAGAAAGTTAATGAGCGGTGTGAAAAGAAGCTCCTCAAAAAGCTAGGTGTTAAGGACGATAAAGGAAAGACAAAACGTCTCGTAGCTGCCCCGAACCGAGCTGGTGGCGCTGCTGCGACATCGCGTGGAAGCGACGGCCGTTTCCAGCCAAAAGCTCCAGCCCGTGAAGACGTTGATGGCTAGAACGGAGCGCACTGTTGGCGGGTTACTTCATGCGTGCGAGGCTGGGGCATATATACTGTTTGGGTGGCATGTAGGGGAGGTCTATCTAGCTGACCCCACGGGCCGAAGGCTCTACCCAGCCTGCCTGCCGGCACCTAGCGTTACCCGCATGCTCATAGCCCCCCTATGCATACAGGAACACCTGGCAGGGGTTGGATGTTCCCGTGAGGCGCTAAGAGTCCGACACGGGGAGCCGTCCATTGCTCATGTAACTCATGGCGCGTAATGGCTCTGAAAGACTGATGCGGATCTGTCGCTGCATAAAGTGCCGAGCAACAGAACTCCAAGCAACATGCTAACCAAGATAAACACATGCAGCAGCAGGTACCCTCAACACCAGCTGATTGAACGCATATAGCTCCCTTTGCTTACAATCCGGCCTGCACCTACCTACAGCCGCATCTTAAACGCACCCTTCCTGGTGAAAATAGCCTTGGTGTACTCCGCGGTTTTCCATGTGGCTTAACTTGCCCTCACCACATGGAGCGAATACATGCCTCCTCCAGCGACTCCTCCTCGGCCTCTGTCAGCAGCCCTGCATGGCTCTCAAAGCTGAGCCTGCCTACCTGTGAGAAGAAGAGCACCCGGAGTCCTCCTTATCGGCCTTGCGCAGCTGCCTTAGTGGTAGGCGGTCCAGGAGTACTGGCTGCACTGCTACACCAGCTGGGTGACGGGCGGGCAGGCGTTGCTGTCGAACACGTGTTCGTGAGCTTCTGCACTTTGACAGTGCGATGCGCGAACCCTGGAGTCTGCAGGCAGGGGAAATGCCATCCTGTTGAGTTATTGCCACCCTTTCCAGTGATGCTGCCCTTAAGTCAATGCAGATTGGACAGGGCAGCAGCAGCGCGTGCACCAATGATGGGCGTCTGGGAGACGTGCATCAATGGTCCGCCACTTCGTAGCAATATGTTTTCTTTGTTGCTTACCATAGCAGTGGTATAACAGCGTGTGACGTTGGCCGGCTCTCGGCTTACCTTTTCGCAAGGGCATTCGACCGCACAGCAAGTGCACTACACAGAACACTACAAAGAGGAACTTTTGTACGCATATTACAATGTTGCATATAGTTAGACGGCGGCACCTGCTGACAAATAACGTGGTGGTACTGGTTTTGCTGTTTTGGCCTGTTGTACTGCAGCTTACTACTACACGTTATCGCACCGTTTCAAGAAGCCATAGTGTTTTTTAATCCGTGTCCTTTTTAATGATCTGTGTCGTTATGCTTCAATTACGAAATGGGCTTCTGGACATGCTGTTTCCTTGGTAGCGCCCACGGTAGCGCCGCTGACTTAACACGCGCTAAGAATTGCCAGAATGCGGAATGCGAGAGGTCTGTAGAGGCCTCCATACCTTCAACGGCAAAAGACGGGGAGGAACAACGAAGAACCACATTAGAGCTCAGCTGTGAAAAGAGTCGCTCTGAAGAGGAAGCGACACAAGTAACCAAGGTATGTCGACAGGCAACCTCCCTTATCTTGAATCAGCTGGGAAGGAATGGGCGCAAGTTGAAGCGATGCGCAAGGCGTCCGCTTTCTGCCTGACAGCGGTTTCGTGGACTCTGGGTCTTGCGCTTCTATTTGCAGCAAAGCAATTCTGGAATTTAGCGACTCCGACCTTGCTGTTTTCCCTTTCTTGCCTTTTGACTGTATTAGTCATTCACGTCTTTCCAAGATACCTAGCCGTTGGCATATCCAGTACCTCAGCTTACAATGTCTTTGTATGTCATATTGCTTACAGTATGGCGAGTTTGCCTTTGCAAGCGCCGTTGATCCGCCGGAGTGCAATGCGCCAGATGTGGACCCGGTGATACTGTCTTCTGTCCAAGTGCAACAGCAAAAGGCACAGCAGCGACGCTTCGACTTGGAATCCCAACGTCAGGCGCTTCAACATGACAACCTTCAGCAAGTTGGAGAGCATCATCATCGTAAGCCGCACCCGCAAGTGGCGCACCAAACCCCAGCGTTATACAGAGTTCCACGCGACACCTTCTTCTCCATCTTTCCCTTCCACATCATCCTTGACGAATCCCTGCGGGTCGTACAAGCCGGTAGCATCTTAATCCGCCTCTTCGGTACATCCCTAACCGCGGGGTCCCCCTTAACGGATACGTTCCGGCTCGGCCTATGTGGACAACCAGGGCATCACCCGCCACCGCAATCATCCTTACCGCTGTGGTTTCAAACAACGGAATACCGGGCATCCCTGGAGCCGCCCTTGCTGCTTCCACAGCTGGCCCCAGCTCAGATCGAGGGTGCCGAACACTGCACAGGGCCCCAGCTGCTACCGCCACAGCGGCTTCGCCCCATGCCGCAAGCAGGGCAAAGCCTGGCAACCTCAGGGCCGCTGCCGCGCTTACAGGCTGCAGATGTGCGGTATGTCGTACGGCAGCAGCAAGTGGCGGGCCAAGATTGCTGCCGTACAGGCGACGCGAGTTTGCAGCTGGAGAGCCGCGAGGGGTGTTGTACGACGGCTGGCGTCAGCCTGGAGTGGTTTATCGGTTCCGTGGACACGGACGCAGATGCTGGCAACATGACAATGACGACAGCAGCCATGACGATGGAACAGTGCTGTCGTACAAATGTGGATCTGAGCTTGGAGTGCTGTGGCCGGACAAGTGCGGTCGCTGGTACTGCAGGCGTGGTAGACCAGCCCGCATGTACGGCGGAGCAGCTAGTGCAAAGCGGAGCGCAGTGGAGTCTGCAGGTGGGCATGTTCCTCCCCTTGCATGCCTCCGTTAGGCGGTCCCGTACACTGTCGTGCCTTCATTCTTAGAACCACCGTTTCGGGTGCCTTGCCCAGCTCTTGCCGTAAATGTACATCAGCTTATACCGTAGGTGTGTACAGCTAGCCAGGTCAGCTCTCCCACCTATGACGTCACGCCATGGCCCCATTCTCAGCTTTAGAAACGGGAACCACTCGGCGAGGGCACGGGAAACGCAGCCCAGCCTCTTTAGTAGTCCGCCTGAAGGCGCAAGTACACGCATCCTGTCCCCGGCCCCCACCGCAACGTTGCTTGCTTCGGCGCGTTACATGCGAGGCAGCATGAGTTGGGGTTGCGCAAACCGCTACCCGGTTGTCCCTGCCCGGTTGTCCCTGCCCGAACACAGGCCCGGAGCTCAGGCCTGGAGCTGCGGGGGCAGTGGACGCGGACCGCCATGCCGGTAGGTGCCGCTGGTTGAATGAGTGAATGACCGTTACAGTGATCCCAAACCGGAAGTGGTTGTTGCATCGTATATTCGCAGTGCCTGGCTACCCTGCTAGACGCTTGCTAAGGCTTCACTCCCTGTCACCTCCCCGTCCTGGGCCGCTCTTCCTCCTCCAGTCCTCTCCCTTCTCCGCTTCACTCCTCTCCCTGCTCGTCCCCCTCCCTCCCTCCCCTCCCCTCCCCCCCCTCTCCCCTATCTATGGTTTTCCCCCCTCCCCACCTTGTCAGCTTATTTTACCACTATCACACCACACATTGGAATTTCTTTCCCCCCCTAGGACGGCCGCCCCGTGTTGCTGTTCCTGGGCTCCCCGCGCGTGGCCACGCTGGAGGAGATGGGCGCGCACGGGCTGTTCCTGTCCGACATTCCGCTGCACGACATGAGCCGCGACTTCGTACTGCTGGCGGAGCAGAGGCAGGTGGGGCGGGCGGGAGGGAGGGAAGCATCCGGTGGTGTCCCGTTGGATGGTGCTTACAGGCGAGGGCGGGGTCAGAGAGCAACGAAACGCCAGTTTCGATTACCGAGAGAGGGGACGGGGAAGGGGCTGCAAACATTCGTGGCGCATGGAGGCAAGACATGTCATCACACGAGTTGCAACAGTGCATGTGTGCCCGCATAGCCCTTTGCCCTGCAATGACAGGGGGTTACGAGCCGACCCAGATCACACACATCACGCACATCACGCACGGCGATCCTTAAACCCTTCGGCACTTTTTGCGGGGGTGTGCCCAACGTAAAAGTGATATGTACCGGTACCTTTCCTTAATCCAGCTTGTTGTGATCTTATGTCCCTATCGGCATTACCCATCATTCCTGCTACCACTCTTACTACCCATCAGGCTGAGAGGGAGCTGCAACAGCGGTACCGAAGTCTAGCCGCTGAGCTCGCGGTGAGGCTGGCGTGTAGACGTGTGTGTCAACATGTGGGGGCAGGCGCTGGAGCGCAGAAGCCGAGAGATGGGACATATTATGGAGTTGCGCTGTGTTACGAACAGCATCTGCAAGGCGATGCAATTAAAAATGACCCAGTGCCGTACGCAACTCCTCGCCCTGAAGCATCTCATGTATGCGTCGTGTGTCATGCAACGCATGTCATGCAACGTCACATGCCTCCTGCACCGCCGCATGTTGCACCCAACCTTGCCAAAGGCCCGTATGCAGCTGTACCATGTGCCGTACCATGTGCCGTACCGGTGCCCCGCAGGAGGCGAACACCCGGCTTGAGCAGGCCACCAGCTGGCTGGCTGAGGAGCGGAGCCGCAGTGACGCGCTGCTGTACCGCATGCTGCCTGCGGACATCGCGGCGGACCTGCGGGAGGGGCGCAAGGTGGAGGCCATAAACTACCCGGAAGTGACCATTCTGTTCAGCGGTGGGTGGGGGTGACAGAGGAGGGGGAGCTGTTGCTTCGGTTACGGTTACGGTACTTTCCTGTTGCATGCAGCATCAGCCGCTGCCGCCAATGAAGACTTCATGCTGGTATCATCAATGCCGGGCCCCCATCGCCACTGCCCGCAGATGTGGTGGGCTTCATGGTAGCCTCGGGAGGCTCCTCAAACGAACAAATGTACGACTTGTTAAACGTGTTGTACGACAGGTGAGTGGTGGGCTGCTAGGAGGGCTTTGAGGGGGAGGTGTTCGGTACAGCAGGACGCCCTGTTAATGCTGTTATGATGTATGTCGGCAAACTAATCGATGACCATGCTTTTGGGCAGCCTTGGCATGCGAGGCCCCGTTCTCGAGGGTCCGTGTGCGTTAGTATGGTGTCGTATTAGGATGGTGTAGACTTCTCGGCCCTCCGGGTTCCTAGGCTGCTCCACCACATCTCCTTAACACCTCCGCCATTTCGTTGCGTCTCACGTTCCCAGGTTCGGCTGCCTGTTTGACAAGTTCCCCTTGCCTGCCCTACACCCCTCTCCCCCCGCCCCCCATGCCTGCCCAGGTTCGACTGCCTGATCGACGAGTTCCCCGACGTGTACAAGTTGGAGACCATCGGGGACGCCTACTTCCTGGTCTGCAACCTCACCACCCACTGCCCGCGCCACGTGGACGCCGTCATCGACTTCGCCATCCGCATGCAGGCGGCGGCGCGGGGGGTGCGCGACGCGCAGGGGCAGCCGGTGCAGATCCGCATCGGCATCCACACGGGCCCCGTGGTGGGCGGCGTGCTGGGCGCCAAGACGCCGCGCTTCAGCGTGTACGGCGACACGGTCAACGTGGCCAGCCGCATGGAGAGCCACGGACTGCCGGGCAAGATCCACATCTCCGCGGCCGCCTACGCGCGCATCGTGGACAAGCACAAGTACGCGGTGCGGGAGCGGGGAAACATCGCGGTCAAGGGGCGCGGAAACATGACGGTGAGGGAGGGGGGTGGAGAGGGGGAGGGCGGGTCAGGAGATGGGAAGATGGAGAGGCGGTCCATCGGTTAAGGGACGGTAGGATATTTAAATCTAGAGGTCGCGAGGATGGGGGCTAGGATGGAGGTTGGGGCGTCTCCTTCCGCTTGACCACATGGCAACATACACCCAGTACTCTCCCCTAACTTCCCCTTCCCCTTTGCCTTGCCCCCATACCTGGTTTGGTATTCCTTCGACCCCCGCCCCCCGCATCCCTCAGACCTACCTTGTCTCGGGCTTTAACGAGGAGTGGGCCTCCGCTCAGCGCCTGCTGCGCCCCTCCACCCCTTCCCTGGGGCAGCGGGCCTCAGGCGCGCGCTCTTCCCAGGGCTCATTTGGCGTGGCACCCTCGCCGCTATCCGCCGCGCAGTCGGATGGGGTGTCTCTCAGCTTCCTGCACGCCGTGCCCGCGTCGTACACTGCCACCTCCAACGGCGACATGCCAGCCGCTGTCGCCGCCGCTCCTGCTGGCGGCAGTGCTGCTGTCATCGCCGCCGCATCCGCCACCGCTGCTATCGGCTTATGCTCCGCTGCCGCCATGCGGGGGAACAGCAGCAGCACTAGCAGCGCCCGCCTCCGTGATGGCTGCAATGCATTTGGTGTTGGGAGGACAGCCGAACGCTGCTGCGGCTGCGGAAGTGGCGCAGCGGGGAATGAAGGAGGAGTTCTCAACTGTACGGCATGTTGTACGGCCCTCGGCGGTAGGCCCGGTAGCGGTCCCAGATGCCCCGCTGCCGCCGGCACTGCCGCCACCACAGACATCTGTGATGGGGTCGTCATGAACACAGCACCTAGCCCCACGGCGGTCAGCAGCCGCACCGGTAACCGGCGACGAAGCGGCTGCTGCTACAGCCCTTACCATCGTGGCAGAAGTGCGGTGGAGGAGCGGATATGCCGTACGGAACCCTTGTCTTTAGACGATGTGGCGGCGGCAGTGGCGGCAGCGGAGGTGGCTGAGGCAGCGACAGCGGTGACTTGTCCCATTCCTGGAGTCCCGGCAGCAAGGGAAGCCGCCGCAGCAGCAGCAGGCATGGCGGCAGCAGCGGCGACAACTGCGCGAGCTACTGCTACTGCTACCCTACACAGCGGCCATTGCTGCCCCCGCCACCGCGCTCTGCTGATGACGTCTTCGTCCTCTGCAGACAGCTTGACAACAACAGCTCGAGCACTCCCACCAACTGCCACGGAAGCCGCAGCAAGAACAGCACCCACCCATGCAAACGCAGGAGCGTCCACGCAGGGCGGTTTCCGCAAACCCCTCAACTCATCACACTCGTCAACGGACAAATTTCTCCCTGCAGCAACAACGCCACCAACGATTCCACCAACCGCAAGAGGTACAACCGCAGCAACGGTGGCAGCAGGATCGGAGTCCTGGTATGGCCTCCACCACCGCCTCATGTCCTCTTCCGCACATGCCCTGCAGCCCATCGTCTACGCGCGCCGGGACAGCGGCTGCGGTAGCGGCGGCGCTAGCAGCAGCAGCTTCAGCAAGGGGACCGGCTACTGCTACGGCCCAACCGGAGGAGGAGGGGGAGGAGGAGTGTACGGCAGTAGGATTGCCAGTGGTGGTGCGGTTAGTGGTGCCGTTAGCAGAGGGCCTGGGGCCTTGCTGACGTTCAGTCAGGCCCATTCTCGTCACCTGAGCCCCTGTAGCAGCCAGACGCAGCTTCCCACGCCGCAAGCCTTCCATCCTGCGTGCATGCGGTCGTTCGGTGGTCGAGTGGGGGAGGCACGGCGTGACCCATGGGACAGTGGAGCGTCTGTTGGGTTTGTGCTTGCCAGGCGTGGCGAATCCTGTACTGTGGCGAAGTCACCGCAAGCGGCTCCGGGTGGCGTGGCCGCGGGCTCATCATCGTTGAAGGTTGTACATACGTCAAAGTCGCCGCGGCTGCAGAAGTGAAAGAATGGATTGGAGCGGAAGGGTGTGTAAATGGCTGGTACAGAAGTACGGTGTACTCTTAAGAATACGATAGCACGGGAGAGGCTAGGGATTAAGCGTCAGGGGAGTCAGAACGACTTTGAGTGAGAGCTGCGTGGCGCAACCCTGTGGGCCCTACAGGCCATGCTACTAGCTTGCTTTTTGGAATCATACGTTCCACTAAAATAAGGCAGGCGAAGATTATTCGGCTGGCGATGGTCGAAACAACACTGACCCATGTTTCGTTCCGCAGGGAGTACGTGACACCTCACGGCGTGCTAGGCGACTGAGGTGGAACCTGTACGGCGCAGGTGGTTGAGTTTGGTTTTCCAACTCTGTGATATTGCAACATTTTTTATTTTACACTTACTATGTTATAAGCCTGAGATATGGGCTTCACTCGTTTTGCTGCCTCTTCTCAGAACAGCTGTGACCAGCTGACCGTTCGAAGTAGCATGTTTCAATATTAATGTATTACTATAGAAGGGGCAAAAAATAACAATGAGCAATGTAACTAACTCCTAACAAGCTTCCGGAAATCGAGTTTGCTCAATTACCATGTCCGGCACTGGGAAAACACTCCGTGTCAGCATCATTGGCGTACGCGTGCAGGTAATAACGGTGAAAAAACGGCTATGGTAAAGCCTTAATGGTGCACTTATCTAAACATCTATGCTTGCGCCTGGTCATGCCTACGGCGGTTGCTGTTCCTTGGGCCAGGAGCCGAGACGATACTATGTCAGCTTGCACGTTCTTGCGGGCGGGGGTCTGCCAGCCGGGATTGCGATCGGCTCAGACTTGGATGCCATCGCGCGTCCTGACCAGGTTGGTGTGCCCGTCCTAAGGAAAGCTATATGGTTCGACAACGCCTTACTGGCACGAGCAGGGGTCGGGGCCGGAACCCACCTACGCGTGGCGTGGCCTGAAACTGCAGGGCGGGGTGGGATGGATTATGACTTGTATGGGACGCTACCCCGGGCTGACTTGCAAGTCTTTCTGACCCACCTCAACTCTTAACTCTTCACCCATGGCTGACGCATAACCGTCACCACCACCAAAGTCCCTGCTACAACCTCCCGACAACTCACCTTCCCCACCCATTCTCATAGTCAGTTGTTTCCCCTTTTCCCCACCCATCTCCCAACCTCCCGAAACAGGCCGCCCGCACGGAAACCTCAGAGCTCAGCCGCAATCCCGACTTCACCGCATCCTCCTTCGTGCTCAGACTGCCGCAGCCCCTCACGGCCCTAGCTGCAGCAGCCACTGCTACTGCCGCTGGCAGCGCCAACGCCAGCGGTTTCGGAGCACCTGGAGCAGCGGGAACCCTGGGACCGTCTGGAGCGATGCTGGACTTGCTGCAGGTGGACTTGCTAGCAGCCCCCGGTCTGGGCGTCACAGGTGTGGTGGACACGGGATCAGGTCTGGGGGTGGCACAGTTGGGTGCTGATTAGATAGGCGCTGCTGTACCATAGTTCATACTCGGCGTCTCACGGTTCTTAACCTCTTGCTTTTTCCTAACCCCCATTCCTGCACCTCTTTTCCCGCTCCACTCCTCGCACCCTCAATCAGACACCGCCTCTGCCGCCGCGGAAGCCGGAGTGGGTGCGCCAGATGAGCTGCTGGGCAGTGGTGCGCTGCGCTGCGGCCCGGACCAGGTGCGCCGGTATCGCGGGGTACCCGGAACCGCGAGGAGGTTCGGAGTTCTGGACATGCGAAGTTCGGAGTTTTACAGCTATCAGGCATACCGGGGATGCATGGTCGGGCGCCGGGGTGTTTTAGGGACGCAATTTTTGCGCACACTATTGTGGTCGCTGTCATCGCCGTCTTCATTGTGTGTGTATTGTGGCGGTTATGACGGTCCTTTCGGCTCCCCAACCCCGGATGGCGGCGCCAGGTCATTCGGCTCCTCCGCGGCGAGCGACTCACGGCTGCCGTACAGCTGGACCCCGCCGTCAGCACCATACCCGCAGCAGCTGTAGCAGCGGCAGCAGCGGCGGCTGCGGTGGCTGCAGGAGGAGTGGCGAGCAAGCAGCTGACGTTTGGTGGGGTTGCCGGGGGCGGCGGTGGAGGCGGAGGTGGAACGGGAGCGGTAGCAGCAGCAGGAGGTGGCGGTGGCGGCGGAGGGGGTCGTGGGAGGCGTGAGGTGCTGCTGGAGCTGATGCTGCTGGATGCGGCGTGCGTGCTGCCTCGGGATGCGGCATTTGGAGGTGAGGGGCGGGAAGGGATGTAGCATTCGGATGTGAGGGGCGGAGACAGCTGGGCTGGCTGGGCTGGTAAGGCCGGGTTTGGAGGACCCAGGACTGGGTTCCTCACGAGAGTTGCAAGACGCCTATGTTAAACACCTTCAACGTGTCGAGTTGCCTCCATGCCATTCCCCCCTCCCCTGCTGCAGCCAGCGCAGCTGCCACGCAGCTCCCCTCCGCAGTATCCCTAGCAGCAGCACCATCACCACCACTACCACCCGGGTTGGCAGGAGGAGGAGGGGCAGCACTGGGCGGAGGAGCAGCTCCCCAGGCTTCCGGGCCCGCCAATCCGGGCGGCGGGGAGTGTCGGCTGCGGGTGCTGGTGTCGCGGGCGGAGAACCTACCCATGGTGCTGGGGTGAGCTGGGTGCAGCCGGTGTGCAGGCTGGGGGAGTTGCGGGGTGGGTGTGGCGTGAGGGCTATGAGGGTCAGGAGGGTTAGGAGGGTCAGGAGGGTTATGAGGGTCATGAAGGTCACAAGGGAGCCGGGAGGTGGCGAAGGGAGCCAAGCAAAGCCGGTTGTCGGTGCTCAATGTCCTGCGGATGCGTCGAGGCGCTCCGTGTCTTGGAAGACACGTCATTTTGCGCCCTGCCAACAACATCCACCCATGTTTAGATTGCTTACACGCACAGCGAGGGGTGGCGCAGATGCTTCACTCTCCCGACTTCCTCACAACCTTCCCCCCCCCCGCCCCTCTTGTCTATCCGCCGTGCACCCCACACCAACCCCCCAGGGAAAGCGGCTCCGAGCGGCCTCCCGATACCTTTGTCGCGCTGAAGACGCTCAGCGACGGTGCCGCCTCCGCTGCAGCGCAGGCTCTCACCCGTACGGCAGCCGCCTCCTGCAGCCCCCGCTGGGAGCAGACGCTCAGTCTGCGGGTGCGAGAGACGGAGCTAGCGGGAGGCGGAGGAGGAGGTGCGGGTGCGGGTGGGGGTGGAGGAGGGGAGCAGCTGCTGGTTGCCATTGTCAACGCCTCCAACAGCAGGCTCATGATCAAGGTAGGCTGGGCCAGGGCCGGGAGGAGGGAGGAGGGGTCGGTGGGTTGAGTGTGTTAAGAAAACTGGCCGCGAGTAGGAACGTACTGGATTGAGTGTGTGTGTTTGTACGGCAGTAGCTGGGCCGCGGATCAGCGCATGGGCCCCGCTTAGTTGACGGAGGATGCTGAACCAGGATGTGAGTTGGGACTTGGGGATGAAGGCTCCGAAGTGGTCTAACCTAACCTAACAGTTCGTTCAGAGTCTAGGTAAGAAAGCGGAGGTTGCTATGGACCCCTTGCGGTTACCCACCCCCCGTGTGTCACCCATCCCTTCCCACCTCCCCCCCTTCCACCCCTCTACCAGACTGCCGTACCTCTGGCTCCCCTCCTCCCCGACAAGCACTACAACCTACGACTGGTGCTGCCGGGAGGTCCCCTAGGCAGCGCCGTGCACTTGTACGTCACGCTCGTACTGCAGGACTGCGCCCGCATGCGGCTCCGCTACCTCCGAAACCACATGCCGGTGGCGAAGCAGCTGCTGCAGGCGCGACTGTCGGCCGCATCGGTGGCGCTCAGCTCGCTGATGGGTAAGCTTGAGGCCGTTGAGCGAAGCGAGGATTTGGGGTTGGGTGCCCCATGCGGGAAAAAAGCGCTTTCGTGGGTATGCTGGCAGCGACTAACGTCCCTAGCGTCCCTAGCACGTAATGTTCTTGTGTTGTTCTCGAGGTGTTGCGGGTGTTTTCATTGTTACTCTGATGTCCTCTGCTTTCACCTGCGTATCCTGGCATGCATGCACCCCTTGTTGCCTCACGCGACCCAATCCACCATCCCCCCCCATACATTCGCGCCTGTACTCGCGGTTCAATGCGAACCTATCCCAACTGCTTGCTCTTGTTTCCGCTCAACTACACACATTCGCGGCCAGTTATCTTAACACACATTCCTCCCGCGCAGCTGACGGGGCCGCCGCCACCGCTGCCGCTGCTGCCACCGCTAACGGAGCAGCCGCCGCAGAGGCCGGCGCCGCCGCCAGCAACCAGGACCCTGCATCTACCGCCACCCCTGCTGCCGCCAGCACCGTCGGCGGGAGCAGCAGCAGCGGTGAGGTGTTTGGCGTGTGGCGCGTAGTGACCCCTGGGTCGGCCGAGGAGGCACCTCAGCTCAGCCAGCCCGACATCTACACCACCCTGGACGCCGGCGATGAGGCGACGGCGGCGGGGGTGCTGTACGGCATGGCTGACAGACATGCGGCTGCCGTACAGGTGGGTCGGATTGCGGGAAGGGGGGGGTATTATCGATTACGGTAGGCGTCAGCGGCAGCGGTTGCAGCTAGGAGCCGAGGGTTACGCGGGTTTCTGTTATGGTACGGCATGGCTGGTGTGCTTGGAGCGCAGGTGCGCTGCCGGGCCCTGTGATGGCAGCTGGGGGTGGTGGCTGAGGTGGCAGTGGGGTTTTGTAGAGAGAGAGGTAGCTACATCCCTTGTTCCGCTGCCCTCTGCTTGTTCGTCTCCATTCATAGGACTGGTGCTTCCAAGGTTCCTTCCCCCCTCGATCCCACACGACACACAAGCCCGCCCGCCACTTTCCAGCATAAACATAATTAATACCAATTGCACGCCCCCCATTCCTTTTCCTTCACGTTCTCCTCCCTCCTCCTCAGGTCGCTGCTGCTGCGGGCTTGTCCGCCACAGAGGAGCTGCCACTGCTGGGCCCGGCAGCAGGCAGCAGCAACACCGACAGCAGCACCAGCAGCAGCAGCGGCAACGGAGGTGCTGCAAGCCGCCTTCAGCTGCTGTGGCCCTCAGATCACATGGTAAGCAGTGAAGAGGAGCCTCCGAAGAAGCGCGCCCCCTTGTGGCCCGCGCCGTCCTGCCATGCCCTCTGCCCCATGTCTCCCCCCTTCCTGCCCCACCCACCCAGGCAACGCGCAACACTCCATTCCTCCCTCTTCCTCCCTCACGCACTGTCAGCTCGGCACACTGCACACCGCATGCGGGTGTGCACCACCTCCCCCTGCACCACCTCCACACGCACCCACACGCCCCCTGTGCTCTCCCCAAACGCACTCCAACCCCGCACTGCAGGTCAGCCTGCTGGCGGGTGCCTCCGCCGCCGCCACCCCCACCGTCCTGCAACTCGCCCTCTTCCACCTCGCACCGCCTCCCGCCTCGCCGCCACCATCCGGCATCACCGCCTTGGCATCGGACGGCCCGGAGGGAGCAGCAGCAGCAGCAGGAGGAGGAGGGGCGGGCGGTGCCTCCCCGCCTCGCCCCTCTCAGCGGCCGTCGGGGGTGGCTCGGCTGCTGGGGCTAGCCAGCGTGACACTGGCACCCGGGGGAGCGGGGCAGGTAGGTGGGGCGGGGTATAAGGGGGAAGGGAGTCATGGGCCGGCTGGCGTTACGGGTCCGGACTTGAGACGCTCTTCAGTATTTGGAAGCAGCATGGGCGCATCGCTTGACAGCGCATGCACCCTCCACATTGCATCCTCCCGGCAAGTGCACCGGTAGCTTTTACAGGAGTAACATTCCCTTCTTTCCCCACCCCATCCGTTACCAGCATCCCTAACCCATTCGCACGTTTTCCCTCTCCCTCTCCCCCCCCAGGTGCAGCTATTCGAGGGTGTGGCGCTGCGGCGTGCGGCCCCCTGGACGCCGGGCGGCTCCTCAGCGGCGGGTGGGGAGGGGGGCGGGGCGCTGCTGTGCCCGGAGGGCGAGGCTGCGGTGGACGTGGAGGTGGCGCGGAGGGAGGTGGCTGGGGTGGTGGAGGAGGTGAGGCAGGGGGCGGGGTGGGTAAGAAGATATATGGAGACACTGACGATGCAACTAACGAGCTGTATGACATGTAGGCTTCATCATGGGGTGCAAACATGGTGGCCGGTCCATCCCACCCTACCTGAATGGGGGGAACCGGGGGATGCTGGGTGACGTCGGGAAAATTTGGGGAGAAACAATAAGTTGCTCGAACAAAAGCCAAATGTAACATATCGGTAACCCGTTTTGAAACCCTCAACGCCTTGAAACCCCCAACCCCCCACCCCGGGTACCCCACAGCTGTCCAGCGCGGCCAGCGGCGCTGCCCCCCTGGTTGCCTGGCAGGCCGCCGCCACCGCCCCCGGTACGACAGCTGCCATGGTGCCGTACGGCGCTGCAAGCGGGCCGCTGGTGTCCGTCATGGATGCCCTGGTGGACGACTGCATCGCGAAACAGGTGCCGTACAAAGGGGGGGGCTGCCGAACCGGTGCCGTACACAGGGGGGGGCTGTCGAATACAGGGGGCGTGTTGTGTGCGTAGCTGTGTGCGTGTGTCATCAAGGAGGGTGCTGCTGCTGCTGCCATGTAGTGGACGAAACGGCATTCGCCTGGACCCCCTTACCTCTGCGGACAAGGGCTCCCTGAACACAACCCGTTGCGCACAGAGTGCGTCACCCTCACCTTTCTCCCCCCCCCCACCCCTCTCACTCCCCCCCAGTCGGCACTGGGTCGGCTGGTACGGCAGCTGGACACGTCGTCAGCGCAGATGGTGGTGGCGTCATGGCGGGTGGCGGATGCGGAGAACAGATACAGGTGGGGGGGTGCACCTGCTGTTGCTCTTGTTAAGGAAACTGGCCGCGAAACTGGTTGCATGTGCGTGCTAAGGAATCGGAGTTGCATTTGTTGTTTTTGTGTGTGCGTGTGTGTGTATATCAAACAGTACCGCTATACCTGATGAGCCGTGGCCGAACGCGTCTTTGCTTAATTGCGGTTTAGGGGGGTTTGTTTCCTCAACCCCGGGTAAGGGCCGTGAGCTTTCAAGCGCGAATAGATGCGTCGCAAGCGGCAGGTGATCCCGAGCGAGGCTGATCAAGGTAGCCACAATAGAAACGCGCCAAAACCTAGTAGACCGGTTCCCCGGTTCCCGCATGCTCCGTGACACCGCTGCAACACAACTGCTGCTACTGCAGTTGCTGGACCCTGTTTGTCTTTGCGTCTCTTAGCCCCGCTGCACGCCAGGGTGCTTTCCCCCACTGCGTTTCGTGTTTTCCTACTCCACCCACCTGTCCAACCCAACCAGGAATGCTTTCGGCTTTCCCCACCTGCCCGCCCACCCCACCTCAACCAGGAATGCCAACGACGACAATGCCAAGCTGCGGCAGTTGCTGCACGAGGAGAAACAGGTGTGAGGCTGGGGATGTGCACCTGGGGTGTGTGCTTGCCGTACACACCAGCATGCTCTCCAAATGCAATGCGAAATATTGGGATGCTACCAGTATCATGCTAAGAATCTAGGAGATGCTAGAGGACACCAGGCCAACCATGTGATGACTGCTGCCGGCAGTGCGCAGCATCGCAGGGTGGAGAGGAGGCCGGTGTGGGGTGAAGGTGACAGCGAAGAACTTGGGTTGCTTCCTTTCCTGTGCCCTCACCCTTACCCTCACCCTTCAAGCCCACCACACCTCCCTCCAACCCCACCTGCGCCCAGGCATCCAAGATGCCCCAGCTGATGCTGCCCAACGCCGCCTCCCTTAACCGGGACGAACTGATAGAGCGGTAGGTGGGCTTCCCACATATCGCCTTAGAAACCACCCACGTGTACGGCACCTTCCAATATATAACGCTAGCACGCTACCTGCATGTACGACACCGTACAGTGCTGTCGTACAATCCCGCCTCTCTAACCCGGAGGTTGGCTCAGGAGGGGGTTAGCGGTGCTAGGCGAGGCTTATTGGGCAATCCGGCAAAATGGTATGTGCAGCTGTTTAAGCAGCCGTGCAGTGCTGCTGCATTTCGCGCTGAGGTGCATTTATTTGCTGAGGTCGGCGCGCGCTCACGAGTTGTTACTCCGTCAAGACTGTCATTGTGTAGTTACTGTCGTGTTGTCCCCCCTACCCCACCCCGCCCCCTCCAGGCTCGAAGCCATGCTGGTGGCGTACGGCCGGGAGCGGCGGCGCAATGCGGAGCTGGTGCACCGGCTGAAACAGCTGCATGCGGAGCAGGTTGGCGTGTGTGTGTTTGTGTTGTCCCTCACTTGCAGTTTCCATGTGGACGGGTTGGCAATCACTCCCCAACCTGCACCGCTCCCCCCCAACAGGTTGACACCCTGGAGCTAAAGAAGCGCTACCAGCAGCTGCAGGAGGCGCATGTGGAACAGGTGGGGGGCGGGGAGGAGTGGGGGGAAGGAGGAGGAGGAGGGCAAGGGGGGAAGGGTGGTGAGGAGCGGGGCAAAGGAGGGAAGGGGAGAGAGGAGTGGAGAGGGGTTGATCGGGAAGGCCTTGACGGTTTGAGGCTTTAAGAGGAGGAGCAAGAGCTAACATGGTCCAATCGCGATGCCTGTGTCGGCGTGTTTATATCTTCCGGATTTTTCTTGCGGATGTGGGTGGGGCTCTTGCACGCAAGGCGCATGCATGTCGTCCCTAGCCTTCACTTGGCCAGCTGCATCTCCACACCCCATGCATGCTACACAACCGTTTTCAACTGCTACCAACCCTTCCAACGCACTGACCGCGGCCGCACCCGCAGACCCGCGCGTACACGGAGCTGGAGGGCAGGGTGATTGAAGGGCGGCAGCTGCGGGAAACCGTCAAGACGCAAGAGGAGCTCATACACAACCTGGAGGTGCGTCGTACGTCGTACGGGGCGGAAAACACACACATATGCCGTACAACGGTACAACGCATCACACAGCAGCCCCCCGCAGGTCCGGGCCGCATGTCGTCTGCTGTCCTTTGTTTCCTTTGTTGCTGCTGATCTGGTGTTAGTGTTGGTGTCTTGTGTTGGTGTTGGTGAGGTCGTCGCACCGTACGCGAACGTGTGTTCGTTACAGCCCACGTGTTTCCCCAGTTCTTCTTGCCACATTGGCTATTACTGCTGCTGCTGCTGTTGGCGGCTCCACCTCCTGGCTTCGCGGCGGAATTTACCGTGCTTCTTTGCATGCCTCTCTCCACCACGGGGGGGGGGTGGAGCAGGCATCCGTACTCTCAACGGCTGCTTCTTACTATGCCTCCACTAACTTGACTTTGCTTCTTACTGATGCTGCCCTCCCTCCCTCCCTGCTGCTGCTGAACCTGCTGGTCCTGCTTCCTCCTGCCCTGTCCTTGCCCCGCTGATACTTCTATTCAACCTGCTGCATCATCTTACCGTACCTTAGCCGCTGCTATCCTGTCCCATTCTCCTCCCAGCTCTCCCCCCCTTTTTGGTTTTGGTATATATCTCTGACCCTCCCAGGCGGTGTTGTCGAGGGCGGTGGAGCAGGCTCGTGCGGCCGACCGGGCGGTCAAGGAGCTGCAGGCGGAGGGGGAGACGCTGCGCGGGTCGTTGGCAGTGGCGGAGGGGAAGTGCAAGATGCAGGTGGGTGTGGGGGTAAAGAGGAAACAACTAACTGACTGTGTGGTAAGGCATCATCATGGTTTGCAACATGTGAGCCAGGGAGCAAGGTAGGGAGCAATGTGGGCCAGAGGATTGGGGTGGGTCGGGCAGAGCCAGGGGCCGCTAGGCTGCCGCTGTCTTTGGTCTTCGCCTCCGCCAAATCAACAGTTGTCACCATCACCAGTCACGTCTTCCAGCAGTGGGTTTACCCTACTACCGTCTGAAGGCACTGGATTGACTACCGCGTACGGTACCTGCTTGCGTGCTGTGCTGCATCCTACCAGGAATCCAAGATATCCGAGCTGGAGGGGCTTGGCAAGCAGAAGGTATGTTTGACTGAGTTTACGGTTTAGTGTTTTTACGGTTTCCTGGGTAGGCGTGGCGGAGTGGCGGATGGGATGTGTGTTAAGAAAACTAGCCGCGAGTCGGAACGTACTCGTACGTGTGTTGCGCGGAGCGGTAGCGAGAGAGGGCAGGGAGGTAGGGCAGGAGGCGGCTTGAGGGGCAGGGGTCTCACGCGACATGGTGGTCTGACTGCCTATCGTCGCGTCGTTGTGTTGGTTCCTGAGCCACACCACTGCACCGACCATAGCTGTCGACCGAGGAGATACCCCTGTGTGCGTGTGTGTTTTACACCAACTGAGCTTCGAACTGACACCGAACTTGCGTGCGGGGGGGCGTGTGTGTGTGTATGCTTGCCCGCGCAGGATTCCACGATAGCCGAGCTAAACTCGCAAGCCAAGCAAAAGGTCAGTTCCTGAACGGTTAACTAACTCGTCGGAGTGTCCGGTAGTACGGTTTGCGGAACCCTATTGCCTGCTGCTGCTGATGATTTGCCAATGTCGTTATCCCTCGCTCGCTATTGTGCATTTTACGATTGCGTATTACAAGTCTGACCGCAGTAAACCCCTTCACCACGTGCGTATGGGGTAATCATCGCGCAGGCTGCCCGAATAGCAGAGCTGGAGGGGCAGTGCAAGCAGCAGGTGGGTCAAAGGCCATACCATACCACAGGAAGCCACAGGTTAGGGCAAAGCAAAAGGGTTAGGAGACGGCAGGGTGCCACAAAACAGAGTTGGGTGGGATAGCATCCGGCACGCCGGCTGCATATGATGGCTGCTGGGAGGCTGGTTGGGGAGAAGGAGGTTGGGGGGCGAGGAGGAAAGCGGGATCGGGGTCGCACAGATACTCGCTGGAAACCGAGAGAAAATGCAGGCACACACACCGAAAAATGTTTGTGGACAACGCATGCAAGGCATCGCTCCAGGGGATGCAACGTCGTTGGCGGCACCCTATTGCATGTGTTATCTGTGCGTGAATTGGCTATGTGTTGCATGCATGATTAATCCTTCCGCTATCTTAGGTAGACCACCGCCAACTACCAAACCAACCTGAACCCTGGTCGGACGCAGGATCCCGCCTACCTCTCTCCCTGCTTATCCTTCCGACGCTATACGCACCGACCAGCTCCCCTCACAAACCCCTCCACACAGGCGCACCTGATCGACATGCAAGAAGCCAGGACACAGGGGCTGGAGGCGCGCTCCAAGCAGCAGGTGGGAGAAGGGGCGGGGCGGGGCGGACTGGGTTTGGAGGCTTGCCGCCCAGGGTAAGTACGATGGACCCCAAGACGCCTATACGGAGTCGGCATGCTGTGTCAGTTTGGGCGCGTGGGCTTGTTTGCGTGCCTGGGGCTGCTGCTGGCTGCTGTGTTTTCAGGGCCGCTGGAAGCTGCGCAGCGGGGGTTATGTCAGCAGGCGTGGAGCTTACCTGCTTACCTGTGTAGCCTCCTCACCTGGACTGATCTTGCGCTTTTTGCACCCACAACGTTGAACAGGACGAGCGGATTGCAGAGCTAGAGGAGCACGGCCAACAAAAGGTACGTTACAACACAGCCTGGGGAACTGTTGTGATACCGTTTGTGTGAAGAGCACTTCGTGTCGTCGTGAGCGGACGATGTTGGGCTTCTGCATACGGTTGGTGAACGTCCATGCTGCTGCCCTTCATCCCCCTTATCCGTTCCTGCGCCTGCTCCTGCCTGTCTGACACAATCGCTGGGATTGGCTTCCTGCTTTGCACGACACGGCCATTCGCCCGTCGGCTTGACTTACTGGTTTCCGATACAAGCGACGAGGGGCTTTCCGTTTGCAACCATGTGCAGGATGAGCGGATATCCGAGCTGGACGGGCAATGCAGGCAGCAGGTGGGACCTCCAGGCTTGATGGCACCGGGTTGCAGGTGTTGTGTTGTATGATGTGCTCTGTCGGTGTAATTGCTATTCGCATGCTGCTGTAGCATATGGGTAGGGCACCCGGGGGATGGGGAAACAGTGGTCGGAAAGAAGCACTGGGGTAGAATAGCAGCAATGTCGCCGCCCCCTCACACCCCAGGCATGCATCCTTTCCGTTTCATCTCGATCCCATTAAGCTTCTGTTGTCCAACCAGTTTGACATGGTTAATGGAACATATAACCCACACAGGAGCTACACATTGTGGAGCTGGAGGGGCAGTGCAAGCAGCAGGTAAGTCTCCCTTGTAGAGTATTAATGTGCGTGTGTTCGATCTTGAAGATTGCGGCAGCAATGTTGTAAAGGGTGACCGCATGTAGCCGCCAGTCCCCTGGGGGCTGTGGCCGAGTTCCTGAAGTTCGCTTAAGTGACGGCGTACGGTCACACGCTCACAACCGGTTACATGTCACACGGGTGTATTGTTCATGCATGCTCGTGACCTCTGAGCTGCAGGAGTCCCGGATTGCTGACCTGGAGAAGCAGGGCAAGCAGCAGGTGCGTGTGTGCCTTTGAAAACGCTTGTCGCAAGGAAGTACAAACGGGCTCGTGTGGAAGGGTTGGGATACGGCAGAAGGTTACGTTTGCGGTTCGGATACAGCAGAAGGCGCATGCACACAACCGAAGTCTCCATTCGCATGGCTGTGTTCCTGCTGTTGTGTCTGTCTGCACGCCTCTGACCCCTTCCACCATGAACATCTTGCCAGGGGGGACCTTAATCAGTAATCTGAAAGCCACCCGTCCTTTCACGCAACAAGCCATGCTGATTGCCTTGGAAACCTCTTGCATGCAGGAATCCAAGATTGCTGAGCTGGACGGGCAATGCAGGCAGCAGGTGGGTGCCGGTATCCGGGTTTGGGGTCCTGGTGCCCCCTCCCACTGCATCTGCCACCTCCTTGGGGGTCGCCGTGGGTCGCCGTACGGGAGGCATGTACGGTACTAGCAACCGGCGCTGGGCTGCTTTGGAGTCTAGCTTATTTAGGCGCCTGGCTCATGGCCACCCTTGCAGCAGTGCTGCTAAGCTGGCCGCTCCGCGTGGGCTGTTTTCTGCATCTGCTCTGTCCTCACGCTTATTTTGCGGCGGCCTTTTCATATATCTGCTCACCTCCCCGCCCCGGCTGGCTGCTCCCAGGAAGTCCGTGCGGCCAACCTTGAGGGGCAATGCAAGCAACAGGTGAGGTGTCGAGCTACCGGCGGTAGCTTTCGGTGTAGGGAACAATCGCAGCCGGCAGGCATGGAATGCCCTGTCGGTGGCGCACACCCTGTGTTTGGATTTGGCAAGCACAGAACGTTAATGTTGTTCGTGCTTGGCAGCTTGCCGCGAGCATTTGCATTTAGAACCCTATACTTTGTTTGCGCCCGTTGTGCACCACCACCAAGGTGTTGGTCTCTCACCAAAGTGTTGGCCCTCTTCTCTGTCTGAACACAATTTGCAACGCAACGCAATGTACACGGCCGCACCTTGCAGGAATCCCGGATTGGCGAACTGGACGGTAACCTCAAGCAACAGGTGGGTTCATAATGAACTTGTGTGTATGAGCCCGGATAACCGCCGTACGAACTTATCTTACAGCAACTGCCGTATAACTCTTGGAAAATGTGCTGCTACTAATTAGGCTGCTTTCCAAGCCGCCCTTGGCCATCTGCCTTGCGCCGAATAACGCATATCTGCCTGTCCGTGTTGTCACGGCGGTATTATCTCCATTCATGCATTCCCTGTACATCCCGGGCTCAATTCGTTGCTGTACCCGCCTGCAGGAAGCTCGGGGAGTGGAGCTGGAGGGGCAGTGCAAGCAGCAGGTGGGCAGGACTTCTGGGGTGGAGCGAGGATGGCGAGGGAGGAAAATATAGATAAATACATCAACGAAGTCCCAATCCCGAATATCCCGACTCATGCAATGAGCGCATTCGGAGACCCTATTCTAGAAATACGCAGCTCAGAGACTTACCAATTGCTTGCTTACCAGAAACCGAGATGGCTTGAGGAAGAAGCCGCCTTGCATAGGCGAGGGAGGGGGGCTGGGGCAGCTGTACGACATGCATGCATGCATGGCGTACAGGAGCAAAACCCACAATTCCGAGCACATGACTGAAGCACATGCTTGCGGCTCACCTGGGCCTTCACCACGGTTACTTCACGAAAGCGGTGTTTGTTGCCACCTGTTGCAATGTGCTGACGGGTGCAGGAGGCCCGGATTGCTGAGTTGGACGGCCACAGCAAGGAGCAGGTGAGTTTGGGAGGATGGGGGCGGGGCTGGCGGCAGCCAGTGGGTATCGGGAGTCGTTGTCTTTTCCTGCATGCGCGCTAGGTAGGGTGTTGCGTCTACGTGCTGCATGCATGCTCCCGCTTGGCCTGACACGATACACTGTACGCTAGACTAGTCGCATAGGTGTGGCTGTGAGGGCCTCTGCGCTGCTGGCTTACTGTTTACCTAAGAGCTAAACGTGTTACGTGTGACGAGCATTTGCAGGAGGAACGGATAGCGGAGCTGGACGGCCAAGCCCAGCAGCAGGTGGTTGGGTTGGGGAGGGGAGTGAGAGGGGCTGGAATTGGTGGAAGCATGGCTGGGCTAGGATAGAAGGTAAAAGCAAAGAGAGGTAACCTTTGAAGCAGCTAGCCTCCTCCTGACACCCGACAAAGGGGTTAGGGTTGTATTGGGCTCGTCATCTCGGGTCACCGGTCAGCAATCCCACCTGCGCACCTCCTGCGCACCTCCTGCGCACCTCAACCTACTGCGGACCTTCCATTGCTCCACTTTAATTACCTCCATAACCAGGAGCATACCCTGCTTGCATCGCACCCGTAGGAAGCTCGGATCGCGGAGCTGGACGCCCAAAACAGGCAGCAGGTGGGTTTCGGAGGCTGGTTGAGCTTGCGTGCTTGCGCTGGTTGGGCCAAAGATGGCAGCCCCGTAGTGCCCCCGGTCGTTTCCGCTTGCTTGCACGCCTGCACGCAAACCTCACTCAACTACTTACGCTTTACCTCATGACGAGCTTGCTAACTCTGTCATGCGACTGATTACTAATGCCTACTCATTACAGAGGCCTGTAGGGGACCCTGACTCAGGCTAACTTTCGTTTCTCATAGTGTCCCTGGCCCCCCTGGCTCACTATACACGCGTACCGACTGTAACTGTAACTAATGCAATGTTTGATTGCAATGCGTGTAGGAAGTCCGGATCGCCGAACTGGACGAGCAATGCAAGCAGCAAGTAAGTGTCCGGCAACCTCTAATAACTACCTTCATACTTAACCCTTATACCGGTACTCCACAATCGCACATAGCACTCTCCCTGCTTCCACAGGCTTCCAAACTACAACACAATCCACGCATCACAAACCCTCCCATTGCTCTCACCTGCCGCCGCAGGCAGCCCAGGTGGCTGAGCTGGAGCAGGCCCAGCAGCAGCACGAGGAGGCGGTACGGCAGCGCGAGGAGCGCATCCAACAGCTCGAGAAGGAGCTTCAGGAGAAGGAGGACGAGTTGGAGGAGCTCCGGAACCGGCACACGGTGCAGGAATTCAAGGCGGGGGCGGAGGGGCCTACACCTGCTGCTGGGGATGGGGAAGGAGGGGGTGAAGGAGGAGGTGGAGCAGGGCAGCAGCGGGTGGAGGAGTTGGAGAAGGAGTTGGAAGCAGCGCAGGGGCGAATCAGGGAGCTGGAAGAGGCGATGGGACCGGGGAAGGAGGTGCGCGGGAGGGGGGTGGCTTGCATGTGGATGTGGGGGTCGGATTGGGTTGAGCACCGGTGTTCGGTTGCTATGCCTCTCGAGGGCCCGAATCCTGTCTTGTGTCTCAAGAGACGCTGCCCCCTTACCTGGCTTATTCGCTGCTTCCCTTTCTCTCCCTCCGCATGCTCTCGCCATGTATTCCTTTTAAACCCCATGCGTTCCCATGCTTCACAGAAGATGGAGTCCCAACTAGCTGCGCTGGCTGAGGAGAAGGCGGGTGCCACCCTGAGAGCGGAGTACGCGGAGGGGGCGGCGGAGGCGGCGCAGAACGAACTCATCGACGTCACCAAAAAGTAAGGGAGGCTGTGGGTGGGAAGGGAGGCGGGAAGGTGGGAGTAGGGGTGGACGCCAAGGGGGATAGGGTACTGCCAGGGCTGCTGCTGCCCAGAAGACAAGGCACCCGGGGTGGGTAGGAAGATACCGGTAGCAGCTGCCACCCTGCGTTCGCGAGGCCAACATTCGGGGCATTCGGGGAATGACATCCATTTGGTTTACTGGACGGACTCCACGACTCCTCCAAAGCTCCCACTTGGCGCTCGCTCCACCTCCCGCCACCTCACGTACCCTCCCCCTCCAGGTTTCCAATCACACGCTAACCCAACTATCCAGCCTATTGCGGAGCATGTATCCCTATTTATAATCCCCCTCCACCTCCCTTACCCTGCCCCTGCAGGTTCGCCCGGGAGATCGCGGAGCTCAAGACTCGGTTAGCTGAGAAGGACGCCATGCTGATGGGCGGCTTCGGTGACCTAGACCAGCTGCGGCGGGGGGAGATGCCGCCTCCAGAACTGGGACTAGGGGGGCAGGGGCAGGGGCGCGGAGATGACCCAGGGGTCGGCCGGATGGGTGGCAGCGCCACTCCACCTCCGGGCATGATTATGCCGGGGCACATGATGCCTCGGAGATCAGGTGAGGGGGCTGGGACTGGGGTATGGGCGCCAGGAGGGGTGTACTTGCTGACTGTCCTAGCTGACTTGCGTGAACTGTGCATGCAACACTCCCTCCCTCCTAACAACATCCTAAGCATAATTGGGAGCCTTGTGTGGAGCGCGGTCAGTGCAGGACCAGCAGAAACGAATAAGATGACTCCCCCTGCCCCCACTCTTGCTCCTTGTGCCGTACCAACAGCAGGCAACGCCTCTACGGGTGGCGGCAGTCGACCCAGCTCAAGAGACGCCGACCCGCAACGATTCCAGCAAGGCTCCTCCGCCCCCTTGTTTCCGCCCATCAAGGGAGCCACACAGGCGCAGCCGCCGCCATCTTCGCCACAGCAGCAGCAACAGCAACAACCAGGGCACAGTAATGGACCCATGGGTCACAATGGTCGTGTCGCCTCGCCGCCATCTGGATCACCTGGGCATGGGCCATCTAGACGACCGTCATTGCGGCGGCCTCAGCTCGGGGGCCAGCCGCAGCAGCAGCCGGGGGGCCAGCAGCAGCAGCAGCAGCAGCTGCTGTCACCATCGCCACCGCCGCAGCCGCCCACCTCACCGCCGCCGCCGCCCTCGCAGCAGGTGCAGCAACCGCAGCCACGACAGCAGCAATCGCCATCTAAGCAGCAGGCTTCGCCGCCGCGGCAGCAGCAGCAGCAGCCACGGCAGGGTCAGCAGCAGCCGGGTCAGCAGGCGAAGGCGGCAGGCGGTGGGCAAGCGAGGCCGACCGCTCCAAAAGCACCTCCCACGCCAGACGATGACGAGGATGATGATGACGATGATGATGACGACGACGAGGACGACGACGACGATGATGATGATGATGATGATGATGATGATGATGATGATGATGATGATGAGGACGGTGGGTAGGGATTGCCTGTCCGATAGAGGCACTACGGTTCTTAGATGCAGCAGCTCGTGCGACCAGGAAGGACCCAGTGCTACTTTGTTGTGTCGTAGAATTTACAGCACGCCATGTGTAGATGATTCGTCTAGCAGTATGCGCTGCTGAAGCAGGGCTTTGTTACCTGTGTGCTTCGATTATAACCCTGCAAATGCTGTCATTGCAGATGATGATGACGAGGACGAGGATGATGACGACGACGATGATGATGAGGACGAGGAAGAGACGCCCCCACGGCGCAGGGCTGATGCAAAGCCATCGCAACCGCAGCCGCAACGCCAGCAGCAGCAGCAAGCCCGGCAGGGACAACCAGCAGCGGCGTCGTCAAGTGGTGGTGCTGCCGCTGCAGGTGTCGCTGGTGTGAGTGCCCCTGCCGGCGCTGCTGCTGCGGCTGCTGGTGGTGCTGCTGGTGGTGCTGCTGGTGGTGGTGGTGCTGGTGCCCCGGCGGCGCCAAGACCGTCCTCCAAGGAGACTCAGCGATCATGATAATAATGCGGCGGTGTTTTGGGCTCCTTGTGATGTCAGGTGTGAACTCCATACCTGTAGATAAAGGAAGGCGGCAAAATCTGGGCAACGCAGTGTATCGTTAGATTGTATGCTCTTGAGATGGGACACGCCAACGTGGGCTATCTGAGATACTACATGCGTGCGAGTCCTTGTGAGCCTCTTTAGAATGCATTAATGGGCCGCATGGCCAGGCATGGCGGCATCATTGCTTTTATGTCGTACAATTGTCGTGTACCCATCATCAGCATCATCGGACGTTACCAAACCTGCCGTACAGACCCCTAGCAAGGGAGTATATGGCTATTGCTGGAGGAGTCTGGGGAACACCCCTGGAAGGAAGGCGGTATGCGCGTGTATATGATCCCCCCAACAATGTGGCTTGACAATATTAGTGCGGTATCTTTGTGTGTAGAAGCTTCTTCTGTACTCCTTATACATGCGTACATGCCGAGTGCAAAAGAATGGCAGATGTTCGGAATCACCTACCGTGTAAGAGGCATTGGTGCCAGGATCGGCGCTTTCCTTGGCCGCCTAGGGTTTCGTTGACATATCCTGGCGAGCACGAGCTTGGGAGAGCCACAGTAGTTGTCCATGACACTCACTGCGCAACTATCTGCTGGCGCCCTCGGATAGAAGCATGGAACACGGTTCGAGGCGACCTGAGGCACCGCCAAAGATGTACGGCAGATTCGCAATGACCGATGCGCGATAGACGGGCAAACGCATGCGTCTGGATACTTTATTGACTTCAATACTGTATTCTAATGGCATTTCTTCCCGTGACTCCCTCTGTTGGAGGCTACTTGCCGCGACGAGCGGAAGGGCGCTTGCAAGCGTTTCAACAACACCAAACCTTGAAACCTTATGGCTCAATACGCTCTCGACTGAGATATATTAATACGGCACTTGATTCTCTAAGCTGCAAAGATACTGGTGATAGAGTTGCTTCCCATGGCTTGCATTCCTTGAACCCGCTCGACCTCTTATTCGCGCGCACAGCGGCTGGAACAACAGAGACGCTGCAGGTCTTGGACGAGGGCGACGGCCAGAGCTTCACTGCGCATTGGAAGGGGCAGCTGCTTCGACTGACCCCGTCAAAGCATGCCGAGGATGCACAGCAGGGCGGCTGGACAACCGAGCAAATCGGTGCGCAGATTGGCAGGTTACGAGGATTGGGAATGACTGTTGGGATCACAGCAGGACGGCTGCAGTAGTTGGCGCAGCGTACACCCATGCATGCATGTGCCAGCCCTCCCACTGCTGAGCTATTTGGGCATGTGCTAGGTGTCCCAACAGGCGCTTATAAACGCATGACAGGCTAAGTTGTTTAGCTAACGTCACATCCCCTACGTTTGCACGACCACGTCGTGCATTCATACATGCCAACAGGGTCCTATCCTCTTGCGGACAGTAGGCTAGCTCGGGCGTTTCCCAGCCTGGCCCAAGGAGGATTGCTGACGAAACTGCACGACCATGCTGGTAAGTCCACCCTTCCCTGAACCGACATCTCAGTTGGAGCCCCATAATCCCACCCCTGGCAACCCCTAAAGTGTGCGCACCAGGAAGCTTTATCGTACGCAGTCACGTGCACCTTGATGAGGTTAGGACCGCACGGCTTTGGGATGCGATTATTACAGGGGAGGCCGTACGACTCAAGTGCGACGCACAACCCTATGAGCCTTATAGACCATGCCACAAACGTTGGGACGTCCCTGCCCATGGCTTTGGGACGTCCATTTTTCACTTCCCAGTACATCAGTCTTATGCGCCCTCTGGCACTTTCCGTGGATTGAAGTTACGTACCCCTTGCCTTGCGCCGAGTCGCATGGCTTTGGGCCGTCCCGTTCTCACTTATCAGACCCTGGGCCTTCCTGCCGGCACTTCATCACCGGTCTCGTCCTCTCTGTCCATACATGCAGCCGTCTATGCAGCCCGCGACCACGCACCCTTGCATGGCCCCCCTCCTAACCTGACCTCACCGCGACCATCGCAGTCATCTCCTCCTCCGTACCCCCCACGCAGGTGCCCAGCCATCCGCTCTCACCTTCACGGGTCAAACATACTCCCTCTCAGACCTCCAAGAGGCAGCAGCAGCCGATGCAACGACATGGTGAGTGTTATGATGGGGTGACAGAACCTGCGGGTCGGGTGGTTTCCTGGTTTGCAGTGAGATAAGAGCCGCGCTGGCCAATCACGGTTAGGTGGATGGGCGTTCTGCCTTTGATGGATCTTGGCCTGAGGTCAGTGGTAATGTCAGTGCCGACCCCATGCGGTTTACCGCGACTGGACTGGACTCCACAACGCCGACCTCACCCTCCTCCGAGCTCGGCCGGAAACCCGTTACCCGCCCCCCGGCTGCCTTCTTTCGCTTCTGACTGTGTTTGTCGGCTTGCGCGGCATGTTCGCCTCAGGTGTGAGGGCACGCGCCCCGGAGCTCCGGAGAGCACACCCCTGCAGTCACAGACCCTGACCGCTGGGGAATTAATTTCCCTGATGCAAGGTGGGTTGATCCCAAGGTGGGTTGTCTCGCTACCGGTCTCGTTATCAGCATGTATGGCCGGTTGGATGCCATGGAGGGTGAGCCAGGGCGAGTCAGGGTTGTCTACCCAGGTGCGTGCGGTACTTGCGAATGATAGCTTCTGGCAACTTGCCCGCATATGGCCTTTGCGCAGGACAGCGCGGCGTGGTTCTCGTACAGCTCTACAACGGCTTCCAACCGTCGGAAGGCCAGCCACTGTATGACCCATGGGTCGTTCACCTCCTAGAAGCTGCGCTGTCCACTCCCGGACTGCGGGCGGTAGCTTCCGTGGCTCCAGGGGGCCCGGCTGTGGGCCTTACCGCCGTACTGTTCGCGGACCGGGAACCCTGGAGCGCATGGGGCCCGCATCTGGCGTCTTTCGGTTGCCAGGTGTGGTTGTGGCTTGGCGGCGGGAAAGTGCATCTAGTTAGATGGGCCTTGCGTGCTTGGGGCAGCCAGGCTTCATCACAGGTGTAAGTACCGGTATTCCGAATTTCTGATGCATGTAGGTTACCGCATTGTTGTTAACACGCGGCACGCACATGTGGATTGCATTATTGTCAAGTAGTGTTCTGATAATTAAGCGTGTCCAATGGCAGAAACAATAACAACACGCCGCCCTGCCCACAACCTGTCGGCCCTGTCCTCTTTCTCTCCAAATCTCTCTTTCCTGCGCCTCCCTTTCCTACCCTCCCCTCCTGCTGCAGGCGAATGCGGTGGCCGGAAGCGCCTACTACAAGGTCCTCATAGGTGCGCGACGGGCTCCGCGTGCAACGGCCTGCTGCTCCTTGCCTGTCTGCCCTTTCTTAAATTCCGCTTGCGCCCCGTTGCCCACATCTTGCCTGTTGGCCCCAACGGCGAGCAGGCAAGATCCTGGGCTACAAGGAAGACAACATCTACGGCTACGTTCGGTCTGTGGGAGGCGGCCTCTCACCCGCCGTGATAGCGCAGGTGGGCTGGGTTGCAATGTGGGTTGGAGTCGGGATGGGTTGGATTTGGTAGATTTGGTGGAAGGTGGAGTGGGTTGGCAATACCACACCTGCACTGCTGGCGCAGGTGCATTGGGGTGGGTTGGGGGCTTAGTCGGATTGGGTGGGGGTTGCCGGTCTTGGCTGTCGGGGGTGGGGCAGGTCGGGTTTGTAGGGTTTCCGACTGGAAGGACCTAAGGTAATTGTGCATGTACGGCCGAGGCGTTGCAGCCTACGTCTATCATGTATTATCCCTTGTATGCTGGCACGCATACATGCGGTTTAGTTAACATACATGCCCCTCAATGGTACGGCGCACAACGGACCAGCTAGCTGCCCCCGGCTGCTACTTCACACCTGCCCGGCTCACCCGTGCGCTGCGCCGCCCGCGTGCACCACTGTTACCCCAACCTGTGCATGCTCTATCCATATTGCGATTAAGAAGGATATACACTTTGTTTCATGTTTGCCCGAGCTCTCAGTACCGCGCCACCTGTATCACCATTTGTCGACTTCTTAAGCCCAATGTTGGGGAAACTATTTGTTTCCCCTGCTATAACCAGCAACGCACGGGCGCTGTCTCCTACTCTCCTCTACCCGCTCCACAGGTTGATGCCGACCTGAAGCGCCTGAGCAAGGCCAAACCAAAGCTGCCCTGGAACCGGGAGGGCAGTCGGGGCAAGAAGCCGCAAGGCAGCGCTGCGGGCTCGCCAGCTGCTGGGAAAGCCGATGCTGCTGCTGCTGCTGCTGCTGCTCCCGGTGCTTCTGCGGGGCCTCCAACAAAATCGACAACGGGGGCAGCAGCCGGACGGTTTGGCGGCAGCGGCGGCAGGGGCAGCAGTCGCGGGCGGACTTGAACGTGGCCCCATGCCCTACCCAGAGGAAAACAAGCACCTCCATCTAGGCATGCTGGGCTGCAGTTGTTGGCTCACCTTATTTTGAGGGGAAGCACAGAAGCGACACGATTGGACTGAATCCGCGGCTTTTCGGCGGCCCGGTTGATAATGACTAAAAGGCAGTGGCAGGAGTGTCCGCAACAGCATGCATGCATGCATGCTGGAAAATAGACAGGTCCCAGTCGCCTTTTTTTTGCGCATGATGGACATTGACTTGTGTATTCACTGCGAACTGGGGAAGGTAAACAAGGAATTTAAACCAGCATTAGTGTCCTGTATCCATGGGTCATGTTGTTGTCTACCTTCTCTGTCTTTGAGTTCCTCACGTGCATGCCAGGAGGTGTGGTTTGGTATTGGGTGTTTGTAGCTGCTAACTATTTGTAATTACTTCCCAAATTGGGAATCCCAATGTTGACCACCACGAGACGTATGGGACTAAAAGGAAGAAGCTAACTGGGTGGCATGGGTTGCACCGCGATTGCCAAAAGTATGGGGAAGGGGGAGATAAGGAATTTGATGAGGCAAGTATGGGGGGGGGCTTACTTGGCCAGTTGCCTAACCCTGCCTTTCTCACCACCCTCAGGCACCCATCAGAGATCATGTCGTACTCGTTGTGCAGCCATGCAGGCTTTATGTTCAATTTATCCGATGCGAGTTTCGCTGCACATAACATAGTTTTGAAGCTCCTTGAGTGGGCTTCTCTAAGCAGCCTAGTGCAAAAGGGTGCCTGTGCCAAGGGCAGGCCGATAAGGCGTTATCTCCGTGTTGTTCGGATCAGCGGGTGGCTAAGACGAGGATGTTGCCGGCACGATGGATTGGTGGGAATGCAACACCCTCTGTTGTGAACTGACGTTTTTTGCAATCCATGATGACAGGGGCGGTTAGGGAAAGGCAGTTCGGAAGGGCACTCTCACATTAGAAGATACACGGACACAGCCCGCCAGACAGACGGACGCCGCCGGCGGCGGGCAAAAGGACATTCTTCCGTGTGCCCTTCCGTCAGTCCGTACAACAGCCGAAAACATACAAAAAGGACCTAACTACCGGTATAGCTTGCTATTTCTATGTACTTACTATCGCTATTAGGATTAACAGGAAGTCCGGGAAATGTTATCTTTGCAACAAACGAATTTAGACTGGCCATTGACAAGGACCGCCGCGACCATACCGGTTACCGTTCCAAAATGAGTTAAAGCTGTTTCACGACTACTATAAATGAACTGTTGACAGCGACATGGCGCAGAAAGACAACCTGTGGACTTCGGCGTGAACATGCTTGCATGTAACTGGGCGCCCACCCGTTTCTGTGGGCTAACGCCGACAGATTTCGAGTCTTTTGCACAGTGGTAGTAGCCACACCGAGTGCGTTACCGGTAATAGACATTCAATGTTAAACTATATGTGCCTGTGTCTGATACGATTGCTGTAAAAACTAAGAATATTATTCGTTCTTATGCATACGACGGGTTGGGGAGACTAGACTGAGTAAAAAATTAGCGATAACTTTACAGCTTACGGCAATGAACGGGCGAGAGCACGAGACAACGGGCAACTTCAAGCATTCGTAATTGGTTGAGAACATTAAGCAAACCCCGACACTGAGCATGCATGTCACCTATTGTTTTGGAGGCTTTCGAATACATGCTCTAATGTTTACGGCAGATATACCGTACACGCCATTTTTGAGTAAGGGCTAGGATAGCTACCGAGAGTACATATTTTTGCTAGACGTCGCTATATTGTGAAGACACGAAATGTACCGATGCGTCAGATTGGAGAGAACGATTGGCTATACGTGGATTGCTTGGATATCCCGTTCAGACGTACGACACCGACGCCATCCCGATGCCATTGAAAAGCTATCAATTAGTTATTACCCATTTGCCAGGTTGTAAACCTGTATACAGAGTACTATATCATCGGTGTTGTTACCCTGCCACAAGGCCATCGCCCTTGTGTGCGACCGCGCGCCAGAGCCATGGGGCTCCTGGTGCTGTTGGCACTCTCCTATGCCGCGGTTGCTGTTTCTGAGCCCCTGCTGGAGGTAAACGTTTAAAATGCGAGCCAAAGGCATGCTTGGCAACGCTATGGCTCGACCCCAAAGCTTGTCGCTTTTGCTTCCGTAACGGGGCAGGCAATTCGTTAATAGAGTGTACTTATACTTCATCTACATATGTCGGGATATTTCTCGCGTGCAGGGTACAGTGGTGCACGACTCGGTGACGGTGTCCGAGCGCAAGTCGACGCCGCACGCTCGATGGCTTCTAAGCAACAGCAGCAAAGGTAAGTATCTTTTACAGCTACTTACCTCCTTAATAATAAGGTTTCGGCTGTTGAAGCCGTCCAGCCGATGCCAGCTGCTCTCCGCCCCCACCTAGCTTGGGACTGGCTAGCGCAGTTCCCACCCCCGCCTTGTGATGCAGCACCTACCCGGTTCCTGTAATCCTTCCTATCGCAGTATCGACGTTAATGCAAGGCCAAGCCCTGAGCCAGGGACAGAGCCTGTACTCTCAATCCGGGGCTTACTGGCTTGACATGCAGGGCAATGGAAACCTTGTCATGTACCAGACACGCACGGGTATTGCCATCTGGGGACTAGAAAAGTACGGCGCATTCCCCCCAGCGGTTGCTGGCCCGTACAACATGACGATGAAGGTAGCTACTTGTTTATCCCATTGGGCACTGCTGGTCTTGCCGCCAGCAGTGTCCGCTTGCAATGCATGTGGTGGATACCGACACAGTTTCTCGCTTATTTTGCAGTATGACGGCAACTTTGCGGTCATGGGGACATCATCGGAGGTCATTTGGGTGACGAAATTGGCGTATTTGACCCCTGGTCCCTACAAAGCCATAGTTACCAAGGATGGCAACCTGAATCTGGTGGCTGGAAACGGCATAGCCTACTGGAGCAGTGGTAAGGAGTTTGGGGGAAGCAAGAAACCTGCTGTTATAATGAATCGGGGGACCTACCGGTAACAAGTGCCCTTAAGTTGGCTCATTATAATATATGAAAACATTTGACGTAGTGTCAAGTGGTTCACTGACGTACCTACTTCCCCCTTTCGCAGCCTGCACCGTATTCAGCGGATACACGTTCCTGCCCTTTAAGGATCAATTTAAATCTGACCTAGGGCAGAAGCCAAATTTGGCCTCTGCACTGTCTGCCTGCAATGCGGACTGCCGTTGCAAGGGCTTTAACTCAGGTGGGTGTCGTACAGCTGCTTCACACAGCAGTAATGGAAGAAATGAATTCCGAGCCCCTTGTAAATTAGGCATACAAACAGAGTGCGTGCAAGGTGTTTCCAGTTAGTTGGCACTTTCCACAACAACCACCATCCCAGTGAATCCTCGTGACCATCTCCGCAGGTGGTTGGGTCAAGACACGTACCGATAACGTTGTGGATTATAACACAGACATGTGCAGCGGCCTGTATATTCGTGATAACCCACCAGCCTGCCCTCCGCCACCGCCCAGCCCGCCACGACCACCACGACCGCCACCGCAGCCACCGCTGCCACCCTCGCCCAGCCCACCGCCGCCAGGTGAGCGAGGTGTTGCAAGCTAGAAAATGAGCACGTAAATGTTGGTGACTGTGATTCCCTTGCCTGTCGGTTTATCATCAAGATGCACAGAGGATTTGTGACTTGAATAAACATATCATCTCGCCCGATGTTAAGGTTTTCTTTAGATAGTATGTAAAGCAGGGGACGGGGATCCACTGCGGCAAACCTGGCAAGCACCCTTCCACTCTGCAATGGCACGTGAAGTGTTGGTGCCTTCGTCGTGTGGTTTCTTCTCTAGCTAACAGTAATCCCCGCTAGTCCGGAACTACCTAGTGTTGTTCCCACCCCTGCCTTGTGAAACAACCACCTGATCCTTTCTTCCATCAAATCCTATTGCAGTGTCGGTGTTGATCCAAGGCCAGGCTTTGAGCCAGGGACAGAGCCTGTACTCCCAATCCGGGGCATACCGGCTTGACATGCAGGGCAATGGAAACCTTGTCATGTACCAGACACGCACGGGTATTGCCATCTGGGGACTAGAAAAGTACGGCGCATTCCCCCCAGCGGTTGCTGGCCCGTACAAGATGACACTTCAGGTAGCTTCGTATCCCGGCGCTGCCCGTGGGACTTTGCTACATGCGGTGTATGTTGTTAATACCAACTTAACCTCGTAATCGTCTACTTGCAGTATGATGGCAACTTTGCAGTCCTAGGGGCGTCATCGGAGGTCATTTGGGTGACGAAATTGGCGAATGTGGTCCCTGGTCTATACAAGGCCGTAGTTGCCAAGGATGGCAACCTGAATCTGGTGGCTGGAAACGGCATGGCCTACTGGAGCAGTGGTAAGGAGTTTGGGGCAAGAAAACCTGCTGTCTAAGTGGGGGGAACAAGTGAATGCCCTAGTTGGCTCATTTCATTATGGCAAAGTGTTGAGTGGTTCACTGACGTACCTACTTCCCCCTTTTGCAGCCTGCACCGTATTCACCGGATACACGTTCCTGCCCTTCAAGGATCAATTTAAATCTGACCTAGGGCAGAAGCCAAGTTTGGCCTCTGCACTGTCTGCCTGCAATGCGGACTGCAGTTGCAAGGGCTTCAACTCAGGTGGGTGTCGTACTGCTGCTCCACATAAATAATGATAACGGAACAGATAAGCTTCCAGACAAGACACAGACAAGAGGCGTCCTTAATGAAGTGGAAATACAGAAAGGGTGCATACAGGGTGGTTGCCGCTTCACAACAACCGCCATTGTACCGAATTATAGTGATCATGTCCGCAGGTGGTTGGGTCAAGACAGGTACCGATAACGTTGTGGATTCTTATACAGACATGTGCAGCGGCCTGTACATTCGTGATAACCCACCAACCTGCTCTCCGCCACCGCCCAGCCCGCCACGACCACCACGACCGCCACCGCAGCCACCGCTGCCACCCTCGCCCAGCCCACCGCCGCCAGGTGAGCGAGGTATTGCTGGTTTACTTTGTGGACGATACGAAAGGTGGAAACGTTACCGACGCGCGAAAGACGGCTTGTGGCTTGTGTAATAATGTAATCCATTCTCCAATCACCCCGCGGTGTGCATATCAAGGTTTCCATTCGTACTTACAACAAGAGAGATGCAGAACAACTGCGGCAAACCAGACAAGCACCCTCCCCTTCTTCAACAACGCATGATGAAGTGTTGGTGCCTTCTTCGTGTGGTTTGTTCTCAAGCTACCCGTGATCCGAGCTAGCTCAATACTGCCTAGTGTTGTTCCCACCCCTGCCTTGCGAAACAACCACCTGATCCTTTCTTCCATCAAATCCGTTTCGCAGTGTCGACGTTAATCCAAGGCCAAGCCCTAAGCCAGGGACAGAGCCTGTACTCCCAATCCGGGGCTTACCGGCTTGACATGCAGGGCAATGGAAACCTTGTCATGTACCAGACACGCACGGGTATTGCCATCTGGGGACTAGAAAAGTACGGCGCATTCCCCCCAGCGGTTGCTGGCCCGTACAAGATGACGCTTCAGGTAACTTCGTATCCAGGCCCTGCTCGTGGGACTTTGCTACATGTGGTGATCGTTGTGGTAATCCAACTAAACCTCGTAATCGTCTACTTGCAGTATGATGGCAACTTTGCAGTCCTAGGGGCGTCATCGGAGGTTGTTTGGGTGACGAAATTGGCGAATGTGGTACCTGGTCCCTACAAAGCCGTGGTTACCAAGGATGGCAACCTGAATCTGGTGGCTGGAAACGGCATAGCCTACTGGAGCAGTGGTAGGGTTAGGGGAGGAACCTGATTACTTTGGGATAAATTGAAGGAATGATACATTTGCATCGGAATATCCTAAGCAAGGAGTTTTCCAAACGATATTCCTTATTGCCCTCTGCAGCTTGCACCGTATTCCCTGGATACACGTTCATGCCCTTCACGGATCAACTTCAATCCGACCTGGGGCAGAAGCCAAACCTGGACAGTGCACTGTCCGCCTGCAACGCCGACTGCCGCTGCAAGGCCTTCAACTCAGGTGGGCGGCGTGCCGCATAGCTATACAGTGCAGGACGGAAATTAGATGCCCGGAGGTAGCCCCTACTTGTTTGGTTATACGGAAAGGGTTAAGATTAATTCTAAGACTCTGCAAACGAGAGCTGTCGAAATTGGTAACTCTCAATGGGTGAACCTTGACCGCAGGTGGTTGGATCAAGACGGCCATCGACTACTTTGTCGGGTACTATTTAAACACCCTCTGCAACGGTCTGTACGTCCGTGACAACACACCAAGCTGCCCTCCGCCACCATCGCCGATGCCGCGGCCACCCAGACCACCACGGCCGCCGCCAGGTATTATGTCAACCCAACTGTGCTAACCAGGGTTTTCCAACCAGCAGTTAGTAACCGCAATTAAGACATAAATTAGCCAAGAGTATAAGTACAAGTATAAAAGCAATTACTGATAAATAATTAAAAAACGTTGCACAGGCAAGCCAGAAGAGCAAACGACGCAAGCTCAAAATGTCCTTGCACGTTCATTCAGCAGTGGCTAATGTCCTTGCTTGTAGCCTCAGGCCTGACCCATGGGTCACAAACGCTAACAACATGCTCCTTACAGCCATAAGGAACCCAGGAATTGCATTATATCGATAAGCTAAGACGCGACAGAGAAGCCAAGCGCAATTTAAACCAGCCAATTGCATAATCCGGCTGCACATCGCCTCCCTCAGCAGCCTAGTCTTCCCCCATGTCTTTAACCTCCGAGCGAGCTCAGTGTCCAACCCAACGTCAGCGGCCAACTAGCCATCTACCGTCCAGCCGACTTCTCCCCAGGTCCTTCATTGCAACCCTCCTTTAACACCCCCCAGCCGCTCTCATGTCATTATAACGCACCGACCCTAAATCCCCGCCCGAATCCCGGGACCCCACAACTCAGCAGGTGCGAGCTCCAGAGCAAATTCAAGTACGGCCACCTAGGAGGGTAGCAGCGTCGCCAGCATGAGAGTGTTGGGTTGCCTGTCAGGCGCCGGCTACGAGCCAGCGGGACGGTGACTTCACGACCTGGGAGGAGGTGGAGCGCGGGGGGCCAGGTGCAGCAGGCTGCGAATAAGCGCAAAAGGACATGGCTGGCGTTGTAGCAGTGTTTCCCATTGGTCGAGATTGTGGATGCCTTGTAGTGACCATGCTCTTATGATACCGCGCGCAAAGCAAACGGCTCGGCAAGGTAGGGGTGGGTGCGTGCGAGAAGCATGTATGTAGCAGGGCTGCGAGGTTAGGGCACCGGTAGGACTGAAACCGACAAGCAACAAGCAACAGCTTGTCAACAAGATGCTGTAATAACTAGCGTAGTCTGTGTCTCTGCAAAAGACGGGATCGGAGGGTTTGGAGTTTATCCCAGGGTTGTGTTGGGGCCGGTTAGCAGTCTGCTGCCTCTTGCCAGTGAAGTCTGCCTGGCGGGTGCCGAACAGGGTGTGGGTATGGGGGCCCCAACGCGCCACTCGCCTCCGTCGCTCGTAATGGCGTGGAGCGGGTCCAGGTACGGGACGCCATGCTTGGTTAGCGGCATGCAGCAGGGGAACACACATGGGCGCAGGCCGTTTCGTGCCATCACAAGCATCGCTCACAGATGCTACACCGCGAAGAAGGGCCCAGCCAAGGCCTGTGGCTCAACCAGCAGCAGCCGGTTATTCGTCCGCCGGTCGTACGTCGTCAGGCTCGTCACAGGTGGCGACGTAGCTGCTGTACTGCTGACGGCTGTTCGTCGGTGCCGCCGCCACTCCCTGTCGGACTTGGCTGCAGCGTCATTAGCTGAACTAGTGGCTGTTGCGGCGCAGGTGGAGACATAGGTGGGGTCTAGAGCTGATGCTGTGCCGTTTGAGGACGAGGAATCAGGGGTAAGGTGGGAAGGGAGAGTAGAATTCTCCGCTTGACACTTTTACACAAGAAATTTATGTACCCATCAATTGATGTCACGGAGGAGGAGGAATGGGAGGAGCAGGATGAGGAGAAGAGCCATGACGGCATTCCTGCTGTCGAACTCTGAGAGCCACTCTCCCTGCAGTACCGGTACGCTCCCTGCATCACTCCTTCCTTCCTATCCCTGTTGCGTGTTACCGCCGGTACCTGTTGTAGGTAACCTTCCTGGCTGCACATTGCATGGCACCGTGCATGCAGCGCGCCTAGTCACCAAGGAATAAAGCGATTCAGTAGAATGGAGGATAAGCAGGGGTGCTGCAAGAAGCCGCAAAAGTAAGATTCCGGGTGGTTTGAACTGGTGACCTGCTGGACATTGCAAGAAAAAGTATCGGACATATGGAGAACAGGTAGGAGAACTCGTGTTAGGTGATAAACCTGTTGTTTCGGCCCGATGACATTAGTGCAAATAGATCACATTATATTCCGGGCCTTGTAGGGGGGCTTATGGCCACGCCAGATAGGATATGACACTGGTGAGGAATGGAAGCGATTTGGGTTTGCAGAAGCGCACCCTTCCTGGTCCGGTCTGGCCTTCCTCCCCTCATCTACTTGCTATTACCTTGTAAGCTTCCCCCGCACACGTCTTTCCTCACTCCCCCCTCCATTCCCCCATGACCCGAGAATTGTTACACGGTATGTTTGCCCTTTTTGCCCCGGCCCCCATGCCGGGGTAGCGATTGTTGACTGCCCATGGGCTTTCCATTTGTCGTTTCGATGCTGTTGTGTGAACATAAAAGAAACTCAGAACTTGAGATCCTGTACATTTAGACTGCGGTTGCATGCATAACGGTAAAAGCGGGTTTGCGCATAGTGCATCGCATTACTACTTCGTTCCCCCTAGGGCCGTATCTGTCTCTGTCCAACACAGCTGAAACACCCCCTGGTGATTCATTAATACAGAGGCGGTCAGGGAAAGGCCTTATTTTCAATACTGTAGCTGCTGCAGAGGTGCTTCTGTCGCTAAGCTGAACATGTCCATGTTTAATTCGCTGCATGTGAAGCCAAATATACTTATTATAACCTACAGGTTTTGCAAGCTAGGCTAAGCAAAAGGGGAGCGAAGACCATACACCGTACGACAAAGAACGGGCGACTAAAGCAGGAAAATTAACGGGCAATGGCAAGTGCTCATATCTCAGCCGCGAACATGACAGACTGAATTCCGGTTATAGTCGACATAGAAGCTTACGTTCTTATGGTGTTGACATGATGCACTTTGGCGTGCACGGCTGTAATGCGTTAGGGCTGACACAAACATCTAGCCTGAACAGAAGTATTTTGTCTCAAAAAGGTGTTACATTGGAAAAAACGGTGCCTCGTACATTGAATGAGCATCTCGTTATGCCGTACCACGATGACCAGGGGGCACCGCATGATCAACTCAGGCCATTTCCATAAATACCAGTCTGCAAAAGTCTGCAAGGTTAAGTAATGTTTACGCTCTACTAGGTTCCGAATAACCTCGACACCCATCCGTCGACATGGCTAACTTACCATTGGGCCATGGCCCTTGCGGGCGACCGCGCGGCAGGGCCGTGGCGCTCCTTCTGATCCTGGCATTTTCCTATGCAGCGGTGGCTACTGCAGGGCCCTTGCTAGCGGTAAGCGATCGAAGCGCGAGCCAAAGATGTGCATGGCGAAGCTGCGCGAACATGGTCGGACCTCCAAAGCTGTTCGCGTTTACTTCCGTAGCAGGATAGGCTCACAACCGTTTGTTTAACTTCACATGTCGGTGTTTTCCTCGGTTGTAGGGCGCGGTCGCTCACGATCCGGAAACGATGTCCGGATGCAAGTCGAGACCGCACGTGCGAAGGCTTCTGGGCAACAACAGAAGAGGTAAACTGTCATTGTTGAAGCATATTCCGCTTACTTGCGCCAAGTAAGCACATGTCGTGAAGGTTTGCTCGGAAGTCTTTCGACCGACTTTCCAAATTCGATGCATAGCCGTCTGTGCCATGGCAAACCAACGTGATTATTAGGAAATGTGTGATCATGTACGGAGGCAACTTGATAGATCGTAGATAATCGCAGGATTATGATGTAAGTAGGGTTTTCAACTGCCGTTTCAAGTCGTTCTGAACCTCCCGCTTCCTAAGTTGGTTGATCCCCGCCCGCCACCCTGCCTTTACCTCTTTCTCGAATGCAGTTCTGGCTACCTCACCGCCACCACCACCTCCACCACCGCCGCCTAACTCATTCCTGAACCCGCCTCCACCTCCTCCGCCTCCTCCTAGCTCATCCCTAACTTTCAGCCCTCCTCCACCCCCTCCACCACCTCCCGAGATACTTCCATTCGGACCTCCTCCACCCGACCTACCTCCACCCAGCCCTCCTCCGCCCCCTCCCCCTCCGCCTGGCACATACCCTCTCACCCCTCCTAGCCCTCCGCCGCCTCCTCCACCACCCCCTGCCACATACCCGCTTGCCCCACCCAGCCCTCCCCCACCTCCACCGCTTCCACCTGCCATCTATCCACCCAGCCCTCCTCCACCGCCCCCTCCACCCCCTAGCACATACCTGTCCAGCCCGCCACCGCCCCCACCACCTCCGCCCCCACCCAGCACATATCCACCGAGCCCACCTCCACCCCCACCTCCACCCCCACCCAGCCTACCGACACCCGCTGCCGCTCCGCCCCCTCCACCCGGCTCACCCCTGCCGACCACTCCGTCGTCTAGCCCTCCCCCACCCAGCCCGTCTCCACCTCCCCCACCCAGTCCCCCTCCTCCCAGCCCTCCCCCGCCTCCCCCACCTAGCCCGCCCCCACCTAGGCCCCCACCGCCTCCCCCGCCTAGCCCACCCCCGCCTAGGCCCCCTCCACCTCCTCCACCTCCTCCACCCAGCCCACCCCCGCCCAGCCCTCCCCCGCCTCCCCCGCCTAGCCCACCCCCGCCTAGGCCTCCTCCACCTCCTCCACCCAGCCCACCCCCGCCCAGCCCTCCCCCGCCTCCCCCGCCTAGCCCACCCCCGCCTAGGCCTCCTCCACCTCCTCCACCTCCTCCACCCAGCCCACCCCCGCCCAGCCCTCCCCCGCCTCCCCCGCCTAGCCCACCCCCGCCTAGGCCCCCTCCACCTCCTCCACCTCCTCCACCTCCTCCACCCAGCCCACCCCCGCCCAGCCCTCCCCCGCCTCCCCCGCCTAGCCCACCCCCGCCTAGGCCCCCTCCACCTCCTCCACCTCCTCCACCCAGCCCACCCCCGCCCAGCCCTCCCCCGCCTCCCCCGCCTAGCCCACCCCCGCCTAGGCCTCCTCCACCTCCTCCACCTCCTCCACCCAGCCCACCCCCGCCCAGCCCTCCCCCGCCTCCCCCGCCTAGCCCTCCCCCGCCTAGGCCCCCTCCACCTCCACCACCGCCCCCGCCCAGCCCTCCCCCCCCCCAGGCCCCCTCCACCTCCTCCACCCAGCCCTCCTCCTCCCAGGCCCCCTCCACCGCCCCCGCCCAGCCCTCCCCCCCCCAGGCCCCCTCCACCTCCTCCACCCAGCCCTCCTCCTCCCAGGCCCCCTCCACCTCCTCCACCCAGCCCTCCTCCTCCCAGGCCCCCTCCACCTCCTCCACCTCCTCCGCCCAGGCCCCCTCCTCCCAGGCCGCCTTCTCCTCCCCCGCCCAGGCCACCACCTCCCATACCTCCTCCGCCACCCCCGCCCCCTCCCCCTCCTAGATAGGCCACCTGCAAGACTTTCCATTCAACACAACCGGGTGGGTATCCTGTTTTGGCTCCTAGGCACTCGTCTGAGTCTGAGCCTAAGCTAGCCGACACGTTAGCCTGACCAACTTCCCATTCTTGACGTGCAGAGAATTGAATGCAAGGCAACAGCGGACTTCATGTAAACCACCATACAATTTGCAGCGTTGGGACGTCTTGCAGTCCAGGCAACCCACCGAACTGCAAGCAAGAGACCCAAACCAGTACTATTATCACCTGCGTACGTACGTGCGAGCGTGCGTGCATGCGTGCATGCACCAGCGTGCATGCATGGATGGGGTCAATCCATGTAGCGGTGCAATACCCCTCGAGCCATATGCTCCTGCCTTAGCTTTGTGTGTAGCAGTCTTACGACATTTGATATTTCGGTTATGGCGCCAGCAGCTGGAATGGTGCGGTGGACCATTGCAGTATTCCGTCAACGGGTGACATGTGGGAGGCCTGGTCAAGAGGCATGAGGGACAAAATCGCGTTCACGGCTCGCGGCTGGGGAGCGCTGGGAAATGTACACTGTGACGTTAGGGCATGTGGCTATACGCTCCGAAAACAGCAGGGTGTTTTGGCAGTGCTTGCCTGCCTCGTTGAAGTGCTGGCAGTGTATTATATGGGGCCCTGTAATGCCCGCAGAGTGGAGCTCCAAAGCTTCTCATGAGTGTTGGCTGATGTTTGGTTGCATAATATTTGATGCATGTGCATTGGGCAAACAAGCCCGTTACGTGGCGGACATTTCTGGGTATGACGTGTACATATCGGAGCGTGCGATGTGGGGGCCGTAAGCCTACGCTACATCCGCCTGCTGAGAAAGAATCCAGGGAGCAGCAGCTCTTATACGCTCTTTATACGTGTTCGCTCTTGTAACAGCGAGTGCATGCACTTGGCTCAACTTAGAGCATGGTGCCGGCGGTACAGATGCCACGCGTTGTCGTACAGCACATTTAAGGTTAAGGCGCATGAGCAAAGAGGGTTTCCTCAACAAATGTCAGTCACGCTAGTGGGAAACACTGCACTAAATCGAGCGGAGTTACAGTTCGAAGCATGCTCGGACTCCCGGTAGTAGTCTGGGCTCCCGGGCCCTTTATTACATCATGCACTTAGATGACCATTTTAACAGGTAAGGCGTCCTGTCGTAAATTCACCTGAGTCGTGGGCCGTAATTGCGTAACTACTATAGAGTTGTTTCCCGCGATTCGCTCGAGTTGCCCTTGCCGCATCTTCCCTCCATAGCTCGTGCCCCAAGTAGTGTACCCCATGATGATTTTAGGAAGGGAAAGCCCCGGACCCACCCCTGCTGCTATACGGCAAAGCACGTCGTACAACCTGTAAACTTCCCAAACCGCCCCGGGAAAACGACTGCCAGTCCACTTTGCGTAAGCTCTACTGCGTGCAATAAAAAACCCGGAATACCGGGGGTAGCCGCGCATGCAGGTCGATAGCCCCCAGGGCTGTGCTAGGATCCAGGCAAGGTAACCATGCACTTTGGACCCAGCTTGGAGAACCCAAACTGGTGGGCTTGTACTAGGCGCCATGGCTCTTCCGCTCGCCCCCTTCACATCCACTGCCACCGCCAACTCCGTCTTCACCAGCCGACACGGCGGCGCCCCCACGCCCCGGGCCCAGCATCTGACAAAGTAACGCAGGACGCCTGGTCCGGCCGGCCGCGTGAATGCAACAATCCCTCCTTCGTATCCCGGTTGATTGCGCGTTAGAAAGCCCTAACGAACCCTAACCGCTAACGAACCGACGGCAAATCCACCTAGACGGCATCCAGACCTGACACCGGTACCTGTTGTAGGTAACCCTCCAGGCTGCACACTGCATGGCGCCGTGCATGCAGCGCGCCTAGTCACCAAGGAAGAAAGCGATTCAGTAGAATGGAGTAGAGGCAAGGTGGTGCAAGAAGCCGCAAAAGTAAGATTCCGGGTGGCTTGAACTGGTGACCTGCTGGACATTGCAAGAAAAACAATCGGACATATGGAGAACAGGTAGGAGAACTCGTGTAAGGTGATAAACCTGTTGTTTCGGCCCGATGACCTCATTGTAAATACATATTGATAAACCCAGTCCTTATAGGGGGGCTTATGGCCACGAGGATAGGATGTGACTCCTATGAGGAATGGGAGGAGCAGTTCATGGGATTTGGGTTTGCAGATGCGCACCCTTCCTGGTCCGGATCTGCCTTTCCTCCCCTAAACTCGTTGCTTTTACCTTGGAAGCCTCCCCTGCACTTGTCTTTCCTCACTCCTCCCTCCATTACCCCATGACCCGAGCATTGTTACAAGGTATGTTTGCCCCTTTTGCCCCGCCCCCCTGCTGGGTTTTGCAGGCATGCCCTCCCTCATGCGTAGCCCGGCTGCCCCTGCTTAGGCCAGGGTTTCGCTTTAACGCTGCTGATGTAGATCTTCCTAGCCCAATGGGCTTCCCATGGCTGGATAGGGCGCACCAGGAAGCAATGGCCGGTGTGCAACAATGGCGTCAGCAGAAGCGACTGTTGACTGCCCATGGGCTTTCCATTTGTTGTTTGGGTGCTGGTGTGTGGAAACTGGAAATAGAAGAAACTCAGAACTGAGATCCTGTACATTTAGACGGCGGTTGCATGCATAACGGTAAAGCGGGTTTGCGCATAGTGCATCGCATTACTACTTCGTTCCCCCTAGGGCCGTATCTGTCTCTGTCCAACACAGCTGACTGCTAAGCTAAGGCTGTTACGGACATGTCTGAAATGGCGAGAGTGAAACACCCCCTGGTGTAAGTTGTTATTCATTAATACAGAGGCGGTCAGGGAAAGTAAGGCATTATTTTCAATAGCTGCCGCAGAGGTGCTTCTACCGCCAAGCTGAGCGTGTCCATGTGAAGCCAGACATAATGATTATAACCTTACAGGTTTTGCAAACTAGGCTAAGCAAAAGGGGAGCGAAGACCATACACCTTACGACAAAGAACAGGTGACTAAAGCAGGAAACAAAACAGGAAATTAACGGACAATGCCAAGTGCCCATATCTCAGCCGAGAACATGACAGACTGAATTCCGGTTATAGTTGACATAGTAGCTCACGTCCTTACGGTGTTCACATATACATATTCTGGCGTGCAAGGCTGTAATGCGTTGGGGCTGACACGAACATCATTTATATAACTTTGCTAGTCTGAACTATGGTTATAATTCTGGAAAAGGTGGCGAGGTGTTACATTGGAGAAATGTGCATCTCGTTATGCCATACGACAATGACCGGAGGCACCGCAATAATCGTCTCAGGCCAATTTCATAAATACCCCCAGTCTTCCATAGGTAAGTAACTATTCACACACTACTGCTATCATTGTTACCTCGACACCCCCCTTTCGTCGAGATGGCTAACTTACCACTGGGCAAGAAAGTGTGTGTTAAAAAATGTACAGGTGTCTACAGGTTTGTATTTTGCCGTTCCCTCACTACCCAACCAATGTACGTGTAGGCAGCCTTGTCCCATTCATTTCTATAGAGGACCCTCATTCGTTCGCACTCGAACCGTTATCCTGTTGCTATAAGCGAGTAGGAACCCTGCAAGTCTCATCGTCTCAAACTCACTGTAGCGCAAGTACCATACAAACGCCGCGGCCCCCAGCAAACAAAAAAGGATGAGAAGCCGCGCCAGCCGTACGGAGACCACGTAGCCCCTCGTTATGTACGGCAACTACGGTTCCGCCATGCCGTACAGATGTGCGGTATCAATGTACGGCACCTGTTATTGCTTTCTTCCAAACAGGAATTGCGCCACGAACCAGGCAAAGACGATCATCAGGAAGAAGGGCAGCAGGCTGAATGGTTGCCTGCGCCGGGCGGGGTTGGGAAGAAGGGAGCGGGTGGAAGGGAAGCAAGTAGTTTAGTAGGCGTTGTGAACCCGGTCATATAAAACGGGATGTGGGAATGCGCCGAAATGGGATGCGGGGGCATCCCAGCGGCAATGTCGGTAATATAAAGCGTCAATTCAACCGAGGCGTGGGACAACCTGAGCACGTGAGGCCAGCCACAGGGCTGTGTACAAGAACGACAAGACTGGGAAGGAAAGCCTTGCACGTGTGAAGTGAAGAAGGAGGGTTGGGGCAGGTTGGGGCATACTTAGGGCGGGGCATGCCGCACACATAGGTCACGGGATGTACGGCTAATATCGTGAGGTACGGCGCAGGGAGACCTAGTAGCAGGAGCAAACCACCGGGGCAAGAAATTTTGAACATCCCTGGCATACGTCATTCTGGGGTTCACTGAAGGCTAGATGCATGCCAAGCGAAGGGTATGGCGCAGCGTTCAATCCATTAGCAGAAGCAAGGAGCCTGGGCAGGTCATGTGTCTTGCCTACGGCCTACAGTTAACATCGACTACTGCATAACAATAAGACTGTACGGCACGGTTACGGCGTTTTATTTCGCTTTGCGCGCGGAACTAGGCCCCCTCATAACCTAGCGTAGAAGGAGCGCGTGCGACGACTAGCCCCACACATGTACGATTCCCGTGTCTCTATCCCCATCTGCAGACCGATAACTAACCAGCAATGCTACTGTAGGACGCAGCAGCAGTACCTTTCCTCCTCGCCCATCCATGGGAATCGTGACGCCTCCGGGTCCCGAATCACAGCCGCCCTGGCGTTGGTGTTGAGGACGTGGCCCTCAGGAGAGAGGATGACAAGCGTCGGGATGCCCATGACGCTGAAGCGCCGGCCAAGGGATGTACGATGGCCGGTTTCGCTAAATGGAATCGCCATCCATGGCATCTCGCCGTAGTATGCCTGCGGATCAAAGATGGTAGGTATAAATCTGGTGGGGACAACTCGTGCGCAACGCGGCGGCAAACCAACCACCCACATCGAAATCCTCTTGGGACCGGTCGCTTGAAATGAAAACTATCTCGAATGGTTTTCCAAGCGCGGTGAGCATTAAGTACGTCTTGCGGAGTAGCGGTGTAAACGCTCGGCAAGGTGGGCACCTGAACGAGACATGGAACATCTTCAGTTGAAAGGAACAAACATAAGGCAGGATAACCACCACATAAAGTCTTGCTGTTTTACCGCAGCACCGCTCACCAATGAGCGCTGAAGTAGACTCCAACATATTTGCCGTCCAGCTCCGTCACAGGCAACTCCGTTAGTTTCCCGTCGCGCTTAGCAAGCAGCTTGCGTCCAAAGAGATCCATAAAGTCCACCCTGGGAGCGGGCTCGTCGGCCATCGTAATCAGAACGACGGTAGCAGTTAAAATGTATTGGGATGCCTCGGTCCGTGATCTCAAGAGATAAAAACAATTAGCAACCCGGGTTGCAATTCAGTGTCTGGAATTCCTGTTGAAGCCAGTTGCCGCGACTTCCACAGTAAGGCCAGCTGACTACCGCTGCCAGAATTGACTAGTGGGCTACCCTTCTAGCTGTAAGGTATCCTTGTCCAGATCTATAACAACAGGATAACCGGAACAGGTCATCTTTTCAAGGAAATTACGGTTAGGCGGCATTGCCTGCATTCCCTGTACGGCACTGCACACAGGGTTGTGCCCCACACAGACGTGTATCCTTACCCGACCTTACGGGTAGCGGTCCATCAGCGGGTCCCTGAATGCTCAAGTTGGGTCTGTGACAGCCTGTGGTTTAACTTCTCCCCTCCATGCCTAATGCGTAATGCCGTACTGGCCAGTATAATAACCAACGCCGTGTCCCCCTCTCCCCTCAACCGCCGGATTGACCCGCTGTCCTCCTAACCCGTTGCCTCCCATCCGCTGCCCCGCTTAAACATCTCTGCTTTCCTTCTTAGCCTTCTTTCCCTTCTTCTTCTTAGCCTTCCCATGCGCCATAACCTCCGCCACCGCCTCCTCCTGCACCCCCTCATGCTCCCCATCCCCCCGCTGCTGCCCCTCCTCCTGCTGCCCGCTCCGCTCCTTCCTCTGGAACACGACGACAAAGAAGCCGTCCGTACCATCCTGGTAGGCATCTGGAATCGATTGGGCGGCCGGACGGGGCAGGCACACGGGGCAGGCAGATGGTTAGCACGTATGCATAACGATCATGCAAGCCCTAGGATGCGAGGAGCGCAGCGAGGTGTTGCGCATCCGTGATTGTCGTGTGTCGTAGCTCGGGTTGGCAGCTGCTGTCAAGCCGCCTCTAACATCACGACGCAAAGGCGGCGAACAGGTAAGAACAGGGCCAGGCCCTCCTTCCGCACCCCGCCCGTCCCCATTGACCTGACGTGCTACTGTGCCCGCCCCTGCGTGCCTGCCTTCCTAGAAAGCGGTGGGCCTCCGGTGCCGTACTTTCCGTACTGTTCGTAGGAATCCAACTCTTGTTTTCTCTTTACCCCTCCTTAACCCACCCTCACCTGTTCGCACCAGCTTCTCCGCCCCCGGGAACAGCGGCAGGCCCCTGCGGTGCCAGCCGGGGAAGGGGTCCTGTAGGGGAGGGGGGTTAGTCGGTGGGGAGGAAGGGCCGGGAAGTTAGGGTAGGGGAGACATGAGACATCGTGGAAGGAGGTGGGGACATGGGGCTAGTGCAAGCCTCTTTACATACGCATCTACCGGCACAGCTCCTCCCCCTACATCCCTCCGCCCTCATAACCCGCACCCACCCTCCCTCCCTAGCTGCTTGGAGCTTGCCATGCAGGGCTTGGCTGTTCGTCTTCCCCCTCCCCCCCTCCCTGCTCCTCCCTCCCCCCTTCGACCCCCCCCCTCACCACCAGCTCCATCCCCGCCTGCTCCGCCTGCTCCAGCGCCCCCGCCACCACCCCCTCGTTCTCCTCCACATGCACGCTGCAGGTGCTGTACACCAGCCGCTGCAGCCGCGGGAAGCGCAGCGCATGCGACAGCGCGGCTGCCTGGAAGCGAGCAAGCTGCGCCACCCGAGCGGCCTCAGCGGGGTCGCGCAGGTGCAGGCGGCTGGCGGCTGCTAGCGCCTGCGCAACGCTGGAGGGTTCGGGTGGGACGGTGCTGCTGGGTGCTGCTGGTCCTGTGGCGGCGGCACCTTGCTGTTGCTGCAGCTCCCGATGTTGCAGGTAGGAGGGCAGCAGGTGGTCCATGCGCGTGAAGGTGGTTCCGGAGCCGGAGCAGGAGGGGTCCAACAGTACCCCGCGGACCTGGGGGAGCGGGAGGGGGGTTGCGGGGGGGGGGGGGGGTGGACGGAGGGTCGCAGCAGGGAAGGTTGTGTGGAGGTCGATGCAGGCAGGGGGGAGCGGTACCGCAGCACGGAGGCGACCTGCATCACACACGAGCAAGTTGGGTGGGCGGCTGCGGGTGGGGATGAGGGGGTGGGTTTGGTGTGAGGAGCAAAGTGCGGGCAAAGTGACACACCCATAGCTGCATCACACCATGCGGCGGCCTTGCTTTGCCCCCATGTGTGTGTGTTGCCCACGACTTCACACCCCACCTCTGCAAACTCCGGCGCAGTGGGGTCGGTGGCCAGGAAGTCCCCCAGCCTTGCCTCGATGCAACCGGCAGCGCCCGTGAGCGCCGCGTTGGCCTGCAGGCGGGACAGCCGGCGCGGGTCCTTGTCGAATGCGATGACACGACCTGCGGGGGTGGTGGGGTTGCGGGTGTGGCGGGGCGAGTGGGGTTAGAAGGTGAGACATGCTCGCACTACCCCGGTAGCGGCGCCGGTTCATCGGGCCCCAGGCTGGGCTAAAACCCAGCCCCAACATGACGTCCGCTGGCAGATGCCCTCCGCCAAACTGCGGGGAACTCAACCTTGACGAGATACAGGTACGTCAGACTGAAACCAGTCCGACAGCGCACAAAAACCAGAGAGACAACCCCCAGTCCCCAATCCGCACCCACCCGCCACCCACCCACCCTTGTTTCCCATGAGTGCCGCCAGGTGGGTCGTCTTGTTCCCGGGGGCCGCACAGCAGTCCACCACCGTCCAGCCGGGCTGCGGAGCCAGCGCATGAGCGGGCATGCAGGAGGCCTTGCTCTGCAGCACCACCGACCCGCGGGTCACCAGCGGGTGGTCGTGCAGGTCGGTGCCGGGCGGCAGGGCCAGCAGGTCCGGCAGCAGGGGGTCACGCTGGGCGCCGCGACATGGCGCTGATGACGTGCATGGGGAGGGTAGGGAGGTTGTTGTCGAAGGCTGCTGCTTGTCTGACTTGAGCGATTGCTGCCTGTGTTTGGGTGACGGTTGGAGGTTTAGGAGGTGCTCGTCCAGTTGCCGTACGATGTCATCCATGTTGGCTTTGAGGGTGTTGACGCGGACCCAGCGGGGGTGCGGCACGTCCGGACCGCCGCCCCCGCACGCTCCCCCTCCCTCGCCGTCACCGCTGCTGGCCCCCGGCTGCTGCCCTTGCTGCTTTGCTAGCCACTCCTCCATCGACTGTCCTCGTACGTTTGCACATGCAACCGTACATGCAGGGGCAGGGGACAGGGGAAACGAGGTGAAGGTTAACCGGTAGGGCCGGTGTGGTAAAGCCCACTTGAAAGCGCCGCTTGCGTCCGTTCCCGGTCCCGTGCGGGCCACATGCGCAGCACCCACGTGGTAACCATGACTGCATGTGCATGCCGGGTAGCCACGCATGCCGGGTAGCCACGCATGCCGGGTAGCCACGCATGCCGGGTAGCCACGCATGCCGGGTAGCCACGCATGCCGGGTAGCCACGCATGCCGGGTAGCCACGCATGCCGGGTAGCCACGCATGCCGGGTAGCCATGCATGGGCGCCCCTGGGCATGCCGGGATGCATGGCTGGATACCCAGGCGCGCAGTTGGGGTTGCGTGCCACTGGGTATCCACGGTTAGTTTCTTCTTCTGAACCCTCCCCGCCACACACACGTTCCTACTCGCCGCCAGCTTCCTACACACACACACCTGCACTCCCGCCTCCCGCAGCAGCCCCTCCAGAGCCCCCCGCAACTCCGGCTGTTGGGTGGCGGTGGCGGGGGAGGTAGGGGGTTGCAGGTTACACGCTTAGCACAGCAAGGGCATACAGATGTACGACGCAGGTAGTTGTGATACGGCGTCCGACCGGGATGCGACTAAGAACCGCAGTAGCGTGGCCGAACAGAAAACGTACGGCGACATTATTGATCTGCTGTTATGGCCACCGAAACACTAATCATCACCACACGCGTCACAACTCGTCGTACGTCTCGAGTTGCGCTGCCCCATGATACACCGTGTTCTGTCGTACATACCTCCGCTGCCAGTACGGCCCTCTCCGCCTGCCCCTTGCGCTCCAAACCCTGCAGGGGTTGCGTCAGGAAGGCACACATGGGTTTCGGGCTAGGTACCAGAAGCGCATTGGGCCCCAGCAGCCCCTACGGCATGCTGCACAAGGGCTCCCTAAAGCCCCACATCCGCCCCCCCTCATAAGGCCCCACATCCGCCCCTCCCCTCATAAGGCCCCACCTCGCCCCCCAGCAGCTCGTACACCAGCACCAGCGCCACATACTTGCCCAACTGCGCAACGGTAAGGGGGGAAGGGGGAGGGGACGGCATGGGCCGTAGGTGGGTCGGGTCAGGGGCTAGGTTGGAATCTCGATTGTGGAAGAGGACTGAGGAGCTTGCGCGTCTCCGGGGAAGCTGGCCATCCGCTAATGGCCTTACTGGGAGGAATCTGTACTGCACTGTGCTTTGGGAACCCCTGCAGTGCCCTTGTGTGTCCTGGAGTGCAAGCCGCTTTGGCTAAGTGCGTACCTTCGGACGGCTGGACGACAGTTGGGTTAGTTGGTCCAACTGCTCCAACAGGCGCGAAACTGTTGAGAGGTTGGGAGGGCGCGGAGGGCAAAGGTGAGGGCAGGCGAGGGCAGGAGAGCGCAAAGGTGAGGGCAAAGAATGACGCTGTCAGCAGGGTCTGCAACGGCATATCTCGCTATGAGGACTGGAAACACCTCTACACATGAATCCATTGCGACTCGATGAGGTTCAGTACGTATTTAAACTTCATCGAACAGCACCCTCCCAGCACGGCGATAGCCCCTGCAGTCCCCTGCTGCAGTCTGAGCAGCACACATCCTAGACAGCCCCCTGGCTTGCTACTCACATTTCAGGACCTGGCATGTCACGGCATATGTCGCCTTCTTGGCAACGACGTGAGGAGCCAGCGTTAGGGACTTCAGGCTTGCCCCGTGCTTGCGCTGGCTATCTGCCTCCAGCAAGCGCTGAACCGCAAAGGCTGCCTGCTGATGGACAACGCTGATAGGTTGCCATTGATGACCGATGGCTCCTTGTGGGTGCCGATTTCCATTTCCACCTTGAGCTTTGTGTCGCTTAGCTTTGCGGTTTGCGGCATCTATAGGTTCAACCTCCCGCGAACGCTTGGCTGCATTATGGCCCCGGCCGCCGGGAACTGACTCCGACTTGCCATGCTGAGCGGATTCCCTCCTCTGGTCGTTCACCGAAGCCGTTTTCTTATTTGCAATTGCCTTTTTATTCGATTGTTGGTACTCGACGGCTTTGGGCTTTGGTACTATGGGCACACGTCGCTTCAGCTTTGTCATTTTGGCCTCAGCAATGCAATGGAAAAGAACTCTCCCAGCCCCTACGAACCCTTGGCCTAGAAGATTTTGTGTGGATAGTCACCCGAACATACGGCAAAACCTGATATCACGTACGAACTGATAACGGTAAGCATAGCGCAGAGGGTCCCTTAGTTTAGATCAAGCACTGATTCGCCTGGAAAGTGTACTAGTAAGGCCTGCCTTCGGCGGGAGCTACCCGTAGCTCGCGGGAGGGAGCTGGATGGACTAAGTGTAGGAATGGGAGGTGATGTCGAGAAGAAAGATTCGGTTTCACGCATGTACAGGGTGAGGATGCAGAAGGATGCTTGAGTTACAGGAGGAAGGCCAGCGATTGTCGCCAAGGCTGCTAGCAATTTAATGGGTAGGATGCACGAACGGCTTGAGGACGCCGCGGAAGCATGCAGTATATCAAGACATACAGGTGGCGGAGTGCGAAACCCCGCCCTACCCACCCGAATACTGGTGCTCATATGTACATGCGTATGTGCCCATGCCGTTCCGTGCCCTGTCGAATTACTGGTAGTAGCATCCGTGCGTTAGTATACAGTACTGACCCTGCCTACTACCACTGCACCAATACACATCTTCCCGTCGTCACCAGTCACCCACAAAGCAACCATCCGTCCGGGCATCTTTTCGCAGTGGCTATAGTCAGCACAGTAACGCAGCTCAGTTGCTTATTATGGAAACACCCGCGCGTGCACCCTGCCACCCTGCTAGACCACCTATGCCCATGCAAACTTGCAGTCCCGCCGTGCCCAAGTACGGGCGCTGTTGCACCCGTCCTGCCCCGTCCAAGTCATGGCACCGTTTCTGCCTTGGTCAACTACCGGCGCTTGTATGCTTCCACTAATCCTGCGCGCCCATGCAGTCCCCGCGCTGGCCCATTAGCAGGTATGCATGCGAGCAGGCATGTCCTCCGGATCTTCCGCGGATGCCCCAAGCCCCATGCGCCCGGTGCTTATGCTGAAGTTAGTGGCGTTAGGGCGCTCAAGCACCACCGCCCTCCCCAAGCACTTGCACCCAGGCACCAACGCTGTTGCATGGGTGCATGCCGACCCGGCAGTACCCACCAGGCCCATAAACCGGCACAGATACATGCATGCATACCCGCCATGCCCAACTACTGGCGACCATGCGGGTGCGCACATCCACCGTGCCCATATCCGATCCCGCCCAATCAATGTATGCATGCATCAATGCATGCATCCCCGCCCTGCTCAAGTGCCGACACCCATGCGTGCACGATACATCCCCATCCTACACAGCCAGGCGAGGGGAACTTAAGGAACAGGAGGAGGCACGGACCGTGCGGGGAAGGGCGTGGGAAGAATACTTGTTGCCTTGGAAAGCAACTAACGGATCTACGTACTCACTAAAGGTGAAGACCCGTTCATTGCTTCACCCGCCCGCATGCACGTGCATCTCCACCCTTTCAAGCTGTCTGTGCTCAAGCGTGCAGCAGACGTCCTCTCTTATTACGTCACACCCCAAGATGGTCACCTTTTTTGCGTCGTGCTACGGTGTAAGTATAATTGTGGTGGTCTTAGGACCTTTTTGTACGCTTAAAATGTAAGAAATTGCTTTATTCCCAAGATAAAGGCGCTTGAATACTACATCAAAAACTTCACCGTAACCGACAATGTATGCCATGTTAATCGTGATATTTAATTTTAAGGCCCAGTTAACAAGGAATAGGCCAATGGAAGCTGTCAAGCGCTGGTCAAACCTTGGTCAAACTTTGGTCAAGGTGGTCAAACGTTAGCAGGCATTGGTCAAGTCGCCAGTGCGTTAGGCCGTTATGATGCAATACTCTAGGAATGCCAACAGCTGTATATAGGCTCCTCCAGGCTTCCTAATTCCCTCCTTGACTCACTGGCTTCACTGCTAGGCAAGAGTATGCGTGACACGCTCATGCGCTGAGCCACGCATCATTACCACACCTGTGTAACGGCTCCCCGTGCATGCAGCCGACGCCTTGTAAAACAAACGCCGCCCATGCATGCAGGCATCCCTTCCTGCTAGTTACTGGCGCCCACCTGCATACGCATCCCCGCCCCTCCTTGCTATCGGTGCTCACGCTTGCAGGCCTCCATTCGTCCTGCCAGGAATCGGCACCCGTGCGTGCAAGCATCAAAAACCTGCGCCCAGGCATCTCAGTCGCACCCGCCCGCGGATCAACGCCGATGCGTAAATGCATATGGTAACAAGCCGGCCCATAAACTGACATTATTAACAGATGCATGCATACATCCGGCATGCCTAACTACCGGCGGCCATGCGGGTGCACAACCCCACCGTGCCCATCTACTGTGCCCAATTACCGCTGTGTTGTACGCATGCAGCCCTGCCTGCCCAAGTACCGACACCAATGCCTGCGTGCATACCGTAATCCCCCGTTCATCCTACTCAAGAACCTGCGGCTATGCAACCAGCGGCGGCCCTACCCTGCTCCACAGCTGCCACATGCATGTGTGTGCAGAAGTGAACGCATTCGGAGGCAGGAACTTCACGGAAAGGGCAAGCGGCCCGCAAGGGCGCTGCACCGAGAAGGGCACAAGGAGGCAGGGCCGTGCGGGCAACGACAGCCGAGGGCATTTGAGGCAGGCACTGCACACGGAAGGGCACCGAGGCTTCAGCAAGAGGCTCGCAAGAGCCGCACACCTGTTAAGTACTGCGTAACCCATATGCGCAACCCGTAAGTGCACTCTTCATCATGCGGCGAAGACCCTCTGCTAGACCGGCACTGCATTGAAGGAAGGCACGCCGCCCCATCCTACGTACGGAGGCAACGCGCTGCAGGCAGGTAGCCTGTTCCCTGCTAGGCATGCAGTACGCCGCGGGAGAGGACGTTGCAAGCCCTCAGCCAATGCGCTGCGAGGTGGCGAGCTGGCCCTTGGTAATGTGCTGCTGGAGGCACGCAGACTGCTGCAAAGGAGGCAACACACCGCGGGCAGGCAAGCTGGCCCTTGCTCGGCATGCCGATGCGTCGCTGACAGAGAATGCCGGCTGTTGCTACCCCGGGTCGTCGCACGGCGCTCCCATCCGTACGCTCCCATCCGTACGCTCCCATCCGTATGACTGGGGTTCCATCGGTTAGCTCGCAGTTTATTCGGCTACCGTCTGTGTAGGTAATATGATTCGGGTCATACCTTCGGGTGATTACGGCAGAGAACTTGTCATTTAGGGTACCTAGCCTCAGCTCCATGCTAACTGTTATAGAATTATCAACAGAGTGCCTGCAGAAGTAGGCAACTAGTTATACGTGAGTCACCAAGCTATCTACCGGCCATTGAACATTTCTGTAAAGTATAATACAGTACTTTGACCAAAGAGGTGCGACAGACGGACGGCGTGTTCAGCGCTTTGCTGCTTTGTATATGTTCGCCTGGTTTGTTGTCTTCGCATTGCAAACAGCGGTTTTCTTTCATGTCTGGCGACATAGGCTTCTAAGCAATGGCAGAAGCAGCATCCAAGCGAGGGAGTACAATTGCGGAAAAAATCGAACAATTCCGCTGTCTGGGTTTGAAGGATTGCCCACAGAGGTAAGGACGTGTATGCAGTGAACGAGGGGGCCGAGGTGCTTATGGCAACAGCGATTCAAGTACCCCATCCTCCCCTTGCTTCCCAGGTCTCCGGGTCATGAAGAGCTCGGGTGGAAAAATTCCTGTGCTACACGACATGATGCTTTACCGCGGGCCTCTAAGGATGCAGCTGCTGGGCGAGTGCGACCAGGCCGTCCCACAGCCCCAGCACCACTTCTACAAACACAGAACCAGCAGGTACAGCTTCACCACGAAGATCCCGACGCACGTGATCAGGGTATCGGCCAAAGGAAACCACCGCACGGTGAGTACACCAATCTTTTGCTTTGTAGGTTGCGGAGTCAACCGTAACATGCACGGACCTACCCCTTCCTTGGACAGCTGACATCCTCTTGTCTAGGAAGCTGACGCACCTTGTCTGAAGCAGTTGTTGTCTTAGATTTATTTGTAATATGAGGAGCTGACGCGCCCTTGGCCAGTTGGGGCTCCATTTTAATATACGGAACCCATTCCATCACTTTCCTTCAACCACGTACCCTCGCGTGTCCGTATTCCAACCTTGCAGCGCGCCCGGCCTCTCGCCCGGCTCAAGTCAGCCCCTCCACAGCTGCCGCTCCCATCACCACGTCCCCCTCCGTCAGCAGCAGCTCGGCAGCCTTGCTGCGCCTTGCACACGAGCACCCCTATCTGTACCATGCAGTGCTGTCACTTGAGCGCGGCCCCGACGTGCGCCTACCGGATGCCGTCGTGGTCAGCCAGGCCCGCGCTCGCTCTACTGCTGATGTCGGCGCTGATACGGTAGCTGCAGTTGCGGAAAGCGTAGGGCTGGTGCAGGAGGAGGAGAATGTTGATCATTTGCTTGCTAGGTACCGGCCCAGAGGTGCCTGTCGTACAGATGAATCGCGTGTCTGCAGTAACACTCCTGCGGAGACCGCTGTTGCCGTACTTGCCACGTCTGTGTCCAGGGCAGCCTCCCCCCGCTCGCAGCAGAATGCAGTTCATATCGCAAAGCCATCATGGCCACAGCCACCGTACTTGGCCGCGGGTTCGTCAGGAGGAGCAGCGTATGCACGACCTGGAGGCGGAGCGACGTCATATAACGGCAGTGATGCAGGTGCGGGTTCGGGGTCGTCGCCGGGGCGACGGTCTGTGGTGGCGCCAGCAGCAGCAGCGGCATCATCGTGGCCGGCGACTGAGGTGGCCTTGGCAGCAGCAGCAGCTGCCGCCAAACTTCCATCCTCAGGAAAGCTGCAGAAGTTCCTCCAGCCTGCCACTGAAGCCAACGCCAGCAAAGCCGTCTGCCCGCGCCTCCCGGCCTCTGCGGCTAGTGTCGGCGGCGCTGCAGGAACGTCATTGAGGCCGGCGTCACAGCCCGGGGTTGTGCACTCCGCCGCGGCCAGCGAAGCCTCTGGCCTGAGGCAATGGGATCGGCCTCATCAGCAGCAACAGCAGCAGTCTTCCGTGGCACCCGTGGCCGATGCTCCCAGTGGGCGACGTTCCAGGCAGGGCTCAGGTGCCCGCAGCGTAACGGATTTGTTATCGGAGCCCAGCCTTTCTTCTTTTTATGTGCTGGAAGCAATAACGTCTGCTGCCGAGGTTGTGTCACCCGCACAATTGCAATCACAAGTGCCTGCAGCAAAGCTAGCAGAGGGCATGGCGCCGCCGCCGCGGGCAGCTGCTGCACCCGCGGAAGCCGCCGGCATAGCACCTCCTGCTGACGGGGTGCCATCTGTTGTTGCAGCAGGCCCCTCAACGTCGAGCCCCTCAATCTCGGCAGCAGCGACACCCGCAGTGCCAAGCGAGATGACTTGTGTAGCAGCGACGCCGTCGGTGGCAGCCGGTGCATCGGAATCCGACAGCATGCAGTCATTCGCTTTTGTTACGCCGGCGGCCGCTACTGTGGGGTCGGTGACGCTGTCAGCAGCGGATTCTACTACTGGGGTTGCCACGGCACGAAGAGTGCAATTCTCTCCCAACCAGCCGCAGGTGTGTTTCTTACACGGGAATAACACCAGCAGATGGACGTGGCTCCCCATGTCGCCGGGCACAGTTTTGGTCAATGAACCCGTTACACAATCCTGTAGTTTGTCGCGTCGATGTTTCCTCGCGGCTCAGTATCTAATCCTGTATTTTACTGCTCAACAGAGGGTGTCGGACGTGCCCGCTCGGGATGCCGTTTAGGCAATATTCGCATCGACCCCGTACCTCGCAGGTTCGCCTTTTTTTCGAGGGCGCCATTCCCCAAGGGCCGTCCGCCAGTTCAACAGGGTATCCAACAGCCCCCGCCGGTGGAACTGCCGCCAGGGCCACAGCCGCCGGCACCGACGCCAGCGGCACCTCCAGCAACAGCCATTCTGCGCCGTCCCCTAGCGCCGTGCAGCCTGCGTTCCTGCTGCCCTCCCAGGGGCAGTGCCCCGACCCCAACGCACAGTGTCCCACGCATGTCTTCGTCCCAGCGGACCCCTGGCTGCCTCCGGCTCTGGTGGCTCTTCCGGGCTTTGAGCCGCTGCCGCCTAGCAGCCTGGTCACCAGGCCGGTTGCTAGGGCTGCGGCTGCGCCATCACAGCGACGTCCCAATAGCAGCAGCCCCAGGTGAGCGTCTTTGACCCAGCATCAATCCTTCGATACATGAAAGGTGTCATTAGTCATTACATACCAATAACATCGGTAAGTTTCCGTGCAAGTGATGTTGGCGGTCCGAAATTGCTTCACCAGTCGGTTTCCCATAACACTATCTCTGCGTCCTCTTACTGTTCCTCTGGTCCCAAGTGCAGTCCTGCAAGGCACTCCCGCGATAACTCGCCTCGACTGCGAGCACCAACGTCGTCTTCTGCCCCTGAGGACCCCGCCATGCGGCAGGAGCCACCGTTGACGCCCCCTGCAGTCGCCGGTACAGCACTGGCCACCGGCCCTGCCTCGCCCGACCCGCAAGCCGTCGCCAGCACACCCGCTCCTGACGCCTGGGCAAGTCAGGCGGCAGCAGCTGCTGCAGCTGGTGCGCTGGCTGGCAGCACTGCTGTGGGGTCTGAGGTTGATGTGGTGTCACATGCTTCTGCTCTGGCTGCCGAGGCGGGTGGCCCCGTAATCGGCTCGGACTCGGAGCTTGAAATGGAGATGCTGGCAGCAGACCAGGCAAGGACATGGGTGTTCCTGTACGCATGTACGGCGTGCATTTGCAGACGGTATTTACAATCCGGGCATCCTCAGATGAAAGCTGGCCGTGACGTCGCAGCCCCACCAGACACACTCTCCCACCAACGCTCCACGCTCCATACCCCAACTCGGCCCCAGGTTGCTCACGAGGGCAGCATCCCTCCCCGCAATCGCCTGACGCGGCTGCTGGAGGAGGTGGCGGCTTTCAAGCGAAGCGAGGGCGAGCGGGTGTTGCGAGAGGGGGAACGGCTCAAGGTGCTGGGGGAACTCAAGGTACCGTAGGCGCGCGTGCGGCTGTGCCATGTGTTCCATTGCACTTGCGTATGTTTACTGTGCATCTCTACGGCCAGCGAGAAATGATTGAGGTCCGTGAGCAACGGTATAGACGTGCATAGCTGGGGAGATGGGAAGGTTTGAGCACGCCCCGATGCTATCTGCCCTCTTGTTAAAGCCAGGGTATGCTCCCTATGCCTTATTTCGGCCTTCGCGGTTACTCACTGGACCCCAGGAAATGACCATGGATCAGCTGGAGGCGCTGCTGGGGCCTGATAGCCAGCTGCTCAAGGTGGGTTTGGGCTCACATTGGTCAAAGGTGGGTGATCTCCGATCAGCAGGACTGTAGGGATGTGTTGTCGCTAGTGACAAGTCTAAGGTGCATAACATCCTTATATGATAGCGTAGCTGATACTGGCCGGCGGAATCTTAGCTATGCATGCTCTTGGCAAGTGCAACACTCATTTCTGACGTGTGCTGCTTTTTTCTGCAGGAGGCCAATCGCTTCAAAAACCAGTACACGGAGGATATGGCGCACGTCAAGGCGGATGCAGGTAGGACCAGAAGTGCAGGAGTGGAGCTTCTGTGAGGGTGGGACTAGGGCTACGAAGGCTGCTTGTGGTGACGACCTGTCCTCAATTCAACACGCGTGTTCCCCTTATCCATCTTTACCGGTACTCTTTCCCGGGTCTTGTCCACCCGTCTCCCCGGATCGCCATCCCCATTGCCTTGCCCCAACCTGTGGTTTCGTATGACCGGTATGGTCTTTGACCCCCCGGACCCCCCTAGTTGGTTTGCTTAGTCATTAAAGTTGGCTTCCTATTCCCCCCTGGAGCAGACGACCACATCCGCATGGTATTGGATGCGCTGCAAGCCGCTAGCGACTCGGCGGCCTCCGTGAAGAATGCGGTGACGCAGTCCGCACTGGATCAGCAGGAGGAGGTGCTGCAGCTCCTAGACAGGCTTACACCACAGCCACATGCGCCACCACCGCAGCAGCATCAGCAGCTAACAGCATTGCAGCAGCAGCCAGCTACCCAGTTGGAAGCGCTGCTCAGGCTGCTGCAGCAGCCACCTCAGCAGACGGTGTCGTATGCAGTACAGCTAGGCCGACAAATCAGCAACCCGCTAGCAGAGCTGTGAGTGCGCTGGCGGTGGGGCTTAAGTTGCAGTTGTGATGTGCCCTATCTTCTTCACAAATCTCTCGATTTCAGTACATGCGGCCCGCGGCCTTGTTCCCTTCACTAAAAACAGCATACAACAACATTCCCTCCGCGACTTGGTGTCCTCCACAGGCTCCTAGGCAATGTTCCTTCCACTTCTGACCTGCTGAACCCCACCTGGTGGACTTGCCTGCTGAGTCCACCATACCTGGACACGCTGGCGGCATGCAAAGCAGCCGCTGGCGCCGCCCACAGCGCTGGTGCTAGCGCTAGCGTGGGAGTGGCCGACCTTGTGGGTCCGGGTCGCCAGGGGCGGGCAGTGGCAGCGCCTGGGCCTGGGGTAGGGGCTGCAAAAGCAGGGGCTCCAGGGGACCTACTGGCGTACCAGGTCGAAGGTGATTGTGGCAGAAGTGAATGGGGGAACGGAAGAGGGTGGTGCATAAGTTCTGGACCAGGGTTAAGCGTGGCACATCCAAACTGAGCAGCGTCTGGTGCTACAAAAACCCGGGTCTGATACACCTGGGACGAATTGAAAGACGGAGTGTGGTTAGGTCGTCGGTACGTCCTTCTGTCCTCCCCGATTTACAATCTGTGCCCTTCCCTAGGGCTTGCCAGCACCGTCCGCACCTCCCTGGACGACCCATTGGCTGCGGGTCTACCTGGGGCGGCCGCGGAGGAGCTGTCTGTGAGCGCCATCACGCAGACGGCTCGTCAGGTGTCCCAGGCGGTGAGCAGGGGGGCTGCTGGGGAGGGTGCGGCAGCTGAAAAAGGCGGCGGCCGCACGACAAGGATTGAGCGGGGCAAATTTGGAGTGGTTTAGTCCTCACACAATTGCAAGAAAACTCTTAACGTATGAAAAGCTGTGGCGTACAACCTGCATGAAGTCATACTGGCAGTGAGGAGTGCCCATCGACCTTTGTTGTTGCGCAACGCAGTTGGACCTGGCGGTGCAGGATTACCTGGACCGGACCAGTCAGCCCATAACTACAACGATGCACTCTGCAGCCTCTGCGCTAGACCCTGCTGGCCCCGCTCTTACAAACAGCCCGCCTGCGCCACCCCCGCTGCCGCAACCGTCGTCGTCAATTCAGCTGCCGGCAGGATGGCTCCATGCATGTCCCAACAAAATTGCGATTGCTGGGCTGCAGCCGCAACCCGCCCAGATAGCCGCCGGTTTCACGCCAGGCTCCGGAGCGGAAGGTGGCCCATGGGCCGCACCTTCCGTGATCGCATTGTCTACTCACAACACTCCTATTGTGAGTTCTGGTGGAGCCGTCGACAGTAACACCGCCGGGCTTATTCAGCCTGAGGTTGCTTTGTGCAGCAACCCTGCTACCATCGCTGCTGTCGCCGCTGATCCCGCGGCAGCCGCGCCACGGCAGCTGATTGCCGTACACGGCGCCCTTCCTTCCAGCGGCGTCAGCAGTGCTGCGCTGCTTGACCTGCCGTCATGCAGTTCAGTGCCGGCAGCGGCTGTCGGTTGTCGCCATGCTGCCGTGCTCGGGTGTGCTCAGCCCAGCGCAGAAGGGGTAGAGGTCGCCGCAGGTGGCACGGCGCCAGGGGAGGGGCTGCCAGGTTGCCGAGCGGTGCAGCAAGCGCCTTCATGCCACCCACCACCGCTGCATACCGAGGGCCGGCAGCCTATCCCTTTCTCCTCAGGCCCGCATAGCCCGCCTGTATCGGCCCCCAACGCATCACCCACGGCCACTGGAATCATGCAAGTACGGCAAATGCATGGCACTTTGGGAGCCTCAGCCCCTGCGGGTGCGCCGTCGATGTATGATTTGCAGCAGGACGCCTGGGGGGGAGCTCCTGGGGCACTGCTTCCACCGCCTGCAACAGCAGCTGTCGTGGCACCCACAGCAGGGCTAGCGCAGTCTGCTCAGCTACCTTCATTCGGACCTGCATCGTACGTCCCAGAAGCATCATTAACTTTCTCTGCACCCCATCCTTGCGGACTTTTACCGCTTGCGTACACAGCGGCAGTTGTGGCAGGACCACGATTGAGGTCCGCTGTGAGGCAGCCGGCGGGATCAATGTGGCAGCAGCCCGGCTCTCAGGAGCCGTTTGGTGGTGATGGCATGCATGGTTGGAGTACATCGGGATATGGTAGGCCCGACCGTTTGCCAACAGAATCATACATGCAGCACAATAGCTGTGTGTCTCACCGACAGGAACAGCAGGTGGACCCAGAACAGGTCAAGAGGCGCTCGCCACCACAGCATTGCAGCGGTTGCAGCTGGTCTGGCGTGTCTACACTTGTTCAGCTGCCTCTGCGGCCAGTTCTTCTTCAACAGCATGTTTCCGCAGCTAGACGCGCTGCATGCCAAGGGCAGCTGCAGCCACACTATTCTTATGGCAGAGTTGGACCTTCTGAGCCGCAGACCCTGCCGCCCCAAGCCGTCGATGACGCGACTACCAGACCACAGTTGCCTGCGACACGCTCAGAGGAATCCGTAAACCCTGGCCTCCCACTCGATTGTGTTCCTGGACTGCCCGGCAGTTCACGGCACCTGAAGGTCCAGCTTCACATGCAGCCACGGGGCCCTTGCTCTGGGGAACAACAGCAACCACTCTCCCTCCTGCACTCGCAGCCCTCACAACAGCAACCATCCTGTGCTGCGGAGCCCCTTATCCAACAATCTTGGTCACAAGAACCGTCCAGTGTTCAGCGGCCGCTGTATAGTAGCGGCCCAGTTTGCCAACAGCCGTGCCCTGCCCTGCCCGTTGGGTTATATACCGTAATACGCTCAGAAGAGGTGCCGCGAGCATATCAGACGACGTGGGAGCAGGTGCGCGCTGTGTATCAGAGCCAGGGATAGGCAGTGGTGCATGTTAAGGGGACTGGGGTGGCTCCTTGTAGTTTCATGTGCATCGCAGAAGGTACTGCCCTAGAAATGTGCAGCATATGAATTATGGACGAATTCATGCGCTATAAGGCATGAAAGCATGAGGAAGAGTGACAGGCAGGCAATATCTTGGCGTTCTATGTTCAACACTCTTTTGTGCAGAGTCGTAAGCCGTACAGCGCATGGGGTGTTCGTTTCGTTGTTTCTGCGAGAAGGAACATTTTTATCTCAATGTTAGGTAGGGCAGTGTTACCGATGGGCCCTTTAGTAGGTCTATAAATCTGCCTCTTTTTTTTGGTCAGCCATCCTACCCGGTTGTCAAAGAAGCTGGCGCTGTTTGCGTCCAGGCTTGTATCATGTATGAGCGGTCGTGCCGTTGACGGTCAGGAGTGATGGAGTATGCATCGGTGATCAGGTATTGCAGGCTTAGGACAGGGGATATACGGTATGAATCAAGGGATGGAGGGAAGGAAAAGCGGCGGATATCAGGAGGGACGCTGCATGCTCCGTGCCAGGCCAGTAATGCGCCGACGGCACACAGCCCGCTGCTATTGCGCTGCGAGGTAGAAGCTGTCACTGCCAGGCCGGGAATGACCTGCAGGAGGTAACGCCGCCTGCTGCTAGCCCGGTAACGCGCCACAGGAAAGAACACCTGCTTCGCTGCGGGAGGGAAACACAAGTCGAGGAGGGGATGGGCGGCCGCAAGGGGAAGGGCATAAACGGGCAAGCGCAGCGTCTCACGGAAAGGGGGAAGGGCAAGGGGGACAGCACTGGGGAGACGCAGGGAAGCGTGTACAGGGAAAGGCATGGGTAGGCCGGCGCCGCATGGGGCGGGGCGAAAGATGAAAACGACAGACGATCCAGCTGAGCCATCGGGTTCACGTGAACGGCCCACTCCGGCCATGCGACAGTTGCCAAGCCCCGCAAAGACGGGGGGGAGGCACGGCCGCACAGGGAAGGGTAGACGCACGGGGAAGGGCATTGGAAGGCAAGCAGATCTGCTCTAGAGGACTAGGAAAGGCATGGAGGGGAGGGTGCCACGAACATGGGCAAGGGAATGGGGAGGCAAGAAATGCACCGGGAAAGGCAGGTGGACGCAGGCGCAGCCCGGGGAAGGGCAGAGGGACGCATCCTTCCAAGAGTTGTTCACCTACCAGCGCCAGCACACGCAGGCATACTCGCGCTGCTGAACCACCGGCGCCCATACGTCCTGCCCAAAGCCCGGCGCGCCTGCTGTTCTCTCCCGGCACTGGCCAACAACGAGCAGCAGGCATGCACTCGGGATCTGCAGCGGATGCCCTAGGCCCCATACAGAACCTGCAACCCGACGCGACATCTGCTGCTGGAGGCATGCGACGTTTGCGAATTACTTTGTTATACGCGCAAGGTTGTCCCACGGGTCCCACGGTTGGCTGGGCTTTCTTCTGTCGAACCTCGCCGGACCACATAGGACGACCGCGAATGTTATGCCGATTCTCAACTCCCCGCTTTAACAAAATTCCGTCAAACATTGAACCGGGGAAACCGAGCGAAACAGCGTGGAGCGTTTACAGCAAAAACGTTAAGAGCCGTTAGTGCTGTTAGTGCTTGACGGTCTTTGCCTATGCTTCCCTTCGCTTCGCTCCCTCGATTCGAGCTACGGGGATTGTCGCTTTCGCCAGCAATCAAGACACGGATGTGTGACGACGCCTGCATACGTCCCACAACCGCTCGACAGGGTAGCCTCCAATGCGCAAAGCCCATGTTCTTGGTTTACACATCGACTACGGGACGGCAGGCAGGACAACGCTCCAATATCACCTCCCAAGCCCCAATGAAGCAAACAATAGGCTCACTACATTGCATGTCGGCAGGGTTTGCCCGGTTTCCCTATGTGCAGGGCACCTACGGATTGTGTTGTTATTTTGCAAAGCAGAGCCCGTGGGTGTTGGGCAATTCTCGTGGTCATACCAGCGCTCGGCCCCATGTGCCATCGTACGTGACGCGTCATACCACGGATACCAGGTCTTAAAGATTGCGAATGGTAACAGAAATTTGAGCAGAATTTTAACAATTACGGCAGCATCTGGGTAACATTTATTTTAGTGGTACTAGACAGTTCCTGCAACTGAGGTGTGTTAGCTTCAGATTGCAGCGACAAGTAAAGGCCTAAGAGGCCTCTGCCGACTACAATAACTGTAGTCCATTGCTAATAGCTAAGCGCTTTCCTAGGGCTTCTCTAAAATTTGTGGCCGCGTTGGGGCCCCAACGTTTACCTAAGCTGCTATGTCGCAATCGGTGAGCGGGTTCACTGAAGTATCCACGCTAGAGATACGACGTTGCTGAGCAGCATATCGGCGAATGCTGAGGCACTGGTTAGGCGCTGGTCTACCGAAGGGCTCTTCCTGCTTGCATAATAATTGTTCATGGTCGAAGAATTATCTTTGCGTTGTAATAGTTTACATGGTTGTGATGAATAGGGAATTGGGGGCAGCAGCTTCGCACTGTTGCGCAGGGATGAGCAGGTGTTCCGGCAGGGCGTGTGCAGCTTCCTCGCGAGCTTCTTTCAATGGCGTAATACTATTTTAATGCTGCCCAGATCAGTTCTAGAGTGCGCAGATTGGGGTTGCATCTGTGGCTCCAGATTTCGTGCCGCGTACGCTCGACATTGGCTCTTGTTGTGCGAAAAGGCATCTAACTGCTTCCTCTCCACATCGTTTGTCACCCACATTCTACTACCAGCATTTCCTCCACCCTTCCCCGCAAGCCGACTCTTGCCCTCTCATTGTTCCTTTGTCCTGCAGACTAGCCGCTTGGCTCGCGCCTCAGATGGCGCCACGCTTCCACCTCCGACCCCGCTACCTCTGAACCTGCAAACACCTCAGCCCACGCAATCACCTCCGGCTCCATCCTCGCTGATCCTTTCTGCGGATTTGGCAGGCCTGGAATCTGCAGCCTCGTCACTTTCGGGCTCCGCAACATCATCATTCACGAATCTAGGTGTGCCCGCGGGCCTCGCAGCAGGATTTAGCCACCAACACCACCCACAGCAGCAGCCGCACCACCCCCCCTGGCGACGGCGGTTGCAAACCGAGGGCTGTGGCAACGGCATCAGCGGTAGTAGCGGCGGCGGCGGTACGAGCAGCAGCAGCAGTATTCTTTCCGGGCTCGGCCTGGGAGCCCCATCCAGCGCCGGAAGCGGAGTAGGGAGCGGAGGCCCAGGAGGGGGAGCAGCAGCAGCAGCAGGGGCTGGAGAGGCCGGAAAGGGGGGTCTGCCGCGTGTCCGGTCGCATGCGTTGTTCCTGCCGGCTGCAAGCGACGACGGTGGTGACGGAGGCGGGTCGGAGGTGGCGGCGGAGGATGCCGCCTACTGCGAGGAGGAGGGCCTTATCGTGCCCCGGCAAATCAGTTTGGCGGAGGGCAGTCCGGATCTGTCGTACGACATGGGCTGCCACGCGCTACAGGTGAGGGGGGAAGGTGAAGGGGGAGATGCGAAAGGGGTGTGGGGGAGGGCCTCCGCTGGTGATTACCGCTTACGTGGTCACCGATGGTGCGCTGCAGCTGTGGAGGAGTAAATAGGATACACGTCCATGTAATAATCGGGGGGGGGGAGCAAATGAGAAAGTGCATCAAACGTAGTGGGGGGTGGAGAATAGACACGGGACCGGGTGTGGGTGCGATACAGGTCGGATGGCCATGCACTGCCTGCTACATGCCTGCCGCTTCCACCCCGTGGCCCCGCTCCCCAACCCGACCCCCACCCTCCCAACTGCTCCCATGCAACCCCCCTATCCGCCCCAACCCCCCAGGGTGTGTCCCGCCGCATGGAGGACCGCGTGCTGCTGTCCGACCTGTCCGCCCACCCGCACTTCGCGGGGGCGCGGCGGGCGGTGCTGCTGGCGGTGATGGACGGACATGCGGGCAGCGGGGCGGTGTCGTACCTGGAGGTGAGAGGGGTGTACGGCAGGGTGGTTGGTGTGCCTGGAGGTGACGGTGTACGGCAGGTTTGTATACCATGGTATGCGTACTAGTTCGTGCGTGACATGGCACCCAGCATCCCGGCATATGGCACCTTGCATGTACCGGGTTGGTGTTTGCGTGGGTTGAGCGCTTCCTCCTGTGAGTGGGTTTTAGACCTCCCAGGCATTCATGGCCCTGAGCTCAGCCAGGATGATGCGCTCCCTTCCATGCTGCTCCGACACCTCCCCCCCCGCTCCCCATTGTTTTCCCCCGTTGCTTTGCCCTAACCTGTGGTCTCCTATGGTTTGATATGGTCTTTGACCCCCCCCCGCTCCCCCTCCCCCTCACCCCTCCCCGCATCAGGCCCACCTGGGCCCCCACCTGCTGGAGGTGGTGGCGCAGCAGCTGCAGTCCGCAACCCGCATGCTGCAGCAGCAGTACCGAGGACGGGGGCAGGGGCAGCGGGAGCGGCAGGAGCGGGAGCAGCAGGGCCCAGAGACGGTAACTAACGCTGTTGACAGAAGCAATGAGGACGCCAAAGCAGCAGCAGCAACAGCGACGGGGGCAGCAGCAGCGGCAGCAGGGGTACAGAACGGCCATGGCCCGCACGGCCCAACGGTGGTCAACGTCACTGCGGACGGCTGCAACCGACATGCAGAGGCGGAGGCGGAAGGGGAGCCGGAGAGGGAGCTACCGCCTGTAGTAGAAGGGGCGTCACCGTGGGACGTGTCGCCCTCACGCGGCGGAGGGAGGGACCCAGCGGCGGCGGAGGGGCGGCGGCGGCGGCGGAGCGCCTCCCTGGATTCCGCATCACTGTACGACAGCGGCGATGGCGGTGGCGAAGGAGGAGGAGGAGACGGTGGAGGAGGTGGTTGCTGCCCTTGTTCTTCGCCGCCCGACCCGCCGGGAGCGCTGCGCGAGGCGTTACTGCGTTGCGAGAGGGAGCTGATGGAGCAGGTGGGGGGAGAGGGGGGTGACCCATGGGTCGTTGGTGGGGGAGGGATGATAGGGGTAAGGAGACCTGTCGCGCGCGTCCATTATGCCCACATGAACGTTAGGGCCCTTGTTGTGTAGTTTAGCGGAAAACAAGCGCAAACAGTTGGGGGAGGTTCGCATGTGAACCGTAAGTGGCGGCGTTTAGGGAAAAACAGGCTCCGCGGGTTAGCGGGATGGAGCCGGCAATGGTCGTAAAGCAGGCAGCGGTGAATCGCGTTGAAACTCCGGTGACTGCGCCCGCCTATGCTAGTATTGGCAAACTAATAACATCGGCATAATAATGAGTACCGCTAATCGACTGCCGGTACTCCGTTAGTACGTCCTGGTTCCAACTAACCACCCCAACCACCTTCTGCCCAACCACAGAACTGCCTCAGCGGCTCAACCGCGCTGGTGGGCCTGATGCTGGGCGCCAGTCTGTGGCTGGCCAACGTGGGCGACTGCCGCGCGGTGGTGTGCGACGACGGGGAGGCGCGGCAGCTCACCATTGACCACAAGGCGGGGGTGGGGGCGCTGCTGGGGGGAGCGGGAGCAGCGGCGGCGGGAGGAGAAGGAGGAGGAGGAGGAGCAGCTGCTGCCACCCCAACACGAGCAGCAAGCACGGCGGGGGTCGTGGGAGGATTAGCAGCAGGCGCAGCAACACCACCAGCAGCAGCACCCGCACCCGCACCAGCCGCCTCGGGCTCCCGGACGGATTCTGGTTACGGTTTCGGAGCTGCCACCACACCTGCTGTTGATGTTGCTGGCCCCCTTCTGGGCGGAGGGGTTGGGGGAGTAGGGGTGAGGGGGGCCTCCCCACTGGGAGGAGCTGGCGGCAGGTTCAGCAGTTTCGGTGGCCTAGGTGGAGGTGGAGGTGGAGGGGCGGCTTCAGCCAGCCCTGCTGCCGCTGGTACCGGTGCGGGTGTGGGTGTGCTGCTGGGAGCGGCGGAGGGGGAGCGGCGGCGGCTGCAGGCGTTGGGGGCGCAGCTGAGCTGTGATGGGTACCTGCAGGTGGGTGGGTGGGCGGCGCTGCAGGTGCGGGGTGGCGCAACATGTTGCACGTTGGCGGTGTGGTGGTTGGTCGCACACACACCAGGGTTCCAACTCGCGGCCAGTTTTCTTAACACACCAGGGCCAGTTTTCTTAACACACCAGGGCCAGTTTTCTTAACACACCAGGGCCAGTTTTCTTAACACACCAGGGCCAGTTTTCTTAACACACCAGGGCCAGTTTTCTTAACACACCAGGGCCAGTTTTCTTAACACACCAGGGCCAGTTTTCTTAACACACCAGGGCCAGTTTTCTTAACACACCAGGGCCAGTTTTCTTAACACACCAGGGCCAGTTTTCTTAACACACCAGGGCCAGTTTTCTTAACACACCAGGGCCAGTTTTCTTAACACACCAGGGCCAGTTTTCTTAACACACCAGGGCCAGTTTTCTTAACACACCAGGGCCAGTTTTCTTAACACACCAGGGCCAGTTTTCTTAACACACCAGGGCCAGTTTTCTTAACACACCAGGGCCAGTTTTCTTAACACACCAGGGCCAGTTTTCTTAACACACCAGGGCCAGTTTTCTTAACACACCAGGGCCAGTTTTCTTAACACACCAGGGCCAGTTTTCTTAACACACCAGGGCCAGTTTTCTTAACACACCAGGGCCAGTTTTCTTAACACACCAGGGCCAGTTTTCTTAACACACCAGGGCCAGTTTTCTTAACACACCAGGGCCAGTTTTCTTAACACACCAGGGCCAGTTTTCTTAACACACCAGGGCCAGTTTTCTTAACACACCAGGGCCAGTTTTCTTAACACACCAGGGCCAGTTTTCTTAACACACCAGGGCCAGTTTTCTTAACACACCAGGGCCAGTTTTCTTAACACACCAGGGCCAGTTTTCTTAACACACCAGGGCCAGTTTTCTTAACACACCAGGGCCAGTTTTCTTAACACACCAGGGTTGCGCGCACACCACATCTTTCGGCAATCACAGTACGTTTCGCCTCGCGGCCAGATTTGAACACACCAGGCTTGCGTTGCGTTGGGTGTGGTTGGGAGGTACGGCTGGGAGGTATACGGTTGGAAGGGAGGATGGGCGGGTTACGGTGGCGATGAAGTACTGAGACACGGACCCTATAGCAGCATGTAGCAAGCATGAGTGACCCTTGGGTCAGGTGACAAGGTGTCTCCACAAAAATGATGCGTGTGGTGGCGACGGCAGCAACAGTGCATGCAGTGACTATCTCCCCCCCCGTTCTACACGGGTTCTACACTCTGCATGACTCCAAGCCCGCATCCCCACACATTCCCCACCCTCCTCCGCTGCGCCCGCCCCCCTCCCCCGCCCCCCTCCCCCGCCTCAGGTCACCGCCCCGGACGGTTCCTGCGGCGACATCGCTGTGAGCCGCAACCTGGGCTGCGCGCACCTCAAGAACCGCACCACCAGCGGCAGGAGCTTCCGCCTCTCCTCCACCTCCTCCTCTGCTGCTGCTGCGGCCTGGTCTCTGAGGGCCTCCTGGTCCCCGGCTGCCCCTGCCTCCTCCTCATCATCATCACCCTCACCCTCACCACCGCCGGCGGACAACGCATCAGCTCCCTCATGGCCGCTGAATCATGCACACTCGCAACCCGCTCCGCACCACCACCCCCACCACCACCACCTGCATCATCAACACTCTCAACAGCACCACCCCTACCATCACCACAACGGTGACCACCGCCATCAGCAACACCAGCAAGAGCAGCAGCAACCGCAGGCTGCTCCTGCCGCGTCAGCTACCTCTGCCCCCGCTGCTCTCCCAGGCGGCATCGGAGGGGACACAAACGGTGTCAGCAGTGGCGGCGGCGATAGCAGCAGTACTGCTGCAACTGCCGCCGCCTCCTCATGTCCCATGGGTCGGCCTCCGCTTCCACCCATGAGCCCTGCGGTCCACCATAACAGCCATCACCACCACCACCATCGCCACCACCACCACCACCATCAGCGCAGCAGCAGCGTGGGCAGTGGCAGCGGAGGAGTGGGTGGCAGCGGCAGCGGCGGGTGGGTGCGGGAGCGGAGTCCCAGTCCTGGTGCCCACAGGGGCAGCTGTCCCTCGCGGCTGGAACCTCTGGTGGAGGACGCGGGCAGCGGCGCGGAGACGAGTGGAGGCGGCGCAGTCATTCCCCCCGGAGTCAGTGGTGGCGCTGGAGGTAATGGTGTTGGAGGTGGCTCGCCTGCTGCTGCGGATGCACGGGTATCGGGAGTGCTGCCGGCAGCAGCAGAGGTGGAGGCTGCGGCTGCCGGAGTGGTGGCGAAGAGCGGCGGTGACGCTGAGGGAGGCAGCGGCAGCAGCGGCGGCGGCGGCGGGGCAGGAGGGTTGTGCATGCTGGAAGCTTGTACGAGAACCGTAACCGCAACCACCGTCGCATTAGGCTCAATGACAGCCAGTTTATCATCGCTGAGTTTTAAATCTGCGTTTGTACGGCAGCCGGCGGTTGAGGCGGCAACGGCCGCAGCTGCTGGCGGCTGCAGCAGTGACACGGCTACCGGAGCAGCTACAGATGCTGCTGGTGGAGGTGGTAGTGTTGGGGTGAACGGTGCGGGGCAACTGGATCAAGAGCAGCAGCAGCAGCAGCGGGGCAATGGTGCACTGGTGGTGGCTCTGGACGAGGTAGCCGACGGAGGCGGCGAGGATGAGGAGGGAGACGGTCCTCCGTCGCTTCTGATTCCGGATCCGGTGAGTGGGCGAGAGGGGCGTGCGTTGAGGGGGCACCGCGAGGGGTAAACAGGTGTCGGATGATCGCCACAGCATGGCGTGTCTGGCGGGTGTATGGAACGGTCTACCGGTATTAACGGTATGGCGCAACTTGTGCGACATGCTGTACATGTACGGACATGGAAGACCGGTATCGTGGCTTGTTGGCTTGACGGACGAGCCATGGGTCGTTTCTGCAGTTCTCGTTCCTTAAAAACCTTCAAAGCTCACCTGCCCGCCTTGCCCCGCCCTCATCCACCCGCCCTCAGGACCTGTTCCACTACCACATCAACCAGGACTCGGAGTTCCTGATTGCGGCTTGCGACGGGGTGTGGGACGTCATGCGCAACGGGGAGGCGTGTCGCATGGTACGCGAGCATGGGGTGGGGGGCAGGGCCGGGCCGGGACACTGGGTGGTTGGGCCTCACAGTCCACATTGTGGTGCTGTGTGTACGGTACCCCTCCCTCCGCATGCCTCAACCTGCTCTTGACCCTGCTGGGACCCTCGTACCACCGTACTTACATATCGTACTCCGGTGCCACGCTCGCACAACAGTAACACACGCAAACCACTGCCACCAGCTGCCTTCCTCATGCACAACAACCGCCTGACACACGCCTTCTTCCAGGCTATTTCAGTAACATAGTCACCCCTAACCCTGCCGTGTTACTACCCTGCACGGATCACCCTAGGTTCGGCGCTGGCTGGCCGACGGTCGCTCCGCCGCCGCCGCCGCCGAGTCGCTGTGCCGCGCCGCCGTCAAGCTGGGCTCGCACGACAACTGCTCGGCGGTGGTGCTGCGCTTCAGCGCCAGGCCGCTACCGGGGGCGCCGCCCAGATCCGCGCTGCGGCGAGTGGCGTCGGAAGCCGTGCTGTGAGGCCCGTGAGCCGCGTGGTTGGTGGTAAGTGTGTGGTGGGCGGCAGGGGGCAGCTTGGGACAGCATGGTGAGTCGGTGTGTGTGGGGGGGTGTTGCACTGGTTCCATTTATGCTTCTATTCATGCGAAGACCGTAAGCGGCAGGCAGACAGGCACTGAAGAGGTGCCAAGGGCGTGTTGAGCAGAACGGTTGCGCTGAGAACAATAATGCCTGATCGGCTGCGCTGGGGAAGCGAAGGGTGCTCCGAGGACTAAGTTAGGCCTGCCCCATGGAGACATTCGCAACGTTGGCTTTTGTGTCGTGTCCCCGTTACCTGCAGCAGCGCGGGGCGTGTTGACCCGGTGTTTGTCCTACTGGCGCCCATGGGAGTAAGTCCCATGGGTTGCGTTCGTACGGCAGGTGTTCTTGTACGACAGATGAGACAGGTACTGCTGTTGTGGGCTTGCGATAAGGTTCTAGCTACTGCAGATAGTCACCAAAACGTAGTCGAACCATTTGGTGTGGGTTAAGAGAACAGTTGAAGGAGTAAAGAGGAGATTAACGGTGGCTTTGTAGCTAATGTCGTAAGGAACTGGGAGGAGAAGGGTCGGAGAAGAGTGTAAGGAGAGAGCTAATCGAAGCCTATATGTAGGGTACGTACCAGCCATTTATGGAGCATTCGTACGACACACGTGCCAGTAGTAAGCGGGGTTGTAGTCGTTTGATTCGTGGTAACTTCTTCACAGGTTACACCCCTTTCCCCATGTGTATTCATGCGCAGAGCGTGCGCGTGATGTAGATACCTCTTTCATTTTGCGACGGGCTTAGCAATAAGCTGGGGCCCTTATATTTGCCGTCAAGTTTATAAACACTGTTTGATAGGTGCAAGTAGCAGGAGAGGACAGCAGTTTTCCACCTTCGGGGTTACGGTAGTGCGTTAATCGCTGGTGACATGTGTGTTTTTGCGGATGGGGACACGCTTGCTCGGACACGAGAGTTCACATCTTAGCATAGCGTTGAAGGTGCTGTAGCGCTGATCTTGAAACGCTCCAGTGTCAAGAGTACCTCGTTCTTTGTGGTTTGTACTGTAGTCGTTTAGCCAGATAACGTAGACGTCTGTGGATTGCAGGTCTCCTTGCAATTTGGCAGTGCAGGTGGATGCGAAGAGTAGGACGGATGTGAGGCGTAGGAAGTTGCAGGTAGTGTACGCCTCTGTAACGCATCAGGGACATCTACCATATTACCTATACAGAGCTACATTCCCCACTTGCAAACTTGGAGGCACCGTCTCAGACCATCAAAAAGGAATTTCCATAACAACGTCTACGTCCATCATCATTACAGGATCGAGTTCCCTAGGGGCTGTACAAAGCAGGGTGGGACAAAAACACATGCCAAAAGTATCCGGGGGCACACCTCTGTCACGCTTGTGATACGTCGGCAAGCATGGCAGAAAGGAAACCTATGAATGCCAAGAAGTCTGGATAATGACAGAACATGAGCATCCGTACCATTGCCGTAAAATGAACACGGCAACAATAATACTGCACTACTAGTTTATACCTTATTATGTGTTCACTTAGCGATCAGCACGCCCGGCGGCGGCACACGTCTATCCGCGTTTACGATTAGCATCATCACAGCATAGAAAAAGTTCACAAAAGCTTGACACATTACTTACTAGGAAAGAGGGATGCACGGCTAAAAACAAAAGACTCGCATGCTATTCGGGCCAAGCAAACCATACACCTTAGCTTATATACATCTCTGCCAGCACAATCGCTGCATGTACCACTTCACGTCTGTACGAACACCAATAACTTCTACCACCCCGGTCACTCTCACCCGGGGACCAGGCCGGCCCACTCCACGCCGACCGGCCACTCCCACCGGCCCAGCCGGTCACTCTTGTTTTTGCGTCACAAACCCCAATACACTGTACGTCTGCCCTGCAATGGCTACTTCCAAAAGAATAACCTAAGCCGCCGGCGGCCCGTCGAACGTCATGTACAGCAAACTCAAATGAAGACCTACGCAAAGGAAGCTTATCCGCAGCTCCTCCTTGCTCTCCCAGAATGCGATTATTACAGGGGAGTCCTCCCAGGCATCTATCCCTCTTTACGTTATCCACTCACACCTCCTCAGCGGAACAACCAAACCCCCTCCCGCACAATCACCAAGCCAACGGCTGGGCCCCGCCGTTCATGAATGCGCTTAGCAGCACAGCGGCCACCGCCGCCCACACCGTGGTACGCAGCCCAGACGACGCAGAAGAAGACGTACCAGCTCCGCTCTCAATAACCGAGGTAGTCGTCGTCGTCGTGGTGGTGGTGGCGGTAGTGTCGACATTGCCCGGGTCGGTGCTCGTTAGGTAGGCCGAGGTGGTTGACTGGGTGGGGTCGTACCACACCGCGTTCGATGAGGAAGACGAAGAGCCAATAGCAGCAGCACGGGGGCTCGGCAGACGCATCTGAACCGTTGTAACGCTTCCTTCTCCGTCGTCGCTGCCTTCTTGTGTGAGGGAGACGTTGACGGGTAGGCGATTGGCGTTGGATTGGAGCGAGTCAACGGCGTAGTCGAGGAAGGTGAGGGTGGCGTTGTAATCCGTGCCGAGAGCAATCCGCAGCTGCTGAGTACTGTTATTCGCTGTCAATAAGGAAAGGCAAAGGGGTGAGAAGGGAGTTGAGAGGGAGTGGGGAGAGCAAATACGAGCACCAGGGAGATCCTGAGAGCCCCTGGGGTTGACAGCAAGGTATGTAACGTGCAAGAGCTGCGTGCAAGGGTGGGTAGGGGATGTGGGTCAGAGCTGGAACACATGCACACCCTGATTGCATGTGAGGAAATGCAAAGCGACCAGTGTAGAGACCAAGAGAGTGGTACTGGCTTCCAGCAAAGGCAGGGATTAGGCGCGGTAGCCGGTAAACCTTGGTGAGCGGTAAACGTTGGTCGCGCCAACCAATGCGCCAACCAACCAAGTGCGAAGGCCAATATCAACCAAGTGCAAAGGCCAACGACCAACGACCACCGGTACTCACCCGAGGCCGCGGAGATCTCGGCCGAGGCGTTGTGCGCGAGCATCAGGTTGAGCGATACCGCAAGCGTGTTGGAATCGTTGCAGAAGGGCCTGAGGAGGTGGAGAGGCAGATACGCGGTTATGGAAACACGAGAATGCAGACCGCGGGGTTACTACACATGCGGTGTACGAAGGTCACCGTATTTGTCAGGGACGCAACCTGTGCATGACCCCTAATGCAAGGTGCTGGCTTGGCCCTCATCAAAGGCCTGGTCAGAATGGTGTAGCACTAGGTACTTGTGACAAGCTTACGACAGAGCAACAGAGCAACCCCTCAAGTGCTCAGGTGGCGATTAGGAACCGGCGGTACCCTCTTTCCTGCTGTACTCACCAGTTCTTGTACGACACGGTCCACTTGAGACCGTTGCGGGGAACCGTCACATTCTCATCTCCGTACGGCAGCGTCAGCACATCATCGAGCCCGAACAGCAGCGAAATAGTAAGCTGAGGAGTGGTGCTGTTACTGTTATCGCCCGGCACGGGTGGCGCCGGAGGTGGCGGAGAGGGCGACGAAGGGGGGGAGAGCGGCGACGGAGGGGCATCTGACGGCGAAGGGGACGGCGGAAGGGCCGGGGAGGGCGACGGAGGCTCCGAAGAAGGTGCCGGAGAAGGCGGCGGAGCTGAAGAGGGGATGGACGGCGGCGCAGGACTAGCGACCACATCTAGTAGGCGTCGTCCAAACCTCCGACTACCGCTGCTGCTGTTTGTACTTGCATTGACGGGAGATGTTGGCCGGCATGCAAGCTGGAAGCTGGGGAGGGTCAGCGGATTGAGACTGACGTTGACGTACGACATGTTTACGCCGTTAATGGTGACGTTTCCAGCCGCAAAGAGGATGGTGTTTGTAGCTGCAAGGGATGAGATGACGTGGCCAGGTACGGGCCGACCGTTGCCATCGAGTTCTTGGACCTTGCCGAAACGCAGTTGCAGATAGACGGTTGGGTCCGAGTAGTTCGGGTAGATTCGGAAATTGGGGGAGTTGCCTAGGAAGGCAACCTGCAGAGGCAGGGCATGGCAAGGGACTCCAGGAGAATTAGGGTAAGGTAAAGGATTAGGAACGGTGTGTTGCCAGGGTAAAGCACCCCGACAGCATTAGGTAAAGCACCCCGACAGATGAAAGAAAGCAGATTCATAACCTCGGCGCCTAGTAATGAGAGAGCGGCAGGGAAAAGCACGCGTCTGACATATGGAGCGCATCTGGGTAACAAGTGCTGCCAAAGTACACTTTCAAATGAAGCGTGTGCAGTGGCGTGTTGCAGCAGGGCGTGGCATTTGGGTTAGGGGAGGGGCTTACCTTGCGCGGGCTTTTCCGGTCGTCAAACTCGGTCTCACCCTTGGTGTTGGGAACGCCCCAGTTCTTTTGGCGGTTGGCGTAAGCTTGCTGTTGACCTGCCATGGCATGGCCATTGGCATTGCCATTAGCTTTGCCCGGGTTAGATGCAGGATCGCAGTTAGCGCCCTTGCCGCATCCATCAGTCACATTTGCGTTGCTTGGGTTCTGATCTGCCGAGGACTGGCCATTCCCACTGGGGTTACCACTACCGCCGTTTCCGTTTGCGTTGTTGTTATTACCATTTCCATTGCCATGGCCGTTGCCAGGACCCGTTGAGTTATTGTTCGCTTCAGTTGGGCCAGCGCTGCCGGAGTTGCCGTTCGCACTGCTTGCTCCTGCACGGTTAGTCCGGGTTGAATTCAAAGCCTGGAATACAAGCAAGGCGAGGTAGGACTGCCAAGGACATGCATAGGGGTTTGGCGCACATGGCAATGGCACATGGAGGGAAAACAGACGCATACAAGGCAGGGGCACCAACCTTGGCCTCCGTTGCCGTTTCCCGGCGGTGTATCGTTCGGTGCTCCGCTCTGAGACACGTTAATCGATGGGGCTCCATTGCCGTTCAGTGTGTTCTGTCCTTCGACGCCCAAGCCTTGGTTGTGTCCATGTCCCTGATTACCTTGTCCATTTCCTGTAATTGTTGTAGTAATTTTTCAAGCCCAGGGCTAAATCCAATTGTCCATGCGTACTAAACCTGCCTACCTTCTCCAATAGCCAAAATGAAAAGCATAAAAATGGTGTAAATTACCAAGAACAAAGGCTTCCGGGTCATGTGGCGCATTTTGATTGGTTAGTACCTAGCTACGCAGGTTTTGAAAATTTATGAATGGCTCCTTATCATGTGGCTCCGCCACAGAAAACGTTCTTGTAAATACTGACTTGAAGATAGCCTCATCGGACCCTTCTATACGAATAAATGTCTTCCGTTTGATTCCTGTACAGCTGTACTGCTTCGTGCAGGCATGACAGGTGACGCGGCTTGTACTAAAGGCCTGTTGTGCTTTCGTATATCGTAACTTGTCTTTCACAGGTATATGGTTCGCATCTCTAGCGCTTTGGGGTGACTGAAATGCGCAAATTTAGTACCGCCGGTACCCCAGATTGCCCATGTCAGGACGCCACACTGGTAAAGCAAAGCTTTGTGCCCTAAGCTGCTGCTGGGTACAAGAAGAGCCGTCCTTAGTCTGATTGCCAGCTGTGAACTGTACAGTTGAGCCCCTTCCTCCCACGTGGTAAACCCAAGCTCGTTAACCATACGGCTGGCCATGAAGAGTATATTCCACCCTCACGGCGATGCACGCCTGAATACCCCACAGCCAACATAAGCAATCAGGAATTTCCCTGTGCAGTGGGATGTTGAAACTAACGTGTGCAGTGCTCCGATACCGGAATGATTGCGGTTTTATACCATGACGCTTGCGCCAAACGGCTTCCGTAGTGGAGCTCGAGTTGGCCATACATACCCGGATCTGGTGATCATACCTGCGTAAACTGTGGCAACTGGCAACCGTATAAGCTGGGATAGACCGGAGCCGCCTGGAACTGGAACGCCCAGAGCCCCCACACCCTACGTCTCCAGAGACACAGCTGGAAAGTAAGGTCGATAGCGTGTCCTGATTCAACCATACGCGCACAAAATGGAACCCCTATTGTACGCGCAAGGGACGCTACTGGGGAGGGCAGCATTGCGGGGTGTGCACAACACTGTGACTCCTGCACTTCCCAATGAGAGCACACCAGTTAAGCTGACGTCTAGGCGTAGCCCCTGCGGGCCCGACAGCACGCGCTTATTTGTCAGCAGTGGGGCATGTCCTATTTTTCATCCTCGATGCTTCAGAAAGCCGTTACTTGTTTCGACAAAATGCACCTATTGTGTTGGGACAGTCGTTGCCACGGATGGCGAAAGAATTGTAATCCCCGGAGCGCATTGCCAGGTTTGCTATCACGAGCCACCCGGTACATCCACTCCACAGTAAAAAGTAGGACAGTGTTGCATATTATCTGCAGCTTTACATTATGGCACGTGAAGGACGGCTAGCCCCCTTTTTTTGTTACGACTGTACTTCAGTCACGGATTGGCTACCAGGACTCGTGCCAGGTCGGTCAGGGCTCGTGAACGCATGATGATAACAGTCTTCTGTGACAAAACTTCGCAAATTGAGCCTATCTCAGAGCCCCCAGCTATACTGAACTTAACGGCAGTTACTACATGGGCCAAAATTCTCGCCGACTGGCAACCTCGATAGGGATTTCAGACTGCGAGACACCTTTTTAGCTTGCCTATTTCTTAACAATCAGCCTATGAGGGGCACCACGTTCCTCAGAAGTTGGTACCAGGAATCACCCGTCATGTGATAGCTGGACACATCTTGGTCGTGTAGGAGTAGTGGCTACTTAAAAGCCTGAAGTTCCCATGCGGCCGTGCTTACTTCCCACTTTGGTTGTTCTGGGAATTCTCACGTTCGTTGTTGGGCAATCAGAGAAAATTGTACGCTCCCTCACAAGTGGAGTAGCAGACTTTAGCGCATTGCAATTAAGTGCGCAAAACTGGACGGGTTCGCCTATTGTACTCTACGGCTCTCGTCGCTTCCTGCCCGTTGCCAGCACAGATGGTAACGCTTTGGACTTGAACTACCAATCCTCTACAATGTTGCTTTTAGCTTCTGGTAAGCCTTGGCAGCGCATACTGTTCGTCCCATACCCCGAAGACGAGCTGCACTTTGTTACTGCAGGTGCTGCCATTGAAATTACCATGGCGAAACTGACTGGAGTTCGATTAACGCAACCGTCTTCTTCGCCATTTCGGCTTATGGCAGTATCGGTCCAACCATCTGCATCGCTACTACTAAGCAACGTGGTACTTGAAACAGATTGCGGAACACTCAGGACGTATCAGGAATGGTACACGGCTGTGCAACCGGCCAACATATCACTGGTGAGAGGAGGCCCGACGGTCGAGGTAACCGGGGCATGTGGGTTTCCTCTCTGACCCAACACATGTGCTTTGTAACAAAGACCCTTCAGCCCACCCATTCTTCTTTTTCCTCACGTGCCCCCCCCCCCCTTGCAGAGCTCTTCCGGTGACCTGCACATTGTCTCCTGGCAGCAGCCGGATATCAGCCTATCCAACTGCACGTTAAACTGTCAACGTCCACCAACCCTCCTACGTACCTCCCTCTACAATTCCACCGCAACACGTGATGCGAGCAGCGGCGGTAGCCTGGGCAGTGGCAACAGTAGCAATAGCACGGACAGCACTGCTCCTGCTAACACCACAACCACTGTGGTTGTGATCACCTCACAACTGGACCTCTATAATGCACTTTGGCTAGCTCCGTCGTACAACGGTGGTTTCGGCTCCGTACTGCTGCTGGTGCGCTGCAGCATGGCGCTTACCAGTCCGCTATGGTCGGCGCAGGGGGTGACACTCCGCCGCAACGTCTCCATTGTGGGGAGCGTCTATTACGCTTCCTTGTACGGCAATGACAGCATTGCCGGCGCCCTTGCAAACAGCTCTAGCAGCAGCGGAGATGGCAGCAGCATCAGCGATGTCTGGGGCGATGCAGCTGCGTGTGATGCCGGGAGCTGGGTGCTAGGAAAGCCGGTGCTAGACCTGCAGGCGAGTGGGGAGGGAGGGCTTTAGGAAGAATGGAACAGGGAGGGGAAGGGTTTGGAACAGGAGTGGGAAGGAGAGGGGCAGGAGGGGAGCGAGTGGGCAAGGGGATGAGAAGGGAGGGCGTGATGGACTAGGACAATGTGGGTTTGGGACGGGGGGCTGTTGGAGTGGGGGGACAGGGGCAGGGTTCGGACCTCATAAGGGAAGGTGGGAGCAGGGCCGAATGTCGGGTAAAGCGGAGGCGGAAAAAACCACCTAACAAGCGAGAGTGAGGAGGAAGCTTGGACGGGATGGACAGAGGAATGCGGGCTTAGGCAAGGCCGGTGCGACGGCGGGCTTGCACGGATCAGGGTACCGGCCCTCCGAGCCTCCCTCTGCACGTTCCTTGCCTCACCTCTCACCTCCTTCACCTTTGCTGCCCCAACCACCCCCCAACCACACCCCTCCTCCTTACTTCTCTTTCTCCGCCCCTTCTCCTGCACTCCTGTCCCCCGCAGGATCTCACGGGTGTCGTACACACCTCGGACGACAGTGTCGTACTGTCCCTTCGCGGTCTGGCGCTGAGTAACGCTGGCATGGTGTTTGGCTACGCCCCGGTGCCGTACAGCAGCCTGGGCCTGGTGAGCTCGCTACTGTGGTTCTTTGATGTGGTCAGGAGCCTGGCGCCCAGGTGGGTGGGGGTGGGGGTGGGTGGTGGTGGTGGCGGGGGTGGAGAGGGAGGGAAAGGTGGAAGGAGGGAAGGAGGGATGACGCGCGTGTGGTCAGCCGATGTGGCCAGGCGCCTAGCGCCCCAGTTGGGTATAGGGCGGAGCTGGTTGCGAGGGGATTGCGGGTTGTGGAGGTGTGGCTGGCAAGGCTTTAGGGTGGGCAGGGGCGCACCTGCTTTCCCTTCCCCTCTGCACCCGGTGCGCCCCCAGTGCGCTCCCTGCGCCTCCCCGCTGCATGACCACGTACGAGCACTGGAGTCGGAACGGCCTGTGCTTGCCGGATTATGATGAAGATGTGATGCCTCGCCGTTGTGTGTCATACACATGATGCGTCTCACAGCCGTACATTGTTGCCGGTACCCCTGTGCCCTCGACCCTTTGCCGTACACCCATGCCGTACACTCCTGCCTTCCTTCCCTGGATCCCCGCCCCTCGCCCCCTCCGCCCTCCCTCCCTCCCGCTGCAGGCCGCCCTACCAGCTGCAGCTGTCGGAGTGCGACATCATCTCATACGCGCAGGACATAGGTGGGGGAGGAGGAAACGACTGGGAGGGATGGGCGAGGGGAGGGGGGGGGAGGGGGGAGGGTGGTGAAGGAGACTACAGAGTTCCCGCAAAGGGTCAGAGGTCGGAGAAGTTTGGCAGGCTGGTGGTGGAGGTGGGGTGCGATGCGAGTGTGGGTGACATCACGCCGGGAGGGCCCCCGGGATTACGGCAGGGGCACACCTTTGGAGGTGTTTGGCACTTGGGTGTGCTCACTCGCACTCCTCCCCCTTCGCCCTGCTTGTGGCAGGCCTCGTTGCCCTCTCCCCCCCCACAACACAGCCCGGGTGCCTTTGGTGGTGTTTGCACCCCCCCCGCCACCCGCATGCTTGGTTCCCTGCTCCTCCTGCACTCCTGAATCCCTCCTCCCTACCCTCTCCACCCCGGCCGCCCCCCACCTCCCCACCTTGTTCCCCCTTTACCCCCCTCCCCCCCAGAGCACCTGACCCTGTGGGCCGCCTTCCTGACCGCCACCGCGGGCCCGCTGGCGGCGGTGGCGGAGCCGTACAGGCTGGGCGTGTCGGACATTGTGGTAGGTGGTGGGGGTGGGGGTGGGGGGGAACAGAAGGAATGGCGGTGCTGTATGCAGCGGGTGGCGGAAGGCAGGTGGTTGTCCTGGGGGGCGATGTGCGGCAGTCGCGGCAGGGAGGGCATGGGAGTGGGGCTGCAGGGGCATGTTGTGTGTGTTGGTGGTGGCAGGGGAAGCGGCGCTGAGTGGAGCAGTGGGGCAGGTGGAATGCCGCTTCCATTGTCCCCGTACCCTTCTCCCCATTCCTTCCTCCTTGCATCCCCCTCCTCTCCCTCCCTCCAGGTTGACAAAACCGTTACGACAGCCCTCCGGTTCACCGAGCTCACCGCCTACGGTGTGTCGTACCAGAACGTCAGCATTGCACCCCAGGAGCACGTGCTCGGGCTGCTGTCTGCTGCTGCTTCTAGTGCTGCCACGACCACTGATGCCACTGCCGATGGTACCGACAGCAGCAGCGATGGCAGTACTGGCATCAGCACTAGCAGCAGCAGCACTGGCAGCAGTGCCGCGGTGGTGGGTGTGCCGCTGACCGCCCGCCACCCGCCCCAGGCGCTCTACCGACTCAACATCCCCTTCAACACCACCGCCGTGGCCGTGTGGTCGCAGAACGACATGCAGGTGCGTTGCGCGGCTTGCTTGCTGGTGAGAAGGAAGGAAGGAGGGAGGAGGAGGAGGAGGGTGCACCTCCCAAACCTGTCTCCTCCTTTCACACCCTTCCTCTCCCCTCTTATCCTCCTCTCACACCCTTCCTCTCCCCCCTCTCCCCCCTCTCCTCACCCCTCCCAGGCCGCCCTAGCCGACGTGCAGCGCCTGCCCCCCTCCGGCTGTTCCTCCCGCACCAACACCACCGCCTTCCTGCTCCTCTTCCAGCACATCTCCCTGGATGCGGCCAAGTGGCCGGCGGGGCCGGGCGGCTTCAGCCTGCCCTGCAACGTCACCATCAGCGGAATCAACGACGCGTCTGCGTGAGTGTGGGGTGCAGCGCAGCACAGCGCAGAAGCATTTGGGGTGTGTGGCTGTTGGAGGGGAGTGGTGGTGCTGGCTGCCTAGCTGGTGGCTTAGCCCTGGTTTAGCTGGAGCGGTGTACAGCTACCGGTTGCAGTGCACCCTGTCAGTGCAGACGTCTGCCCTCTTGTAACCCTGTGCTAACCTCCACCCGCTGCGGCTGCTGGTGCTGCGGCTGAACCCCGATCCCTCAACCACCCACCCGCTGCTGCTGCTGCTGCTGCTGCCCCTCCGCAGGCCGGACGGCACGGTGCTGAACTACAACCTGCTGCCCAGGTTTGCGTCGCCAGCCAGCGGGGCCTTCCTGACGCTCAGGTAGGGCAGGACACAAGTGCGGGTTAGGCCATCGCTTTTGCTAGGATGATGACCTACGAAGCTAGCCATGCGCGGTGTGGGTTTATGCCTTTTTTCACCTTCAGTCCTTCACATGCACATGCACTTGCATGTGCTCTTAACCCGTGTGTTGCACGCATGCCTGGGTTACCGGTTACGCCTGGGTTACCGGTTACGCCTGGGTTACCGGTTACACCTGGGTTACCGGTTACGCCTGGGTTACCGGTTACCGGTTACGCTCGTTATGTCTTGTGACCGTTGGCCAGCGGACATGTCTCCCAACGCCACTTGCTTCCTGATTGCTGGCAAGCAGACAGACGTTGTGTTTCTGCCGAGCCACTCATATATGCTGCCGCATGCCCTTCACTCATGTGTCCGGCAGATCTCTCACGCTGATAAACATGCCAAGTCAGCGCGGCACGTACGACCTGACGGATCTGACCCAGATGACGTTACCGTTGTGGCCCGTGGGTCGCTCCGCTGGAGCTCCGACAGCCCCGCTCATCCTCCGCGATTCCACACTGGTCCTACCGCCCAGGGAGTACGAGCTGGCTGCGACAACCCTGTTACGGGACCCTACTGGCAGCAGCGGCAGCAGCGTCTTTCCCCTTCGCACCATGCTCCTCAACGGCTCCGTAAATGCTGTGGTGAGCTTGACGTTTCCTTCATGTCATGATGCGTGTGTTGTCCTCTTACCGGTATCCGCACCATAGCAGTATATCTGCGCGAGCTAGAGCTACCCCTTCTTTGTACCGCAGCGCTTCCGTTTTATCGCACTCTTATGTGCCGGTACTCCACCCTCCGCCTGTTCTTCGTCGGGGGTGTCTGGGGCTGCAAGTGGCAGCCTTGCGTCCATTGAACTCATGTGTGTAGTTGAGCGGAAAACAAGACCATGAGTTGAACTCATGTGTGATGTGATGTTACATGGTGGGCCCTACGAGGGCTGTCACACACCAGTCAACTGCCGTACCCCCCCCCACACACACACCCACTCCGCAGGTGTCGTCCAGTGCGCAACACAAGCTGACCCTATCCTGCCTCACCGGTCTCAACATGTCCGCAACAAACTTGGTCATTGCCGATACGACATCGTACAGCTCGTACGGACCGCTCCTGGATTCGATAGTGTACGGCACAGGCAATGTCTCGACTCAGTCGCCGTTACCGCCGTCGCCGTCGTCGTCATTGGGGCTGCTGCCGCCGCCGCCAGTACTGTACGGCACTGGCGGCGGCATGACGTCAGCAAACATCATTGCGATTGCGGTTGCAGTACCGTTGGCTGTCGTTGCATTAGCAGTGGCCGGTGCCGTTATCGCTGTTATCGTATTTCGTCGTCGCTACTGTCGCTATCGTGCTAAAACCGACGGCTGCAACGATGCGGCGGCGGCCGCTGCTGACGGCGGCATTGTCGTCGCTGCAGCTGCCAGTGGCGGCGCTGTCGGCGGCGGCGACGGCGCAGTCAGTGGCGCGGGTGGCGGCGGCGGCGACATCAAGTTGGTATGTCGCGGTACGACGGGAGGCAGTGGCGGCCACTCGCCGTTGTTCCGTACGAGCGGCGACACCACTGAGGATACGGGGGAGGTTTGCCGGGAGGTGAGGTGTTGGGATGGGGAACCTAACGGGGTGGTTAGTGAGTCGATCCCGAGTTACGGCCCTATAGGTTTTCCTATTGAACGGCTCGCTGGAAGGCAAAGGTTGGGTACGTGCTACCGTGTGAAGTCCCTCCCCCCACCCCTCCCTAAACCCTCTCCCGTTCGGCTCGACTAACACATGCAATGCATTGGGTCTTCTTCTCTTCCCCAAACCCGCACCCCCCACCCCCGCCCCCGTCCCACCGCCTGCAGACTGCTGGCGTGCTGGTGCCCAAGGCCTCCGGCGCCTCCGACTGCGACGCCTCCTGCGACGCGGCGGCGGTGCTGCCGCCCCCCGCCCCGCCCCTGCACGTGGAGCTGCACCAGCTCATACTGGACTTTGCGCGGTAGGGGGGGAGGGGGCTGTGGGGTGGGGGGGGTGGGGGGAAACAACGGATTTTGTTTAGAACACGTAAGTATAAAATAGTAGGCTGTGGGGTGGGGTGGGTTGGGGCTGTGGGGTGAGCGGCGGCGCGGATCTGTGCGGGTGTGCAAATGAGCCACTCATGAGGCGAGGAGGACCACACTGACTTGACCCAGCCGCTTCTCTGCATGTGTGGCTAGCTTGCCACAGAACAGAAGGATGAAAAGGCACAAGCATCTGGTCCAACATGAACTGCTCCGTGACCCATGGGTCGGCCCCTCCTCCCCCTCCTTTCCGTACATGCCCTTCGCTGTGCCGTACAGGGAAATCGAGGACAAGCACCTGACCATCCACGAGGCTCTGGGGAGCGGGGGATTCGCCACCGTTTACCGCGGCACCTGGCGCGGCATTGACGTAGCCGTTAAGATCATTGAGTTCCGCGACCGGGCGGCTGGCGACGAGCGACTGCAGGCGCGCGCCATGACGGAAGCCGCCATCGCCGCCAACATCCAGCACGCCAACATTGTGACGACGTATTCGTACGACATACGGCCCTCCGTACCGAACGACGGCGGCGCGGACACGCCCAGCAGTAGTACGCTGCTGGGCATAGGGCCCTCCCCGGAAGGAGCGGGGGTGGCGGGGGTGGGAGGAGGCGGCGGAGGAGGGGAGGGAGGTGGTGCGGCGGGAGGGGGAGGTGGAGGTGGAGGAGGAGGTGGCGGAGGAGGAGGAGCGCTGCCGCGGAGGAGTGGCTCCTCAGATCGCAGCGGCAGCGGCACCGGCTGCAAGATGTGGAAGCTGTACCTCATTCAGGTGGCTGCAGGGTCGTGGTGCAGGGTGGGGGAGGGGCATGAAACACGCCGTACTCCTAGTGATAGGGTAACAGTGGCAGCAATGGTGTGGCGGGTGCGAGTGCGATGTCATGTATCGTGTAAGATTGGGGGCCATGTGCGGGGGCATATGCGGCATGTATGCGGAGCAGTGGGCTGCGCGCGTCGCTCATGTGGGGTTCCATGCTGCTGGGATGCGCCCTCCTCTCTGCGCACCCTCTCCATCCAGGCCCAGGCAGCAGCCCCCGTGTGTGTCGCCGAAGCAACTGAGCCGCCTAACTGGACCGCATCGGGCGGTTGGTAGTTACTCCTTATATTTCCCTCGCTACCCTCCCAACGCCATAACTTTCCGTATTGTTTTATCACAAGTGTTTTATCCCTTGCTCCCCCTCCCAACGCCAACCCGTGCTACCCCTTCCTGCCCCCTCAGTCAGTTAGTTGTTTCCTCTTTACCCCCCCCCCCGCTGCTGCTGCTGCTGCTGCTGCTGCTGCTGCTGCACAGGAGTTTTGCGAGGTGGGTTCGCTGCGAGTGGCGCTTGAGAACCGCATGCTGACGGGGCCGGACGGGGCGCCCAACCTGCCGCTGCTGCTGCGGCTGGCGCTGGATGTGGTGCGCGGGCTGACGCACCTGCACAAGAAGAACATCGTGCATGGGGACCTCACGCCAGGTGGGGCGGGGGGGTCTGGGTGGGTGGGTGGGAGGCGGGAGGGGGCATGATGCCGTCGGGTGTGTGTCCTAAGGAGGGGGGGGGGAAGAAGAAACACACCATGCGGCTAACGAACGCCGGCAGGCCTTGGTGGGGGTTCCCGGTGGATGGCGGGGGCAAGTGGGAGCCGGCAGCCGAGCCGGACTGCCGCTGCTGCTTCACCGCTGCGTACCCTCCTCAGCTCCTCCACCTCGCCCTCCAGCACGCCTTCAAACCCCTGTCGCAGCCCTCGCCCTATTGTGGTTTGGTTCTTTCCTGACCACCCTCGTCCCCAACCCTCACCTCCTCCCCTGCCATGTTTGTTCTCCCCACTGACTGCTAACAACCCAACACATATGATTGTTGTGCAATCCTTTATGCCTCCTTGAGCGGAGATATCACCCCCATCCTCCCCTCCCCTCCCCTGCCCACGTATTGGCTTCGCTCTTTCGGGCTGGGCGGGTCGGGCTGGCTCACATGTTGCAACCCATGTTGACGCCTTATCCCTCAGTCAGTTAGTTGCTTCCTCTTTATCCCCTCCCCTCCCCTGCCCTGCCCTGCCAGGCAACATCCTGCTCAAGGCCGAGCTGTCCCGCCCCGGGGCGCACTACGTGGCCAAGCTGGCGGACTTTGGGCTGAGCGTCAAGATGGACCCCTCCCAGACGTGCGTGGACAACAACCGCACCGGCACGCCCTTCTACGCCAGTGAGTGGGGTCAAAGACCATACCAAACCATAGGATCCCACAGGTTAGGAAGTGAGTGGTGGGGGGGCTGCGGACGCGGGTGAGATTGTCAAGTTGGGGGACGTTAAGTAACGGTGCTAAGGCTGGTACGAACAAAAGGAGGGGATGGGGGCATTCATTTGCAACATGCGTTTTGCAGCTTTCAAGGAATGGGGGAAAGGAAAGGGAAGACGAGGTGCCAATCAGGGGGCGGTTCCCAGCCAGTGTGCAGAGCTCTCTCCTGGAGCGCCTCACCACCTCTGCCGTACCGCCCCCTTGCAGGTCCCGAGGTACGGCAGCACGGCAACCTTAGTAAGGCGTCGGACCTGTACGGTAAGTGGAGGAGTGTGTGATTTGCTGGGGACTGGCATGTTGCGAGAGGGATAGAGGGAAGGGAATGAATGTGGCATTAATAGCTATTAAACCACGGAGCGCATCCTTATTGTGTTGGTTGCATGCACGCACACAGTTCCACCGATTGGGGTACTGTGTGCTATACCAGTAACAGCACGGAGCCACATGTGCCCCAACACGACCCAACACATGCACAACCCTTTGCTGCGGCTTTCCATGTCGCGCCATGCTGCTATCCTCCCTGCTCCCCTGCCCCATCCTCCTCCCACCCCCTTCCTTCTCGGCTCCTCCGCATCCCCTCCCCTCCCACCCTCCCCCCTTCCCACCCCCTCCACAGCCCTGGGAGTGGTGCTCTGGGAGATGTGGCACGGCCGCCCCTGCTATCAGCGCGTCCGGGGCGTCAAGCAGTTCGTACACGCCTCCGGCTTCCCCTCCTTCCCGTCGCACTGCCCGCCGCTGTACGCCGACGTGGCGGCGCGCTGCATGCGCCGCAGCCCCGAGGAGCGGCCTCCGCTGGGGGAGGTGCATGACCTGATCAGGCAACTGCTGTCGGTAGCCACCGGGGGCGGCAGCGCGGCGAGCACCATGGGGCCCAGCAGCGATGGAGGCGCCACGTCAGGGGTGATATCGTACGAATGGCCGTTTGTGGTGAATGTAAACGCCGGATATAATAGTGGGAATAATGGCAATGGAGGGAATGGGGCGAGCTATGGGGTGGTGGGGTTGCAGCAGGAGGACAGTATTGGGGGTACTGGGGGTACGGCAGGAGGGAGTTCCCGGGGGAGTAGCGGGCGGTACTACATGGGAGCAGGAGGAGCTGCGGCGGGGGTAAGGGCGGTGGGTGGGGGGCTGCCGCTGGTTGAGCCGTGGGTGTTGGAGGGTGCGGCGATGGCAGTGGCGGCAGCACCGCTGCCGCTGGACACGGCGGCGGCAGGAGCCGCGGCAGCCGGGGGGACCGCAGCAGCGGCGGCGGCGGCAGCGGTGGCGGCGGCGGCAGCGGGGCTGCAGCACGAGTACGTCCTGCCTCCGCTACCTCCGCTGCCGCCACTGGCACCTAGGGCTACTGCGGGGGCGGGGGCGGGGGCGGGGGCGGGAACGTCCCCACCACTTGCACCCGGAGTGAGCGAGGCGGCGACTCTGGGTGTGGCCGCAGCGGACCATAACATCTGCAGCGGCGGCGGCGGCGACAGTGCCGCAGACTGTGACACGTTGCTATCACTGGCGCCAGCTGGGCCTGCCGCAGCGGTTGAAGGCGGCAACGGACATAACGGTAACGCCGCTGGGCGCAGCAGCAACAGCGGCAGCAACACAGCAGCGGCCTCAGCAGCAGCGGGGCACCACTCCGGGTCGGCTGGCCTACACACCACCCACACCTCCACCGAGCCCTTCTTCAGTGCCATGGGGGGAACCGGCAGCGCTGCAGGAACCGCGGCGCTGCTGCTGTCGGCTCACACGCCAGGGTCACTGGGAGAATGATGATGCCTTGCGAGGTTGGGAGTGCGGCTGGGGAGGGGAGTGAACCATGGGTCGTTCGAGCATGTGTGCGCATGGTGGTTAGCGTGCTTTGGGTGTTGGGTGTGAAAACCAAAGCGGGCGGTGGAAATGCAGACCTCCTGTCTAATTAACGGGTGTTTTGGAGCCCTCCTTTGAAGCACCTTTACGCACCTCACCTTTTTTCCGGCTGGCGGTCTGTATGGACAGTTTGAATGAAAGCGTGGGTGCGCCCGCCGCGTTGTTGCGTTGCGGCGTTTCTTTGGCTCGCTTGACGGTGTGTGTTTGTGGGTGTTCATCTTGCGTGGCTTGTTGATCTCGCTCATGAAGTGTTTGCGTCGTAGTAGAGGGTGTTGGGCGTGCGCGCGTGTCACTAGCGGGGAAGGAAGGAGGAAAGAAACAGTAGTAGCTTTCTTTCACCACCACCACCTATTCCATTGGGCCTCATAAAGGGGACCCGTTTACTGAAACGACTGTTGGTCTTTTGGCCTTAACTAAGCGACGTTCTTTGGACAAGTAACAATGGTACGCAATCGATATATGAGCGTTAGTACTGGAATGGGGAATGGTACACGTCCTACTCGTATAATTCATTGGTACCGGTATTGAGAGACCTTTCAGGCGGCTCAGTGCGGGGTCGGGAGTTTGCCCCTCTACCGTTCGGGCAGGCCTTTCCTTAACACATGTTCTGGTGATTTTTGAGATTGGGAAGTGAGCAGTTGGCATTTCATGGGGGTTAGGTAAACTGAGCCGGGGGGTGGTGACGATCCGCGTGTTGGTCAACAAAGCCGGGTGCGCGTGTTGGCGGCAAGCTGGGGATTTCGCAAGCTAGGTTGCTTTGCGGTGGTGAAGAAGGGGGGTGCTAAGAACTTGGCATATGGTTTTCTGACCTCGCCGCCAGCGGCAGGTGAAACCGCTTTCCATTACTTTTTTCATCTTCTTGAGTAGGAGTAGAGCTTCTGGTGCTGTTCGGGCTAGCGGCGGTAGTGGCCGCCCGCCCGCACAACAGCAGCAGCAGCAGCAACGCATGCGTACCGTACCCTTCCGGGACTCCTTTGGGGCTCGGCGGCCCCAATCGTTAAGATATTAACGAAAGCCGCCGTTCGTTACTTTAATCGGAACAAGCAAGGTGGTATTGAGTGCAAGGAGGTGGTGAAGGAAGAACTGTCAGCGGTTTGTTGCTTGTTTGGAGTGAGACGTTTCGTGTGTGGACCTTGTGATGTGCGCTGCTTACGTTCTCAGTGTGTGCGTTTACCAGCTTCCCGCGTTTGTGTATGTTGTTGTTGAAAGCAAAACTAAGCCCTAACCGGACATGCATTGCTACTTGTTGCGATCGCTCTCGTAGGCAGGAATATAACAAGTATGTGTGTCTCTTGTGATACAGCGTGTCAAGGGCACGCACGCACGCAGCGTACCGCGTGTTTGGAGTTAGTTAGGCCGCGATTACCAGCTGTGCTTGCATTTGGCAAAGAATCGTACCTTACTTGGTGCGACCAAAGTCTACGTGGTATGCGTCTTTATCGTGCAGCACATTTGAGCTGCCGTACACACAAGTGCCTGGACTTGCTGTACGTGCACTGCGCCGTACAAATTGAGGCACGAGGCATGTGCAAAGCCACCAAACCTTTTCAGGTTTTGTAAGCGACAGAAGGCGCTGTCGTACACGGCTACATACTGCAGTATGGTTCCGTACATTTTCCTCTCAACCGCAGCTCCATCCCCATCACCTTGATATCCGCTAATGTTGACTGCCCCGGCCTCCTACACATCCCCAGCGGACGCTAGCCGCTACTGCCCTACACGCGTCCTGTAGGTTTGGGCGCACAAACACATCCGTGCACAGTAGCCGTAAGCGGCCATGATTGCTTCGGCCTCCTCCCCATCTCCAGGATGTCGGGTTCATGCGGATCAGGACCCACACACGATCAGCGGCCAACCCTGCCCCCTCCACTTCTTCCAATGGACCTACGATGACATGCCTCCCTCAAGCCCTGCAACTTAATCGCCTCCCTAAAAACAACCCACCCACTTAATCGCTCGCTCACTCCGTCCGCCCAACCATTGGACACCCTGACACGCGCCCTCACACAGCCTATCACACAGCCTCTGCATGCTCCAGTCCCACTATTCTCATGCTTACTACACCACCTTGTCAGTACTACATGTCTTCCCGTCGTCGTCACCAGTCGTCGAGATAGCAGCCGCCAACGCATCCCTGCCCGGTCGACCAGCTATGATGGTCAAGTCAGCTGCGCAGCTCGTCACGCGGCCCCCCATGCCAAGCAAGGCGTCCGGATAGCACCGGTAGTCCGGTACCCAATGCCGCTCGGGCCAAAGATCTACATATCTATACGAAATAAAACATGTCTATAAATTCGTCATGTGCGAATGTACGACCAAGGGACACGTACGACACCACAGCGCCCTGTGACCCGTTTCCCATGACAATGCCTTCCATGCAGGGGCGGAACGAGGAAGGCAGCTACCAGCCTGAAGTGAGTAAACTGGGATAGCAACAGTCGCAGCAGCTACCGGCGGTTAGGTGGGTCGGGCCCGCAGCTACAGCCCTCCCCACATCGTAAGTACGACACCGGCCAGTGCATTACCTCACCCGTCGTACCGGATCCTGTAAGGGCAACGGATCTGCAATCCAAGCACTCAAACTGAACAACAGCCGCTGCCATGCCGACGTCGCCCATACGGCTACGGGATGAGCCCCCGCCGCTGGAGCTCGTCCAGGGCTAGGAGGGTGGTGTAGACGCTGTTGGGGGAGAAGAGGGGTGGCGGGGGGGATGCGGGGGGGCGGGGAGAAGAGTGGCGGGGGAATCAGTGAAGCAGTGTAACCCGAAACCATGTCCCGGGATACGGGATGTGGAAGAATGCTTATAGATAATAGGATGATGGGGAATTGCTATTCTCCACGCCTCCCCACCCCAGTCGTCCACCCCACCTGGGCAACATGAGCTCGCCGTTGCGGATGAGCTGCTTCAAATCCTGCGTCCGGGTGCAACCGCCCGTACGGCAGATGTACGACAGGGCGAGGAGGCATCAGTTGTGGGTGCGACCCGTATTGAAGACGAAGGTCAGGTAACATACATGAGTGAAGGAAGGAGCTTGTGGCCGTGCTGTTTTGGTATCGCAGGCACGCAGATAAAGTACCGGTAACCCAGATGACTACTAGCACACTGTACATAGCAACACTCCCCCACAAGCACACACGGCAAGTATCCTTAACACACGAACCAACCGCTCGCAGCCACTTTTCATCATGTACGCACCCACCCACCGGTATTGTGACGCGCGACACCTCGATGGTGTGTTCCTCCTCGTCTCGGGTGGCCATACGACCGTTGGGGCTTGGCTGTACGACAGTTGGGCAATACTGTCCTATCACGACGGCCAAGAAAAGGCAACGGTTCTACCACCCGTGCGTAAGAGACCCTCATTCCTAACCTCCTAACCCCAACTAAAAACCCAGCCAACCGCCCGAACCAACCACCCCACCTGCGGGTCAATGAAGAGGTAGGGTTTGAAGGTGTTGCGGCTCCACTTGTTTTCGCTTTGCCCCGGGTGGTCCTCAGGCAGCAGCGACACCACCTCACCGCCGTACAACATGGCCTGCGGGCCGCCGTACAACGTACAACGCATGTCAGCGCGCGCAACATGCGCTTTTGACCTTGCCTCCTGCTTTCCTCGCCTCCCTTCCTCCCACCACCACCTCCGCTTGGAGTACCGTGCCTACCCCCGCCCCCGCTGTCCTCACCCCCCCCCTGTCCCTCCCACCTCCTCCGCCATCTCCGCCCGCGCGCACTCCCGCAGGTCCGCATGCTTGGCCCTGTCGTACCCGCCGGTGGGCAGGCAGTACATCAGCCGGTGGGGACCCTGCGCGTACTCGCGAACCAGGGTCACCTGCGCCACCTGGGTGGTGCCGCCGGCCTCTGCGGTTGCCGGGTGGAAGGGGAAGGCCACGGCGAAGGAGAAGCAGCTGGCCGGGTGGCCCACCACGTCGTAGTGGAGGGTGTGGGGCTGGGGGGGAGCGGGAGGGTGGGGGGGAGGGGTGCAGGTGGGGGGGGTGCGGCACGGGATGAAGCGAGAGGAGCAGGAAGGATGGGGTCCGAATGGGCACGAGGCCGCATCAAGGCAGCGCGGGTTACGCGCCAGCTGACCCAAATCAGGAGTCAGTGCCCCTCTGTTCGAGCGAGTCTTCCCAAATCGTGTACTGTACGGCAAAAAAGCACCCCACCACCACGTTTTACCACGCATGGTGTGGCGTCGACCCACACGGCCATGGACCCCCGACGGCCCCGTTCATTCCCTTTTGTGTTAGAACGAGCCCCCTTCATCTTCCCCTCCTTGTCGCCTTGTCCGGCACCCACCTCGCCTCCTTCCGGTGTGAAGCGAACCACTCTGTCGTACAAAGTCACGTATCTGAGCAGCATTTCAGGGAGCAAAAGGAAGCATTACAGGAAGGAAAAGGAGAGAGGTGGCATGGATAACTGCAGGGAGAAAAGGTTGAGGCAAGGACTAGAGCTCAGTTCCTCTTTGCAGGATGCGTTCACTGCACAATCGCTGCACATGCCGGTATGCAATGGGCACAGTTTGACGGCGCCCCCCACATGCAAAGTTCCTTTTATTATGGCAGACGCGGTTTACCGTCGGTGAACAATCTTGTCGTCCACGATGTCAAAACGTTGGTGCCATGGATGCGAGTCCTTAAGACCATTCGTTAGCGACGTAGATTCCGTCGACAGCACGCAGGTAGGGGTTGTTACCTCTGCGGGTGATCGAAAAACATGGACGTGCCATTGGGCAGCGCCACGAAGGACACACGCGCACTCCGAGGAATGGCCAAACACATTGCAGTAGCTAAGGCAAGTCCCAAAGCTAAAAACAGGACGGTTATAAGAACGGCGGCTCATATATGTGCTGCAGTAAAGCTAGGCCGTAGTTGCCTAGCACCAATAATGGAATGTTTTACGTGGATGTACCGTGGACCAGCATGCAACATGCCCCAGATGCCCGCGCACCTAGCGACGCCCTCTCTTCCGCACTTGCAGGAGGACCGGACAACGAGGAGGATGACATTCCAAGGGCCAAGGCCACTCCAAACGGACGGGCTGTTGGAACGAGCAATCGCGGGACGAGTTGCGAGTTCCCCTTTCTAGAGGACAAGTGAAACCGATGGAGCAAAGTGCTTCCTGCCACCAAAACCATTAGGAAGAACAGAGCTACGGGTAGCGTCGATAAGGCGAAGGTGTGCAAGGCAAGACTGTATGTGTAATTTAAAGGTACGTTTTGGTTCTTGTGTATGCATACTCAACCTGTTCTCGGCTTTCCTAATTATGGTATAGGCACCGACGTAGTTATGCCTGCGATGTTGAAAACGGCCAAGTTCCAACCGACCAACTCCCAAAGCGTAAAAGTCCTGGAGGGAATCCAGCGATGCATGCTACACTTGTACATGATTCTTGTATGCTTGTTTTGGTTCCGGCAAGACGTGCCTCGGCTCTACAAGTCGAAACCCTCATCCCGCAATGCATCCCGGTGAAGCACAATAGTACAGTTTAAACACAAAATTACATATTGCATACCCTACTTCAAGATGTGTTTTGTACTGGGAGGTGTGCTTGACCCAACCTGCTAGGCTTCGCATTTCTTCGTCCGGTTGCATTGGGAACGTCGACTTTGCAAGTTTGTGCCCAAGGAGCTTTGCACAACTAACTTATAGGTTACATAACCGAAGCTACGTAGGCCGCCGGCAGGATCCTTCTGCATCTCACTAAGCAGTATACCCAAACCTTTATAGGTATAACTTCGCACAGATCCCTTTTAACTAAGCGGTCCAATACTGTATCAGTCACACAACCAGAGCTCCGCTGGGAGCGAAAGTCCGACGTGCGTTGCGATCGGCGCGTCAGCAGTGGTGTTGACACGCTTCTGTGCAAGAGCTACAAATGGGGCGCGTATACGATGATCTCGAACCGGTGGACGTGTCGGGCGAGAAATTCCACCAGCCCCTTCCGCTGGGGCCCGAGGGTCTCAAGCATGGCACCCTCGAGAATGGCTTGACGTAAGCACGCGGTTATTGTTGTCTTTAATCGGCTGTAATAATCATAATGGGGCCTCAGGGGAGAGGTCTTGTATCCTTGCCGTGGGGTTCTTGCTGTTGGGAGACCAGGGGTCGGATACATGCCGACATTCGCGGAGAGGATAGTGTCAGATTTTACTCAGGGGCGGGACTCCTTGAAAGGAACAAGGAAGAGGGGAACGATGCTTAAGGCCGGGGATGGGCTGTGGAGCAGTGGAGAGTCCGCCTCATGCCTACCTGGCAAGGATGTACGGCAGCGAGGGTGTACGGGAGTACGGCAGGGATGTGGCTCCGTGGCGATCCTGGGGGTCTGGGAAGGGTACAGGGCCCCGTGATGTCTCGTTGGAAAGGGGCCTTGCAACTTCGGGAAAGGGGTGATTACGGCGCGGCGCCGATGGTCGCGCACATTTTATAAACGCCCTTCATCCGCACCGACTCTTGCTGCACATGCCGTACATGCTATAGTGCTACATCCGCGCCGCAATGACCTCGCATGCGCTAGGCGCTCCGAACCTGCTGGTCCTGCCTGCCCTCATCCAACCCTCATGCAACACCGGACATCTGATTGGCGGGATGCCTGCCGTGCGGTTGCGGTGGGGCTAGCTATGACCCATGGGTCCCTCATGCGCCCGGACGGACAAAGGCCTGTTGCCGTACATCACTGTCACGGTCAACCTGTCATCTCCTCCATGTGACAATACTTGATGTTGATCCTCACATCCCCGCTGCTACCAGTACCCGCACACTCCCCTCAACTCCACCACGGCTCCCCTCCCAAGCCCACAAGCCCAACCCGAATATACATCCCTTGGGATCTCCCCTTTCCATCGCTTCCGGCTCACTGACCCACGGGTCACTCCCCTCCTCCCCTGCCGCCCTCAGGTACTATGTACGGCAGTGCGCCAAGCCCAAGGGCCGCTGCGCTCTTGCCCTGGCAGTGCGCGTGGGGAGTGTGGTGGAGGTGAGCGTGGAGGGAGGGCGTGGGTGGGGTGGGGGTGGAGGTAGGCGTGGGTGGGGGTGGGGGTGCTGAGGTAAAGCGAAGCCATGGGCAGGGTGGGTTGCATGACTATGGGAAGAGGGCATGGAAATGCAACCAGCAGCAAAGGTACAAAAGCTGTCGGGGTCACTTCGGTTGCCCCCTTGTTGCGATAGCCCCGGGGTGCGGTGGCTGCTGACAACCCGCCTGTGACGTGGCGTGTCTCTCGGGACAAGTTGGTTTCCCTCATCCCCCTCTAAACCCAATACCCATGCCCCCCTGGGTGGTTCGATATGGTCTTCTACCCCCCCCCCCCCCCACACACACAACCCCCCCCATACACATGCCACACCCTTCACCGCCCCCCTCCTCACCACCCCCACCCCCACCCGCCACCTCCCCCCCCCCCAGTCCGAGCAGGAGCGGGGAATGGCTCACATCGTGGAGCACCTGGCCTTCAACGCCACGGAGGTGAGGGGGGGGATGGGGGAGGGCTGGTGTATTGGTCGTCCACGTGTACGGGGGCCAGTACTGCGGTGTGTGTGTGTACGATTGCGTGACGGTACAGGTATATCAGGGGGAGGGGGTCAAAGACCATACCAAACCATAGGAGACCACAGGTATATCGCGGGGGGGGGGGGGCGCTGCTGACGTGGGTTTGGGTTGCCCTGGTGGGTTTGTGAGTGGTTGGGGGATGAAAACCCCGAGTCCTGCGTACGAGCTTTCTACAACCCCTGCTACATTAGTTAAGGAAGAGCACCCAGCTGCCGTACGGCATCTCCCCAACCCCAACCCCTCCCCCCGTGCCGTACACAGTCGTACTCCAACCACGACATCGTACGGCTGCTGGAACGCATCGGAGCGGAGTTCGGCGCCTGCCAGAACGCGTACACCTCCGCGGATGAAACCGTGTACACGCTCACAGTGCCCACGGGGGTGAGCTGGGGGGGACCCGGGGGGGGTGCGGGGGGGCTGGGGTGTTTCGTGAGCAAACCAATTGCCGTACAAATGAACCCGCTGAAGTCACCGAGGCGAGGCGAGGTGGGGGGTGAGGGGCGTGCAGCGGGGTCCGGGGTCAGGGCTGCAGGGGTCCAGGTTGTGGGTGTGAGGGGGGGAAATGAAATAAGAGTGGGGGGGAGGGTTGCGTGTTTTAAGGAAACTGGCGCGAGGCTGAGGTGTGTGTGTGTGTTGTTGTTCCGGGGTGTTGCATGGTGGGAAAGCTAGCGAAAGATGGTTGCCTAACCAAGCCTCTCTTCCTCCTCCTCCTCCCCTCTCATGGCTGTGTTGGCATGTGTGGCTGCCTGATCCCCCTCCCGTGGTACGGGTATTCCTAACCCCCCCTCCCTCCCCCTCCCCCTCCCGGTGCCCGGTGTGGTGCCCCCCCCCCCTCAGGACGGGGAGGGGCTGCTGGCGGAGACGCTGGGGGTGATGGCGGAGATGGCGTTCAAGATCAGGTGGGGTGGGGGGTGGGGAGAAGGGAGGTGGCGGTGAAGGGGCCTGGTGTAGGTGTTGCAGTCCTGAAGGGTCTACTTGGAGAGGAAACCAGTAACTACCAGTATGTTGGTAGGGCGGCCAAAGGAGGTTGCACACCTCGGTTCTGACTGCCCCTCTCCCCTCCCCTCTCCGCCCCCAGGGGGGGGCGGGCATCGGGGGACATCGTCAGTGTCTCATTACTTTCACCCCTAAACCCCCCCTCCCATGCAGGTGCTCCCCCTCCGACCTGTCCAAGGAGCGCGGTGCGGTGCTGGAGGAGTGGCGCATGAGCCGGGACGCGCAGGGGCGCATGCAGGAGGCGCACTGGCAGCTCATCTTCCAGGTGGGGGGGGGAGGGGGAGGGAGGGGGCAGGAGGCGCACTGGCAGCTCATCTTCCAGGTGGGGGGGGAGGGGGAGGGAGGGGGCAGGAGGCGCACTGGCAGCTCATCTTCCAGGTGGGGGGGGGGAGGGGAGAGGGGCAGGAGGCGCACTGGCAGCTCATCTTCCAGGTGGGGGGGGAGGGGGAGGGAGGGGGCAGGAGGCGCACTGGCAGCTCATCTTCCAGGTGGGGGGGGAGGGGGAGGGAGGGGGCAGGAGGCGCACTGGCAGCTCATCTTCCAGGTAAGGGGGAGGGGGAGGGAGGGGGCAGGAGGCGCACTGGCAGCTCATCTTCCAGGTGGGGGGGGGAGGGGGAGGGAGGGGGCAGGAGGCGCACTGGCAGCTCATCTTCCAGGTGGGGGGGGGGAGGGGAGAGGGGCAGGAGGCGCACTGGCAGCTCATCTTCCAGGTGGGGGGGGAGGGGGAGGGAGGGGGCAGGAGGCGCACTGGCAGCTCATCTTCCAGGTGGGGGGGGAGGGGGAGGGAAGGGGCAGGAGGCGCACTGGCAGCTCATCTTCCAGGTGGGGGGGGGGAGGGGGAGGGAGGGGGCAGGAGGCGCACTGGCAGCTCATCTTCCAGGTGGGGGGGGGAGGGGGAGGGAGGGGGCAGGAGGCGCACTGGCAGCTCATCTTCCAGGTGGGGGGGGGAGGGGGAGGGAAGGGGCAGGAGGCGCACTGGCAGCTCATCTTCCAGGTGGGGGGGGGAGGGGGAGGGAGGGGGCAGGAGGCGCACTGGCAGCTCATCTTCCAGGTGGGGGGGGAGGGGGAGGGAGGGGGCAGGAGGCGCACTGGCAGCTCATCTTCCAGGTGGGGGGGGGAGGGGGAAGGAGGGGGCAGGAGGCGCACTGGCAGCTCATCTTCCAGGTGGGGGGGGAGGGGGAGGGAGGGGGCAGGAGGCGCACTGGCAGCTCATCTTCCAGGTGGGGGGGGAGGGGGAGGGAGGGGGCAGGAGGCGCACTGGCAGCTCATCTTCCAGGTGGGGGGGGAGGGGGAGGGAAGGGGCAGGAGGCGCACTGGCAGCTCATCTTCCAGGTGGGGGGGGGAGGGGGAGGGAGGGGGCAGGAGGCGCACTGGCAGCTCATCTTCCAGGTGGGGGGGGGGAGGGGGAGGGAGGGGGCAGGAGGCGCACTGGCAGCTCATCTTCCAGGTGGGGGGGGAGGGGGAGGGAAGGGGCAGGAGGCGCACTGGCAGCTCATCTTCCAGGTAGGGGGGGGAGGGGGAGGGAAGGGAGGGGGGACGAGGCAGGAGCTAATACCCGTATGACGAGGTGGGGTGGGTGAATGTTTAGGATGGGGGGGGGGAAAGAAATGGGCTGCTGCTGTGCCTTGTGCGCTCATGTGCCCATCTGCTCCTGTTCCGCCTCCTGGTGTTGCCTCAACATGCATCATGCCACCCCTCATGCACCCGTGCCAATACACACACCTCCCCCCCTACTCCCATATACCTTTCTTACACACCTTCCGACTCGCGGCCAGCTTTTTCTTAACGCACGTCCACCCCCACCCGCCCCCCCCAGGGCTCCCGCTACGCCGAGCGGCTGCCCATCGGCACCGAGTCCGTCATCCGGCGCTGCCCCGCTGATGCCGTACGGTCCTGGTACGAGCGCTGGTACCGGCCGGGGCACATGGCGCTGGTGGCGGTGGGGGACTTCAAGGACACGGGTGAGGGGGGGAAAGGAGAATACCCAAGGGGAGGGGGGAAGGGGGGGAGGGGGAGGGGGTACTGTGCCATCCATGTGCCCCTGCTGGTGAGTCGTCTTGTGGTATTCCTGGCATGAAACCGGCGCGGGGATATTTTGACAAGCTCCCTGAAGCTCCGTGAATTGTGGGGAGAGATGTAGCAAGGCGTTACTACCGTAACTTGTGTTTTACTTGGTCTGGTTTGACCCATGGGTCACCCACAACGCACATCGCGTAACGCGCCTCCCCTCCCACCTGTCTCTCCGAGCCCAGATGCCGTGGTGGGGCTCATTCAGCGGCACCTGGGTTCCGGAGCCAGCAGGAGCCGCGAACCCGCTCCGGACCTGCCGCGCTTCTCGTACACACCGCACGAGCAACCCAGGTTCAAGGTACGGCATGCGGGGGTGGGGCATGCGGGGGTGGGCATGCGGGGGTGGGCATGCGGGGGTGGGCATGCGGGGGTGCGGCATGCGGGAGTACGGCATGCGGGAGTACGGCATGCGGGGGTGGGCATGCGGGGGTACGGCATGCGGGAGTACGGCATGCGGGGGTACGGCATGCGGGGGTACGGCATGCGGGGGTACGGCATGTGGGAGGGGGGATAAAGAGGAAAGGACTAACGAACCGGGTGATAAGGCCTCATTATGGTTTGCAGGAGGGGTAAGAATAGAGCATAATTAGGAAGAGAGGATACTCTCTTGTTGACAGCGGGAGCAAAAGGGCCGGCAACCCACCCTGGACCGCCCACCCACCCCTTCATGGCCTGACATCACCCCAACAAGTTGGAAACTCGTGAACAGCAGTGTGTAGGCAGCTGTAGTGCGTTCAGGGGTAGTCTGCCTTCTGGGGGAGGGTACCAGAATCCGCACAGCAGGCGGGGATCTGGTGCTGTTGATGCATACATCACGTGATCCCTTCCCCTGCTTTTGTGGAATACCCCCTACCGAGGAACCGGTCCACTATGGTGGTGGACCCCTCTGGCTACGGTTTATGAAGGGAGTGGAAGGCAAAGGCGGATATTGACCGTGGAGGACAGGGAGGTCTGCAGTTCATTCGGGACCCACCTCCTCTATACACCTCTACCCACGCATCCTGGCCCCTGCTACCCTCCAAAAGATCCCTCCAACCTCCCCCCCTACCCAACCTCACCCACCCCCAAGTATGACTACACGCAATCCTATAATCCAGCCTAATGCAGAACCTCCATCCCTATTAACTCTCCCCCCTGGTATGGTCTTTGCCCCCACCCACCTTTCATCATCACCGCGGACCCGGTATCGGTAGGGAATACGCACCAACACTTTGTCTTGTGGCGCCCTGCCAAATCCTACCCCCATTGCTTTGCCCTAACTTGTGGTCTCCTATGGTTTGGTATGGTCTTTGCCCGCCCGCCCCCCCCAGGTGCTTGTGGACCGGGAGACGCAGCACCCCTCCGTGTACGTGTCGTACAAGCACCCGCGCATGCAGATCCGCACCCCGCAGGAGTTCCTGCAGCACCTGGCGCTAAGCGTGTTCGAGATTGCGCTCAACAACAGGTACGACACGATACACAGCGTGTACGGTATGTCTCTTAAAGAACCCCACCACCTCCCCAACCCGCATCGGGTCTTCACTCTCACCCTCACCCTCCCGCCGTCACTCCCCACTTCCCCACTCCCGCCCCCCCGGCCCCCAGGCTGTACAAGATCGGCCGCCAGCGCGAGCCGCCCTTCGCCTCCGCCGCCGTCAGCGACGAGCCGCTGTGCGCCACCGCCGGCAGCTGCGTGCTGAGTGCCACGGCGCTGGACGGTGCGTGGGCACGTGACCCGTGGGTCGGTGGGGTGGGGGGGTGGGGGGTAATGCAGCGGCGGGAGCAGGCAGGGATACCGTATTCGTCCGCGTGCGCGTCAGAGCCGGAGGGGCTATGAGGGGAGGGGCTTATGGGGGCTTATGCGGGCTTATGGGGGTGCGCTGGGGGCTGGCTGGCTGGCTGCAGAGGCGTGCGGCGGTGCAAGATGTGGGCAGCGAGATGTGGGCGGGCGAGTGGGCGGGCATTGGGCTGCAGAGGGTTGCATACCCCACATCGCTCCACAACAGCACCACCACCACCTCCCACATGACTGGTAGACTCACTGTCCCCTCCCCTCCTCGGGGGTATACGACAATGGGCCGACCGCTCGCTACTCCCATGTCTGTCTGTTCTGCACGTCATTCCATGTTTTGACGCCAGTTGTTGGTTCCCTCGCGCGCCTCTAAGTTGACCATATTTGGTGTTCCTAGTGTAGAGTTTGCTAATGTAGAGTTTGCTAGTGTAGAGTTTGCTAATGTAGAGTTTGCTAGTGTAGAGTTTGCTAATGTAGAGTTTGCTAATGTAGAGTTTGCTAGTGTAGAGTTTGCTAATGTAGAGTTTGCTAATGTAGAGTTTGCTAATGTAGAGTTTGCTAATGTAGAGTTTGCTCACTACATGGGTTAGGACATCTCGTTTTCCCCCCGCCTCCTTCCCCTCGCCCCCCTCCCCCCCTCCTCCCCCCAGGCAAGGTGCTTCCCGCCCTGGAGTCGCTGCTCACGGAGGTGGCCCGCGTGCGGCTGCACGGCATAGGGCCCGCGGAGCTCAGCCGGGCAGTCAGCGAGCTGATAAGCGACATTGAGAATACGACACTCGAGGTGGGGTGTACGGCAGGTGTGCCGTCATGCGAGGCGGATGTGTACGACAAGGGGAGGTGTTGTACGGCGAACGGGATGGGGGCAGACGTAAGGCAGCGGAGGGGGTGTGTAATACGGAATGTTGTTCGTCGATTCCGCAAGGACAATTTGCGTGACATTAAAAGCTACTCGTACCGTGATGACTCATGCATGGCGGCAATGAAAGGCCCATCAAACCACACCGACACCCATCCGACGCACACCCATCCCCCTCCCCCTCCCCCTCCCCACGCCAATCTCCCCCCAAGGAGCTCCTTCCATACTTTGGCAGTTGTCGTCTTGTCCGTCCAGCTGTCCACATTCCCCCCCCATCCCCCCCCTTGCCAATCGTATATTCCCCCCTGCCACACATTGGAATCTCTTCTTTCCCCCCCCCTTCCCCCCCTCAGGCGGACCAGGGCTACTGTACGGACATCCGTGATGAGTACGTACGGCACTTCCTGTACGACGAGTTCGTGACGGGTCAGGAGTACGAGGCGCGGCTGAGTAAGGCGCTGGTGCCGCTGCTGAGCCGGGAGGAGGTGGAGGGGTGGGCGGGGCGGTGGAGGCACACGGACTCGTGTGTGGTCAAGGTGCGAGGGGGGAGGTGGAGGGGTGGGGGGAGGGGAGGGGATTAACATAAGGAAAACTGACGTACTGGATGACGAGGCTTCACCATGGGTTGGAAAGTAAACCCGGCCAATCCCGCCCCACCCGAATTAGGGGTGTGGGGTGGGTGGGTGGGAATTTGGGTAGTTACTATTGGATTAACCTCGATGATGTTTATAGGTAGCAGTATGTTAAGAAAACTGGCCGTGAGGGCTGTTAGTTGGTGCATCACACGACATCAACAGTGACCAACCAACCGTACCTGCTGCCCCCCCCCATTGCTTTGCCCTAACTTGTGGTCTCCTATGGTTTGGTATGGTCTTTGACCCCCCCAACAGGTGGTGGACCACTCCCGCAGCTGCACTGAGGAGCAACTCAAGCAGGTGGGGCTGGGGGGAGGGCGGGGGGTTTGAGGGGTGGGGGCTGGGGGGGAAGGGGGTATGTGGGGGAGGGGAAGAAGAGAAAACACATTGTTACGGGGAGTACGGGCAGAGGTGACAGGTTACAGCCGATCACGGTGCGCACATGCTACCCGCGTCCAAGCATCCATACGCGCCAAGACCGCCCCACCACCTTACCAGTCTGCATTCCTTCTACCCTAATGTAGAACAGTATGTGCATTAAAGTGTTCCATACCTGCCGTGTACGGGGCACACAACCATGTGTCGTACACCCCCGCGTTGGTTCGCGCTGACCCCTTTGTCGTACATTGCACACCCATGCGCTACTACTGCTACCGTACATGTTATAGTATATTTAATCACTTTACAACGTCGCCCCCATAGCAGCTGCCCAGCAGTGCATCTATCCTCGGTCGACAGCTGTGTCCAGTATTGTTTCGGGGCTCAGTTGAAGATACACGCGGCCTCCCCCCCCTCCCCCTCCCCCTCCCCCCCCCCAGGTGGTGGAGCGGGTGGCTGCTGCCGAGGCCGGTGGCTCCATCCCGCCCTGGCAGGAGCCGCCCGCGCCCGAGTCGCTGATGGCAGAGCTGCCGGAGCCGCTGCCGGTGGAGGAGGCGGTGGTGGGGGAGAGGTACTTCCCGGTGAGGGAGGAGGGGGGGGAGGGGGGAGCACCTTTCAAAGAATCAGGGGGGAGTACGACGGAAGGGAGTTGTGATATAGGTACACGTACGACACGTGCCTCATGCAAACCCCCCCCCTCCTCCCACTTCCCCTGCTGCAGGCCCCCCTGGATGTTACGGAGCTGACGCTGCGCAATGGCATGCGTGTGTGTTTCAAGAACACCGCCTTCATGCGGGATGAGGTGCACCTCACCGGCTTTGCAGTGGGGGGGCTCAGCGAGGTGTGCGGGGGGGGGAGGGGGGGCAGGGGGGGCAGGGGGGGGGAAGAAACTAACCGTGTGATAAGGCTCCTCCTTGGGGGGGGAGGGGAAAGGGGGAGGAAGCAAGCCGATTGAACACCGCAAGTTAAGGGAAACAGGAAGAGGCGTCGGGGTTACGGCCAAATCAAAGACCAGACCACTATAGCCTCGATTGGGCTCAAGGCGCCTTAGGAGGGTTAAGGGGGGTTCAGGAGGGTTCAGCGTGCGCCCTTCTTCTTCTCTACGTTCGCCGCATCGCTACCCCCCCTCCAACCCTCACCCGCACCTTCCTGCCACAATCCACTTAGGGACGTGCGTGCCTGCATTCCCCAACCACCCCACCACCGAACACGTACTGGTATGCCCTACAACAGCCTCTCTTTTCTTCACACATCCCCCGCTACCCCCCGCTACCCCCGCTACCCCCCCCACAGGTCCCCCGCGACTTCTTCCCCACCGCCTCCCTGTCCGGCACCCTGGCTGGGCACCTGGGGGTGTTCGGACACCGCCCCGACGTGCTGGGAGACATCCTGGCGGGCAGGAGGGTGGACCTGGAGCTGGCGGAGGGTGGGGGGGAAGGGGGGAGGGGGGGGAGGAGGTGTGTCTAACTGGCACTGACCGGCTGGGTGTATGTGGTGTGCGGGGGGGCAGGACTGAGGTGTGCTCGCGTGCGGCGAGTTGTGAATGTACGACATGGCGGGTTTTACCGGTTGTCGTACCCTTCCTTCACAAACCCCCTCCCCCCTCCTCACCTCCCCCCCCCCCCCAGGTGCCTACTACCGCACTCTGCGCGGCCTGCAGAGCCCGCACGACCTGGAGAGTGCCATGCAGCTGCTGCACCTGCTGTTCAGCACGCAGTGAGTGGGGGGGGGAGGGGGGAGGGGAGGGGGAGGGGGGCTAGCTGGGTTGCTCGCCCAGCCTCTCTCAGCGCCCTGCCACTCGCCCTGCCATAGCCCCTTTGCGTCTGACCTTCAGAATACGCAGTGAGGGGGGGTTGTTGTGGCTGGGAGAAGGGGGGAAAGAGGGTAAGGTGGAAGCAATGTATGACGGACGTTAAGACTCGGCTTCACCATGGGTTGCCACCGTACCATGGCTGGGGGGGGGGAGAAATTCCAATGTGTGGTGTGATAGTGGTAAAACTAGCTGACAAGCCCTAATGGGAAAACCGTGAGTCGAGCCGAACTGGTGACTGAAGCGTTGCGAGCTACTTACCGAACTTACCTATTACGGAGCAACCTTCCCATAGTCTTGGGCGTGCGTGGACGCGGCTGCAGGTGGATCCACCGCGCCGTCGGGCATAGGCAAACGACAGGAACAGCACAACGCGAGCACGCAAAAACATAGACTGACACACGATAAGACACGTACCTGCGTGCACAGGATATGGCTGGGGGGGGAGGCAAAGGGAGGGGCAGGGTAGGCGGACTGGGTCGCGAGGAAATATCGATCATGTGGGGTAGAGAATTTCCAAAGTGGCAAGACAATGGGATAAGGAAACACGATGGGGGAAAAGAGGATGCCCAAGTACACGGCAATGCTATCTTATACCCATGTACATTTTACCCCCACTAAGCACCCACCCACCCACCATCAGCATCCCCTTATAACACCCTGCCACCCACCCTACCCCCCCCCCCGCATCCCCCCCCCGCAGTGTTCGTCTTGTTCCCGAGGAGGTGGCAGTTGCGGTTCAGATGGTGCGACAGAGTCTGGAGGCTCAGCTTCGCAACCCGCTGCACGCCTACCACAGCCGCGTGCGGGCGGTCAACTACGGCGGCTGCTACTACTTCGAGCAACTGAGTCTGGAGGTGGGGGGGGGGAGGGTGGGGGGGTCAAAGACCATACCAAACCATAGGAGACCAGGTTAGGGCAAAGCAGTCTGGAGGTGGGGGGGATTAATGATGTGTGATATGTGGAAGTGGGGGGGAGGGGAAGGGGAGGGGGGAGGGGAAGGGGAGGGGGGAGGGGAAAAAGAGAAAACGGACGAGCTGTATGACAAGGCAGGAGAGAGGGGGGGAGGGGAGGGGGAGGGGAAGGGGAGGGGAGGGTTTCTGTGTTCATGATATCTCCCCAGCGGTCTTCATTGTGTTTTGGTAACTGCAAGTAAGCCAGGTGTAGCCATGCGACGGACCGACAATCCAACCAACCACCCTCCCCTCCTTTCCCCCTCCCTCTCCCCTCCTTTCCCCCGCTCCCCCTCCCCTCCTTTCCCCCCCCCTCCCTCTCCCCACCCAGGAGTTCGAGCGGGTGGACCCCGCCCTGGCTCTGGCCCACCACAACATGAGCTGGCGCAACCCAGGGGAGTTCACACTGGTGCTCACAGGTGGGGGGAGGAGGGGTGGGGGAGGGGGAGGGAGGGGGAGGGAGGGGTGATGTGTGTGTTTGCCGTACTGGATGTACGAATGGTGGGGTTGTGGTGTTGATGGCGGTTGAGGGGTGACGCACATGCAATGTGTAACCTAGCTGGCGATGTGCAGCCGGCGGACTGCAGGCTGAGTAGTGCTCCCCCAAACCCACCTGCGCCCCCCCCTACCACACCCCCCCCCCCCATGCCCCCCCCCCCCTCCCCCGCTGCTCCCCAGGCAACGTGGACCGCGCCTCCCTGCAGCCGCTGCTGTGCCGCTACCTGGCCACCCTGCCGCCCACCAGCATTCCCCCGCCCAAACCCGTCAAGGTAAGGGGAGGGAAGGGGAGGTAGGCAGGTAAGGGGAGGTAGGCAGGAGGCGACCAACGAACCGTGCGATAAGGCGGCAAGCGGGCAGGGCAGGTGTATCAGGAAGGAAGGGGTCCCACACGGGGGATAGCAGGGTGCCAGGCGGCGTGCAGACAGACAGAGGGCCACCCCGGTGGTCGCATGGACGTGGAAGGGAGGGGGGGAAGGGAGGGGGGGAAGGGAGGGGGGGAAGGGAGGGGGGGAAGGGAGGGGGGGAAGGGAGGGGGGGAAGGGAGGGGGGGAAGGGAGGGGGGGAAGGGAGGGGGGGAAGGGAGGGGGGGAAGGGAGGGGGGGAAGGGAGGGGGGGAAGGGAGGGGGGGAAGGGAGGGGGGGAAGGGAGGGGGGGAAGGGAGGGGGGGAAGGGAGGGGGGGAAGGGAGGGGGGGAAGGGAGGGGGGGAAGGGAGGGGGGGAAGGGAGGGGGGGAAGGGAGGGGGGGAAGGGAGGGGGGGAAGGGAGGGGGGAAGGGAGGGGGGAAGGGAGGGGGGAAGGGAGGGGGGAAGGGAGGGGGGGAAGGGAGGGGGGGAAGGGAGGGGGGAAGGGAGGGGGCGAAGGGGGGTGGGAAGAGGATGCCGGTAGATGATGGTGGCGGCTACCGAACACATGCGCACCTCCCCCCTTTACCCCTTACCCCGCCAACCCCTCCTCCCCCCCGCCTATGCCCACCCCAGGAGGTAACCCCCCTGCCGTACAGCTTCCCGGAGACCCCCGTGGTGGAGGATGTCAAGGTGGGTGGCTGTACGGCATACACACTGTGTATGGCACACACAGCTGTGTACGGCTTGCACAACTATGTATGGCACACAGCCCCTTTATGTCCCAGCACTCTTTGCGCCCGTCTCTGCCCTCATCCACCCGCCCCCTCCACCCAACCAGGGCACCGACTTCCGGGCTTCCTCCTCACCCCATCCCCCTTTGTCCTCTTCACCCCCACCCCCTTCTCTTCTTCACCCCATCCCTCCTTCTTCTCCTCACCCCTCCTCCCCCACCCCCGCCTCTCCCCCCCAGGTCTCCATGGTCTCCCCCGTGGCCCAGGCCCAGATCACCTTCCCGGTGCGCCTGCCCCGCCCCTCCGCGCGCGAGGAGCTGGTGTGGCTGTCGCTGGTGTGTCGGGCGGTGGAGACGCGGCTGCTGCAGCGCATGCGCTTCGTGGCGGGGGATGTGTACACGGTAGGGGGAGGGGGAGAGGGGGAGGTAGGGGGGGGGGGGGGGGGGGGGAGGGGGAGGGAGGGGGAAGGGGGGAGGGGAGGGGAGGGGAGGGGAGGGGAGGTTGGATGAGGGAAGGGTGTAGCGAGGAGTGTGTTTAGCATGGCTGCGTGAAAGCCGCTGGGCCGGCTAGGAGCGGTGGGAGGTACCGGTGCTGCTGCTAGGAAGCAGGGGGAGCAGCAGGAGGTGCAGGAGGTGCAGGGGGAGCAGCAGGAGGTGCAGGAGGTGCAGGAGGTGCAGGAGGTGCAGGAGGTGCAGGAGGTGCAGGGAGGGGTGTGACACGGGCCCGGGAGGGGGAGGGCGCCGGCACCGGCCCCGCCCTCCCGGCCCCCCCGCCCCCACGCCGCCTTCCTCCCGTGCCAACTCTTAACCCGCTCATCCTCCTGCCCCCTCCTCCCCCCCCTCTCCTCCTCCTCCTGCTGCCCCCTCTCCTCCTCTCGCCCCTCCTGCCCCCTCCTTCCCCCTCTCCTCCTCTCGCCCCTCCCCCCTGCTCAGGTGTCCGTGAGCCCCTTCTTCGGCTGCGTGGCTCCCAGTCTGGATGGTAAGGAGGGAAGGGCAGGGAGGGAGGGGGAGGAGGAGAGAGGTGGGAGGTGGGAGACCCTGTAACCCCCCCGAGGCACCCTTCCTACACACGCCCCATCATACCCTTTTCGTGCCCCCTGCCCCGCGCCCCGCGCCATGTCTGGGTGGGCAGTTTCGGGCAGTGGGAACTATGTTTCCTCCTTTCCCCCCTCCCACTTCCCCTCCCCCCTCCCCCCCGCACACCCCTCCAGGTGACCCGCAGGGTGATATTGCCATCGCCTTCTCCTGCGACCCGGCCAACAAGGAGCGGCTGGTGGGGCTGGTGATGCAGGAGGTGAGGGGGGCGGAGTTGTACCAGAACCACAGGGTACTACAAGGAGGTGGGGGTTGTACGGCGAGGGGTAAGAAGACAAGGGGGAGGAGGTGGAGTGCGAGCAGGGTGGGAGGAGATGAGGGAGGAGGAGGGGAGTGCAGGGTGGGGTCATGAGTGACGTAAGGGGAGGAGGCAGGTTAGTCGCCGACTGGCAGTCCTGCCTCTTCTGATGTCGTTCCCACGTCTCCCCCGCTAGTGCTGTGTTCCCCTGCACTCCGCCCTACCCACCACCCTACCCACCACCCTACCCCGGCCGCAAACCCCGTTTGCGCCCTTTCCCCCTCCATGTACTCCACGTGTTGGTTTCTCTTTGATCCCCCCAACCCCCCCTCAGATTGCCGTACTGCAATCCACGGATCTGAGCACTGCGGAGGTGGAGACACTGGTCAACCTGGATCGGCTGCAGTTCGAGGAGGGGCTGGTAGGGGGGGAGTTTTGGTTCAGTGACCCATGGGTCGGTGGAGTGGATTGTAGGTTCGTCAGCTCTCCCACTACTACCCCTCTCGACTCCGTTCCCCTCTTTCACCCACCCCCCCATGTCGTGTCTTACGCATGGACGGAGAGCAGTTCGTAGGCTGATCCCCTCATGTAATACCACGCCCCCACCCCCTATTGGGACTCGTTTCACTTATATAATTTTATCCCCAACCCCTCCAGGCTGAGAACAGCTACTGGCACGAGGTGATTGTGAGCGCCTACCAGTCCAAGAGCTACCAGCTGCTGGGTGGAGACCTGGGGGCGGTGTACGGCAAGAGCATGGAGGCGCGGGAGAAGGTGAGGAGGCGGGGGGGTGCGGTGAGGATGGGGGCAAGGACCTTCGAATTCCGTGAGCTCCGTGGTTAGCTGGACAGTAACTTTGCACTAGGATAACGAAGGGGGTCCGCCTATCAGCACACGCCTTTGTGCACCACGAGGCATGAAGAGCGCGAAACACCTGAAGCTGCCTCGCCACCACTCCTTATGTCCCTTGCCACACCCTACTTCGACACCTCCTCCTCCCTCCCTCCTTCGACATCTCCCTCCCCCCCTTCCTCCTCCCCCGTCATACAGTTCCTCTTTTCCTTTTACATCTTCCCTCCCTCCCCCCCTCCCCCCCCTTCCCCCCCCCCCAGGTGCTGTCCGCCTGCACCCCCGCCTCCATGCGCGAGGCCATGCGCCGCATCTTCCCGCTGCCGCCCACCTCCCGCTACACAGCCATCAGCATGCTGCCAAGGTAGGGGGCGGGAGGGGCCTGCAGTGTAGCACTGACCCACTGACCCGGAGAGACCCACGGGTCGCACGTAGAGGCGTATGGTATCAGTGGGTATATAGACTAGGGTGGGTTTGGACTTCAGTTACTGGCTGCACATGACACGAGGCAGCTTCTTCCCCCGCCTAGTGAACGATGCAGTAGTCGCGTGCCGCACAGTCGCGGAAATTCCCCCGTGTGTTGCATATCATACGGCAGCGTATGCGTTGCAGCAGTCCTAGGACTTCAAGCCGTGACGACGACCCCCTCCCCCCCTCTCGCTCGCTCCCAACATCCCACCCCGCACCTCCACCCACCCCCTGTAAGGCCCCCGGGTCTGCTGCGCCGCATCGGAGCTGCTCTGGCGGCCAGGTGGATGGGTACGGCAGGCGGCCTCGGCGCAACAGGAGGTACGGCAGATCTGGGTACGACAATGGGGGCGCCGGCGGAGGTGGCGGCAGCGACGGAGGCTCCGCCGCTGGTGGCGGCTGCCACCGCCGCAGCGCCGTTGCCGTCAGCAGCAGGCAGCAGTGGCGGGGGCGATGGGTGGTCGTACGGCAAGTATGGCGGTACGACAGGAGGCGTTGCGGTTGCTGCTGCGGTGGCGGTTGCAGCGGTTGGGACGGGCCTACTGTTTGTGTGGGCTAGGGGCGGGCTGGTGAGGCGGGGGTGAGGCGGGGGTGAGGGATGCTATTGCTGAGAAGGCACGTTACGTTCCGCAGGAGGAGGGTTGCTGAGCGCGTAGGTGCCTACATGTGGCGGCAGGTGTGATGGAGTGGTGGAAGGGGGTGGTGATGATGTGTTTTATTGGGAGGCGGGAAGTCGAGGTGAGGAGGCAAGAGGGGTTGGGGAAAGTGGAAGGTGGAGGGTGCGGCTGGGGACAGGGTAATGAGGGGAAGCGGTTGGAGGAGGGAGGGAAGAGGAAGTAGAAGGGCTGGTGAAACCGATAGGTGGTGGTGGTAGTGTAGGGAAGGAAGGGGAGGAAGCAGGATGAGGGTGAGGGCTTCTTACTTGGTCCCGTCCAGAGCGGTGAAGCTCTACAAGCCTAGACGGAGGTGCCCGAAGGTCCGAAGTGACCCTAGTATGTTGGCCACGCAATGATGCACACAAAACACTTGTTAACTGTAAGAAGCAGCAGTTGCCTCGGTCACAGCAGCAGTTGTCTCGGTCACAGCAGCATTTGTCTCGGTCACAGCAGCAGTTGTCTCGGGCACAGCAGCAGTTGTCTCGGGCACAGCAGCAGTAGCATTTGCTAACACAGCAGCTTGTCTCAACCGAACCGTCGTAGATGGTCATATGGGTGGTGTTGCGGTCCGTGTTTGGTGCAGGCAGGGTGCACACTGTCATGCTGCACTCAGCACCCCCCTGCCCGCTAGCACGAGGTACGGTAGGGTCAGGCGGCCTTGCAACTTGCGAGTCACACGCCTTATGCAATAATTACCCCTGAGTTACCCGCCATCCATGCATCGCAGACATCGGGCATGACGCAACACTCCATGCGGGCCATGTATCGAGGAGAGCCAGGAGGCAAGCGGCCCCTCGCAGGCCTTGAGCGCATGCATGCGGTGCAGCAGCCCAGGTGTCAAAGCCCACATGGCCACACGAGCAGAGGGGAGTTGCACCCGGCAGCAGCAGCAGCAGCAGCAGCCCCGCTCCAGCCGCACAGCTGCTGGGACACCCACGGACCGTGTCAAGGGTAGGCTGGAGAGATCAGACGGTCACGACGCAGGATGCGGTAATACACGCCCCGCCGGCATCAACACTCATCCCCCATACCGCCTTGTACGTTGGTTGGAATGCCAACATTGCTGCAACAAGCTACGCTTTCGTACGAGGATTCCCTGAGCACAGTAGGTCTATGAGGCCTTAGCAGTAGGGTCCACGAGGATGGCCTCGTGCCCCACCAGAGCCCCGGCTAGCTACCTGAGCCGTGTCTAGGAGAACCGAATGTCCTTATTGAGCCACCTACGCAGATCTGCACCCATGCGTCGGCCCGTAAGGAGACCCGACACAGGCTGACTTCGCTTCCTGTAGTGTCCTTGGCCCCCTGGGACATAACTTCACGCGCACCGACTCCAACTGCAGCATGCCAGCCAACAACGCGCATACTCGTAGCCACAAGGGCAAATGCATTGCAAGACACATACAGACGGCGGTAGGAGTGGGCAGAAGGTAACCAACACACACATGACGACAGATGGCGCGACACAGCAGGGGAGGGATGCGTGGACCAAACATCTCTGGCACCGGGGCTGGGGTCATCCCTAGATCGACCAGTTCAACTCTGGTATGGAAGAGATCTCTGTTTAGGTTTACGTTTAGGTTTTGGTTGGGTGGGATGAGGTATGGGTAGGGACTAGCATTGGAAGAAGTCACGAGGGGACAGACTGGAGGTAGGAGATTCCCCGCTAGGGATGTCACCATGCCACCCGTCAGGGTTGGCGACCACACACAGCTCCCCAACCATGTGCACCCAACCCTGGCACTGAGCCGCTGCCTTCAAGCCACGTGCAATTGTAGTCAAAACATAAAGAAATGAGAAGAAGGGTCCAGGAGAAAGGTGGTGTTGAAAAACACCGGATGTTGTTGACGTTGACAGGCCGCCTTCCTAAGCTGTCCTTAACCAACCCCCCTTCCGCACGTTTACGCGCGCTCGCCTCGGATGCGGCGGGCCAGCTGAATGTCCTTGGGCATGATGGTCACACGCTTGGCGTGGATGGCGCACAGGTTGGTGTCCTCGAACAGGCCGACCAGGTAGGCCTCAGCAGCCTCCTGCAGCGCCAGCACGGCCTGGCTCTGGAAGCGTAGGTCGGTCTTGAAATCCTGAGCAATCTCCCTCACCAGACGCTGGAAGGGGAGCTTGCGGATCAAAAGTTCCGTGCTCTTCTGGTATTTACGGATCTCCCGCAGGGCCACGGTCCCCGGACGGTACCTGTAGTGAGGGACATGGAGGGGGGTTGGGGGGGGAGGGGTGGGGAGGGGGGCGGGGGGAGGGGGGGCGGGGGGAGGGGGGGGGGGGTGTTTGGGGGGGTTCAGGGGTATGGAAGGGAGGGATGCTGTCTAGATTTGCTGTGCTTGTAAAACAAAACTCGTTATAGAGGTGTGGAGGCCTCTGGGATGGCTTTGCTACACATGCGGTGGTTCTAGTAAGCGACCGTCGGGAGGGCAGCGAACAATCGCATGCACCTCAAGAGCCCTTGACCGCCAACTTAACATATTATTTACGTTGCTTGCTTTTTAAAGCATGCCGTTATTATTACCTGTGCGGCTTCTTGACACCACCCGTTGCGGGAGTCTTGCGCGCAGCCTTGGTAGCCAGCTGCTTCCTTGGGGCCTTGCCGCCGGTAGACTTGCGGGCAGTTTGCTTGGTGCGGGCCATTTCTATTAGAGAACCGAAAGGAGTGATTAAGATACAAATTACTGACTGAGTTTGATAGAAATCTATGGGAAAAGTGGCCTTTTGTAGCCGTCTGTTAAGCTGTCGTTCAATTTGCCCCGTCGTACGGCTGCCCGATCCCGCTGACCCGGTGACCCGGTGACCCACAACTGCAACGAAGCTATAAAGCTGTCTATAATACTACTTCATATTATATACTGTTAGCGTTTGTAAGGATTCCTTTTATTCCTAACTAATTTGTACAAACAATGTCTGGACGTGGCAAGGGTGGCAAGGGCCTGGGAAAGGGTGGCGCAAAGCGTCACCGCAAGGTTCTACGCGATAACATCCAGGGCATTACCAAGCCCGCCATCCGTCGTTTGGCTCGTCGCGGTGGTGTCAAGCGTATCAGCGGTCTCATTTACGAGGAGACGCGCACTGTGCTGAAGACTTTCCTGGAGAACGTTATCAGGGACTCGGTCACGTACACCGAGCACGCTCGTCGTAAGACTGTGACCGCCATGGACGTGGTCTACGCATTGAAGCGCCAGGGCCGCACCCTTTACGGCTTTGGTGGCTAAGCTGTCTGGTGGCTGAAGCTCTCCAGAACCAAGGATAGGCAAAGAGCCCCTCTTACAATCGGTGTTTATTAACACCACCAAACGGGAAACTTTGCATGCTGACCATCTCAACCGCCGCATTTCTCCTTCATTCCTTGGGCTATTCAGCATTAAGCAGCCAGGCTGGAAGTGTTATGTACGCTCACCACTGAGGGGTGTCTATTACCAACCAAGGGGTCTCAACACTTTACCCTATGATCTGGGCTCTGCCTTGTAGCTGGCCACTATACGCGAATTGCTACATTTTGCAAAGTCACCTAATACGTGTCCATGGGTGGTGGGGCTTGGTGACACACGGTAACACGACTTTGCTAAACGGGACGCATGCAAACCTCGGGGATGGGGCAAACCGGTGGACGGCTTCTCAGGGGCCCTCATTAACTGACATCCGAGGTCGGCCGCAGCTCACCTTAGCCCTAGCTATAGGGTTAGATTCAACGCCGGGTAGCCTTCCAGGACGAATGGTTAACATAGGTTCACAGGGCATTTGCACCGCTAAGGCATTCGAGTTGACTGCATAGACCAGCATCCACGGCATGTACCTGAGTGCACACACGAGCAGGGTTTCGACTTTGGTTTAACGCGTGCCTGTGCCGTGGCGTCTTCCCGAGACTATCCCGTGCATGTACACGCAGGTCGGGAAGCGCAGCTTTCTATGTCACCATCCGGAGATTCACCCTCGCAACCTGTTGTACACCCTTGTGGCGCGGGTCGTAATCCACATATTGATATTTTAAGGTTGACCCAAATCACAACGTGAATGCAACAACGGCAACCCCCCTTTTGCGTGTAGGTGATCATAAGAGGAGACCTAGCCAGGTAGTCCGCATGGCCGGTAGTTGTCATTTCACCTATCAAAAATAGTGGCACGATGGGCTCTGAACATGCATCCAGCATGTAATACACACGTGTGATGCATAAATAGATTATGTAACGCCGGCTAGAGGCGCTTCGTCTGCTGGTTTCGCTGGTCATGGCGGAGGTTGTTGCTGGCCGCGGACATGGGCCGTCGCGTGGTAAGTGTATACGCCATGGGTTGTCGTTCATGCTATCGTGCTTACGGCGAGCAGCACTATTGTGATCCCGGGACACTTGCATTTACACTTTCCTTAGCGGTGTCACCAAGACAGTAATGTCACCTAGTTGGTTAAGAGTTCAATACACTGCCAGATTATAATGCTAGTTGCGTTAACATGCCTGCTTTGCAGCCACGGCACCGAGGCTTCTTGGTGCCCAAGCCCGGGATGGTGCCCCTACTCTGGCCCCAGCGCAACCTGCAGTTACAGCATCAGCTGGAGCTCCTGCGACAGAAACCCCGTCGATACGGCCTAGCATACTGTGCAGCAGGGAAGGCGGCTCCAGCAGCTCCGGGTATGCCACATCTGCTGATGCCCAGACATCTGCTCAAGCTGCGGATCGCCCCAAAGCGCCCGCAGTCAGTAGCCACCAGCAGCCATCCAGGTTACTGCTTGGAGTTGGCTTGCCGCAAGGATCCTCGCAAGACCGCGTTCCTACGCAGGCGCTGCCACCGCTGTCACCTGGTGGCCAGTCGGTGCCAGCGGCAACTGTGCAGAGGACACTCAGCAGCGCCGGCGGTCGCGGCCTGGTCTCCAGCGCTGCTGCCGGCGGCGGTGCTGCGGGCAGGCCGCCCCGTGCCAAGCCCTTAGCCGTCTGTGGCGGAGGCGGCGCAGCTGCTGGCGGCGACACCAGGGCGGGACTGTCCCTATCGGCTACGGGGACGTCGACATCAGATCGGCGGCGGTCGCAGCTGGGGGTTACTCCTTCACTTGACCGTGCAAGGATGGGAACAGTGGCTGGTAGCAGCGGTCGTGGTAGCAGCAGCGGCGGCGTCAGTGGCGGTAGCTCGGGTGGTGGCATCAGCGGTTCCGGAGGGGGTATGGGCGGCCGCACCGGCAGCGGCTCCTCGTCCTCCTCCTCTGGTGCTGCTGGCGGTATCCGCGGATCTGGCGTAGCAGCGGGTGTACGGCAGAAGTCCCGCCGTACTGGACCGGTGGCAGGTGAGGTGCTTACAACAACCCTAGGAATGAGGGAAAGGACAGCGCGACACAAATTACCTCGCCCGCATGTAATTCGGCGCTTGTTGTACAGCATTCTCCCTACACCGCAACCCCGCCCGCAGGCCCCAACAGCGCTGCCGCACGTGCCGCTGAGGCACGTGCCGCCGCTGCGGCAGCCGAAGCCGCCTTAGACGCTGCTGCTGGCACCGCCGCCAGCATCGCACCCGCTGCTGCGGATGCCGCTACTGCTGCTGCTTCTGCTGCCGCAGCCGGCCCCTCGGCCCCTAGGGGCAACGAGGAAAACAGCCCCGCCCCGCAGACGCCTGCTGCGACTAGCTCTGGTGGAAGCGGAGGAATCGCCGGCGGCTCACTTAATGCCAGACGTAGCGGCGGCGGCGTCTCGGCGTCTTCCACATTGCATTCAGGAGGAGTAGCAGCCGATGATGGAGTAGCAGGCCATGCAGCGCCTGCCGCGCTGCAGAGGCGGCCGTCACGGCTGCTGTCGTCCTACACGTCATTGTCTAGTAGCAACGGCGGCGGTGGTGCTTTGATTCCCACACTCCCAATCTCCACCACCTTTCCGGCCATGAGCAGCACGACCCCACTCCACCGCTCACCTGCTCTTGCGACGCCGGCGTCTCCATCGCATCGCGGCAGTGCTGCTGGTGGCGGTGCCGCCGCTGCTGCTGCTGCTGACGGCGCCGGCACCGCTGTGGCAGAGCTCCGCCCGTCCGCGTCCCGTGGTGCAGCTGCAGCAGCTGCGGCCTCCTCACCAGCCCAGCCACCATCTACACGACAGCAGGACACCGGTACCGTGCTCTACTACCGTCAGATCCCAGACCAACACCCTCATCAGCAGATCCAACAATCGCCGCCGCCGCAGCCGCTGCAGCAGCAGCAGCAGGACCGCCCACCGCCGCACCCGCCGCCATCGCCGCCACCGCTACAGCGTCAAGTAGGGCCGATAGCGCTTTCCATCGGGCCCTTATCCATGTTTGGTCCGCTCGCTGCTACCACTGCCGCAGCTCCACTCCTTCAACCCTCCATGTCAGCCCGGCGACCCTCAATATCGACTTCGCCTTCGTTGTCGACGTCTGCGCCGCCGCCACCACCACCGTCAACGTCCTCGGCGTCAGCTTCGGCTGCGCCGCCGACGGCGGCGGCGGCGCCGACGGCATCCACCCCACTGCGTCGGGCACTGACTCCGCCAAACATCTCCGCACAGCTGCCGTCAGCATCAGCGTCGGCGACAGCGCCGTCGGGAGCTGTACGACAAGCTTCGACAGCTGAACCAGCTACATCTGCACGCGGGGAAGCTGTTGGATTGCCGCGTGCAGCTTCGTCGTCAACGATGGCGTCGATCCCAATGCGGCCCTCTTCGCAACGCTCCTCCGATTCAGCCGCCTCTGCGACGGCGATTGCGCGTACGGCGCTGGGGGGGCCGGCGGCAGCGACAGCGGCGGTATCATCGCTACACGTTGCCGCCGCCACTGGCTCCTCGACAGCCGCGGCAGGGCGTGGTGGTGGTGTTGCCGCTGCCGCTATCACACACGGCAGCGGTACGGCACATGGCAGTAGCAGCAGCAGCGCTACCACCTCTTCCGCTGCTGCCAGGACGAGCAACACACGGGCGGCGGGTGTGGGCGCGAGTGCGCCTTCTCGCGGCGCGGTCGCTGGGAGTAGAAGAGCGGCGTTGGCACCCAATGGATCTGCCGCCGCCAGTGGCGCCAATGGCGGTGGCGGTGGTGCCGGGCGACGTGCGAGCGGGAGTACGAACGGAGGCGGCGGCATGCGGGCTGGCGGCCGCAGCGGCAGCGGCAGTAGAGGTGGCAGCAGTAGCGGCGGGGTTTCGCGGGAGGGCAGAAGCGGCATGCGGCGGGCTTCAGGCGCGTCGTCGTCAGAAGCGGCGGTTGACGGCGCCGCCGCCGCCACCCTATCGGTTCCCTTCCTTAGGATTGCTGGTGGCGGCATTGGCGGCGGCGGTGCTGCCGACGCCATGTACGACAACATGATGTACGGCAACGAGTACGGTCGCGATAATGGGGATGTGAATGACAGCGACGATGAGGTGGACGTCGATGGGTTTGATAGCTTGTTTGTGTCGTACAGAGAACAGCGGGAAAGACAGCGGCAGCAGCATCTGCAGCAGCCGCCACGCCAACTACTTCAACCGCGATCGCAACAGGTGCATTTAGATCCGCACAACGGTCTTGGTTTGTACGGCAACCGGCAGTTGGTCGGCAACTATAACCACAACGACCAAGACGCTGCAACATCCTCGGGTGCTTCGGCAACCGCCGCCTCCCTACATGCACATGCCCACATGCCTCGACGGCAGCCCCACCCGCCGACAACGTCAAGCCCCCTGACCGCCGTACACGACCTCCGTCGCCGGCGCCGTCAACACGCCGCCGACAGCGACAGCGATGAAGACGACGACGGCGGCGGCGCCGACGGCGTTGAGAGTCGACGCCGCGCCGGCGTTGGACTTTGGCTTGACGACGCGCGCCGACGCGCCGCCGAGCGCGACGACGACGGCGTCCTCGGCGGCGGCGCATTCATGTTCAGCGGCGATCGCGGTGGCGGCGGCGGCGGCTTTCGGGATCGTTTTGTATTAGACATGATCCGGCGGCGAGACATGGAGCGAGCGGCGTTGCTGCAGTTGCTGATGGCGGGAGGGGAGGAGGAGCTGCTGCGGCAGGTGGGGCCTGGGGCTGGTGAGGGGGAGGGGGAGTGGGGCGGACGTTGCTAAGGATTGACCAGGATGGACTGGCAGCCTGCAAGCAGCACGGTGTGCGTGCGTACAGCTGGCGGGCGATAGGGGGGACTTGGCAGCTGCGGAAGGGGGACTTGGCGGCAGAGGCTGTGGGGTCGGTGAAGGGGTTGTGAAGGGCGACTTTTTGTGTGACGGAAGAGGGTGGCTTAGGTACAGGCAAGGATCTGCCTAACCTTGTCTTAGCCTCGTTTTACCTAGGGTAACCCCACCCCACTCACCCCAACCGCATACCGCAGGCGGAGGAGGAGCAGCTGGCACTAGGTGCGTGCCTCGCAACTCGGGGGTGGCGCTGATTGTACCAATGGTACTGCGTTACTGTGCAGTGCCGTACAATGCACCCTTTGCCGTGCAGCGCGTGCTATGCTGCGCCGCGCCCCTGTACATGGGTGGAAAGGCTTGATCGGGAAAAGCTGGCTTGAGTACTGTGGTGCAGGCGCTTGAGCGGTCTCCTTCTATGTCCTCCCAGACGTACATTCCCTCTCCCCACCCGACCTATCCTTGCATGCAAGCATTTCTCCTACCCCTAGGCACCATCACTTTTAACATACCCCCGCTTCGCCTGTGTCCGTCCCTCCCTCCCTCGACCGCTCCTTTCCGTACTGCAGCCCTTACGCTGTCTCTCCAGGAGGCGGGAGCCGCCGGCAGCAGCAGCAGCGGTAGCGGCGGCCTGAGCGCTGAGCCGAGAGTCAGCATTGCCGACGTGGCGCCGCGTCGTGCCATCGCGGCCCTGCAGATGGCCCGTGGGTCACTCCTGGAAATAGCGGCTGCGGCTGCGGCAGCCGCAGCTGAGGCTGCTGCTGCCGCGGATGCTGACTTCCCGAGCTATGAGGAGCTGTTGACACTGGAGGATGTAAAGGTCACCACGCCGCAGGTGAGCTGGCGCCCCATGCGCCTGGGTTACAAACCGCCACATCCGATTCCTGTCGTCGTTGCCCATGTGGGTTGAAGTGCTGTGCGGCGCGCGCTGATGCTGCACACCTGGCACGGTGCGGCGGAGGTACTAGATGACGACGAGCCGCTCGCGCCTGCATGCGTGTCGCTACCGGTTCTTAACCCGCCTGTTCCATGCTTCCGCCTGTTTCATACGATGCATGATGTTGGGTTGCAGGAAGTGCTGGACGCCCTGCCGTACATCACGTACGAGGGCGACCGCGGAGCGTCAGACGGGTAGGTGGCGGAGATGGAGTGAGGGGGTGCACCGGGTATAACGAGGTATGCTGCTGCTGTCCATCCATCCGTACTCCACTACTGCTACCGCTACTCCTACTAGACACGAACTAAACAAAACTTGCAAAGCAGCCAGCAACATGTACCTCGCCTCCCTCTTCCACCATGCACGTGCCCATGCCCGTGCTCATACCCACTTTGCTGCACCAAACTACCATATTGGGTGGCTTCACCGCAATCCTCCCCTCCGCTGCGCCCGCATCACCTGCAGTGCACCTAACTCACCTCGCACGCACCAAACCGTACCCAACCCCGCGTCACCCGGCCCCCATGCATCGCCATTGCCCGGTTCGCTCTCTCCCCAACCCCCTCACCTCCTCCTCCTCCCGCTCCGCCCCCTCCCCTCGCGCTGCCTCCTCCCCAGCACCTGCGCCATCTGCCAGTGCGACTACCAGCGCGGCGAGCGGCTGGTCCGGCTGCCCTGCGGCCACATGCTGCATGCGGAGTGCGGCGGGCAGTGGCTGGGAGGCTACTCCAAGAAGTGCCCCATCTGCAAGCAGGCGGTGTGCTGAGGAGGCAGGGAGGAGGCAGGCATGAAGGCGCGGTGGGCTGGTGGGCAAGGGTGGAACGCAAGCCGGCATGCGGGGCCTGTCTGCACGCCTACATACGGAGTGCGGCAGAGGTTGGGGAACTGTTTCCTGACGTGCGTTGGTGTGTACAGAGCTACGGACTAGCGTTAGGCTGTCTGCAATTCGAGGATAGCTTACGCCGTAGGTTAGGGCTATTTGTTTGAACCCTCTTGGGGGATACTGCTGTGTAAGCAGCGACCAAAGTGTGTGGCTCTTCAGGTGCTACTGGCATGCATGTGTTATTCATTCATTCGCTGGCGTGCGCTGCATCCTGCATGGGAGAGGTGGGTGAGAGACCCATTTAGCGTCGTGAGGTGAAGCACAGGGGTTTACGAGGATAAGCAAAGGATGACTACAGGCCCCACTACCAACCGCCGGTGTGCAAGGAGTGCACGTGGGCAGGGGATGGCGGCTAACGTATGAGCAGCTGTGCGGGTGTCTTCACTTGTTTGCTGGGTGTTGCTTGCTGGGAAGCGAAGCGGTGGTGGAAGGTGGAGAAGTGGTCCTTGTCTTCCTACGCCTGGTGGCGCGCGAGGCGGCTTGATGCAGCAGGGCCGTCGAGCTTTGCAACCCTTCCTTACCTAATCGAGGGTTATGAAGGCGCGTGACGCTTGTTGCATGGCGTGCTTAGTGCATTCTTCCCATAAAACTCATGCTAACGCAGCACATGCAGCCCGTGAAGGCTTGGACACGGAGGGCCGCTCAGAACGCGAAAGCGGGCGCAAGAAAGATCAGTCCTTCTTCCTCCTTGAGGCATCTGTACAGGACGGCTTCGAACTTGGCTAGTTATGGAGGAAAGCGCCTGGCTTGGGTGTTTACCGCTGCTCTGGCTCCATGCACGATTGGTTGGCCCAGGCAGGGTGAGTGGCGCAGCACACGGTCATCCATGCGTGCTCGGCACGCTTCTTTATATACCCTGTGCTTTACCCCGGTTACTCTTCCACTTGCGCCTCGACAACGCGCCCAACGTTTCGAGTGTAGGAATATTGAGGCTGTCTAAGAACCGTAAATGTGTGTTGGATGGCATGTAGGCATGCGGCGTGCTAAGCACTGAAAGGCAAGGACGCGCTCTTCATGGCTTGGGCGCGGCACGCGGCATGCAGCACACGATATGCAAGTCAGAAGGGTAGAAGTCCTGAGGCTCGGTCGCGTTGCCAACCCCAAGGTGCCAAGGCTTCCTAGGACTGTAAGCCGTTAGCACCTCAGCAGGAGGGGGAGTTGAAGAAGGGCAAGCGCTGCAGCTTTTCTTAAGCGTGCCAAGACTGCCATCTTCTCTTGCGTCCTAGGCGTCGCCGTGTCAATGATGATAAGACACGGAACACTATCTCCCTTGTAAGCACATTTTTGGAAGCGTCATGTGCCGTGTTACCGCACGTATTCTTACCGTCTCCTATGTTTGTCTTACGGACGCCTCACCGTAGATTCCCTAACATTGTTCGGCTGCTGAGCATAACAAGCAACAATGCTTAAAGATATAAGGCCAACCGCTTAATGGATGTATGGAGGCCTAAGATATGCTGCCCCACGATGCCCCGAGCATGCAGTACCGGTAGTGCGAAACCGGGCATTGAACACTTATGCTTGTGTTTTTAATGCATGCATAGGGGCGCAAATAAATGGCCAAAGCAGCTTGGTTTTGCCGCAACCTGGCGCCTTTCCACCGGGTGCTTGGCATTCATGGCATACGGTCGTCCCAGCATCGTAGCATTGGGCATGCCAGGAAAGCTTTTTATTGTAGGAAGGACAGACCGGCTGAATACTAACCGTCATGGCAAAGCTTAAGTCACGAGTGAAACCCTCTTGCCGGAGTGCGGCAACTCATGGTGGGAAGAAGTAGACAGCCATGTGGACAATCCTGCCATAGCATCATGAAGTCTTATTGCACATCTCATCATTTTTCTTGCGATGCCCCATCCGAGGCGTCGTTACGAGGACCGGTGTCCGTTACCGGAGTGAGATGGACCCCGTGCCCTTAGCGGTATTAATATCTAACACTTTGTAGTTGTTAAAAGCCTTTAAGCCTATATTTTCTTTCAAGTTTCGTAGTGAGTGACATCCTGTACTCCATACGTACGACTTCCATGCCGCACAAGTGCGTGTGCCATGAACTTTGGTCATACATGAGTTTCGGTCATTATATATCCTTAAATGTGTTAGCCCTTGAATTGCACTGTTGGGCTGGGACGCTACTGGCCACTGGTATTTTGCCTTTTTGGTTTGGCCTCCCGCTTGGCAAGGCCCTGCTCCTTGGAAGTCCAAGGAGGCAATATTAGGTGAGAGGTTGCAAGTGCTGTATTGGAGGTCACCCCCTGGGTTGGCGCCGATGGGCCTGCCAGCTTCTTAACCTGAAAAATTAACAAGGTGTCCTCAGCATCATGTCCATTTTCTGAGATTGCTCTTTGGCTACGTTGGTTGTCAAGCCGGGATGTACTGTATTCGGCGCTTTGACTTAGGTCATGTTCCGCCGCGTTTCGAGATTCCTTGACCGGACGGCGGGCTAGCATGCATACAATATTGACTTAATATTATGCTCAGATCCGGGGTTCTACTGCTTTCCGCACCTGCAGGAGCTGCGAATGTCTTTGCCGATGCGATCGCCTGCGGCGGGCTTCTAGCACGCGGGGAACGCAGGGCCCAATTTATGTGGCATAGCGGACAAGTGTCACAGCAGCAATATAACAATCAACGCACGCCATTACAACAACAACAAACTCATGGACAGCAGGATTTCTCAGCTGCAGCTGCAGCAGCAAGCCCAGGCGCCTGGGGCAGGGCTTTGCTTCCAGCCGGCTCCAGCGTCTCAACTGCTGGGTCGCAGCAGTACTCTCCAACTGGAGGACTCGTGTTACCTACCCAGTACCTGCCTGGGATACCGTTTGCTGTACCGGGTCTGCACCAGCAGCCAACACAGCTTGCGGGCGCCCTGCCACAGCAACAACAAGCTCTCCAGCCACTGTTCGCGCAACAGCAGTTCCAGATGCAGCCCCAGCAGCAAACGCAGAGTGCTGTTGCACACTCGTCGCTTCAGCAAACACTGCAGCAGCAACAGCAGCAGCAGCTTTGGCAGGTGCAGCAAGCTTGGATTATTACGCAGCAGCAACAGTCACAATTGGTGGTACAGCAGCCGCAGGTGCAACAACAGACCTTACGCCAGCAGCAGCAACCGTACCAGCGGCAGCAGCAACCTCCCCAACAGCAACAACAACGGGCTTTCCAGCGTCAACAACAGCAACAAGCTGTGTTGCCGGAGCAGTCTCCTGCCGTACAACCGCCACCCCAACGCCATCAACAACCGATCCTACAACAACAGCAGCTTGCACCCCAGCAACGGCACGTGCAGGCTGCCCCCACCAACATTCACCAGATAGCCCCAACCGGCACCACCGCCGGAGGGCGTGGCTGGGGTGGTCAACGCCTTCCCTATCCCGGCCATCATGAATCCTCCTCTGCTGCCGCCGGTGGTGGCGGAGACCCCCACACTGGTGGTGGCGGCGGCGGCAGGGGTCGCGGCCGTGGCGGCGGGCCCTCCGGTCGCGGCTGGCGTGATGCTGGTGGTGGTGGCCGCGGCGGCGGCGGCCGGGGTGGTGGTGGCAGTCCCAGCGCTGACGTCATCGTCAACAACCTCCTGGCCGCCATCCGGCATCTGCACCCTTCCACGCCCATACATGAGGCCCTGGGCAGCCGTCTGGCGGAACTCGACAGTCGCGGATTGGCCTCACTGGTTAAGCAACTGTCCGTCAGTGGCATGTCTGGTCGCGCATGGGAGCTGTTTGACTGGCTCCGGAACCTGGATCCAAACCATGAGCTGGCTCGCCGACTCCTGGATGTCTTCGTGTACACCGCCATGATATCGCTTTGCAGCAGCAGCAGTGCCGGCGGCGGCGGTCGGCTGGGTGATGCGGATGTTGCGTTGGCGCTGAGTCGTGAGATGGTGGCCCGTGGCGTGCCTCGCAACGTGCACACCTTTTCCGCTCTCATGAACGTGTGCATCAAGGCGGGGCAGCACCAGTCGGCGCTGGAGGTGTGGCGGGAGCTGCAGGAGGCGGGCTGCCGGCCTAATGTGAGCTGGGGCTGGGGACTTGGGGGCTGGGTCTCAGGTCTGTGTTTCGTGGTCGGGGGCTGAATTTGCTAAGCACCAGGTATGGTCTTTACGTGTAGTAATGGCGCCGTGAGCGGGATTGTGAGCGCGTTCAACCATGCCTGGTTTGTGGGGGTTGGTGGGTTGGAGGTCTTTGCCATGCGCCCAGTGCCGTACCTATTTCCTCATCTTTTGTGCATGCATTGTTGCCGTACAGGTTGTGACGTACAACACTCTTCTGGATGCGTACGGCAAGACGGGCCAGTGGGCCGAGGCACTCAAGGTCCTTGCGAGGATGAAGGAGGAGGTAAGCGGTTCTGTTTCTGTTTGGGGTTGGGCGCGTCATGAGTAATAAAGTTGTTAAGTTTGGCAAACCAACCAAACCTTTAACAAGTATCTGCAGCGTTAGTGTTTCAAGGGGGTGTCGTTACCGTCACTCCATACCTCGTCCCTCCCCCCTTCCCTGCCGTATACGTCCCTTCATGCCCTCCTCCTTCTGCCGTACCTCTGCACCCCGTGCCGTGCCTCCTCTCCCCCCCCCCCCAGGGCATGGAGCCGGTGACCCGCACCTACAACACGCTCATGATCGCCTGCAACGCCTCCAACCAGTGGCACGAGGCGCTGGGGGTGTACCAGCAGCTGCTGGCGGCCGGGCACTCGCCCAACACCACCACCTACAACGCGCTCATCACGGCATACAGCAAGGCGGGGAGGCTGGAGAAGGTGCTGGAGACGATGAGGGAGATGGTGAGGGGGTTGGAGGGGTGGTGTGGGTGTGGTGAGGGGGGCGCTAGGTATGCGACAGGAAGGGAATAAGAGGGGGGGTAGGGTATACGGATGCGAGGACACTAAGGGTGTGCATGGCAGCACGGGTGGCCTATGCTTGTGGGTGAGGAGCTTGTGGGTGGTGCTGGGGGCTACGCGAGAAATGGTAAAGAGAAGGAGGATGTAGCTGAATGATGTGTATTGTTGACCCCTTGCCACCCACTCACCTACCTACCATCCCCTTTCCTTCCTTTTCCTGCTTCTTCCTTGCCATCCAACCCTACCAGCCCTACCCCAAACCATTCGCCTCCCACCATATCCCCCTCCCACCCATTCCCCCCTCCCCTCCCCCCCTTGCAGGAGGCTGCCGGCTGCGAGCGCACCGTCATCACCTACTCCGCACTCATCTCCGCATGCGAGCGCGACGGGCAGTGGGAGCTGGCGCTGCGCATGTTTGGTGCCATGCGGGCGGAGGGCTGCGAGCCCAACGTCATCACCTACAACAGCCTCATCACCGCGCTGGCTGCGGGGGCGCAGTGGGAGCGGGCGGCGGAGGTGTTTGGACAGCTGCAGAGGCAGCCGGTGAGGATGGAATTGTACAGAGCATCAATGCCGCAGCAACCACCTTTGCTTAGCATACGGGATTCAGAGCCGTGCGTTGTCCGGTGACTCCATGGTCGGCCTTTTCGCTCCTTGGCTATGATGGATGCAACCACCTTAACACGTGACTTAAATCATACCCTTGTATTACATCACCTCCCCTCTTGTACCCCCCATTAGTTGCAAGCTGCTCCCACGCACTGTCACACATTCAATCGCTGCCTCCTGACACCCCTCCCGCCCATCCCTCCCAGGGTTGCGAGCCCGACGTCGTGACCTACACCGCCCTCATCAACGCCTACGAGAAGGGCGGCCAGTGGCGCCGCGCGCTGCAGGCCTTCGCCCACATGCTGCAACAGGGCTGCCGTACAGATCACGTTGTGTTTGCCGCCGTCGTGGACGCCCTGTGGGACAGCGGCGTCGCGCCGGCGCAGGCGCGGGCTGCACGGATCTACCGCGCGGCGCTCACTCGCGGGCTGGTCAAGCCGCTGACTGCTACCGCCCCCGCTGCAGCTGGTGGGGATGCGCCCGCCTCCGGGGGTGAGGGGGCCGCTGCTGGTGGTGCTGCAGGAGGAGGAGGCAGTGGTGGCGGTGGAGCAGCTGCTGGTGCGGAGCTGCATGAGCTGCACCTGGGGGCGATGGCGACTGGGTCGGCGGTGGCGGCGTTCATGTGCTTCCTGGCGGATGCGAGGTGAGGGGCAGCGGGAGGAGCGGGGAGAGCGGGGTACGGCCGGCCGACAGCATAGGAGCATGGCAGGCAGGCGGCAGGGAAGGACATTGTAGACCCATCATCGCTACCGTCATTACCTACCTCCGGCTTCGGATCACACACACTGCTGACCTTGGTCGTTACTCTACTAGCTCACTCATTATCTTACTTCCAACCCTTCCCGTACACCGACCTCTTTTTACATCTGCAGGGACCGAGCCATCTCTTCGGGCCCCGAGGCGGCCCTGCCGCGGCGCCTTGTACTGCGCTTCGGTCGCTCGCGCTCTGGCCGCGACGGCGGCCCCGCGCTTCCGCTCCGAGAGGCCCTCCAGAACTGGCTGACGACCCGTGGGTCACCTTTCCAAGTGCTGTACGACGCAGTTGCTTCTCCCACCGTAAGCACCGTCGGCAGCGCAAGTGCCGCCGCCGTTGCTGCTGTAGCTGCAGGCGTGGCAGCCGCCGGTGCGCCGGGCGTGCCGTCATTGGCCGCCGCTGCAGCCTCCGCGGCGGCAGCGCCGCCGGTGTCGCGTCTGGAGGCCGCCGGCGCCGACCTTGCGCTGTGGTTGCTGGGTGATTCCGCCGCGGCGGCGCTAGTGCCGTACGGCCGCGTCGGTGTGGGCAGCGGGGGCGATGCGGTGGCGGCGGCGCTGGAGGCGGCGGAGCAGGAGATGGCGGAGGATGCTGCGTTGGAGGTAGGCGAAGCTTCGGGTTAAGGAGGGATATGATGAGAGGGAAGGCAATGAGAGGACTGCGGGTCACGTGTCCCGCTCCAGATGTTTCTTGTTCCATTCCGGATTGGCCCCACCCTCGCTTTACGTGCAACAACTCTCTCGAACTCCTTGAATATTACGCTGATCCTTACCAGTTGCCACCACCCCTAAAAACCAATGCCGTTGCCCCTAACCTACCATCCCCTCCCCCCTGTACCCCAACCCTACACACGACCACAGGCTACCTGCCGCGCTAGCTTCGAAGAGGTCCGTCGCTTCGAGGGCTCCCACTGCCTCTCCGTCATTGCCATGGGCCCCGCCTACCTTGCCCGCCGTGCCGACCTGGTCGCCAACATGCTCCAAGTCGCCGCCGCGCTGCAACTGCCGTACGACGCAACCCTCGATGCCGTACTGCTGCTCGACCGCCTCATGTCCTCCGGGCCTCAGCTACGTGAGGATCTGCTGCCGCTAGCGGCCATGACTGCGCTACGCATGGCGGTGGGTGCAGCGGCGGCGGCAGCACCAGCTACCGCCTCCGCTGGCGGCGGCAACGTCCCTGGCCTGCAGCCACAGCAGCAAGCTGAGGCGGCGGCGACGGCAGCTGCACAGGACCTCACCGACACGCGGCTGTCGCAGCTGACGGGCTTGCCGGTGCTGGGGCTGCAGTCCATGGAGCTCAGCATCCGCGGGGCGCTGCTGGGCGACACCGCCGCGCTGTCCGCGTTGAGGTGCTTGCGGCTGTACCTGCAGCGGCTGGGGCTAGGGCCGGAGACGGGGGCGGGAGTGAGGGTGGGGGTGGCAGCACGCGGCGGAAGGGGGGCGCGAGGATGGGAAGGCGTGGCCGGGCTGTGGGGCAGCGCGGCGGAGGCAGCTACTGAGGAGTTGGAGAGCGGAGGGGCGGGGGGCCCGACGCAAGCAGTGCAGGGCCCTAGTCTGGCTGTGCTGCTGCAGCGGGCTGCCTTGGATCCGGAGTTCCTGAACTACCGGCCCTCCGCCACCGCAGCAGCCCTGCTGTTCTGCCACCGGTTGCGGCGCGGAGACACGCCACCGTGGCCCGCGGCGGTGGCGGCGCTCACCGGGTATGCGGATCTGGAGCAACCGGAGCTTGCGGCGGCTGTGGGTGCCGTACAGAGGTATGTTTGTCGTAGGCTTGCCGTACAATGGCGTGCAGCTAGAGCTATTAATTCGAGGTCTGTGAAGTGCACTGTGTGTGTACTTACGTTTGAGCGTAGCGTTTGTGGCAAAATGAAATAGAAACGCAACCCTGGAAAAGATAAGAGACAGGAGTCTGTTCCCATGGTTCTGTGGCCGACCGCAGCCACTAAGCCTAGATCTAACCCGACACACACCCAACCCAATCCGCCTCTGCTGCCCTGCCAGGCTGATTATGGAGTATTCGGCCTCCACTGCCGCTGCCACCACTACTGCTGCTGCTCCTGCGTTTCGAGGAACCCCGGCCACACTGGGAACCGCAACCGTCTCCCCAGCCGCTGCTGCCGCCGGCGCCCCTGGCCCCCCCTCACCTTCCGCCGCCGTTGCCGCAGCCACGAGCGCCATGCGCCAGCTTGCAGTGGGACGGCTTGGGCCCGGGGGCGCAGGAGGCGGCGGGTGTCCCAGATAGCACAGCCTGCAACCGCCGCCACTTCTACGGTGAGCACCTGGTGAGGTAGAGACGGAAGGGGACGGCTGGGCGAGGGAAAAGGCGCGGGGTGAGTGAGCTTAGGGCGGATGCTGTCGCACACAGCTAGAATAGATTGGTACGTCATGTGCGAGCATTAGCGTTACTCGTATGGCTCTGGTCACACTGTGTATGCAGCAAGGGTCGAAGAGGATGCACGAGTGGTGTCGAGTTGCAAAGCTGGAGCTGGTATTTGTATACATGGAAAAAAGGTGCTGGATGGGCCTTTGATGTCAATGTCGATTTTTATTCCTGCTTCATGGAAGTTAAAGCAGGCATGCTGTTACGAGCTGCTCAGCTGTTTGTTATGTTTGTTACGAAGAGGTGGAGAGATGGATCGTACTGCAATCATTTGGGTCACGGTTTGGACTGCCAATTGTGGTGAGGCACGTGGCACATAACATGTGGATTGCGGTTACCTAGGAATACTTGCATGAGCCTCCACCGGGGTGTTGTTGCATGTGGTAGGGGAGCCGTCCATTTGCATGGGCACCTGGGGTAAGGCGAAACATGGCTTGTGAATGACATCCGGCCATTCGTTTCTCGCCGAGGTTACAAAGGGGAGGCTGGGTATGGGTGTGGGTAGCAATGATAGGGTGGGGGAGCGGCGTGGCATGTACGATCCTGCAGGCACGGGGCCGGGGAGCTGCGTAGCTCTGCATTGCTGGGGTTGTGCAACTTTGGGACGGCTGCAGCCGACCACGTGGCTACTTCTGGGGATAATACCTTAACATGGTGGGGGTTGGGCACACGCCTGCGGCTTGTTGTTTCATTCGAAGCACCCGAAGCCTGCTTAGACGTGTGCAATTGTCTCCGCGGTTGGCGCATGTGGGTTGGTTAGGGGCAGACGACTGTTGCGTTGTGTATCCCGCTAGGCGTCTTGGGCGGTGGGGAACGAAATATCCAGGGAACGCTTTGATGCGTGTTCTAATGCACATGGGCGAGCACATGAGTACGGTGCCAAGGATTGCATGCCGTGGGTTTGTGCGTCAGGGTGTGGTCGGTTTGGGTACGGTCGGGAAGGGGCTGAGCCGTCATGACAAATCTGATATCACTGAGCGTTGTGCTGCTCTATAGGTTGTTCTGTGGTCGAGTAGCGCCCGACAAGGCTGCTGGTGTTGTCGGGATGGTGTTAATGGGAAGCAAGGGGGGTACATGTGCATGTGTTTACTGGCCGCGAGTGGGAACGTACTTTGTAGAGCTAGGGGGGGTACACGTGGGGTGTGCAGCTCCCAGCGTTTTCAGTAGCTGCGGGATTTGGCCTTGGTGGAGGTGGAGGCCGGGAAAGCCGGTGGGGTGGAGAGGTGTGGTGAGAGGTAAGGCGGAACTGAGGTAATAGGATGTAGGGCATGGCTGTGATGATTACAACGCACGCAAAATTTTGTCTCGAGCGCACTATTAACATTTTTTGATACTGCAAACTGAATGCATGCAAACATATTGCCTCACTTTTTCAGTTGTGAAACGCTTGCCCCTTACTATGTTGTGGCGTGTGTCTTGACGCTGATGCTGCTTGTGTTGTTGTTAGTTCCGGGCGTGAAGGTGGCTGTAGCGGGTTTCACGTTTGCTGTAGCGGTGCCGGTGTCGGCGGTGTTGCCCATCGTTCTGATTGACTGCATGCAGTGTGCGTCGGTGCTGTGTATGGCAACGGCCCGCGAGTCCAATACTAGCTGCATATGCCTTGTCCGGGGCTTTAACACGACATTGCAGGGGGGGACCAACGGCTACTGTGACTGTTTTCATCAGACCAATTCGAAGAATGCACGCCCAAAGATGTATCAACGCATGTTATAAAGTTGCAATTTAGCCATACATACTGTTCCTTTATTGTTCCTTTCGGTGCTGTGGGTCGGAATACTTACATGCTTCCCAATGGAAAAGTGAACGCAATGTCCTGGGCTATTGCAACAGCTGTAGCTTAAGACGGCGACGAATATGTGCGGCGTGCGGCATGCACCAACCGTATGCAGCTTCACTGGAAGGGTTAGGCCTGAACCCTTTTTCTGGCCCCGCACTTACCTTCCTTCCTACTTGGTACACGGTACTGCGTTTTGGGTGTTGTCTGTGTGCTATTATGTCTGTTGTTTGGACATGCGGTGGACCCTGCCCTGTGCCGGCACTACATGCCGGAGCTCTCCGGGCCCGCGAGTTATGGGTGTCGGTGTGTCTTAACGTGTTTTCGTCCTAACATGCGGTGTGTATGGTCGGCCACTTCTCCTGTCCATCAAGGCTGTGGTGAAGGCTGGTGACGAAATGGATGGAAAACAAGTAAGGGAGTAAGCGTTTGGATTGCCGGCGGAGGTAGTAGTGTTTCTGCACTATGCCGTATGTCGATTCCTTGCCGAGCCAGATACGTTGCAGTGTGTCGTGTGGGGTTTGATAGGGGCTTCCGGCGAACCGGTAGCCTCCCCGCGCCTTAGTGTCTTCGTTTCCTCCTACCTTCGTACTACCACTGAACCTCATCCTCCGGGACATCGGCGTTTTACGGCTTTGGCTTTCGCTTCTATAGCCTGAACTACACGCGCGTCCTTTCCAAACCTGGCAATGCGCAAATTGGGGGCTTCTTCTGGTGTGCGTGTGTTGTGTGGAGTGCAAGGCGCGTTGTGCGCTGTGTGCCTTTGCCGTGTGCGCTTGGAGTGTGAACAGTGTGGAATCGGAGACGTGGAAGGCAGTGCCTCTTTGCGGCTGCTTTTGCATGGCAGGGCTCTATCCTGCTTGGTGTTGCACGTCATTTGACGCGGCGCGTGGGTGGAGGGCTCGCATGGAAAGCTACTCGTGTGGATCCTTGTGAGTGGGTGCCGATTGTTACAGGGCGGTTGCAAAGATGAGGTGATTGAATGGATCAACCCCTGGGTGGTTGATTGCTATGGTTTTGGAGCCGGGCATTGCAAAGGGTAGTTAACTTCTGGTTGCACGGATTGCGGGGTAGGTGCGATCCTCATCGTTTGCTGCGGTTTGGCCGTGCTGCTGCTGCTATTGCCATGGATGTGGCCACTGTATGTTGTGTGTAAGGTGAGTTTTGACCCCTGAGAGCCCGTATAGGTCTGTTTCAATGTCTCTTCCGCCGATGCGTTGGAGCTGGGAATGGGAATTTGGGTATGTTGAATCTATCGATCTGTTGTGGGTGTTAAGAGCGCTCTTGTTTAGGACAGTCCAAAGGATCGGGGTCAGGCACCAAGACTGTTCGTAGGTGCATCTGCTTGGATGTAGTCGCGGTTGTTGGTGTCCACGGTGGGTTGTGTCGTCGACCAGGCAAGGTAGCCGGGGACATTGCAGAAGGCTTGAGGGTCGTGAACGTAGACTACTCTTCTTTTAGCGCTTGGGATGTGAGGGCTGGGGAATACTGGACGGACGGAAACCCGGGTCGATAAGCTTAGACCCTGACATCCTGTCTTACCTTGTTTCCTTTCCAAGGCTCCTTGATTGTGTGGCTCCTGCGGTCTTTCCTCTCTGCCATCTATATGCACTGCAGTCCTTGCTATTACCTCTTGTAAGTGGTCCTTAACTCCTCCTTTGATCCTCAGCTAGCCGTTCCGCTACTAGCCTGCAATTCCTGCTTATAAAGAGCAAATCTAGCTCATACTGATCATACAGCCACAGCAGAGTTTGTCGCTCAAGCGGCTGTAGCTGTGCGCAAGGCCGCCCCAGTAGAGGAACGCGTCTAAGAAGAGTAGTGGACATTCCCTCCTGTCTTCCACGTGCAAGTAAGGTTTGTCGGGCCGCGGTGTGCCGACCTTGCCACAGGTAGGGACTGAGCTATCCCCGAGGGGCCCATTCAACAGTAAGGCACCCGCCATGAACTTGGGCGCATTGCGCGCAATGGAAATTACGCTGAAAATGGGCTGGTTGCGCGCAACGGTCCCGCGCAACACGCCCATGTTCCTGGCCTCACAAACCTGCCTCGTTTCAAAACGCAGTATGCATTTATGAAAATAGCGCTGTATTATCTATTCGTAGAGTCCACCGGCGTCACAGAAGATGTTGGAAAAGGTTGCCGACCATGTATGGGTTGGTTGCGCGCAACGGTCCCGCGCGACACGCCCATTTTCCTGGCTTACAAATTCGCCTCGTTTTACATCGCAGAGCATATGTTTGGGCATAATATGGTGTCTTCTTTTTGTAGCGTATAATGGGACATTGGGAAATGTAAGAAACGGTTACAAAGTACACATGGGCTGGTTGCGCGCAATGGTCCCGCGCAGCCAGCCCATTTGCCAGGCTCTGCCTGGCTTTCATAAAACGAAGCCGCAGTTTGTAACTTTGATAACGGCACAATGATCTCCCGCAGCAAACCCCAAAGTCTCCCGGTAATTTGTCATAGCTCAGAGCTAGTTGAGGTGGGATGCTGGGATCATACTTTAGCCCTTATAAAGGATTGTGCGTAAAGATGCCCAAGCTTTACCAATTGCGCAATCCCAGAAATATTGGGATACTACCTCTCGTGAAGGCAGGGAATGAATCGAAGGTCAATGATTGGTGGTCGAATTCCTGGCACTATATTTACAGCAGAGATGCTAGGTTATTGTCATACTAAATCTAAGAAGATAATGTGCAGTTTGTATGGCTTAACCTGCATGCTTTATGGGCTACAAGGCGCGCGAGCGACGGCATCCATTTGAATGCCTTGCTTGAGCGCTGCCCGCCTGTTGACTCGCATTCATCTAGAACAAACAGGATGTATAGGGGTCCGATTGCCTGGTTTTGAGGTGTTAAGAATGATACCGGTAATGAGGGCCAGGGTCCCGCGGGCCCAAGACATGTGGGAAACCTACATGCATGCCCAACCACACTCGCACGGCGCAACCAATCGAGCCCCACGCTTGGCCACATGATACTATATGTCTAAGGAGTCTGTAGGTGTGACGGCGGGCTCAGGTGCCGCTCGCACGGTCAGATACGTGCCCCAAACCCTGGGTTTGACTAGGCCCCCAACCATGCACCCGGTCTGAACGGCACATCCTGCCCAACCACACTCGCACGGCGCAACCAATCGAGCCCCACGCTTGGCCACATGATACTATATGTCTAAGGAGTCTGTAGGTGTGACGGCGGGCTCAGGTGCCGCTCGCACGGTCAGATACGTGCCCCAAACCCTGGGTTTGACTAGGCCCCCAACCATGCACCCGGTCTGAACAGCACATCCTGCCCAACCACACTCGCACGGCGCAACCAATCGAGCCCCACGCTTGGCCACATGATACTATATGTCTAAGGAGTCTGTAGGTGTGACGGCGGGCTCAGGTGCCGCTCGCACGGTCAGATACGTGCCCCAAACCCTGGGTTTGACTAGGTCCCTGATCAAAGACAAGTTTACCGCCACAACCATGCGCGCATGCCGCAACCACTTCAGCATTACGCTTGTTTACATGCTTTGTGAATTGCCTTATGCCGGAACGGGCCTATCCTGTGTATACCTTGAGGCTTGTGCGGTTTCCTAACGTCGTGCGGTCCCGTGGGCCCGTAAGTTGCCCATGGCAAGACTTCCCTCTTAAAGTCGTGCCTTCAAGCTGTAGCTGATCGTTTGTTTAGTCCTGTCCTGGCGGTTAGCAATGTTCGCGAGAGAAGGTTCAGTTTGGTCAATTGACCGACATGGCCTCCAGCAGTATGCACCTCCAGCGTTTTCTGTGGCTTTCTTATGATTATTTTGCAGTTTATGTTAGTAGAACGGTGCGTTTGTCGCAAAGGCGTTTAATTGAAGGGCAGCTCTGTCAACGACTTTCGCCATGCTCCCTGACTTCGGGAAAGGGCGACATTGTGACACTCTATGATGAACACAGTACTTAGATCAGCAGTTCGGGCCAGCGTAGCGATACCTGGGATAACCAGCATATGTGGAATCCCAGTATGCTATAAGTGGGTTTGCGCCATTAAGTTAATCGCAAATGCAAACAAAGGAAAGGCGCTACACATAGATATATACTGCGCTGTAAAACGATACAGATTTGTGAGACCAGGAAAGTGGGCGTGTCGCGCGGGACCGTACATAGTCAACACCGTTTCTTGCATCTTTCGAAACGCCGTTAAACGCTGCAGATAAAGATTATGGCGCTATGCCCATAAACACATACTGCAGTTAAAACCGAGGCGAATTTGTCGGGCCAGGAACTTGGGCGTGTCCCGCGGGACCGTTGCGCGCAACCAGCCCATACATGGTCGACAACGTTTCTTGCACCTTTCGCGACGCCGGTGAACGCTTCACATAGAGAGTATTGCGCTATGCACATAAATACATACTGCAGATTAAAATGAGGCGGATTTGTTAAGCCAGGAACATGGGCGTGTCGCGCGGGACCGTTGCGGGCAACCAGCCCATTTTCAGCGATGCGCGCAATGCGCCCAAGTTCCCGGCTAATACCTTGCTCCATTCAAGCAACAGTGCAGCCACAGTGCAGTCATTGTGTCCTACAGCTGTAGCTGTTTGTGCTGAGCTGTATAGGCGACACGAGAACGAAGGAAACAAATGGCCTGTCTGGGGTGGGTCGCTCAAGCGCATGGGGCCGAACCACCCCGTCCGCCGGAAGCCGTGTTATACATTATCACATGCTGCTGGGCTGTGAGCTAGCTAGCTGTGAGCGAGTTGCAGCTGAACAATTGGAGGGGTCTTCGTGGAATACGGCAAAATTTTAAACATTCACCGCCATTTAACAGTGAATTTGTGCTGATATCAATCCAAACCCTATAACTCAAACTCCATAGCATAAGCCATACCCAGGTGAAGGGCTGGGAGGGGATGGTGGCGGCGGCGGGGGTGACGGCGGCGAAGGGTTATGACCGGTGTGTGGCGGACTAAGGCCACAAACGTATTACCCAAGTAGCACATAGCACACTCAACACAAGCTTCAAGATGCCGTTCATGCTGTACGGACAAGCTACACATACGACACTGCCTTCGGTCAGCTGGGTCATGCGGTCTGGCGCCATGCACACTATACCGTTAGTACAAGTGTGTATATGGTACAAATGCGCAACAGCCTTCGTCTTGACAAAACCATACGGCTCAGTAGCATTACCACTGCGCTAAACGTACACCGCGTTTCCTGACCGCGACCAAAGCGCTTGCAGACTTACTCTTATGTGTGTTGCATGGGGTGAGGAGGCGCATAAAGCAGGAGTCTTGCATGCGTGCGTGCCTGTGTAGCTTGGGGCGAGAGGGCGCGTAACGTAGGGTTGCGTGCATGCGTGCATGTGTGGGTTGCATAGGGGGGCATATGGGTAGGGGGAGAGCATGTGGGTCTTGCATATGTGTGTGTTGCGTGGGGAGAGAAGGGCGCATAGCCCGGGATGCCTGCATGCGTACATGTCTGGGATGCATGGGGCGAGGGGCGCGTAACGTTGGGGTGCATGCATGCGTGTGTGGGTCTTATGGGGCGAGGGGGCGCGTCACGTGGAGTGCTTGCATAGAGTGGGTATGCTGGCATGCGTGCGTGTGCGGGTTTCATGGGGCGACGCGTGTGTAAAGTGGGGGCAAGTGCATGTGTACATGTGCGGGTTGCATGGCCCGAGGGGGGGTATAAAGCGGGTGTGCTGGCATGTCTTAAGAAAAATGGCCGCGAGTAGGAACGTACTGTGAATATCGGAAGAGGAAGTCCCCACAGAACCGCCGCTGCAGCCGAGAAATAATTAGCGTATGTAAAGGAGGGGTACGGAAGTATAGTTCTGTACCTCATGCCCCTCCCGATCCCGTGACACCCCAAGCGTAATATAATACACCCCTCCTGGTATGTAGATATATTAGTCCAGTATTGGTGCTGAGAGTAAGTAGGATGTAAAAAGCACTCTAGTAGAACGACCGGACCTAAGGCCAGTAATACTAAGTTGATGTGTATGTAGTAGCTAACAGTATCGAGTAATGTAGGTAGGCGGATAGGATGGAACTGCTGCTGAACACGTGGCAAAACCCGTCAGCTTCGCAGACACCTAGGCTCGCCCCCACCTATCCATTAACAACCCGACGTCTGCTGGCTGATGGAGTGAAGATGCAAGTTGCTTTGGAGCGGAGTGGACTGGGCGCGGATGTGGGGATGCATATGTCAATGCTATGCGTAGATGCATCAGTGCGGCCCGTGGGCGTGCCTGTTTGGCCCTGCTTCCCCGTGATTCGACGCGAGGTCAGGCGGTGCGTAGAGCTAGTGGTGGGAACAATTGTCCTCAAGAGCAAGCCCCTAACTGCACCGCCAGCCTCATCTATCCCAACGTATGCATGCAGGCACTCTACCGGCTTTGAATCTCCGCAATGAGCGATAGCCCAGGTTTGCGACGAAGGCCATGTCGGGCGAGGAACGCTGGAATATGTGAAACGAGCACGTGGTAAGATCCACTTTTCAGCGGTGGCCGTTGAATGAGCGAAATGATTGAACCAAGGTAACTCCCGCCCAGCCCTGGCAGCTCCCAACCGGCACGGACAGCCCCTGCACGGCATGGGCAGCCCCCGCACGGCACGGACAGCCCCGGCATGGGCACAAACAGCTCCAGAACGGCACGGACAGCCCCCGCACGGCACGG